TTATTTTTAGAGGAATTTTAATTTTATTGCATTCATTTATTATTGTTTTACTACATCGCACCGCACCTCCGGTAAATACATGTTTTTGGCAATTAATTGGAAATCCTTCAACAGAATACATAAAAATTAAATTAATTAATGTTACTATAAAAGGTAAGATTGCGGTTACAGGATAACCTCCTCTTCCACGTCTGCGCGGTCTATATGGTCCAAAATTAGAATTATTATTGTTATTTATAGTATTTGGGTTATTGTTATAATTATTTATATTATTTCGATTTCTATTTTGGGTCCAATTCTGATTATTATATCTATTTTGATTCCATCCTCTCCTATTGTTATTAAATCCACGTCTATTAAAATTATTATAATTACTATGTGGTAGATGATAAGGCATGAAATTAGTGGGATATGCTTGAATATTAGACAGTGGTACTGGATTATTACAATTACAATTTGAACACCCTTGCTCAGTTTTAACGACATTTATTTTCTCTTCGTTTAGTTTTTCATTTAATTGATTTTTTAATTTTTCCAATTCTCTGCATAATCTTAATTGTTCATTTTCTAGAGACTCTTGCCTAGATTTACCAGAAATTTTTAATTCTTCCTCTGCTAATATTTTCTGATTGAGTTCCTCCTTTTGGGCGCTACTTATTGCTTCGGCTAATGTTTTTGGTTGATCCTGCCTAATTAACACTTTTCTAATATTATATTTTAATCCTCTGTAAAAAGCATCGACAATCATCTCATTTCTTTGTATTTCAGTGTATTTATCTTTAGGGTATCCTTTTTTCACTAATGACTCTATTGCCGCCGCAAATTCTGAAACAGACTCTCCAGGTTTTTGATCTCTCATTAATAACTGGGTTCTGGCTAAACAATTTCCTTGGTGATCCTGACTAAGCTTATTTGCCATACTTTTCTTAATATTATCCCAAGAATTTTTATCTGCTTCAGTCAGTAACTCATACATTGCAAGTGCTTCTCCTTCAAGATAATTTGGCAATGTTTTTGATAAAGTTTTCTCGTCCCAACCCAAAGCATCGCCAATACGACAAAACTCTTTTAAATATTGTTCCCAGTCTCTTATATCGTCTCTACCACTAAATTTTGGTGGGATTAAGTGAGGTCTTTGAGGTTTTGGCTTATCAAGTTGATCTTTTATTTCCTGGATCGCTTGCATCAATTCTTTTAAATCCATTTTATTTAATTTTATTTTATTAGATACGTGTACTAAACTTAATTCTGGACTCAAATCAGGACTTTTAACTAAAGTTTTATTATCGTCTTTTGGTGTTAAAAATTCTAGGTCTTCTGGTGTATTTAGAGATTCAGTAGATTTAGAGATACTTAGTAATATTTTTCTTTTTTGACTTCTAGTTTGGATTATGGGCTCAAAATTTTGTCTATTATTTAACGAAATTTTTATTTTATCTAATAATTACTTTAAAATTAATTAAAATTATTTTATTTATTTTATCAATTTTGGTCTAATATTTAATACTTTAATTTTCTTTATATATTTTCAAAAATTTAAAATCAAATATATATATTTTTTATGTCAGGTTGCCAGGTCGTTCTAGCGAACCTTCGGCTTTAATTAATTTTAAATAGCAACCTTTGGCAGTGGCTGACACAAAAATTTTATTTTTAATATTTTATTTATTAAATTTTCTTCTTTTTTTTTTCAATTTCAGATTATTTAGAAGGTTTAATTAATCTTTCAATTAGCTTTAATTAACTAGAAAAATTTCTATTAATTTTAGTAAAGAATTTATTGCTTTAATTCAATTATTCAACTTCCAATAATTCTCTTTTAAATATTTTATAAATATATTTTTTAACTGTTTGAAGATAGCAGGAAAAATGATTTTTATATATTTTTAAAATTTAGGAGTTTATTAGAAAATTATGGAAAACCGGGAAAGAATTAAATTAGTGAAAAAAAGATTAAAATCAAATGATTGAGGATAAATGATAATAAAATTTAAAAGATAATTAATTTTGTGAAAAATTATTTAGCCTTAGTTAAAAAAGATTTAGGTTTTATTTTAAAATATTTTTAAGCAAAAAAGAGAAGGAGAAAAATTTTTATTTAATTTTTAGCTGTTTTGAGATGAATGAATTTTATGATGAAAATTTGTATTAAATGGGTATATTTATAAACAATTTTTTTGTAAAGGGGAGTGTCAAAATTATGTGCAATTTTAATTAACATAAATTGGCCAATTACAGATTGCCTTTTGCCTTTTTTTTATTTTTCTATTTCTTTGGCCGTTAAAGATTGCCTCTTTTTTTTCCTTTTTATTTTTCTTTTATTCTTTTAAAAATATATTTTTTTTCACTATTGCCAGCCTATTTATACAAATGTAAAAAAATTTTAAAATTTTTGTGCTTCTTACTCCGGCCGTGCACAGCCGTTATTTTTATTTTAAAGGGAGGGAAGGAAAGGGGCTAGGTGCTAGTTGATCAGGCTAGCACCGTCGAAAATGAAAGAAAGAGTAAGGCACATTTTATGTAAATATATTTTTTATTTTGGATTAAAAAGAGTTCGAACATTTGTAAAGCGCTTTTTGAATTTGGAGTAAAGATTGTTTAATTTAAATATATTTTATTTTTATTTTAGAGACCGAAAATTGTATATTTTTGCAAAAATATATTTTTATTTTTTTGAATGCAGAAAAAGCTTAAAGGGTTCCGAAAATAGTATGTTTTTATTTTTGAATGGGGCGAGTAAAGATTATATTTTTTTTGAATAATGATAAAATTTTAATTTATAAATAAATTTATTTAAAGGCCTAATATATTACTGTATTTGTAATGTAGGGAGAGGGGGGGGAGCCTGGCTTATTATATTTATATTTCGTGTTTTGGAATGCCGGCTTTTATATTTATTGGGGAGAGGGCTTATTTAATTTGTATTTATATTTATGAAATGCTGGCTGTTAAATATTTTTTATAAATTTATCATAAATCGCGATATACTGAATTTATTTCTTTAAATTTCTCGGCAATCAGAATATATCACATAATTAAAAAAAATTTTCTTGGAAGCTCTCGGCAATCAAAAAAAACAGAAAACAAATGGACGCGGAGGAAAACAAAAAAAAAAAATTTTTTTTTGTATTAATTTATGAACAAACAAAATTTAAAATAACCCAGTCCCTGTTAGCGGCACCATGTAATGTTGGGGAATGGGGTTGGGGAGAATATTAAATAGGTGAGGTTCGCCGAAGGCTCCGGTTGTCCTAGTCCATAGAAGGACTAGGGCCGGGGCCCCGGTGGGTGGTTTACCCCTAGATTATATAAAAAAGAATTAAATTCAGAAACAAATTTATTTAACTAAAACTAACAAAATCCAAATATATATTGTGTGGGGGAGAAGAAGAATTAAAATTAAGTCAGTAAAAAAAGATTGTTGAGAGGGTGGAAGGATAGGCTGGTTTTATAAGCCACGCCTATGTTACAGTGGTCTTATAGTCTTCTGACACTGTAGTTAACTCTGAATACGCCATTAGTGATGTCCAAGACCGAAAATTCTTATGACTCAAGACAGGGAGACGTCTCTACGGTCCATGGGGACCAGGGCTGATCGAAATTTCGTTTCGTTTCGTTTCGTTTCGCTCTTTCGTGCCCTTTTTTCCATTTCGTTTCGTTTCGGAACGAAACAGAAAAAAATTTATTTCGTTTCGTTTCGAAACGAAATAGCCAAAATTCCGGACGAAACGAAACAAAAAAAAGTGAGAAAATACACCCCTAATAACGGGAATTTATGGAAATAATCATTAATTTTTTAGCGATTTCTGTCTTATGAGCAGCCTAAAATTAAAAAATTTTCGCCTGCGGCGCTGAAAATGGAAGAAATTTGGCTTCTTGAGCTCCAAATTTCAAAAAATTTTCGCCTGCGGCGCTAAAATGAAGAAAACTTTTACGGGTTTTGCTAGAGCAGACCAGCCTTCCGTCGCCCAACCTACTATAGTACTCCAAATTGGATTAATTAAGGATTAAGAGGGATATGTGGGTATTGAGAATAGCCCTCCACGTTACCTTCACTAAAGTATCCAATTTTCTTCACTTTTCATCGCCGCAGACTAAAATTTTGAGGATTTTGTAAGGCCAAACAAGATTAAGGAGATATCGATGGAGCTAGATTTCTTTCAATTTCAACGCCGCAGTTGAAAATTTTAAGATTTTGGTAGGCCAATGGGCAATATTCCATAAAAATTTGATAATTTTGGAAAAATCTTAAGAAAGACCCTCTTAATATCCCTCTTGATCGATATCTAAAGTGGTATACTCCAAAGTAAATTTGGATATATCGTGGGATTTTAATAGGATATCGGAGATTAAGGCGGATATATGTCGATTTAAGGGGATTAAGGTGGATATCGGCAGATTGTAGGGTCCACTCTTGTTTCTGCTATTCTTTTGTCACGCATCTAGCTCTTGGGGTGCATTTTTATGATTTAAATATCGATTAAAAGCATTTATGAACTGAAAAATAAATATTTTTTAATTTTTATTTTATTTCGTTTATTTCGTTTCGTTTCGTCCGAAACAAGCTCATTTCGTTTCGTTTCGCTCCGAAACGAAATAGGAATTTTTTTATTTCGTTTCGATTCGAAATAAAAAATATTTTTATTTCGATCAGCCCTGATGGGGACGGGATCTGATTTGTATTACTACACAAAACTTATTACTTAAAAATTAATTTTTAATTTAAAATTCTTCAATTTATTGCAATTATTAATCTATGGAAAAAGGGGAGAATACAGATTGGATATAGAGAGGAATAGATATGTATAGAGAGCGTAATCTAATGAGAGAAATATTAGATTACGCTGAAGGGAGTAGTTTGAGGAAAGCCTGTAAGGAACAAATTAGGCAGTTAGTCCTTTAAGAATAATAGACGATAAATGAAAGCAATTTAAATTAAATAAAGTAAATATTATAAAAAATTTATAAATAAATATATGTATATCAACTATACATTTTCTTTATTTTTTCCCATTAACTTCTTCTCTCTTCTGAGGGCCAATTATAATCATCAAAAAATCCTTCATTTGATTGTTTAGATTTAGACTAAATTTCAGGTTGGAAGGACCATCTTCAGAATTTTGGAGGGGTTTGTCAGCTAAAGGAGGAGTTGTTGGGATGGTTGGTTTGGGAGTTGTAAGCGATTTTTTATTAGCTATGGATGGAGTCTTTTTTTGTTTTTTTGTAATTAGTGAATGTTTTTTTAGTTTTTTATTTTTTGTTTTTGATGGCATTTTTGTTGTTGTAGGTAAGTCCGTTGATTTAGTTTCTTTACCATCATCTATTAATGAAGGATTTGTTAGTTTATTGGGGTCAGACTTTGTGAATTCCTCTGGTTTAGTTGGCATAGATGTTGTAATTGATCCTTGATTAGATACAAAAGAAGTTGTAGCATCCTTCACAATTTTTTCTTTAGCCGAATCAATCGTTGTTTTTGCTGGTTTATAAAGTTCAGACGTTGCGAATTCATTCGTTGTAGCAAGTGTTTCAGCACCTTTCGACTTTTTCGTCGTCAAATTTGAAGCAACATTATCCTTTCCAACAATCACGTCATCATGCACAATTTTACCAGGAATTGTAATTTTATTTGTTTCAAGTTCTGCCGTCTTAGAAATATCTGTTTCACTTTCTGACACCGTTGTGGTGCTCTATAAATTTAATTTGGTTTAAAATATTTGCAAATCCCTAACCGGTAAAGCAACACAAATATTGTTCACACATGTACCATTGTAACAGACATCCGCGTCTGTAAAAATTATAATAAGCATTGGAAATTAGAAAGGTTATATGTACATAGTCTACTTCCTATTAGAGGCTGTGGCCCGGAAAGTATACCGAATTCGAGTTAATCGTTGATTTAGTAAGAGAAGCAAGACATGGAACTAAGATCAATACTGCACGCTAAGACCATACTTGGCCTCAAGAGTATGGTCTCTTTACCTCCAATGCTCTCCCTGGCTGAAGGGAGCATATGAACCAGAAAGGACTTAGTCTGTAGGGAACACATGGCTGTCTCAAGAGCTGAAAGAACCCCAAGAGAAGTCTGTAAGGGTCATACATATCAGGGATGTCACGGGTTACCCGAAACCCGATACCCGAAACCCGGCCTTTTTTCGACCCGATACCCGATCCGAGAAATTTTCTAAAACCCGACCCGAAACCCGACCCGAGAATTTTTATTTTTCAAAACCCGATCCGAAACCCGGCCCGAGTTTTCTCAAAATTTTCGCCCTCGTCGGAGAAAAAGGGAAGATTTTTAGCTTAATGATCTTCCAAAATTCTGAAAATTTTCGCCTGCGGCGCTGAAAAAGGAAGAAATCTGGCTTCGGACCTTCCAGAATTCTCAAAATTTTCGCCTGCGGCGCTGAGAAGGAAAGATACCCGGACTTTTTTTCGACCCGAAACCCGATCCGAAGAAAATTTTGAAAACCCGATCCGAAACCCGACCCGACTTTTTGCTCAACCCGAAACCCGATCCGAGAAAAATTTTGGAAACCCGACCCGACATTTTTCTCAACCCGTGACATCCCTGATACATATATCTCTATCAATATAATATGTTTGTTCTTGTTTAACTTGCCATTAGAAAATCCGCCGCAGTGTCCTCCTAAACGAGCCTTTGAAACACATATGGGGGCATCATTAGAACGATCACAAAACACAAATCTATTATTTAAAATTAATTTTTAAATTTAATTTATTCCCTACTCGGATTCACAGTCTTTAGTAGGAGTACAAGTAAGTCTATCTGCATATCCATACATATTGTCAGTATATTCATTTCTTAATCCATCGATATTTTTTAAATTCTTAAATATTATTTAATAATTTTATTAATTTAAAGAGTTTACAGGAAATTGTGTCATTGTCGCATTTCTATAATGACAGGCTGTTGAACAAGCCTATAAAATTTAAATTAATTCTATAAAATTATTGATGACATACAGGGAGATTTTCGGGATAATCATTGACACGTTGTGTTCTGTTTTGTTTTGTCTGACGCCATTCTTCAAATACCTTTAGAAATGTTTTATAAATTAAATAATGTTGGCAAAATAATTTTGGATGATTAAAAGTAGATACAGGACCACTTTTTTTCGTCTCCGGCAAAAATTCTTAAATATTTGAATCGATTGGTATATATTTCTAATCTAGGTCTCGGGTCCAATGTACTATAGTACAGCCCGGAACTATCATTTTAATATATCTATCTCAATTCCTGTACGAACTCCCAGTTCGGTAACTAATTAAAAGATGATATGTTGTGGATATTTGCGAGAGAGAATAAATTTGTGAAACCCAGTTAACAGACCCCTAATTAAAAATACTGTATTTATTTACTGAATCAACAAAACAATGAAACAGAGGAAAGAGAACTTCATTAGCAGATGTTTCTAGATATGACATATCTCCACCAACACATTTATGCGTTCTTGCATGAGTATACTTTAAATAAAATAATAAATTTGATTTAGAAAATTTTAACTTCACATCCCTGTTCTCTTTACACTCATTACTTGATCTTTTCACACTAGGGAGGGACCGCTATCCATGAGGAAGAAAATTCACCGAAGACCTTCCTCGGGGTAAGCTTGCGTGATCTCCGACCACGTTCCTCGCAACCCCCCTTCCCATCATTTGTAAAATCAGTCCCCGCCCGTAATTTCACCTCACGCTATACCTTCATTGCTCGTTTCCAGCCTAGCTTCTTTGGCCCTACAATCTCATCTAAAAATTACCTCAAGCCATTCCCAATTTACACTATAAGGGCAACCCTTGTCCGGATACATATAAGCAAGTACATTATCCACGTTTGTTTGTGAAAGTGTCCAATCAACGCTGAATTAATTTAAAATATATTTTAAAAATTATATTTACTCACTCATATTCAGTTGTGCATCTACTTATAACGCCGACTTCCCTTGAAATATATTGATTCCCCTGAAAATTAATGTTTTAAAAACTTTGTTTGAAAAATAACCTCGAGAGTTTTCCAAGGTGCAAAGAATCCTGTAGTTACATAGCCTTCATTATTTGTTGTACCGAAAAACTGATAATAAATGATAGGAATTTAAAGTTATTCTAGTCAAATTTAATAGCCATTATATAATAGTACTTAAAATATCCAAAAAGTAATATTTGGCATATTCGAAGCTTGTATAAGACTAATCATGTTCCTCACAGCCTAGAAACCGAAAAGTCTTATACGACAGTCCCAGTCCAGTCTTAACTACAGCCTACTTCGGTAAATGTCCAGCTCGAGGGGCACATGTCCGCAAAAGCCATTCTGCAAAAATGCATTTTTCTGCATTCAACAGCTTCCCTCTCTCCTTAACACAGTAAGAGATCTTTATAATTTGCGCCAAACTGTCAACCTACCATTTGATTACCTAAGGCAAATTAAAGGAGAGAGAAGGATGTTGAATGAATGTGCCTTTCGAGCTAGACCTTTACCGCCTACTTCTATACCTGATCAGTGAAGAGAATCGAATCTCTAGGATTGTTTAAACGATTATCCAAAGTCGAATCCCAACAAGGCAAAGAAAGCGTTGGATCCACTTTTCGAAGCATTATTTCAAATCTTTTGAGAAAATTAAATTAATTTTCAAGCCTTCTAAACACCTTTTAGTCAATTCTCTATGCCAACCTGCAAAGGCTTGCCCCCCATGAGCACAACCTGTGGCAACGGCATCTCTGTGAAGTGCAGCAAAATAATCATAATCTCCATTATTTTTCATTTCTCTCACTGCTTTAAACTTTAAACGAATATTTTTTAATTAAAATTAAATATTTACAAATTTATTTCTCTCTTCTTCTGTTAACAATCTAATTTCTTTACGAAGTGCTTTTTGAACTTTTTGGCCGTTTGGAAGGGTACAATCATTTGTAGAACCATTAGTTTTGCCTAAAATTAATTTTTGAAAAATTTTAATGTTAAAATTAAATTATTTAAAAATCTCAATACCTCCATAATATGAACATACGCAACTTTGGGTGACACACTCCAATTCAGGCCTAGAAAGTATGTCTAAAGATGCAGCTTTTTCTGTTAGTTCACTTATCATTACTTTAATTTAAGATTTAAATTTTAAAAATTTGTTTGAAATTTAAATTGACTAAACATTGACTATGGACATAAATTGACTAAGCTCTGGAGCCGACTCCGGCTAGGAGCTACAGCTTTCGTTCCCCTTTATTCTTTCCGGTCCACTCTTTTGCCCTTTTACATAGGACTAGAATGTTGTCATTTCCGGATTACCCACATATTTTGTTCGACTGTCCCCTATACACTACAATCTAGGCATATTCCCTAGACTATCCTTGCTCCCAACTGATTCTCTCCCTCTACAGTAAACTGATCTTAAATAAAATTTCAAAATGTCAACTTGTGTTAATTATTTAAAAATGCTTACATCGTTCCATTAATTCGTTATTAGTCTAAAAAATTAACAAAAAATTTACTTAAATATTTAATCTTAAAACCTGTGGATTTTCTGTTTTTGCAGCAAGCTTTCTTTGTTTTGCTATAGCTGAACATGCGCTTACAAGATCATTACTTGGGGCTGTATTACAATCAACTGTGGATTGGGCATAAATATTATTGGCCAAAGAAAAAGTAATTAAAGGTATAAATAATAAAGACATTTTATACAGATTTATATATGTCCCTAAAAAGAGGTTAAAATTCTAAGAAATATTAGCAAATTTAACGAGGGGTTGTTTATAGAATATAAATTTATGATAAAATAATTTTTTTAAATTGAGAGCCTAAGCATTTAGATATTTTTATACTGCGTATTTGTATATGTCAAACATAGTTTTAAATAGGGTTGTAAATGAAAACCCACTACAGATCAGGGATGGTTTGTGATGCCGATGCCGGCTCAACCTTATTTCTAACCCACACATTCTGTCACAGATAATTTGACCTGATTGTTAGATATAACAGTATTAACATATAAATTTACTAAAATAAAATACTAAATCCTGCCTTAATATTCAAGAAAAGACAAGCAATTTTAAAAATAAGCAAAAAAATATTATTTTTAAATTTTTAATAACAAATTTTTTGAAAAATAAAATAATTAATCAATCCAACTCAATTAAATATTCCTCTAAAATATTTTAAATGTTTATTTGACAATCTGATATATTTGACGTGGTCGTTGCTTGAAGACCGATTTTTGGAGAGATTTTATGAGGGAAAAATCTAAAAATTGCTTCGATTGAAATTTAATTTTTTGCCACGCTACTGAAACTTAAGAGAGTGAGGAGAGAGAAGGAGAGATTTTAAAATTATTTTTGAAATTTGCCTTTAAATTTAAAAAAAGCCAAAATTAAAATAAACATTAAATTTAATAAAGACTAGAGATTAAAAATGAATTTCAGATGAATAAAGCAGGAAATATTTTTTTAAATTAAATAAAGCTGCAAAACATGCCTTGCCAAAAAGAAAATATTTTTCTTTTCTTCCAATAAAATTTATTTCAGATTTTTGGATTGCAAAATTCCTCGTTTTTGGTTCAATTACATTTTAGTTTCAGTGAATGTTCGGCGTTTTTTAAGGTATACCCAAAAAGTTGTTAACGTTTTTAACATTTTCGAGAAATCGTTCATTAAGTAGAGTTAGGATTTTTAAACAATAAAAATATAGTAGGCAACAAAAACTCCAAAATAGGTACTAAAATTCGAAAAAATGGAAAATAATTCTGCCACCGAACTAGTGTTTTCTAACTAATGTTGCTGAAACGCTCAAAAATGCTATTCTTACGTCGGTATGAACAATAGGTACTCTGTTCAAATCATTTTTCTAGACAATTTTTAAATATTGGTTGCCTCTCCTCAGTATTTTGATAGTACCGTGCCGAACACAAAACAAAAAAAACAACAACTCTAACCGACAACTCCAGTAATAATCTAATAGTTTGTCCCTTAAATACAAATTTCTAGCCTAAATTTAAGTTTCAAACCCATTGGTCAAAAATGATTATAATTCACAAAAATCCAAAAAACATTGATTGCACACATACTAGTTTAGGTTAAAATCTTACGAGAAAAATCGAGGTTGGGACGGGGTTGCCAACAGTGCCAAATTTAATATTTTTTATTCTTCTATAAAATTATTTTCAAATAGTAAAAAAATAAAAAAATAAAGCTTAAAGATTTAATTTTAAAAATCAAAGACCAAGTTTGTCAATTAAAATTTATTCAAATTAATTTTAGTAAAAATAAAATAATTTTTTAAAATTGAATTTAAATAGGAAATTTCAAAAAATTCTCATAGAAATAAAGTAACAATCGTAAAATAACAAGGCGAATTTTCTATAATCCTATGTGATAAGGCAAATATCAAGTTGAGTAGGACATCCTGATTCTCATCATTCTTTTCTTTTACCTACAACCACCTTTTATTGTATTTCTACGTGCGATAATCGTCTACTTTTGCTATTTCAGGGCGTAAAAGTATGATTGATAGAGAGTTGGGAGTAAAACATGCAGATGTATATTTTGCATGCGGATATGCTGAAACGTTCAAAAATGATGTTTTTACTCCGGTGTGAACATTAGGGACCTGGTTCCTATAGCATATTTTTGCATATTTCGGCATTTTATTTCATATTGGTATTCTTGCTTTTAAGAGGGGATATTCTTGCTTTTCGATATTTTTAAGATTTGTCAGTGGGTAATCGAGTATTCTTAGTTAAATATATATTCAAATTTTGTTTATTTTAAATTTAAGACCCGACAATTTTGAAAGATCAGTTTATTCTCTATCGATCAGTCTGTTATTTTATAAGTTAAAATAGGTTTTGAAAAAGCTTTACTTCCACCAAATCCTACGACATCTCCTTGATCTCACTTAATCACCCTTAATTATATCCAAAACACAGGATTGAATTATTCATAAATATTCCCTTCAACCCCTCCGATATCCCCGCATCCTTCCTAATCTCATTAAAATATTGGGACTGAACCAAGTATATACGAGAGGGACCGAAGTAGTTTCTCGATTCCGGCTTAATTTACCAGGACCGTATTAATTAAATTAAAAAAATAATTAATATTTATTAAAAAATAAATATTAATAAGGAAATAAAATTAATAAATGAACATATATTTAGTCGAAAAAGATAAAAAACTAATAATTTAGTGCTTAAATAAAAATCACTCACGTCTTGCGAGCGATTCGCTCGCGTCTTAATATAATAAATAATTTTATTTTATATTTTAGGTAGCCGTAGAAATTTTTGATTTAAAAAATGTAATTGACACGTACACTAATAAAAAATTTTGAAGAAAAAAATTTTTGATAACAAAAAAATTAATGAGGAAATAAAATTAATAAATTAATTTATTAAAATAAAATTTATTTTAAATTACCTGAATAAACGAGGCAGTGGCTAGTAGGGCGCGTGGGTGTTAGGGCGTGGGCTTAAAATATTTTAAATTAATTAGTTAAAAATATAAAAATTTTGTAAAGAAAACCCTCTAATATTTTTTAAATTATAGCCAAAAATGGCGTTTTACCAAAAAATGCCTACTTTTTTAAGGTTTATCGACTATACCTCAAAAGGCTTTTGATCGGAAATTCTGAAATTTTGAGGGGGTTAGTCAAAAATGTTAAAGAAATTTGAGGAAATTTTCAGAAATTTAGTCTGACCACCCCAAACTTTTTTATATTTTAGAATTTCCACGCCGTAATTTTAATATTCCAATTAAATTTAATATATCCACCAACACTTTATAATATTCAATAAAATTTAAAAAAAGGACTTCTTTTAATTTTATTTTAAGAATTTCTAAATTTAAAAATTTGCGTCAATAATTATTTAAATAGCTTTAAATTAAAAAGAGAATCCACGTTTTCAGACATAATTGTTTTAAAATTTTTTAAATATATAAATTTTTCTTAATATAATTTTATTTTATTTTATAGAAAATATTCTTTACCCTTTCCTTTTTTGATTAAATTAAACATGTAGATTCAATTCCTGTTGAAGTTCTGTAAATGTTCAATCCTGTGCGACTCAATTCTTTCGAGTCGGATTGTTATTTAGTATCCCTAATAATTTTGGTTGGAATCCCAATCACAACGAGATCTAGTATACTAAATGTATATGCTAGTTGCTGTCCATAATCAGGGAATAACTAAAAAGCCGCTATCTGGAATGCTGGATGTGACTTCGAGAATTAGATACGGAGTTGGTTTTGGACAGAGCTGAAATCGGAGTCAAGATTTGTAATTGTCATTAGAACAAAGCCATAAAAACCCGTACCGCCCACTAACCCTCTGACATGTAATGAACCTCGGCAGTATTGGGCAGCTTCTGTCCAGATATCTTCAAAGAAAAGATATAAGTGAAACTAATCCCCGGATCCACTTAAGGCTTAAATCATTCCTTGTTTCAATTCTTTATCATTTAAATACCTACCCCTCTTTCTACCGTAATCCCTTTATTTTTTATATATTTGTAGATGTTGTTTAAAAAACTTGGTCCTTTATCTTTCCTTTTTATTATCTTAAAATGTTTAAACACGGCTTCCGCCCAATCCCCCCAAATTTGCGATAAAGCACCTGACGATGCAATAAAAAATGCTTGTAAAAATATGGCTAATGTAATGGTTAATGTTTCCAATTTTGTTGCTGAAAATCCACGTAAGTTAAAATTTTATTAATTTTATAATTTTTTAAATAATTTTTATTGAAAATTAATCCATTTTTTAGTAACGAAAGGAATGACTCAAGATAGTGCTAGCGATAGGCCTGAACTTAAATGCTTGAATCAAAGTTGTGTTTGTCCTTATTATGGAGGTAATTTTAATTTTTATTTATGTTGATTTTTATCTACATTCTGAAATTTGAAAGATAACCGTAAGAAAATTTTTCAAAAAATTAATTTTAGGCAAAACTGATGGTTCTGTCAATGGTTGTACCCTTCCAAACGGTCAAAAAGTTCAAAAAGCACTTCGTAAAGAAATAAGAATGATATCGGATGAAGAAAGAAATGAACTTGTAAATTATAATTTGAAAATAATTATTTAATTAAAAAAATATTTTTAAAGTTTAAAGCAATTAAAGACATGAAAGATACTTCAGATTATGATTATATAGCTGCAATACACAAACTTGCCTATGAACAAGGGGGTGCTCACATGGGAGCCGCATTCTTTTCTTGGCACAATGAATATTGTAAAAGGTATGAGAATTGACATTTTGAAATTTTAAAAATTAAAAATTAAAAAAAGATATGAAATCTTGATTCGTAAAAGAAATCCTTCACTTGCTTTACACTATTTGGACTCTACACTGGATAGTCCTTTACCGACTCCAGCAGATTCTGTTCTTTTTACTGATGAGGTAAATTAACTGAGATAAATTAATTGAAGGGAAGAAGGGAACATGTATTGTAGGGGTAAAGGAGAAATAGAAAAAAAACAAGGAAAGTCTGTAGATCATTTTTTTCTTTCCCCTAAGTATCATCGGGTTATAATCATTTTAATCGAGAATCAAGCTTGCAAGTAATTGTATGTACCGTATATGCTCGAATAATTACCCTGGGTAATTATTGTTTCAACTTCTCGCTAGACGGGGTAATTATTTGAGAGGGGGTAATTATTCGAGCTTTTTTTAAACAGGCTAATTATAACTATTTTTAGGAGGGGTAATTATTTTTTCAACCTCTCGCTACATGGGGTAATTAATTGAGAGGGGGCAATTATTTGAGAGAGGGTAATTATTCGAGCATATACGGTATATTATTTATAGTTTTTTGGCACAACAAACGAGCAAAATTATGTAACTACTGGACCCTTTGCACCTTGGGAAACTCTCGAGGTAATAAGATTCTTTTTTAACAAAACGTAAACATTTTAATTTTAGGGCAACCCTTATATTACAAGACAAGTTGGGGATGGTGGTAGATTTCTTAAGGATGACGAGTAATTTTATTCTATTTTTATTATTTCATTTAAAATAATGCCTCCTCTAAAAATATTTTTCAGCCATTATTTTAGAAGAAATACTGTAATAATTTTGGGGCTAACCCGCAAGATCGAATCCCTTGAAGACAAGTTATCTAGTGAACAGATCTCTGTGATTATCTGCCCCTATAGATCAATTCCAAAATTTTGGCCTAAAAAAGACTAAAAATCTATTAATTACCCACTCTGTTAATTACACTTAGAGACCGGATCGATACGATATATCGATGGAAAATATCGATATCGATATTATCGATTATCGATATCGATATTATCGAACGAAAATTTTTTTGATTTTTTCGATATTTTTCGATAATCGATATTTTTCGATATCGATATCGATATTATCGAACGAAAAATTTTTCATATGATACCGATATATCGAACGATAAATTGTTCGATATTTTTCGATATTACCTAATTTCTTTTAAATTTTAATATATTGGCATAAAGTTTTATTTCTCTTTTACATTAAATAGTAGTAACCGGCTCCAAACCGGACTCCGGCCGGTTTTCCGGACTTCCCCTGTCATTGGTACAACTTCCCCTGTCATTGGTACAACTTCCCTCGTCATTGGTACAACTTCCCTCGTCATTGGTACAACTTTCCCCGTCCGGAAAAAATATCGAAAAATATCGATGTTAAAAAACCGATATTTTTCGATAATCGATATTTTTCGATATCGATATCGATATTATCGAACGAAAAATTTTTTGATTTTTTCGATATTTTTCGATAATCGATATTTTTCGATATCGATATTATCGAACGATCACTCGAGTCCGGTCTCTAATTACACTCGCTCTATTAATGCCCTCTCCAGCGAGGTTGAAATAATAATTGCCCGGGGTACTTATTAGAGCATATACATTTTTATAATTAATGAAAAAAAAACGAGATATTTGGGGGATTTGAAAGTCTGAGGATTTCGAGGAATAAATTGGATTAAAAGGGTGTTGGCTGGAAAAAGGATGTCGACCCCCTAGTCTAAAGTATCGGAGATTTTCTAAAATAAATCTCACAAACTTCTTCAAACCTTTACCTGTCGATCTGTACATCCAAGCAGAATTACAAAAAAGTGTCGGAACAACTTAGAGCAAATTTAAAAGCTAGAAATGATTTAAAAATTTTTTAGCATTCAATGGACACTATCTCAAACAAAAATTGAAAATGTAATGGCTTATTCAGAGCCAAGTGCTAAATGCTCTTATGAAATAGATTTTAAATGGATTGAAGTAAAATAAGTTTAAAAAATTTTATTTTTATTTTTCGCCATTTAAAGTACCCTCATGGAGCTTTTCACGATTGTATTGGCGGTGATATGCAGACAGTCTTCCCAAATAAGGCAGCAAATGATATAATATTCTTTTTCTTCCATTGTCATATAAATAAAGTAAAAATTAAAAAAAAAACTTTTATCGGTCCTTTTTCCTCTTATACCTATATTTTTTTAGATTTTTGTAGATTGGCGTCTAACTAGACAAACCCGTTCCCAACGGGAAAATGTTTATCCAGCCGATCTTGCTGTAAGTTTAAAAACTATTTAATTATTTAAAAATTTGATTTTAGGATTGTGAAAACCCCGCACACTTTAGAAATGCGACGATGTCACAATTTGCTGTAAATTAAATTTAAAAAAAAATTTTTTTTTATTTTATTATTTAAGCCGTTTAAAAATATCGATGGACTTAAAAATGATTATACTGACAATATGTACGAATACGTAGATAAACCTAATTGTACTGCTACTACAGACTGTGGCTCTAGGTAGGGAATTTTAACGGATATTCTCTATAGACTATTTATTATATGTATTTCCTGAGGATTACTGTCTTTGATTCCCTACAGACTACCTCCATGGTTCCACACAGCTACCTCCTTAATTCCCTACAGATTACCCTTTCTCTTAAGTATAATGAGAATCCTTTTTTAAACTATTTTTAAACTAGATTTTTGTTCTGTGATCGTTCTACTGATGCTCCTCGTTGTCTTTCGAAGGTCCGTCCTGGCGGAAATTGCAAAGGTTTCCCTAACGGTGAGTTTAAAAATTAATATTTAATTTTTATGATTTTTTGCTATCTTTTTTTATTTCTTTAAAATTTAGCTGATATTTGCTACAATAGCACGTGTGTTAATGATGTTTGTGTAGTGTTATCGGTTTGTTTAAAGTTTATATTTTTGGAAAAATGAGAGTTTACAGACAAAAGCAGCTACAATAACAGCAACTTCTACAGTGAAAATGACTGAGAAACCATCCACTTTAACACCTAAAATTACAGAGGTGCCAACTACTAAAGCAGCAAGGTTGACAGAGAAACCAACTACAACAACTCCGAAAGTTACGGAGGAACCAAGCTCTACAGTGAGGTTGACAGAAAAGCCGATTACTACGACTCGAATGGTGGCAGAGAACCCAACTACTACTACGCCAAAAACGATGGAGGAAACCACAACACCCAAAAAACAAACTCCAAGCACTCAACCTTCAACAAAAAAGATTCAAGAGAAACCAACCACAACTGTAAAAACACCAGAAATTAAAACCACAACGAAAAAGTTGCCTATGACTACAATTGAGATTGTAGAATTTACGACAGAATCTATAACAACGGAAGCAGCCACAACAACAGAATCAATTAAGGAGTCCACCACAACTGAAGAACCTTTAGAAGAAACAACTATAACATCGTTAACTCCCGAGGAGGAAACGACACCAGAACTGATAGAAACTACTACAAATGAGATTCCAGAAGAAACTACAACAATGATTACAACAATAAGACCGACAAAACCTCAAAAGAAGCTCACAACTATAATAACAACCAAATTACTAACCAAAACAACAACCAAAAAGCCCAAAACGTCAAAAACCAAAAAACCAAAGAAAGACAAAAAACATAAGAAACATCACACAACAGAACAATTAACTTCTACACCTATAGCAAAAACAACGAAAATAACCAAACCGCCAACAACGATTAAACCAACAAAGCCAACTTCAATTGTCGAAAAAATAACAACTAAAATTATCGGGACCACAAAAAAATCGGAAAAAACTACAAAGAAACCTAAAAAAGGAAAAAAGAAATGTAAATGTAAAAAGCAAAATCCTCCAAAAAATACAAAAGATAATAAGAAAAGCAGTGAAGAAAAAAAGAATGTTAAAAATTGATGGAAATGAGTGATAATTTGTACAAAACTTGTGATAAAGCAGTTAAATTATAACTAATAAATCCGAAAGAATAAATTTTGTAAAGTTAATATCTTGATGTTTAATTATTTACTATTTGGATTTATTCAGAAATTATAAAATAAATTTTTAATATGTACTAAATATTCAATACAAATGAATAAATATTTAAATAATGCAATAATAATCTTTATTTTTTACAATTACTTCCATCGAAAGTGAATACTAATACATAACAGATTTGGTAAGGGACATGGATTTTGGTATCCGGATATTTACTGCGGATACAGAGGATATCCGCAGGTATTTTTAACTTATCTGTATCAATATCTGTATCCATTACCAAGCCTGACTAATATTACTCCTATAATGTTTCATTTCAATTTGCACTGTATCTTCAGACTGCCTCATCTTTTTATGTTCTTTACACTCATCACATATCTTCTCTTCAGAATACCTCGACTTTCATACCTTTTATAAATTTTTAATACTATTTTTTATTCTCAAGATACAGTATTTGAGGCACACTTTATACTAGAGTCCGGGCAGTAGGGGGCGATCAACATTCGATATATATAAAAAAATATCGAAAGAAAAATAAAGAAAAAAAGGCTAGATATTCTTCGATTTTTTAAAATAAAAATTTTTATAACCAATGCATGACAAAATAGTGCCAATAGTCCATTGAGATTAAGATTGAGTAAATGGGGTATTTGTGGATTTCGGCGGATTAAATGGATCACCCAAAATCCCTCTTAGTCCACCGAAATCACTCTTAATCCATTTAAACACTCCTAATCCACCGTTATCCTCTTAATCCACCGAAATAATCCATATTAGTCCATATTAAACCCTCCTAACCATATTAGTCCATATCTTAATCCATATTCGTGTTTGGAGGGATATTGAGGGAATCCCATGTCTCTTTTATCTCTTTTAAATCTCATCAATTTTATTGATAACACTTTTATCTTCTTCAAATGCAAAGATAACACAGTGGATTTTAAGTGTCGCTTTTTGAGCGTCGGCAAAATTTTCGTAAGCCGACTTTCTTCATTTTTGCGGACCGGATACACATCTCGCTCTCATCTTCCGTTTACTTCGGCAAACCCAATCGTGAATATATGTTGAAGTATCCCTTTCTTCATTATTGCGCCGCAGGAAGAAATTTTTTGAATTTCCTATGGCCAGAAAGCCTGAATTCGGCTTTTTTGGCGCCAAAAATTCAATTTTTGATAATAATAACTAAGGGTCGGATTTTCAGGTTGTAAAAATCTTAAAATTGGTACCTAAATAGGTTGCAAAAAATTCTAAAATACGTGACAAAAATAGTGAAATAGATTGTAATAAAGTCAACTGGGAGATAAATAAGGCATAAATTGAAATATTTTCTATTTTCCGTTCAAAAATCTTATTATAAAACTACAGTGATTGATCCCTGTTCGGGATCTATCACTTCCATTCTTGAAGGCCGAAAGAAGAAAAACTACTAGTTAAGAGTTCTGAACACGTAAACTGCTAAAAATCCAAATCCATCTTTGAAAACTAACCATCAACTTTATGGGACCACGAAATTCGTACTCGACTTTGGCTGAGTTCGAAAAAAACTTGTTATTAATGCGATATGCGAGACCATAAATTTAGGGGTGGAAAATAGGAATTATCCATAAAATTTTATTTTATAAACTAAATATCACGCGAACAAAATTGTTTTTATCACATTTAGTCGACTGGGTGCTCCATTCCGACACTTTAATTTCCGTCATCTCTGGTCCCGGATTTGTCTTTTTCTAAAAATAAAATTTAAAAAATTTTTTTTAATTTTAAATTTTATTTAAATGCCAACACATTTATTTTATTTAAAATTTTTTATTAAAATTTTATTTTATTTAAACAGTGTTTAAAAGACGTCAATCTCTTCAATGAAAAGATTTTTTAAAATAATTTAAATAATTTTTAAAATAGAATTTAATAATAATTTTATTCATTTTTATATTTTTAAAATTTTTTTCTTAATTGAAATTTTTTATGCCGAATTAAACTTGAATTCATTGGATGGAAGAAGAAAAACCGAGGGGCTCTTGTATACATTATTTTGGAGTCCAGACTGGATATATTTATTAATTCTCTGATTTTTCTGGATTTAATAACGAGATTAATGCCTTTTCAGAATTTCTGGAATTTTTTTTCTTGACTTTAGGCCCAAAATCTGATGTAATTCCAGGATAAAGATTAAAGTTTTTTTCTTACAGTTTTGTCAACATATTAATTAAAATAATTCTCAAACTTTCAGAATATTTGTTTTTAAACATGTCAAAATATTTATTTTTTACTATAATATTAATTGTCACTACTTCAATAAATAATGCCTTTATTTTCAAAACTGATTGCAGTAAAGCACCTCCAGAAATGCAAGCAACTTGTAGAGGTATGCAAAATTCAATGCTTATGTCGATGGATAAAATGGTTTGGAAAAATGTTTTTGAAAAAAAATTTTAATTGTTATTTAGGCAGCTGATCAGCCACCTGTGCCCGTTACACAGGAACCTGTAAATGAGCCTTCAACACAAAAAGAAATGGTATGAATTGAGGAACTAGGAGGAGCCCCTCTAGAACACAGAATATTCATTTCCAACTCTCCTTTCCCGTTTCTCATTTCTTTAACTTTATTCCTTCAAAAATTTCAGCTTTAGATATTATTTTTAGGCAGCTGAACAGCCACCTGTACCAAATACTCAGGAACCTGTAAATGAACATTCAACACCAAAAGAAATGGTATGAGAAGGGAAAAAATACTTCCCACATAAGAGATCCCAAAGCTAGATAAAGCACGAAAAAATTCGGCATAATAATTTTTCTTGTGTGGATAATGAATAAGCACTTTTGAAGGGAGATCTAGCTGGCTAGCAAATAACTTATTAGGCAATTCCCTCAAATACCTTTCCCTATCTTATCAAAAGTGAATTGGGTGATTGTAAAGGGAATATTAAACTGCAATATATGTTTAATAATTTAAGGATTATCCAACAACAAAAGCTCCATGTCACGAGGAATGCAAGGATGAGGATTGTGAATAGGTACATATTCTGATTAATGAAGAAAAGGATTAAAGGAGCAAATCAAAATATTAAATAAACAAGAAATATGTATTAGTGATGTTCGGGAGAAGAAAAAACTCGGGAATCGGGAAACGGGAGTCGGGTCGGGAAATGACCTCGGGAGTCGGGATCGGGAGTCGGGAATTTACAATAAAAAAATTTTTGGCGCCTTCGGCGCCAAAAAATTCCGGTTTTTTGCATTGCAAGGGAAAATTATGAGAATTTTGGAAGGTCAAGAGGCCAGACATCTTCCTTATTAGCGCCGCAGGCGAAATTTTTGAGAATTTTTGAAGGCCAAGCTGTAAAATTTCTTCCATTTTCAACGCCGGGGGCGAAAATTTTGAGAATTGGAAAGACAAGGAGCTAGATTCATCCTTTTTCTGCGCCGAAGGCAAAAATTTTGAGAATTTTGCAAGGCTAAGAGCTCTGATATTCTTTATTTTCTGCGCTGCAAGCAAAATTTAGAAAAATTTGTAATGATTTCTTCGATTTTCTGCGCCGCAGGCGAAAATTTTTGAAAATTCATGACTAAATTAATTTTTCTACAGTTTTTTGACGTTTATAATATAGAAAAAAATAATTGTAAAATTTTAATATCAAAATAAATGTTAAAAACCATTTATTTTTGGAAGGAAAAATTATTTAAATAAAATACTACAAACCCGGATTCGAACCCAGACCAATCAAAGTAACTTAGGTCACTCAACCAGTGCTTCGAAATTTCAAATTTGCTCGTACTCGTACTCGTACTTCGTACCACCTCTTTTTTTGGCCTCGTACTCGTACCTCGTACCACCCCCATTTTTTTGCTCGTACTCGTACTCGTACCTCGTACCACCCCTATTTTTGGCCTCGTACCTCGTACTCGTACCTCGTACTTACTCGTACTTGAGGTAAAAGCAAAAAATCGAAAATTTTAATGATTTTTTTGAGCCCAGGGCATCTAGTTTTAAATTTTAAGCGTTGTATGTGATAATTTTTGAATCTTGGAAGGCCTTGAAGTTATAAATCCTCCAATTTCTTCTATTTTTGCGCCGCAGGCGAAATTTTTGAGCATTTTAGAGTGCAAGGAGAAATATTTCCTCCAAGATGAGTCGTGCTACCCGAGATCCTACATTTTTTCATCCGGTTTTCATCTTCTTACATGGAACTTTTTATCTTTTCCACTGAACTTTTCACATTTTAATCTCCTTATATCCCTCTTACTCTCAAATCCTTTTTTTCAAAAATTTTGAGAATTTTGGATGTCCTTAAGTCAGATTTCTTCTATTTTTGCGCCGCAGGCGAAAATTTTGAAAAATTTTGAAGGCCATGAAGCCAGATTTCTTTCATTTTTCACCGCCGAAGGCGAAAATTTTAGAATTTGGAAGCCAATAACCACCTTTCTTATTTTTTTCAGCGCCGCAGGCGAAAATTTTGAAAATATCCGAAGGCCGTAGTGAAAAAATTCACTTTTAGTGTTCAAAGAAAAATTTTTTAAAGAATTTTAAATGGTCAAATCTCATAATTAATCCAAGTAAAAATACAATAATTTAAAAAAAAAAATTAAAATTATAAATAAGTTATTTATGAAGAGAAAAAGATTAAAAATCCTTTGCCAGTGAATAGGAAACGAACCCAATATTAAATCATTATAGACTTTGGTGCAGCCAAACACCTTCACCACTCGGCTACTCGCTCATATAAGGACTATTGAATAAAATTAAACATATTTTTTCAATTTTCCTATTAACACCAAGTACGAGAAGTACGAGCTCGTACTTAGGCCTCGTACTCGTACTTTTCACTTTTTTTTGGCCTCGTACTCGTACTCGTACTTCGTACCTGCCCAATTTTTTTGCTCGTACTCGTACTCGTACTTCGTACCAGGTACGAGTACGAGTACGAGGTACGAGTACGAATTTTGGTACGAGCTTCGAAGCACTGCACTCAACTTAACCACTCGACCACCTCTCAACAATAGTTGTCAGGGAAAAAATTTAAATATTTTATTTTCACTTTTTTTATTTTTTCTCTTTATTTTTTCCCTTCAAAAATAAAATTTTATCAGAAAAAGCCATTCTTAGGGGTGTAAAAATTTCCCGACTTAGTCGGGAATTGCCATCGGGAGTCGGGGTCGGGATCGGGAGGCCAAAAACTCGGGAAATTTCCCAAGTCGGGTGTCGGGAGTCGGGATACCCGAACATCACTAATATGTATGTAACTGCTTAAATTATAATTAAAAATTAAATTTTGCAATATTGGATAAATATTTTGATAAAAAAAATTTTTTGTATTTTTTGTACTTTATTTACATAATGCAATTTAAAGCACTAATTTGTAAGTTCTAATTTTAAAAGGCATAGTATGTCATATGCCAAATAATATTAAAATAAATACACGTGGCTAAATAGGCCTCTTAAATCGGAAATCAGAGTAAATTTTCGGAAATTGGAAGGAATTCTTACCGATCACAGGTTAGGCGTTCAAAGAATCACGCATTCCATACGAATACCTCTTAAGTTCCCTTCGACCTACATCCTATGTATCCCTCAGACAATCCCCCCCCCCCTATTTTCTAAAAATATTATAAATTTATTGCTTGTTTGAATTCTAAAGAAATCTTCTGAAATTATTTTTTATTTGTTTTATTTAATTAAAAATTCTCTCCAACCTTTTACAATACATCAAAAATAAAAATATACCTACCTATTTACACATTAATAAAATTTATTTAGGTACAACAAAATACATATATGTACAATAAAGACTTTTTAGAGACATTAATAAATATGCACAAATACAAAAAGTAAACGTGTAAAAAAACGGGTTAAAGATTTTATTTTAGCTCAAAAAAAATTATTTTTATTGTTTTCCTTTAAAAAATTTTTAAGATTTTTTACGCGCCCTTTGTCGTAAATTTTTTGTCGATTTTTATTTTATAATTAAATTTTCGTGAACAAATTCTCTATAAAATCAAAAATTTATTTGCCAAGAATATTTGGATTAATAATTAAATAAAAATTTTCTTTGGGACATTTTTGGGTGGTTAATTTTTGTTTTTGGAGTAATCCACAGTCTTCCATTTCCTTGTCAAGCTGTGGGTTTTGTTGTAGAGTGTTGAGTCTTGAATTTGGGAAAATTCTTGGTCTTGGACATCTTACTCTAACCAAGGATGTGGCATGCCATATTTACTCGATTGTAAAATTAAAATCGCCTTTTTTGTTCTTCAATTAAGTTATAATATATTAAAAAATGGATTATATTTTATATTTAGTTAAATAATGACAATTTTTAAATGTTATTTATTCACTATGTTTGGCATAAATTTTATAATAAATAATGCATTATGTCAACAAAAATATGACTGTAATAAAGAGCCTACTTTTGGATTAAGGGCTTTATGTAAAAAGACTATAGATGCTTTAATTTTTGCTGAGAATGCTGAGGTTCTTAAAAATTGAATGTTTTTCTAATTTTTAAAAATATCTTCTAGAAATTGGACCCTAAATGTGAGTTTTGATTTTTTTAATTTTGGAAGGGAAATTGACGGAAGGAAATAAATGCGAGAATTAAGGAATATCTACATAGAGAAATACTTGCAAAATAAAAGTAATACCTCTAATTAAAAAGCTGGACATGTCTCCAGCCTTGAACCCTTGTCATAATAGCGAATTTTTTCTCTCTCTTAATCCTTCCATATTTCTCTATGTAGATATCCCTCAATTCTCGCCTTTCTAATCTCCCTCTTTTCCCGACAAGGGAGAGTGATTCGGAGCAAATTCAGTCACTGGGAAGGGCTAGGCATTTTTATTAATCGTCTGACCCGTTTTGACCGTGAATCTATTATGGGCCACAAGAAATGCTAGTTTTAGAACCAGAGGCTTAATTATAAATTTAACGTTTTTTAAGATTCTCCGAATAATACGGAAGGTATTGCCCCATCTAGAAGGGAATTGGAGTGTATAAGTCAAAGCTGTGTTTGCCCTTATTATGGAGGTACCTTTATTTAAATTATTTAATTTATAGTTTTGGAATTTAATTCTATGAGTCTATCGTTTCTAAAGTTGCCATTTTTTTAATTTCCCAAAACTATGTTTAGGCAAAACTAATGGTTCTATTAATGATTGTACTCTTAGAAATGGACAAAAAGTTCAAAAAGCACTTCGTAAAGAAATTAGAATGTTAACGGATGAAGAAAGAAATGCTTTTGTAAATTTTACCTATAAAATTAATTGTATTAAAAATTATTTTTAAAGTTTAATGCAATTAGAGATATGAAAATAAGAGGAGATTATGATTATATAGCTTTAATACATAGATTAGCCTTTGTAAACGGAGGAGCTCACAATGGACCTGCTTTTTTCCTTTGGCATAGGGAATATCTTAAAAGGTGATAAATGATATTTAAATAGAAAATCTAAAGCCCTGGGTAACCCAAAACCCTATGTGTGGATGAAAAATGGCAAGTAGTCCTAAGAGAACACTGAGATAGTCTATAAGGAACATAGGGGGAAGTCTGTAAATGATTTCAGAAATAATCTTAGGTAACATTGGAGCTGAAAGGAACATAAAGTTAACAAGAAGTATGATATTTACTTTAAAAATTAATAAAGGTTTGAGATTTTGCTTCGAAAGTATAACCCAACACTTGGGTTACCCTATTGGGACTCTACTTTGGATGGCCGATTGCCAAATCCTGCAGATTCCATTCTTTTTACTAAAGAGTTTATTGGAACAACAAATAACCAAGGCTATGTTGTCACTGGTCCATTTACTCCTTGGAGGACTATTGAGGTGATTTTGATTTTTTATTAATTTTAAAATCAATTTTAGGGAAATCCCTATATTACACGTAATGTTGGTAAAATTGGCAGACCCTTTACGGAATATGAGTGAGTAAACTGTTATTTATTCTCCGGAAATAAGAAGCACAAGCTGTTATAAATTCGCTTGAGATTGGGCATTTATTTGGAGATTATTAACCTAAATTTTCAAAATAGTCTGAAGGAATAAAAAGAAATAGTCTTTAGCCGAAGAATGTGTCTGAAATCGTAACTGGCTTAAATATCTAAATTTGAAAATTTTTTCTGAAACCTGAATGTCGACTAACCATTTCTGGTCTGAAGAGAATATAAGAGATAGTCCGAAAGGAACATAAAGTAGAAACTAGGAATTGTTTTGCCGGGAATATTCTGAAGAGATTATATTAGGTAATTTGAATGAATACGAACTAGTCTATGAGGGCATAGTATAACGTTGTCTGTAGGGAACAGTAACTAATCTGTATAGAGCATGTAGGAAATAACACATAAATAGGCTGAACATAGACTAGTGTTCGGCACTAAATCGATACTATACCGTTAAGATTTTGAAATTTTCGGCACTCTTCTCGTTACCGGAAAAGTATTTTGTCTAACACTGGTCTGAAAAATATTTTATGATTAAAATTTAAAGTAAAAATACTCTTTCAAGTGTTTACTGGACTCTTTCACAAACAAAATTGGAAAATGTACTTGCTTATACATCGGCAAGGCGGGCATGCCCTGTAAAAATCGAATGGGATGCTTTTGAAGTGATTCTACTTTTAATTTTTTGAATTTATTTTAATTTTTAAAAGTACCCTCATGGATTCCCTCACTTATTTATTGGCGGGGACATGGCTACATTTATCCCCAACAAACCTGCAAATGATCCTATATTTTTTATGCATCATTGTTTTGTTGATTCGGTTAATTTTTTTAATTTAAAGATAATTTTATTTAAGACGAATATAGTCTCACACATGAGTGTCGCTCGGAGCTACCTCCACTTCGATATACCTGCACCTTGTAAACATACCCAACTTTAGTTATGTTCCTAAAAAATAGCAGAATGATTACCCCACCTCGATTAATTATGCATACTCTCTAGTTGAAGCATTAATTACCCAGTTCTCCTCCTTGGCTAATGGTTGGAAGGCCTTTCCCAATGATTTTTCCCAAAATAAACAAAAAAACAACGATTTATAACATCACGAAACGTATGTATAAATGGTTCTTAGGGATTCTTAGTGTTTCAGCCCTGTAACTCAGCCGTGTTTCAAATACAAATCAACTTTTTTTAGGTTTTTGAATATTGGAGAGAAATAACCCAAAACAGAAGGCAACGAGCTAATGACTATCCAGCCGATATTCCTGTAAAATTTAAATTTAATAAATAAATAAATTTTAATTATTTGAGGCTTGCGAGTTGAAGAAGCATTTTAAATTTGCAAATATGACACAATTTGCTGTAAAAAATTTTTTTTTAAATTTTCAATTAATTTTTGAAAATTAAAAAAAAACTTGTAGCCCTTACAAAATTGGGATGGACTTAGAAATGAATATACCGACAATATGTTTAAATTTCACCATAGACCTACTTGTAGTTTCAAGACAGAATGTGGATCAAAGTAGGGGATTTATCAAATTATTAATCAAATTTAACTGGTTAAAAGGATGGCTCCATTTAATTTTTTGGGGAAAGTTTGGGGGTCTTTGTTTTATCGTGTGAAGGTGTCACCTCCCTCTTCCTCCCACTAATCTCCACGTCCTTGTTAATCTCCACGTTGTCTCCTCCCACTCCCCTCCCCCTTGAGCGCAGCCTCCTAAACAAAAAATTTTCCTCGGGGTTACTCCTCTTAAGGCCTCCTACCCTTTCTGATTCCTCGCCTTCCCCTTCCCCAACCCTCCTCCCTAATATCTATTATTTTAAATAATGACAAAAATAATTATTTTTTATTTCAGATATTTATTTTGTGACCGTTCCCACACCTATCCATTGTGTACATCTAAAGTCCGTCAAGGCGGAAACTGTACAGGCTTTACGAATGGTTAGTGCTTTCTCGGAAAATTTTTAATTTTTATTTATAGGGGAAGATCCTTGTCTGAACAGTTATTGTGTAAATGGTTCTTGTATTCGGTATCACGACTTTTGCGCCGAGAACATTTGCGCCGCGACTTATGCGCCGCGACTTTTGCGCCTGGCGACTTTTGCGCCGCGACTTTTGCGCCGGGACTTCTGCGCCTGGCGACTTATGCGCCGCGACATTTGCGCCGCCATTATTTTAAAAAAAAATAAAATAATAACTACAATCGGATTACCCCTTGGGTTTAAAAAATTATCCAGGAAATGAAGGAAGTTCAGGAAGTACAATAGGGGTCCGGTAGCTGATGAATTAGGTCTGGGTCATAAAAGTAGTATGCACTATAGTGTAGGGTTGTCGGATCCGGATATCCGAAGATTTCCAATTATCCGACAACCTACTATAGTGAGGTCTGGCTGCAGTTATTCACATATTTTTAATAATTGTGGCGGCGCAAAAGTCGCCCGGCGCAAAAGTCGCGGCGCAAAAGTCCCACGGCGCAAAAGTCGCTCGGCGCATAAGTCGCGGCGCAAAAGTCGCGGCGCAAGAGTCGCGGCGCAAATGTTCTCGGCGCAAAAGTCACGGAACCTTGTATTCTACAATGAGCTAGAAGGAATTTTGATATTTTTCGGTACTTTATTGATATGACGCCCCCTATTTTGAGTCTCAGATTTCCCTTATGATGTGCAGAATGGTCAGACTTTCTTACTTCCTCAATTTTCCTGTGGCATATTCAAATGTTAGACATTGAAAAAACAAATATTATTTTTTGCAATCATTTATTCATTAACCTGTTCAAAATAGGGAGCGGCATATCCATAAAATACCTACATATTTCTCTAACCTCATTTAAAAAAATTTTTTTTCATATTATTAAATTAGAAAAAAAGAATTGGTCCAGAAACATCGTATCTTAGTATAATGAGAGTATCTTAAATAGAGGTGCATCGCCTTCTATTTATGATACGCCTCATTATAAGTTACAATTTTCGTCCTCAGGGCGTATTTTATGAGTCCTGTTTATTAATAAAGTGCAATTATATTTTAGATAAAATCAATTTTACATGTATTTTTTAAAAATGTCGGTGTCTTTGTAAATTATGAAATTTAAATAAAAAAAGGGTAGGGAAAGAGGCTAGACATTAGACTTTATTTTTAGCGTTAATCAAAAAATTTTTTTTCAAATAAAAAAGGGCATTCTAAAAAAAGTCGCTTAAAATTGTTATAATTTTATTTTTACACTCCTCAATGTTTAACAACATTTCCCCCTCCTCCAACCCCTTCTAAAAATCCCGAAAATTTTAATTAAAATCTTGGGACTAACAATAAGTTTTGTTATCATGAAATGTTTTGTATTGGACAGCTCTTCGTGAAGAGGGGGGGATATTCTTTATTTCAAAATTTTAGATCTATGTGGCATTAATTGATTAACTCTAACTCTTATCCACCTCTCAATTCCCTTTTCTCTTAATCTTTCCCTCCATTCCCTTTCTTGACTAAATTTATTATAATTTGCCTTTTTTTATCTCTCCCTCCCTTCTCCTCCTCCTCCTCCTCTCCTCTTCACCCCCCCCCCCCCAATAAAATTTTCTTTTCTTAATTTACATTTTTATTTTTTTTTAATTTTATTTTAAATATCTTTGAGCGTTTGAATTTAAAAAAAATAAAAAAATATTTCTGTTTAAAAAGAGCATTTATCAATTTCAGTACCTCTTTTTATGTAAAATACAACCTACCCAATAAACTTCTAGGAAAGGAAGTTACCTAATCTAGAAGCATTTTGACACTTAACGGGGATTTAAACTTTGAAAATAAAATGAGAAAAAACAAAATTGTATTGTCGGACTAGATTAAATTTTATTCTTAGATATTTTTTATTTCCGAGTTTTACCAATGAGTTCCATCGCGATTCTTCAGACTTGCATTATCTGTAGCTGTTCGCGTCTCTATTCTAAAAGACAGTTCGTCTACAGTGCTTCCAAGCTCGTAACATAATTTGTACTTGTCCTCTTAATGAATTTCACTTGTTACAATGTGGGAAAGTACGAGTACTAGAAAATCTTAAATTTTGAGCCACAGTCTCCCAAGTTTGTGAAGCTTGTCAATTGGCTTGGGTTGGTGAACATACGTTTAGTAGAGAATTAGCAATGTTGTAAGCGATTACACCCCCAACTCTGCGCGAGCCCAACGTACTGACGTACTGCTAACTTCGCGCCCTGGTATAGTTCTATTGTCTATTCTTCTTTATATTCTCTCAATCTTTAATTTTAAATTAAATTTTAGGAAGAATGTTTCAATCATTTCTTCACAAAAATTTTCTTCTTTCCTTCATAATTTTGTCATTTTTGATAATTTATGTGAATGGAGGAAATGGAGATGGATCTTCTAAGCAACGTGAAACAAGTCCTAAAGAAGAGGGAAAAGCTGAAAAGGAAAAAAGTTCAAGTCCCCCAAAATCTGGAACAAAAAGAAAAATTGGTTGGGATACCATGTTTAAAGGTTTGGGCAAAAATAAAGGTGCGAGTTCAGTATTCGGTGAAATTACAAACGTGCAACTAAAAAATGTATGGAGGGATGCTGCGAAACGATCACTTGTACAGGTATTAAAAAATTTTTATTGTAATGGCTACCTAGAGCGGGTCTTTAATTCATGGTCTGATATGGACAAAACATTGTCATTGATTCAGCTCGATGTCTGAGTCGAATGAGGGTAAAAACCAAGCGCGGGAGTCAAATATCGAGGGAGTATATCTCACCATGCATTAAAGACCCGCTTTAGGTAGATTTTCAAATTTTTTTAAAAACTTTATTTCGTCCCCAAATGTCGGGTCCCCAAAAGTCGGATCCCCAAAAGTTTAATCCCTAAATGTCGCGCCACGGGCTGTAGGGGGCCTTGGAAACTAGGCTAAATGGGCACGTAGTATTTAGGATGAATAGAACAGGAAAGTAAGCTTAAGAGAACACAGGAGGTAAGCTGTACAAAACAATCAACTAATTTTAAAAATCTAACATTGAATTTTCAGGAAGAAGAAAATTTGAAAAATACAGTAAACGAAGCTTTCGAACTTTTTAATCAACATGATTGTTTGAAATTGGTTGAAGAAATGTCAAAATCTCAAAAGGAGCGAGTTAAAGATTCTTTTATTGAAAATAGGCCTGTTGATCTTGCTTCACCAGCTTCCTCTTCTCCTCATTCGATTCCTTCCACTCGACCTCAAAGTTCTTCCTCCCACTCTTCTCATCCTCCAACTTCTCCTAAACCTCTTCCAAGTCCTCCTCACTCTTCTAATCCTCCAACTTCTCCTAAACCTCTTCCAAGTTCTCCTCACTCCTCTCATCCTCCAACTTCTCCTAAACCTCTTCCAAGTCCTCCTCACTCTTCTCATCCTCCAACTTCTCTTAAACACCTTCCAAGTCCTCTTCACTCTTCTGATCACAAAACATCGCCTCATAGTGTTGCTTCTCCTCTTGCTTTACCTGAAGCTGATGTAGAACAAGAAAAGGGATTGGACATGCCTGATGAGATACGTGCCGTTATTAATGAGATAACGTGGAAAAATCATGTAAGTGAAAATTCTTTTTTAATAATCGACCAACAGAATCAAAGTTGATAAGGAAATCCCCGGATATCCGACCGATGTTTGAACAGAAAATTTCCGGATATTTTAACTTTTATCGATCCTGATACCCGTATCCGCTAACTCTGCCAGTCCCACATCTTTTCCCATTTGTAATTCCTAAGGTAGGTGGTGGCTCAACACTTCGAGTTTACTACATATACTTTAACTGGGGTGAATTATGCATGGCTGTCCTCAATTAATTTCTCAAGTGCACAAACAATTTACGCAACTCCTGAAAATTTCAGACAGCACTGCTTATGAAAATTGTTAAAATATTAAAACTCGAAATCTCGGACAAAAATCTCGATATTTTTTAAGATATCGCTCCCAATTCGCTCTCTATCTATGACCTTCAAGCTTGTCTACCATATGTATTTCTTTTAGCTTTACCCTTTAAGTTTACTAAATTTTAACAATTAAAGTATTTATCACCCGATTCTCCATTTAATCAATTTATCACCAAACCCCCTGAGAATGATCAAGACTTTCATTGCACAATATGTAAGCAAGACTCTAATGAGGAATTATCACAAGCTGATGATCAGTCAAAACAAATTGTTCAGTTAAAGACTTGTGAAGACAAATTTCATTTAGAATGCATTGCTCAACATTGGGGAAAAGGTAAAAAAGATTGCCCAAATTGTCGCCGTAAATTTGAAGTTAAACATGTTGAAGTTAAGGAGGAAGTTGTTGATGTTGAGGAAAGTTAAAGAATTGAGGCTAGTTATAATTTTTTATTTTAATTGGATTAAAATGCTGGAGATGTGGCTTCGGTAGCTAGCTTCGGAGCCGTCTTTGGCGGGGTGCCTGTGCGGGCTACAGAATAAAACATACCAAGCACTTCAGGGCGCTTTTGGTGTACTAGAGAGAAAAATTTACTCGATTATTTGTTACCCGTCCCTCTTTACCCGCAGGCAAACGGGCAAACCATCCCGCATTACCACAGGCAAACCATCCCTGCAGATAACATCCCAAATACATATAAACTAAAGGGATTTTCAGAATTTTTTTTTAATTTTTAATAAAAATCTTCGTTTTATAGGAGTGATACGTTGCAGATTTAAAGAAGAAAGTGTTTTTAATGGGTTATAAAAATATTTTAAATGGATTATTTAATTTTAACACTTTTAATTTTTTCGAAAATATGTAGTTTTGTAGTCCCCATTATAAGAAATTTTTTTCACTTGAATATTTAAAAAGACTAAAGGAAAATTGTACAGGCGCTAAGGCAAAAAGCTTTAAGTAAGTACCCCCCCCCCCCCCCATTTTAATTTTTACAACAGATCCATTTCCGTTTCTGAATTTTTGGGATCTAGAGACTTTCGAAAATCCCCATTCTAAATAATATTGTTCTAAATATTCTTTCTATAACTTGCCCCCTCCAATGCCCCTCCTGAGTTAAACTACCTAAGTTAACTCAGGAGGGGCATCGCTCTCTCTCTATAACGAGCGTGGGGTTCCCCGAAACCCGATCCAGAGAAAAGTTGGGAAACCAGACTTAACAAACACGTCTATGAAATAGAGGTTTAGCTGTCTTTAAGTCCTTGTTGAAATACCTTATATTTTCTAGTCGCTGTACAAGTTTTCGAGTTATCTAAAAATCCCCTTCATAAAATTATTTTTATTTATTAAATTTAGAATAAAAATATGTAGCCGTCTGTTTTCGTAATTTAATTTTTTTTAAATTAATTGCACTTTTGTTTAAAAAATTATTTTGTAATTAAAAAGCACTTTAATTCCCACACTTATTTTAAAATATTTTAAAGTGCAAATTTAACGGAAATAATGAGAAAAATATTTAAAATTAAAATAATATAAGTAATTTTCTCAGTCAAATACTTCCTTCTTTTTTTATTTTTAAATAATAAACTTTTATTCCTTTTATTCATTAATTTATTTTAAAAATATTTTTTAAAAATTTGGGATTAAATGTCCACAAAAGTTTTCGGATTTTAAATTACCTATATTCGAGAATTCACGATTAATTAATCCAAACCAGACACCGAATGTGAACTACTTTATGTAGTTAATTAATCAGAGTCGAAACAAGGGGGTCTGAGAGGGTATTATCAGTTAATAACTGGTAGTAAACGACAAGACTAGGTAATTTCTTTTGTCTTAACCACTATTTTGTTTTTTATCTGAAAGTTGCTTAAAAATTAATTTTTAAGTCCCAATTTGTTTTTTTTAACTTTTAAGAAAATTAAATTTTTAAAATGTTTATTTTATTAATTTTAATTATTCAAATTAATTTTATTTTTTGTCAAGACAACGAAGAAATACGTAATTGTATGTAATATTTTTTTAATTTTTTAATAACGGCAATTAAGTCGTTTTGTTTTTGATAAAAATCGGCATTGTTTCGAAGTTTTAAAAGCTAGACATTTATTGTGTGTTAACTAATGGCTATAGCTTTTTTCAGATTAATACAGAAAAATTTTTGGTAGTCAATTTCGGCATACCCTTTATGTTTATGTCTACTCAGAGATTTTGAAGGATATTAGGGGGATTTGGAGCAGATGGGCGAAGTTTTTCTATTTACCTTGAAGGGCAACAACGAAACGAGAAAAATAATTTAAGGGAAATAATTTTAATTATCACTTAAAACATTAGAAATCTTTCTCTATCCCCCTCTCCCTTCCCTCTAAAATCCCTATATATTCCCTAATATAACTCATGCCCCCTTAAATTTGCAGCACTTTTAACCAAAATAAACACACAAATAGAAATTCAAACCCAATTTATTTCAAATATCCAAACATTGGAAGACTTTCTTAGTGGAAATAAATTGGAAATAATTGAAGATAATCATCTCTTTCCTTTTTTTGTATTTTTAAAATTATCTAATCAAAATGAAAAATTGGCTGGGGAAAAACAAAAAATAATTATTGGATGTTGGGAGGTTTTAATGAAACAATCTAAACAATTTATTAATTTGTTAAAATGGGGAATTGTTGAGGAATTGGAAAATATTGCTGGAAGTAGTGATAACAAGCATCCTGAACCTCCTTATAATTTTTCTGAAGTTTTTGGTAATATTTTGATAATTTGAACCTAAGGGGTATACAAATTAGAAGTTTGTTGGTATTGAAGAGTAAAGTTGATTTTTATAATATTCCGCCTGTTTTTATTTTGCTAAACAGCAGAAATAATTATAATTATTTCATCATATGTAGTTATTCTATTAATTCCGCCTGTTTTTAATAAATAATAGCCATAAAAAAGGCGACATTATTAAATAAGAATTAATATTCCGCCTGTTTAAAAACAGAAAATTTAAATAAAACATTCCAAAAACATGCGGAATTAAATTATATATTATTTAAATTAAGATATCGACCAATTTGAAACTTGGTATTCAACAACAATAAAATGGGCAACTGAGGGAACAGAAAATTTTTCTGATGCTAATATTTTGGATTTTAATACAACAATTAAATTTGGAAATTATTTTAGAAAATTTTCGAAAGAAAGAAATGAACATTTGCAAAAATTGGTTGAAGAGGAGGATAAATGTATAAATTATTATAGACATTTAAAAATTAAATGTACAGAGAAGGAATTGGAAAAATTTGAAAATACTCGAATTTATTTATACAAAATATATATTAAAGCTTATAATTTAATGAAAATGTTTGATTTTATTTGGAGTATTTTGTATGCTTTAAATCCCTATGGAATGAAATATTTATTGAAGGTAGTTGTTAATGACTTACAAAATAATTTTTCCGGGTCCAGAGACCAGATTTTTGATTTCACATTCATGCCAGAACGAATCCTGCCTGATTTTTCCGAAATAATCCTAAAAAATAATTTCAGAAGTCCGGCAGAAATTACCTAATTCTGAACAGGATCCGGGGTTTTCCCGGATTTTTCAATAGTATTTTTTATTAATTTTTATGTTGATTAATAAATCCAGTTCCCAAATCCGGTACAAAAATTTAGCCGGACCGGATCCGGAGGATTCTGGAAAACCTCGGATTTGGAATCCGGAATCAGGCGGATCCGCTCCGGCGCCGATCACTAATAGTCGTTTAAATATAAATAAATTAACAAATATAAAAACAGGCGGAATTTTAATTTTTAATTCTTCTGTTTTTACTTAATTAATTCAGCCTGTTTTTATGATTGTTAATTTATTCCAAACAGGCGGAATTTAAAACATTTAAAAACATTTCAGCAAAGAAAAGAAGCGTCCAAAACATTAGTTCTTTTGTTTTCCCTCCAACATGTTGCAAATCAAGCAAAACAAGCTTTAAACAAACCAAACAAACGTCAGAAAACAAAAACAAGTTTTGAAGCAAATTTAAATGTTCAAATAAATAATCCTTCCCATTTAATTATTTCTGAATTAAAAAACTTTTATATAAATTTATGTTCACAATGGCTTTATGGGAAACAAAAACGTCCTCATCTCCGCAAAACAAATGTAAAAATGGAGGATTGCAAGCTTGAGAATGTTAAGAAGAGAACAAATCGGAAAATGAGTGTTTATAATTTGGAAGTTACTGTAGAAAGGAATTTGTTGCTGATTGTTGGGGAATTGCTTGAATTGGAAATTTAATTATTAAAATTATTTTTTTTATTTTTTCTGATTAATTTAATTTTTACAAATTAATTTTTAAAAATTTCAAGCACTGGAAAACAAACCACGAGAAGGCGGAATTAATATAAAAATAAATTTATAAACAGGCGGAATTAAAATTAGTTGTACATATTTTAAAAATTCCGTGTGTTTTTAATTTATTTTTGAATAAAACATTGCACAACTTGTTTTAATTCCGCCTGTTTTCAGGTTATTTTTAATTTGTTTTTAAAATTAATTTAAACAACGCCAGCCATCCTTAACATTTTTCCTATATGAACACTTTGTTTTAGCCTCCACCTTTTTTAAGACTTGTTTTTGGTGGTGGGGTGCATATTAGGAAAAAGTCAAGAACTGACAGCGAAGTAAATTTTTAAACAAATTTTTCTATTATCTAAAGAAATATTTAAATAATTTTTTGAATATTTATTGAAGAAAGGAAAGCATTAAAATAAGAGAAAATATTTTATTTATTTATGTTAGCGAAAATCAAACAAATAAATTTCATTCATATTTATTCCCCCAAATTTTTTTCTTTTGTTAAAAGCAGCTTTTTTTCTTCCATTTTTAAGAAAAAAAATATTTGAGATGATTCACTTTAAAGTTTTGGACAGTTTTTAAGCTGGGTATTCCGGGTAACTTAGAGTATGTATTAGTGGTGGGGGAGCGCGCCTACTCCTATAACTTTTAATATCAGAAACTGTTAAAAATAATTTTTATATCTTTCGATAGAGAATTAAAAATACAATAAACGACAGTATATCTTAAAATTTAAATCAAAAGAGATAAAAGAGTTATAAGAGAAAAACTTGTTTTATAGGCATTTTTGCCGCCTTTCGATCTAAAAATTTTTCCTCGAAATAAATTTTTTGTTTTTGATTTAGTCTTATAGAGAATTCAATTCTCTATCAGACAAAGTTTATTTTGTTTCAAAATCTTTTTCTGTTCAAAAGTTATGAGTGTTGCCGCACCCCAATACTCAACACTTCACTACTATATACTGTTTACAGTTAAAATATTTTTGTTCAAATATTTGTTTAAAACAATTTTCTACAGAAAAGTTTTTATATATTGCCAAATGTACGTCTTTTTAGAATAGAGAGAAAAAATAAAACTGAAAAAGAAAAAATAATAATCATAAAAATGATCATTATTTTTGATGACTGGTTCGTGGTTGTATTTACTTATCTTTAATAGTAAATACAAAATATTTAAAGAAAAAAAATTTTTTTAATAAATTTTGAAATAAAATATGGAAAATTTAAATATATTTAAAATAAAATTAAAATTGAGTTGAGAATTTTAAAAATTAAAAAAAATTTTCAATAAATATTTTTATTCAAAATTAATATTTGTATTAAATATGTGGAACGACTACGACACTTTAAATTAAAATAAGAAAAATATAAACAATTTCAGAATTAAAAAAATATTTTTTAAATATGTGGAAAGGATGTATAAATAATAATTATTTTAAAAATTATTTCTACTCTCTTTTTATTAAAATTTATTTTGTATTTTGTCTTGTGTGTTTTGACCCGGACACGCATTGTTGCCAACGCTTCAACTTTTCATTGAATTTATTTTTTGATAGGAAATTGATATCATTCGATAGATTAAAATTGAGTTAAGAATTGAGTTTGAGTTTGTTACAAAAATAGAGAGGAAACTAAATTTTATGAAACTAATAAAAAAAGTTATGATTGGAAAACGGATGTTTTATTCAGAAAAAGGAGCTTTTTTGGTTGTTTTTTGATCGTAACTTTTTTGATAAAAAATATAAGCAAAATAATTTAATAGTAAATTTAATTCTCCATCGAAAGATTTAAAACAAATTTTAAAAATTCATAAGGTCTAATTAAAATTTTGTAGGGCATCAAATCTCCAAGGCTCGCTCTTATAAACATTCTTTTAACAGATATGTATTTTTAAATAAAAATTTTTCTTTTAAAAAATAATTAAAATATTAATTAAATTAATTAATTAAAGAAAATAAAAGTAAAATAAATTTACAAAAATTATCATCTTAAAAAAAGAAAGTAAAAATTGCTGATAATTTTTACAAAATATATTTTCTCGATCCTTCCTCACCCTTATAATAATTATTTTACAACATACAATTAAAAGTCATATATTAATAAAAATGTTAATAATTTTATTTATTTTAACCGCACCATTTTTTATTTTTTGTTACTTCACGTGTCTTTTTTCTAAATTTTCTGGCCGTTTTTTAATTGCAAATATACAATTCTCGTGATTTTCTTTAAATAGGGTCAGCGGTGATAAATTAGTAGTTATATTTAAATATTTGGTTAATTTGGAAGGGGAAATGTTGCGGAAATGGGTGGGGATTTAATTGGGAAGAGATTAATTTTTAAAAATAAATTTAGTTAAAGAAAGCGTTGGGAACATAGATTCTTGATGGTTGGAAAGCCAATTTAAGTTTATGACTCGAAGTTTTTATTTTTGTGTTGATGGTACTAAAATTGTCTTTTCAAATTTATTTTATTTTTTAAAAATATTGAGAATAATTCTAAAAATTGAGAAGAAAATGGAAGAATGTGAATGAGAGGAACAACCAAAACATGTTCTGAGAAAGTATATTTTAGCTTTACAATATCCATATCAGCTCGTTAGAGCCTCTAACAATAAGAGCTGTTCATATCCGAATTACAAAATAAAATCTCGATTTTGTATAAACCCTCGAAGTGAATAAGGATCGGGGGTATTACAAAGGTACTCCTCCGCCCCCCCCCCTCCTGCAAACTAGTAGCTAACTTCACCAAGAAAATGTGTGTGAATAATTAGAAACAAAAAAGATAAATATTACTTAAATATAAAGATATACATGTACATTTTTATATATGTATACTATAATATTAAAAATGATTTTTTCATTTGTTTGTTTTGTGTTTGTGCTTATTTTATTCTTTTTTTTTGTTTGTTCTTCCTATAAGCTTTAAAAACATTTATTTTTACGTTCCAACAAAAATAACTGAAAATAAAGAGAAAAATAAATAAATATGTCTTTATTTTACGTTTTTGAGAAATAATAAAAAAATAAAATTTTTAAATTAATTTTCACCTTCATTCCAATATTTTATCCAATTGAAGCGCTTCCCCAACAATAATTAACAAACTTCTTTCAACTGATACTTCCAACAATTTTACATATGTTTTTAAAAATGTTTTTTTCTTAACTTTTTCAAACAAACAATCTTCCCTTTTAACATTTGTTTTTCTCTTGTTTTTAGCAACTTCTTTGTATATCCAAGTTTCACACAAGTTCATATAAAAGGCTAAAAGTTCAGAAAATAAAACTTGTTTTGGAATAATGTTTGAATGAAAATGTTTTTCTAAAATGTTTTTGTTGTCTCTTTTTCTTTTCAAACTTGTTTTTAGATAGTTTAAAAGTTGTTTTGTTTTGTATGCTATATGTTGTAAGGAAAACATTGTTTGAAGAATATTTGCTTTTTGTTCTTGTAACTTAAACAAAACATTTTATAGTATTAGGATGTTAGAAATAATTCCGCTTGTTTTGATGTTTTTAAAAATCCGCCTGTTTTCCGGTTTTTATTTGCAAGTTTAATTATTAAATAGTATTTTCTTCTCTACTATTTTCAAGTTTATTTATTATTAAAAACTTACTTTAAATAGATATTTAAAACTTTCCCCATACAAAGTTTCCGAAACATAATTAAATAGTTCTTTTAACAAATATGCCTTTATAAAAACTTTGTAAATATAAATTTTAATATTTTCAAGTTCCTTTAATTTATCAATATCAGACTCATCTTTAAGCAAAATTTTTTCTCTATCATTTATTAAATGTTTAAAAACTTCCCTTCTTCTTTCTAAAAAATTTGAAAAATAATTTCTAATAAAAAGGGGATTATTTTTATTATTTATATTAATTTGTCCTTTTTCTCCAAATATTTTAGCTTGATAAAAATTTGTTTTGTCAAATAGATAGCTGTTTACAAGTTCCCAACCAATTGCGAATGTGTACCATTCTTCAAAATGTTTTAGATCTTTTTGAAAAAAAATTAAAATTAATTCCGCCTGTTTATTTCGCAATTTATTTACTCTTTCCCTAGTTATCTATAAACCACCCTCACTTAAATGGCCATAACTTTATCAGAAACGGTCCAAATTCATAATTTTTGGTATTTTTAGGTTCCGCTTGAATAGCCCTTTCGAATGATATATAAATTAATTTTTTCTAAATTTTTTAAACTTTTTTTCGAATTTTTCTGTGAAGCTTGTCCTCTCTTCCGTGAAATTTTAATATTAAAAAAATAATTATTAAAATTAAAATTAACTAAATAAAATATTCAAATTATATAAAGGTTTAGGATGCTTGTTATTATTACTACTTCCAGCAATATTTTCCAATTCCTCAACACTTCCCCATTTTAATAAATTAATAAATTGTTTAGATTGTTTAATTAAAACCTCCCAACATCCAATAATTATTTTTTGTCTTAAATTTTCTGGGTCTTTATTTATTTTATTTAAAATAATAAAAGCCTCTACTGGGAACAGTTGAGAATATAATTCTAATTTTTCTTGGGTAATTTTCCTTTCATCAAAAAAGTCATAAGCAAGAATTTTAAAATTTGAAATAAATTCTTCCTGTATTTCTATTTGGGTATTTAATTTGATGAGAATTTCTTTAAAAAAATATTTAAAATTAATCTTTATTTTTTTTAAATTAAAATTATACTTTCTTTAATTTCATCACAAAGGCATCCACAAACACAGAAAATAATTAATAATTTAATTAATTTTTCCAGCATTATTTAAAAATAAAATTCCGCCTGTTTAAATTTATCTAAAAATTTTATTTAAATTATTTCTAAAATTAAAATAAAAACAAAACAGGCGGAATTTAAAATGTTTTTTTGTTTGTTGCGTAAATAATTCCGCCTGTTTTAACTTTAATATATTTAAGGGCTTTATGAAAAATAATTATGAAAATTATGAAATTATAAAAAATTATGAAAAATAATTTTGAAAAATTAGAGAAGGCAAATATGTAAAGGAAAGGGCAAAAAGGATAGACAAAATTATATTTTCAATCAATCAGTGTTTATTAAACAAAATTTAATTGCCTTAAAATTGCCAAATTATTTCAAAATGTTTTTATAAAGGTCGACGGATCCGGATATTACAAAACTGGCAAGCTCTTCCCTCAACATTCCCATACACTTTCCTTACATTCAAAAAAAGAAGAAGGCTGTCTTTCGGTAACGGAAACAGGCGGAATTATTTTCGAAATAAAAATATAATCAAAATAGGCTGAATTTTTCGACAAAAACACAACAATACATAAACAGGCGGAAATAGTTGGTTTTAATAAAAAAACAGGCGGAATTAAAACATGCTGAATTATTCTAAAATGTTTCTTTGTTCTCCTTTTAATGTTTATCTCGCTCTATTTTTTCTCTTTATTTTCAAGTTCAACATTTACTGTTTCATTTAATATTTCTTCGTTATTCTCATGTTTTTCTACAAACATAGACGATGTTTGTTCATTGTTGTTTTTGTTTGTTAAACATTTATTTCGCCTATGTTTTTCCAAAACATTTAATTTATTACTGTTTGTTTGAATACTATCAAAACTTCCAAAACTATTTAAAGAAACATTCTCTCTCTTATAAGACATTACTTGACGTAATTGAACGTGTTTTCTATAATTTAGCCAGAGAATGTTTAACACTTCCTGGGTGAATAGTTCCTAAATAAAATTATTTTTCTATTTACTGAATTGAGAAAATGTAAAAAGATCTTCCGAAAAAAGTTTTTTTTTATTTTTTATTTATTTTTAGATTACCCCTCCATTTGCACTAAGCATCCGTAAAAGCATTGTTCCATCAGCCCGAATCATTTTGTTACTAAACTCGAGGAATATGTAACGTTCTTCTACGGCGACAGAAGGGATGAATCTTTGAAAAAAATTCTATTTTCGGGGAAAAATTTTTTTATTTTGACAGAATGCCCAAAAAATTTTTTAATTTTTTAAAAAATTTATGCATTTTAAAATTAAAAACAAGCTTTGCCACTTGCTAAAGTTTATTTTTTTAATTCAAATTTTTAAATTTATTTTTTCTCTCAAACTTGCGAAAATAAAAAATTCTTCGACTGGCAACACGTGTATTTAATATCCAGTTTATAGTGTCTATTGTAGTTAATATTCCAACCAAAATTAACCAACAATAAAGAAATAAAAATATTTTTTCATTAAACTTTAAAATTAATTTTTTTAATTTTAATTTTTAATTTAAATTTTAACCATATTTAACATTAAAACACATTGAATAGAATAACGTTGAATATTTGATAGTGTTCTTATCTAAAAAATTTTTGAGAAAAGATAAAAGGTTTATTTATCATTTGAAATAGTATTTAAGTTGAATTGAAAGATGACAAAATTTAAAAATTTGAGACATTTCTGGAGAAAGTTATGGGCATTTCTTGGGCCATATATTGGTAAACTTGAAGAAAGTAACGGTCAGTTCTGGGTCTATATAAAATTCAATTTTAGAGCCACAGAACCATAAAATCTAGTACAAATATACTCCATAGTGTCAAATAACTTTATAAAAATTTCAGAATTTTAGGTTTAATATTTAAGAAATTCTGATTAATTTAAAAATTAAATTTTATTCACTCACAGTAAAATCGCATAAAGCAACTCTAGGGAAATTCCCACTTAATTCCCAATCCCTTCCACTAATCACATCAGATAATATGTGAGCCCCCCAAAATAGAGCTGTGGAAAATTTGAATTAATTTAATTTTAATTATTAATTAACTATTTTGTCCTAGAAAATGATTCATTATTCGGATTTGCCCAATAATATTTAAAATATATAAAAATCTTGTGATGAAAAACATGCTGAAATTAAAAATTAATTTTAAATTTAGTTGACTGAAAATTTATAACTCTAATTGAAAATATGACTAAAAAAGTACAAAAAATTGACATTTTACTACTAATTTTGAGCATCTACATATTACTATAATTTCCCAAATACAGTACTTAAAGTTTTGAAGAATTTGTTCGTAATAGCTAACACCATTGTAGACTTTTATACAAATTTTTACAAGTTTTGGAGTTTTAACTTTTTAATTTATAACTTTTTAATTAATATGTATGGTCAGTCAACTCTCCTTTTGATCAACCCCAACAAAAATTATTCTAATTAAAATTTTAAAAATTAATTTTTACTTTGTTAAATAAGTTCCATCAAGTATTCCCAATCTTAGAATATTTTTTCTTAATATTTTTCTATTGTTCTTTCTTTTTCGTAATTGTAAAAGTTTAAATGAATCCTCCAAATGTTGACTGACTGCGTGGACAGCTTTGAGCCTTTCGGAGCTCGTTAAAAATAATTTTTTTAATTAAAAGAAATTTTTTTATTAAACTCCGGTTCCATATTCTTTTACATTCTCCTTTTGTTCAATCATAGCAGTTATATTAATTCCCGATTTTCTATTTGTTTTGGACCATAAAAGGACCTAAAAAGTAGGACATTCCAAGTAGGTATTTAAAACAAAATTTACCGGAAAATAAAAAAATCCGGCCTCCAATGCCATCAAAAAAGGCACCCATTGGTAATAAAAAAGTTGCCGATTTACTCTTTAAATATTTTTAATAATTTTATTAAAAAAATTTTTTTCACCTTTCATCCACGGGACGAGGAATTTGTTCATCTGGTTTTACCCAATAAGTATTGTAAACAAAACTTTTTTTAGAATTATTTAGAATATAAATATTTTTAAATTTTTACCAATAATTCTCTGCATATTGCTCCCATGCATGTGAAAATTCTGCTGGAACCCAACACTGGATTGGCTGGCCAACATATTGTTTTGCCTATTTTATTTTAAAATACATATAAGAGAATTAGGAATTTGTTTATTGAATTTATAAAAAATTTTTGAAAAATTTTTTGAAAATCCTTAGAAAATTTTTTTTATTTTTATAAAAAATTTTTTTTTATTTTAGCTCCAAAAAATTCCAAAATTCACAGTAAGTGTAACAGATAATCCAATAATAATCATAGAAGTATAATAATAATTAAGTCGGTCAATTAAAGTGTCATCCTTTCTAGGCTTTATAGTTGTTAATGCGCTGCCCAGAAAATTCATTTAAAAAAAGTTTTCTTTTTGAAAATTTAATTTTTAATAAAAAAAATAAGTGAAGGAATATATTTTTATGTAAAAAAATTGAAAATAATTATTTTTCAGGTTTAACTAGTTTTGTATTTATTTATTGTTTAAACATCATGCTAAATTTTAAAGAACAAAGACACTCTAAAAAATATCAGAATTTTTTGTAATAATATTTTTGATATTACAATAAATAAGAAAAACAGGATAATTAAAAATTCAGAATATTTTTAGTGTAATACAAAAATCAGAAATTAAAATACAATAACAAAAAGACAATTTAAAAATCAGAATATAGGTAATTAAATTTCAGAATTATTTCTCTTCTTTAACAAAAATACAAAAATCATAATTTTAAAAATCAGAATAACTAAAAGAACATTTTTCCATTATGAAACACGATGGCATAATAAAATAGAAAATCAGAATTACTGCTAAACATGCTTCGATTCTTTACAGTTTTGTTTCAATCTTGCTTCTATTTTGTTTAAATATTTTTTAATCTTATTTTTTTCAATTCTTTTTAATTTTTTTATTAACAATTAAAATAAAATAAAAAAAAACAGAAACACCTTACAACAAACTCCAACCGTTTACAACCTTCCACTCCGCTACAAACTGTTCCCGACGCCTTTTGGGCACCGGTTCCTAGTCTAGAGTTTCGGTCCTTTTTGAGTACTTACTCCTCGTTAGTGTGGGGAAACGGCATCTGTGAAGGTGTTTAGTTTAAATAATTTAATTTTAGCTTTTATTTATGTTCACTTTTATTCACAAAAATATTTAACGGGGTGTAAAAAGAGAATTTAAAAGAGAGAGGAAAAAAGCTTCGAATTTTTATATACTATTTGTAATATTATACTTTTTATGCTTCATGTTTGATGCTTGCAAAAATGGGTTAGTTAAGCTTGTTAAAAAATTGCTTCAAGTTGCTTATTAAATCAACTTTTTTCCAAGTTTATTTTACAGGTTTATTATTAAAAGTTTCAAGTTTATTAAATTTACATTCTTCAAGTTTTATTAAAATTTAAGTTTGCTCAAGTTTATTTTAAAAAAATTGCTTCAAGTTTATTTTCTATTGTTTATTTATTTAATTTCTTCACCTAATTAAATTAAAATATTTTGCTTCAGTTTTATTTTCAAAAATTCTAAAAACCTTCAAAAAATTTTTCTCACTTTTCCCAATCTCACACCACTTTTCTCTTTTATCTTCCAACTCATTTAGTTGGGATAAAAAAAATATCCCCGTAGGCTTTGCAATGCTAGCAACAACTGTCCCCCCTCTTTTTTCCCTTTCAATATTTTTTCTTTTCATTTGCTTAAGCTCTATTTGCCAACAAATGGTAAGTATTATAGTAATAGTATATATAGTCAATACGTAAAGCACACAAAAATGGGTGGTGGTTAAATGAATTTTTTTCTTGTCGAGACCAAACAAAAAAAAATTTTTATTGTTTACCTTCCGATATTTATTTTTGATTATTTAAATATTAATTTGCTTCAAATTTATTTAAAATAAAAATTGTTTCAAGTTTTATTAAACTTATTTACATTCCAAGTTTATTAATACAAATAAATTATTAAGAACTTGCTTAAGTTTTATTTTATTTTCCAAATTTATTAAATAAACTTATATTTTATTACAACTTATTTTGCTTCAAGTTTATTAAGTTATGTCAAGTTTATTTATACAATTAATATATTTATTTAAATAAAACTTGCTTCAAGTTTTATTTAAAATTAAGATTTTAAGCTTTTTTGCTTCACTATAATTTTTATTTAATTTTTTCTTATGCCTAAATTTTTTTAATTTTTTTTTCATTTTCTAATTTAAATATAACCAACAATAAAGCAATAAATTATTTTACATATTTCCACTCTTGTTATATATTTTATGCAAATAATTGCCCACCATCTCTCTTCATAACCTCGTGTTCCGGAAAAGCTTTGACTGCTTTTTCACCCATTGTTTACATGCATTTATTTGTTGTAATTTATGGATTGTTTTTATTTAAATTTTAAAGATTTCTGTAAGCTGGAAATTTGCTTCGTCTTTTTTAATCATTTGCTTCAGTTTTTGTTTTACATTTTTGTTTAATCTTTTGCTTCATTTTTTAACTCTTAAATTTTAACTAATTTTTAACTTTATCTTTAAACTTTTATTCCATTCTTATTCTATCTAAAATTTTTTTAGTTTATTTTCAAGTATTTCTTTCCTCTACTTATTTACATATAAATTTATGCTTCATTTTAACTTCAATTTTTTATCATTATTTATAAGCTTTTATTCTACCTCATCTTTTGCCTCATTTTTTATAATAATATTTATTTTTCCCGCTATTTTTTCTTGTAAGGATACGTCGGACCTTCTACTTACATATTTACCCATTTTTTATATTTTTTCAGCGATTCACCCAAGCGTTTCTTTTTTAGTTAAGCCGCCGACGGCACTTCTCCCTTGATGCATCTTTACTTGAGTCTTGGACTTTGAAAGGATTAGGAACTTTTATTTAATATTATTTTTTTATCATTCGAGAAAGTCTACAGAATAGTAGTGATGAATAAAAATTTTATCGGATCGGACAAAAAAGTCGGTCAAAAATGACATTCCTCTGGTTATATTTTTTGTTTCCCTTTAATTAAAATTTTCTTTTTAATTTTATTTTATAACTAATTTAATTTTCTATCAAATAATCCCGAATTTATTTTTAAAAGTTCAGCAATTATTAAATTATAAATTTTTGACTCAACTGTGTTTTACTCCTTATTTTTTGTTAAGCTGCCGAAGGCGTTTTCCCCCCTTTTTCCTTTCCCCAATGGTATCACGACTTTTGCGCCGGGAACATTTGCGCCGCGACTTTTGCGCCGCGACTTATGCGCCGGGCGACTTTTGCGCCGCGACTTATGCGCCGCGACTTTTGCGCCGGGCGACTTATGCGCCGCGACTTTTGCGCCGGGCGACTTATGCGCCGCGACATTTGCGCCGCCATAATTTAAAAAAAATAATATCCACAGTCGGACCTAATTATAGTGTACTCCTTAAAAATTTGTATCCAGGAGCTGAAGGAATTTCAGGAAGTACAATATTTCGGGAAGTACAATAGCCCTCTCTAATAAACCGACCCCTTAGAGGAATGTTGAAAGATAAACCGACCCCCTAGAGGGGTATCTTCAGAGAACTTGACTTTTTCAAATCAGATATTTGGTCTGCTACCCTTATTCAGGCATGATTTTCTGCCAGAAGAGGGTGCACTATAGTGTAGGGTTCTCGGGTCCAGATATCCGGATCTGAAAAAGGCCGGATAGCCGAAAATTTTAGGTTGGATATCGGATCCGGATCTTTGATATACGAAGACACCAACTATCCTACATCTTCTATTTATAGTGAAGTCCGTCTGTAGTTTTTCGTAATTATTAATGCTAGTGGCGGCGCAAAAGTCGTCCGGCGCAAAAGTCGCGGCGCAAAAGTCGCCCGGCGCAAAAGTCGCGGCGCAAAAGTCCCCCGGCGCAAAAGTCGCTCGGCGCATAAGTCGCGGCGCAAAAGTCGCGGCGCATAAGTCGCGGCGCAAATGTTCTCGGCGCAAAAGTCACGGAACCTTCCCCAATATATTTTACCTTTTTTCTTATTTTTAACTAAAAAGCCTAGCCTTTCCTGGTCAATCCTTCCTTCTGTTTTTCCAATGACTTTTACTTTTATTTTACTCAGCTGACAATAAAAAATGGCAAAAATGAAAAAAATTTGGGGAAGAAAAGTACAAATAACTTTTAATTTTTATTTTCTTTTTAATTTCAATTACTTCTTGTTTAATTAACGCATTTTTTGTTTGTTAATTTTTTTAAAAAATTAATTAATTAATTGAAAATTGAGCATTTTTATTCATTTTTCTTTAAGTATTGTCCTTCCTTAGTTAAGTATTGTCCTCCCTTAACAATAACCTCACTTCTAGCTTCATAACTTTTGAATATCTAAACCTTTAGAGATATTTTTGGCATAATTTTACCAAAAATTGAATTTCCTATAAAATAAAATTTTAAATTAAATTTAAATTAAAATTTTGATCAGAAAATGACCTTTAATATTTGATAAACACTCATTTATAAAGGTTTTTCTGTCACTGCTTTTCCTCCTCCCTAACTAAAATTTTTATTTTATTCCAATGCTTTATCGAATTATAATTTAAATAAACTTGATAATTTCCATTTATTTTAACAATTTTCAGACCAAACTGAACCATAATCCCTTTAAACATTAATTTTCGCTTTGTATTTTTTTATCAAAATTTAATTTTAATATTTTTATGTTTAATTACCTCGTTTTGAATGTATCAAAACAACACTAACGAGTCTACAGCAACACCTCCAATTAAGGTGAATGGAGCGGTTGTTGCTGATGGGAACATAAAAGTTTATTCGAATCAGCAGCTACATCAATCCTCGCCTGTTGTTGTCTTAAACAATAATGTTGGGCAGAATTTGAATGGTTAATTGAAATTAAATTTAAAATTAAAATTTTGAATAAAGGGGCATTAAAAGGGGAAATAAATGATTGGTGTAGGAGAGATCTGAGAGCTATCAACGACGCTTATGTGACGGGTCTACGTCTTTTAAACTACATAATTTATGAATTTAATATCATTCAATAAAGCATAAAATTTCTTATAAAACATTTCAAATTTTGAAAAAAGTTATGATCAGAAATAAGCTAGAAAAGGGGTTTTTTGTAGTTTTTTAATCACAATTAAATTTATTTTTAAAAAATATATTTATCCCAAAATTATTTTAATTATCATTTATCGAGTTTACCTTCAACAACTAACCAATTCTTTTAATTAAAAAAATTAATTCAAAGGTATCCAACACCAACAACAACAATTAGAAGTCTTTCCAAGTTCCTCCTCTGCCCCTCCTCCTCTTCAACAACAACTTCAATTAATTACTCCTTTCGTTCCATGTATAGCAGACGAATTACGAGAGTTGATTGATGAGATGCGTATGTTCAGAAATTCTTTTTAGAAATTTGAGAACACTTTTTTCCCTTCAAAAGGTTCTCGAGATTTTGACTCAATTCGATTTGCCACATACCGAACTGCTTGTAAATTAAGATTTATTCAAATAAAAACAAATGGTTAATTTAATTTATTTTGAATTTTAATTTTTATTTTTTTCAGTTCATCTTGTTGATATTTGGAATATGATTGAATCTTTTAGAGAAAATGGACTTAATGCAATTGCTAGCAATGGAAATTTAAAAGTTTCGAGGCTGGAACTTTTATTAACCAGCATTTTTCATAGTTAGGGGAATTTTTAATTAAAAATAAAAAAATAATTTTTTTAAAGATTTGAACAAACGCTTACCTGCAAGTCAACAAGTAGATACTGATAGGTAAAATTAATTTTTAATAAATAAAAATTAAAATAATTGTAGGGCAATTGCTACACTTTTGCATTTCTTGTTGAGTGCCTATGACCGGTCTGTATTTACTCAGAAATATTTCCCAGAATAATTCCTTTCCGGAAAGTTTTGTATATTTACTCTTCCGGTTTATGCTACTTTAATATAAAATTGTTTCTCTAATAAATTTTAATTTTCCGGAAAGAACTTTTCCGGAAAAGTTTATTTATTTTTTCCTCTCTTATAATTTTTACAACCTTTTTTCAAGCATTTTAGTCAACATCTTGGTCGATTAACTGTTTTTGCTATTAAAGTTGGATTGGCTACTTTATGTGCTGGAAAATTGGTTGACAAACTGAGGTGTATGTATTTTCTTCAAAAAAATTCTTTTTCAAATTAAATTTTAATTTTTTAAATAATTTTTAAAAATTAATATAGATATATTTTCTCAAATTTCTGAGCAAAGCGGTGCTTATTTGGATCATTCTAAATTTGCTGAATATTTACAGCATGTCTTAGCTTTGCCTACTGCTGTTTTTGAGGGGTGAAAAAGAAATTGTTTTTAATTTTAAAAATAATTTTTAATTTTATTATAGTCCAACTTTTGGTTATTCTCCCCTGGCTTTATCTCAATGTTTTCAAAAAAGTCAACCTGAACCCGTTTCTTTAAATCAGGCAAATTTTTTGCTTTTTTTAAAAGCATTTTTAATAATATAAAATTTCAGGAAATATTTTCCGGAAAATATTTTATTTCTTTCCGGAAATTATCCTATTATTTTCTTTCCAAGATACAGTCGTTTACTTTTTCCGGAAACTTTAACTGTAAAATGGATTTTCAGGAAATATCTTCCTGAGAACCATTAATTAAACTAATAACTCTTTCCGGAAAATTATCCTATTATTTTATTTCCGGAAATTATTCTATTATTTTCTTTCCGGACAACTTAATATCCTTTTCCCCTTTCTGTTTATAAATAAATATTTTCCACCATGTAATTTTATTTTTCCGGAAAGAGTCAAAAACTAATAAACTTTCCGGAAAGTTTTATTTTCTCTAATTTCTTTGTTATTTTTAAAGTTTTTGGATACAATACTTGGGGAGAGTTGCCCTCCCTGCCTTATGTGGTTACCTTTATTGCACAGAATGGCTGCTGTTGAAAATGTTTATCATCCTGTTGTTTGTGATTCTTGCCAGGTATTTTTAAAATAAATTTTTTAATTTTAATTTTTTCAAAAAAGGTCCGTTCTTTCAATGGTTTTCGTTACAAATGTCAACGATGTATCAACTACCAACTCTGTCAGTCTTGTTTTTGGAGAGGGAGGGTCAGTCAGGAACATAGCAATGAGCATGAAATGAAAGAATATAACAGCTATGTTAGAAAAAATTAATTTTTAATTTCCCAATAAATTTTATTTTTAAAGAAATCCCCAACAAAGCAATTAGCCCATACAATCCAAAAATGTACTTTACAATGTATTCCAACTACAAATCAAAAAACTCATGTAGATTACCCTCCTAGACCTCAACGCGCTTTGGATTTGGCTAATGTAGTGCCAAGTACGCCTATTAGTGGATTCACGTAAATTTGAAGAGATAAATTTTGTTGGAATAAATATTTTCAAGCCGACGCCAAGCACCTGAACCTATCGCTGAATGGACTTCAAAATTTTTGCCTGGTCAATATGGGCGAGCAAGTGCAATGGATGATGAACATAAACTTATTGCCAGATATGCTGCCAAATTAGCTGGGAGGACTGTGGTGAGGAACAGGGATGGGACGGGTTGAGAAAATTTCTCGGGTCGGGTTTCGGGTCGAAAAAAAGTCAGGGTTTCGGGTATCGGGTAGCCCGTCCCATCCCTGGTGAGGAATTTATTTAAATAATCAAAAAATTATTTTCTCATTCTACAGTATGCTTCCTCTCGTCGTCCACCTCCCCATCACCTTCCTCCATCCTCTTCAGGGGCTTATTTTAGTGGGGCATCAACTTCGGATGAGCAACAACACTTAGACGAACGTGCGATTATTGCCCGTTTAGAAGAAGAAAATCAGCAAATGCTCCATGAAATGCATTCACTCGAACAACAACAAGTTGAAGAAATTTATTTTAAAGCAAATTTATTTTTTATTTTTTAGGCATTTTGTGACAGTTCTGGGCAATTAGAAAATCTTAGAGAACAAACAGCTGAATTGGAGGTAAAAATGCAGGAGAAACAAATACTTAGGAGAAAATTAATGAAACAACTTGAACGTTTGATGGCAGGGCTTAATGTAATTTTCTTACATATAAATTTTTAAAAAGGTTAAAAATATCAAACTATCAGATACCAAAAATATTTTTAAAAAATACTAAAAAAATTTTCAGGCCCCCATAGTCCAGCCAAGTACAGCACCCAGCACTGCCCCAACAATAAGAGCGCGTTCTACAACCACAGCTGCTTCTGGAGGGATATCTTTAGGTCAACTCGGATTGGGAGATTTTAACCTAAGTCCACAAAGAGTTGGAACAGTTGCTCAAATGCAGGATGACCTTTTACAAGCTGCGGATGAAATTACAGAAAATATGAGTGAATTAGTGAGGGAATTGGAAAGGGAAGAGGAAGAAGAGGGGGAAAAGGAAAGGGAAGATATTGATGGGAGAAGAAAACATTGTGAGGATTTTTTGTTGAAAATTTTAAAATTAAATTTTCTTTCAAAGAACCCCTACAAGATTTTAAAAATTTTTAAAAAATATTTTAAAATGCCAAAAAATAATTTAAAAATTTTCAGCAACAGATGAAGCAACAAAATCAGACGTTGAAACTTCCTCATCCCACCAACAAAAAACTAAAAACACCCAACAACATCGTTTTAGGAGTAATTCAACAAAGGAGCCTATGTTACAGCCACAATCACCTTATTTATCGAGAAAAACTTAAAATTATTTTTTATTTCCCAGTTTTTTTGTTTTTTGTGCCTTTTTGATAAAAGAAAAAATTTTTAATTCTAAGATAGTCGGATCTCGATTGTACATAAATACACCCAAAATTACACCCTCTAACTTATATACACCCTCTATCTTTCTAGGTTGATCGGTCAATAAGCTAAAATTTACAAACTTTTTTTCATCCACAAGGGTGTACATGATTGAAATTTAACCGTTTTTAATCGAAATTTAACTGGTCAAAAAAAAATAAAAATAGTCAAAAAAAATTTTTTCTTCCTCTTAAAAAATAATTGGCGAGATTGTGAGTCTAAAGAAACTTGAAATTTTTTTGGGAGAAAAAAACCCCATAAACTCCTCCTTTACTTTTTCCACCTACAAGGATGTAAAACTTTGATCAAGTCCCAACTTTCTTAATTAGATTAGCCTAAATTTTAATACGTATTTAAACAATATCCCTATAATATATCCCACTAAACCAAAATGTGTATATCAAAGCATGTATGTAGGTTAATGAGAAGCTGTGATGATTTCTCAATGCCACAAAAAAACTCTTTTTTCAAATTTAATTATAAAATATTTATGTTGTCTTTCCCTTTAAGAAAAAAATTTTTCTTTCTTTTTTCAAAAGAATTTTTATATTTTTCACCAAAAAAAAATATTTTTTTCAACAAAAAAACCTTTATTATTATTCTCAGTCACCCAATTTTTACTTTAGAAAAAAATATTTTTCAGAGCAGGCCCGCGAAAATCGATGAGAAAACACAGAGGCTCTCCTCTCCTCTACATTTTCTTCTCAATCCGCCGATTTTCTATATTTTTATTAAAAAAAAATTTTTTTTCTCCCCCATTTTCTCCACTATGGAGGAGTAAATACTAAAAATATATTTTAGATGTGTGTGTGTTTGGCTAGGTCGTTGGGGCTGTTTTGCTGTTGTTGTTCACCTAAATGAGAGAAAAAGTATATTGCTAGAGTGCAATGAAGAAAAAAAATTTTTTTATTTTAAAATGCCACTAAAGGCCTTTTAGGTTTTCTCTTTAATAAATAGAGAAAGAAAATTTAATTATATAATGGTCAATTTAAAAATGGTTAAAAAATTTCAAAATTTTATTTCCCTTAAAAAATTGGCGAGACAAAATTGTGAAAGTCTAAAAAACTTTAATCGCAATAGGAAAATTTTTTTACATTTCGGCACTCGACATTTTGCCTGTTTTGTTTAAAAAAACAAATTTACCCTTGTGAAATTATGTAGCTGGTAGAATTTCTTATATTAGAAATCTGTGTATTTTTCTGCCATTTGTAACTGTTCATATATTGAGAAAAATCTGGATTTACCGGGGTTTGTCTCAATTTCTAATTCTTAGTAATTCTCAACTCGAATCCTAAATACATAATAAATTACTTTTAATAATTTTTTTTAATTTTTCTACCCTTTTTTGACTTTTTCAATATTTCATTGATTTTTTAGTATTCCGTCCAAACCTCTTTATTTCCAAAAAAAATTTTTCCTAACATCTACCAATTTTTAACTTTCTGACCATTTTGTACTTTGGACATTTTTCTTTTGGGAAGTAAAAAAGAAGGAAAGATAGCCTTCTCTCTCTTCTCTTATTTTTAGGTTAGAGAATGGAGAGAGAGAAAAAGAGAGAAAAGAATTTTCACAATTTCCTCCCCCCTCGGTTTTCTCAAGGGTTGTGAAAGAAGGAAAAAAAATATTTTAGAGGCAACCAAACCGTCGTCAAAAAATGTGAAATACACAAATCCTTCCATAAATTTTTGACTGACGATGGGGGGAGGGAGAGAAACACCGTGACCTACTACATATATATAAAATTGCTTGATAAAATCGACAACAAAAATAAAAAAAAATTTTTTTTCATTTTTAAACAATTTATATTTATTTATTTTCTCTATTACTTTTTAAATAATAAATAAATACATTTTTCTCAAATTTTTATCTTTTAATTTTTTTTTGCTAAATTTTTTTCTCTCATTTTACATATTTTTTGGAAAGGTTATTTAGTCGAGAAATTTTTGGATTTTTGAAATTCTTTTTGACAACATTCTGAGAAAAATCGCCTAATGACCCTAATGATCGTAATACACCAACTGTAATATAACGAAAAATATCGAAATATTTTTATCGATATACAGTCGTGGAAAAAAGTATGGAAGCGCTAGAAAATTTTTTCTTAATTCTTAATTTTTCATTCAAAAAATACGTTCTATATATCAATCGAAAGCTCTATTCGTATCTCAGTTGACATGTTTCTGCATTTTTCATTAAAATGAAAATTGGCCGAGATAATCCGGATCTACCGGATATACCAAATCCCACTTTTTCGGAAAAATTTTTCGGAACAAATTTAACAAACCCAAATGATAAAGCATATTTTTCTGAGTATTTTCCACAAAACCGCTTAGAAATATCTTTTTCCGGAACAGAGATATAATTTTTTGAAAATCGTATTTTTGGTCATTTTTTGCAAAAAATTCGATTTTTAAGGGAAAAATACGATTTTCAAAAAATTATATCTCTGTTCCGGAAAAAGATATTTCTAAGCGGTTTTGTGGAAAATACTCAGAAAAATATGCTTTATCATTTGGGTTTGTTAAATTTGTTCCGAAAAATTTTTCCGAAAAAGTGGGATTTGGTATATCCGGTAGATCCGGATTATCTCGGCCAATTTTCATTTTAATGAAAAATGCAGAAACATGTCAACTGAGATACGAATAGAGCTTTCGATTGATATATAGAACGTATTTTTTGAATGAAAAATTAAGAATTAAGAAAAAATTTTCTAGCGCTTCCATACTTTTTTCCACGACCGTAATTTTACGGGGACTCGCCCAAGTAGGCGCGCGGCTATAACGGCACAAAGCCGTAACTTGCTGGAAAATTTCGGGCCCTTATCAACTCTGGTCCAATCTCTTTAGCTCGATGAGAGGAATTGTTTAATACTAAATTTGATAAGATTCGAAAATTTCGAAGCATGTTATGGCTTTGCGCCATTATGGCCCCGCGCCTACTTGGGCAGTACTCCATTTTACGGTACAGAAAAATTTTTTTGTTTCCATACCGACTACGATACGGAATACCGATAAATGCTATCGATAGTCACTAAAATCGGCATTTTAAAAATTTTGAAAATTTTTTAAAAATCCTAGCCTGTTAAATTCTCTCATTTTAAAAATAATTTTTTAATTAAGCTCATAACAAGCTTTCCTATTTTTACTTTTTATTGATTTTCCGCGATTTTTCTTTATGTATAGGCGTCTGGTTAAATTTCAATGATGACTTCCATAATTTTTTCTTTTAAAATTCTCCACTAAATTTAATAATTTCTTAATATTTTTATTTTTTGATTACTTCCCACAAATATTTAAATTATCCATTTCCGCTAAATGTCATAATGTCAACTTTTCCCGAAATGTCAATTTTTCAAAAATTTTATTTTAAAATTTTTTTCTAAAATTTTTTTTAGACTTTTCTAGATAATATTAATTAATGTTTGATTGCCAACTTTGTCAACAGGAAAGTAGAATTGAAGCAACAATTAGTGGGGGTAATACAAACGGTAGTGATGCTAGTCCACAAAAACAGGTAGTAGATAAATATAAATTGGTCACTTGCTTTATAAATAATTTTGTAAAGCAAATGCCCTTTTAGCAATTTGCTTTGAGAGTTTTTTTTTAATTTTTGTCAGTTTTGCAAATGAACATTTTGTATTTTGATCTTTTCGCAATTTGGGCATTTTGTGTCTTCCTAATTTTCTGTGGCGCGCGGCCAAGTAGGCGCAAAACCATAACCTGCTGGAAAATTTCTGGCCTTTATAAATTTTGGTACCAATCTCTTTAGTTCGATGAGAGGAATTGTTTAATACTAAATTTTATAAGATTCGTGAATGTTGAAGCAAGTTATGGCTTTGCGCCGTTATTGCCGCGCGCCTACTTGGGCTGTACCTTTCTAATCTAAACATTTCAGAATCAATTTTCAAATCTTTCCGAACTCGAAGCACACTTAGCATCAGAACATTTTAATTGTTTACCTTATGAATGCGAGCAATGTCATTTTGCCAAATTTCCAACAGAATTTGCTGTAATTAAGCACAACGAAGAAGATCACGGAAATAAATGTTATTCGGTTTGGATTTTTTTATTTTTTAATATTTTTTTTAAATTTTTTTAGTTTCGTTGTCGAATAACTCCAGCATTAAAACAAAAAAGGGTCCAAATCCGTTTATATCTTTCAAAAATCAAAAATCACCAAAAAGTTTCTTCTCCGCCGCCTGTGAGATTTTTTTTAAAAATAATTTTTGGAATTTCTTTATTCAGGTAAAGAAATTAAAACAAGATGTGGATAAAAACAATTGTGACTCTAATCAAATAAATGAAAAGACAAAAGGAACTCAACAACAAGAAGGGTAAAAAATTGTTTTAATTAATTTTTAAAATGATTAAAATAGCAAAGAGATATGTATTTATTTCAAAATTCTTTCCAAAATCCAGAAAAATCAAAATCCAAAAAATTTCCAGAATTTTTTTTTGGGTTTTTAGTTTAGTTAATATTTTCCGAAAAGGAAAATATTTTTTCCGAAATTGATTTTAATTCTTTCCAAAATTTTTCCGATATTTATTTTTAAACTTTTTGGAGACCCCCTGAATTATTTAAATTTCTTCTTAATTTTTCGGATTTTTTTAAAAATCGTGGTTATTTTTGGAATTTTTTCTGGAAATTTTCTTATTTTTTAGTGAATTAGCCGAGGAAGTAATTGAAAGGAATAAACTTAAACCTTTGTCTAAAGATTCATTAAAGAAGAAATCTTTTGTTAATAATGGGCAATCTGTTGGAAATGGAGGTATTTAATTTTGTTTAAAAATTAAAAAAATAATTTTTGTAGATGCTGATTGTGTTGAAGATGATTTTGTTGTTTTAAATAAAGCATCTTCCTCTTTGACAGAACAACTCCAAGTAAGTTTTGAAAAATCGAAATTTTTTTGAAATTTTTTTAGGCTGCCATCGCTCAAAACATTCGACATCGCCGTGCTACAAACGAAAAAGGAGAAAACGTTGAGGATGCAAAAACTTCCCCTAATTATGGAGGAACTGTCAGTATTCGAGAAGGAGGGGAATTGTCCACAAATTTGTTGGGAAAATCTTCGGGAAAATCAACAGGTGGAAATACAACAGATGAAGAAAACGAGGAATTGGAGGGAATGGAGGATTTTGAAGAAAGTGAAATGATGGAATATGGAGATGGACAAGGGGGAAAGGATGGGGATGAGGAAGATGAACAAATCCGGAAACAGGTAAATAAATATTGATTTTAAACAGGTCGTAACCAGTGGGGTCTCCCCCTCCCCTCTTCGAATTAGGGAAAAGTAAAAATTTTGGGGATGGGATTGAGTAAAAAAGTGAATTTTTTTCGCCTTCGTCCTTCCAAAATTCTCAGAATTTTATAAAGTGGTTTTTTCTTATCGTAAAATTTGTTTCCCTTTGTGAGGTTCATTTTGAGTTATTTTCCGGAACTTATGGTTTATTCCATAAGAGGATGTACTCTATTATTAATATTTTTTGCATTCAATTTGTTGCCAAAATTTGTTCTGTTTTATTTTAAATTTAATGTCTTATTTTCCGGAAAGGTGTCATTTTTCGATTCATGGAAATTTTAAATAAAATTTAGGAGGCCGATGTTCAAGAAATTTTGAAGGCAGCAGCAGCGGCCACTTCACAAATTGGTGGCGGAGATGTTGCCGCTCGTAATACTTCAACTGTAAATTTTTTAAAAATAATTTTTCAATTTAATTATTTATTTAAAATAGCCTTATTCACTCCGCCCAAATCGTTGTACGCCGTATGCTGCTCTTCTTGGTGGTAAACAAAAACAATCATCTCCTCCACCTTCTCGCCAACAACAATCAAGACCGAATTGGCAACTTAAACTTGGAAATTCGAATTTTGGTAGTGGAGGTTCCTCCAATTCTAATGTGATTTTTTTATTCATTTTTCTTGTTCAAAATCTTTGGAAGCTTTCGGACTCCGATTTCGGCCAAACTTAAGTAGAAAAATAAAAGTTTAATTTTATGAACATATTGACCTTGGGACCAGGCCCGTACCCAGGATTTTTTTCTGGGGGCCAGAGGGGGAAGATTTTTTTGCGCCGAATTTTTTTTCAGCGCTGCAGGTGAAAATTTTTTGAAAATTGGATGTCAATAAAAATTTTAAATGATTTTTAAAATTTTTTATTTTTAGAATCTTTCATTAATGATGAACAGACGTGAACGTAACGTCGAACGAATTCGTTGCCGTAAATGTGGCGAATTAGTAAATAGTACAGGAGGTTGTCTAATGCATCATTTAAATACGAGACATTTGCGTTTGCCGTTATTTCAATGCAAGGAGTGTAAAAAGTTTGTTTTTAGTTTTTTTTAATTTTCTGAAATCTTGTGAGGGAATTACTGTATTTGTCGGATTTTTTAAAAATATTTTCGGAACCTTAACTTTCTCCCAACCTACTCTCACATTAATTATCTCAATTAATAATGAAACATTTATAGAAAAAAATTTTTTCTTTCCCTCCTATATTGACACGAGGGGGCTACAATTTTAATTTTAACTTTTAAAACAAATTTTAATTTTTTCAGAGACTTTTATGAAGTTTCCAACACTCGTATTCACAAACATATGAGGATTTATCACAGTGGTGATACGAGCAATTTGGTCAGTAATTACGCAAAGGTTTTTTTTTAATATTTTTTAGCTATTTAATTTTTTAATATTTTAGTATTCACATACTTTACATTCCGGACGTGATAATTGTTTTGGAACTAGAGATGAACGTTTAAGAGAAATTCAACGAGAACGAGGTTTTTCTCTTTAATTTTTTTAAACAATTTTTGTTTTGTAGGATTATGCTCAAGTCTAAATTTGGACAGAAATATTGACTGTAATTTTTTTGAATTTTATGCCAAAAATTCTAAATTTTCTTCTTCAGTAACTTCATTCATTTCAACGGCTACCGGCAAAGCAACAACAACAAATAATGGAAACAGCAACAATTCCCGCCTTCCCCCAAATTCTTCTCCATCTTCTCAAAATATTGGATCGCTTCCTAAAGATAGTTTTTTACGTTCGCCAATTTCTTTTAAACAATATGGCTATGGAAATAATTCTAATAAACAATCAACTTCGCGGCACAATGGTTTTTTAATTTTTAAAAAATTCATAATTTTCAATATTAATTTTAAAATTGAGATTCTTTTCATTTATTTTCCCAGAGTCCGAAATTCGTTTTAATTTTTTTATTCTCTCAAAAGAATTAGGGTTTTGGAAGTTGTATATAACGTTGTGGTCCGGTCCGAAAGATCGAGTCGGGCATCGAATTTTGCCCGAAAAAGACTCGGTCGGCCCGATAAAAATGACTCGAAAGTCGGCCCGATTCGAAAACCCCAACTCTATTGTATATGAATACAGGCTATTTTAAAAAAAATAATATTTATGTAAATAAATGTGACTTTCCGTATAAAAAATTGACAAAACTTAACTTGGAGGAAAATAATTTTTTAAATACTTATTTTATTTTTAGACTTGCTCCAACCAGATGTATTATCTCCACACCTTTCCGGTCCTTTTAATCAGTCTGTTGAAGATTTATTTAATGGAAATATAAAAAAAGAAATTTGTAGTGGAGATGAAATGTTATTGAATGAATTAAATAAAAAGAAAAGACAAAATTTGACTGAAGAAAATTTGGAGGAATATGAGGAGGGGGAAGATGATGAATATAATGAACAAGAAGAAGTAAATAATATTATTGGAAATTTATTTAATGAAGAATTAATTGGAGGAATATTGAAACAACAACAGAAAAAACAAAATTTTGAAACAAAATTAAATGAAAAATATAATAATAACAATGAAGAAACAACATCAAATGATAAAAATACAAACAGGAATGGGAATAACAACAAAAATACAGCTATGAAACAATTGACTTCTTTACAAACACAATATCAATTAATGCAAATGGTAATTAATTTTTAATTGAAAGGGAAAATACAAATAAATATATCAGAAACACAAATAAAAATTCAGGAATTTTTTACTTTCTTTATGTTTTCCGGAAATCTCTACTCTCTTTCTTTTATCTCTGTTTTTCGGAAACTATTTCTTTAATAATTTACCTAATTTCTTTTAAAAAAATTTTATTTTTCTAATTTAATTTCATAAAAAAAGGAATTTGGAAGTGAAGAAAAAATTGAAGAAAAAGTTCCTTGCAAAGTTTGTGGTGAAATGACTGTAAACAAACAACTCAACCGTCTTAATCACATAAATACTCGGTAAGGGTGAGATATTTATTTTTAATTAATTTTCCGGAAATTATTTCATTTATTATTTTTCCTAAAAATTCCCTCCACCTTTTTGTATTTTTCCGAAGTGTTTTGATATTTTTTATGGAAAATACATCTTTTTCTTTTTTTACTAAAAAAATTCTCCGGTTTTTTGTATTTTTCGGAAGGTTTTCACTTTAAATGTATTTTTGACTGAATTATTATTTTAATTTATCCCCCCTAATTATAGTCATTTACATTTACCACTTCACCAATGCCGCCTTTGTCAAAAAGTTTTTGCTTCATATAGTCGTTCAGCTTGTTATTCACACATTCAAGTATTTAAATATTTTTTTAAAATAAAAATTATTTTTGTATTTTTTTAAGTTTGCTCATAAAGCTGACTTAGATGCTGGACTTTACAGTCAAAATATTGAGGAACATATTATTTATATGAAGGTGTGTTTCTCTTTTTAATTAAAAAAATATTTTTAATTTAAAGGAGCAATATCGTAGTCAATTGGAGGAATCGGCAAATGACTATTTTGATTAATATATTTTAAAAATAATATTTTTTGTGTGTTTTTTTGGGGATATCTTTTAATAAAATAAAAGGGAAAAATAAAGGCTATGTCAAAAAATGAAAAAAAATCTTATAAAAATTTTCCAAGAAACCTTCCGAAACATTTTTTAGTCAAAGCCTTAATTTTTAAAATCTCAACCCCTATCTGAAATTTTTTGTTTTGTTATTTTGTAAATTTGCTTGAATAAAAATTGAAATAAAAAAATTATTTATTTAAGCTTCATTCAAAATTTATTTTCGAAAAAATTGAAAAATTTTTAAAAAATATTCTTTAAACGAATATCAGTATGTCTTAATTGTTTGTGTCTTTTAGTAACTATTGGGTTGTTTTGGAAGAAGTAAATGGGTGAAACAATTTTCTCAGCCTTTCCGGCCCTAGCCAATATCCACGAACGAGTAATAACCAATAAAGTGGGGGCATTAAATAACGTTTCATCAGATAGGAAATTCTTTTTAAAAATTTTTAGATTTTTTAATGTCTAGTTATTTTGTATCCTCAAAATCCTCAACTTTTTATATGCAAGTCATTTTCTTAAGAAGATAATTTTTAAGACAATTATACAGTCGTTAGTAGAATCTGAAATTGCGCCAATTACCGAATTTTAACGAGAACGAGAAAAACAATTTAAAAAATGACTTGTGGATAAAAAGTTGGGAAATAATTTTGAGAGAAAATTTTTAAAAAACAGGTCTCCCTCAGATCAATTAGAATTGTCAGAGTTTGGAACCGAACAGAAGAGTCGAAGGAAGAGTAATTATTTACTTACCTTCTTGGTTTGCTCTGATCAAAAGGAAATGTTTCAAGAGGACCATTAGGTGTAAACTCTGCCAAAATAACACGTTTTCTGTCTACTAGTAAAGGACAGGAAGAATATCCATCATAAAATTTTGTTAAATTATTTCCTTCCATCGCTGAGAGTAAATTTGGGAAAAGTGTTTTTAATTGGCTTGCTTTAATTTTGAAAGAAAAAAATATTTTTTTATTTTTAAAATTTCCCCTTACATACGGCAGCCGCTGTCTTTGCATTTGGAGTATTTGCACAGTCCCCAATTGCAAAGATGTTTTTATATGTGGGTGATTGTAGGGTTTTTGGATCAACTTAGAAAAATTTCTTTATTTTAATTTTCTTCTTTTTCATTTATACCTTTAACAAATCCTTGTGCATCTGTCAAATTATTTTCTTTTTGTTGGGCATGGTTCCGTAATTCACTAACGGGTGAACAGGGAGCTCCAATATGTAAGAGATTATACTGGGAAAGAATTTTTTTAATTTCTTTTTTTCAATTTTACCTTAAATTCTACATCCTTCCCTTTAATTACTTGTCCATTCTCGTCTAATGTTTGAAATGTAGCAATCCTTTTATCTACTTCTACTTTAGCCAGGTTTAAGCGTGTAAACAATTCTATCCCTCTATCTTTTATAACTGACATTAGAGCATTTGAATATCTAGTTAAATTATACGTAGTTAAATTAATATAATGTATTTTCCGGAAATTATATTCTTTCCGGAATTGTATTTCTATATTACTCTTTCCGGAAAATATATCTTTTATTTCTTAATTTTATACTTTCCTTCTTATTGGTATTTCCGGAAGAGTTTATTCTGTTTTTCCCTTATATTTACTTTTCCGGAATGATGTATTTTGCTATTTTATTCAGTTTACTCCTGTTTCGTATTTTTGTATTTTAACATATTTTCCGGAATTCCTTTTTAAATCCGCTTACTTTGGAACACCAAAAACTGCTCCCAAAGAAGTGCAGTAAATCACTCTACTACCTTCCCGAACTCCTCTTTCTCTAAATATCTTTAAAAAATATTTTTTTTAATTTATTTCTTAATGATTACTTACATCTTCTGCCAAATAACAAATTTTTTGTGGTGCCCCTCCACACTTTATTGGGGTATTTGGAAAACTGAATATTGCATTTTGTCCTTTTGAAAATGTTTTTATTTCTGCCAGTGTTTTTATTGCTCCATCGGGAAAATAAATTGAACAAATGCCTGGTGCTTCTAATACTGATTTTTGTCCATGAGGTAATCCCTCGATCTTTTATTTAAAAATTAAATTTCTGATTTTGTTTTTCTCATTTTTTCTATAACATTTTGAAAAAAAATTTTCTATGTGTTTTGCTGTATTTTTCCGGAAATTATTTTCTTTTGTTTCTATTTAATTTATTTTCACTGAGGCTTTTCCGGAAATCTTTTTTATTTATTTATTTTCCGGAACTTTACTTCTCTGATTTTTCCGGAACTCTATATTTTATCTATTAATTTTCCGGAATTTTTCCTATTCAATGTTTTATCTGCTTTAATTTCCGGAATTTATATTTCTTTTTTCTCTAACTACTTACCAAGTCATATCTCAACTCTAATCCAGTCGCTATCACCATATAATCATAAGTTAACTGCATATCTCCTTCATTTAATGTTAAACGATTCTCTGCTGGAGAGAACGATCTAACTGCATTTTTAACCCAATCCACTCCCTCCGGGATTAATTTATATTCATTTCTTATTAATTGAGAAGGTTTCATTAATCCAGCAGCGAGTAAAGTTAATCCGGGTTGATAAAAATGCTTCTAAAAATTTTTTAGAAATTAAAAAATAATTTTTTGTTAACCATATTAGGCTCTATAATTGCAATTTGGTGTTGTTTTGGAGGTAATAAACGAGAAATTTTTGATGCTATCGCGCAACCACCTGTACCTCCTCCTACCACTATAAGACGATAATGTTGCTCTTAAAACTTAAATTTTATTTTTATTTGGATACTTTTTACCTTTAGCTAAAATAGTGCTGAATTTCATTTTATTTTTAAAAATTTTAATGATTGGGGAAAGAGTAAATATAAATATGTAGTGTTGGTAAATAAAAATGTGAAGGGGAGAAAAAAAATAGAAAATTGATTTTCTTTTATTTATTTAGAGGGGTCAAAGATTTAAGTTCAAAAATTATTTTTGAAGAAATTTTTTTATTTTTTAAAAAAGTTTTTGATTTTCTAAAAATATTTTTTACGGATTTTCTTCTTCTCTGAAAGGTTGAAATTTGATCGTATTTTTTTAATTGAATGTCCCCCTCCACCTCTCTACTAGAATACCCCTTTTGAAGGTGATTGAAAAATTGAATGCCCGAACATTCAGTATTAGAAGAATCTGATCCTGTATTCTTTTTATTATTTTCATAAAAACGCAAATTAATGTACTATAATGGATGTAGATATTAATTACTTTGATTCTTCCTTCTCATTTTTACCGGAACATGAACAACTTCTTGGAATTTCTTCTTTTTCTACCCCTACAAAATCTTCTCTTACAGATTATGCAAAATTGTGAGTTTTTATTTTTTGTCAGAATTATTATTTTTTACAAAAATAACGCGTGATCTATTTTAGGAGATTAATTTTTGTCTTTTAGTTTATTCTGGGGTTTTTACAAGCAAATAAATTCTATATTTTGTAGAGAAATAAAATAAGGATTTTTTATCTCTTATTTAAGTGAATTAAATTAATATAAAAATTTTCCTGATGGAAAATACCAGAAAAAGAACAAATACATCCAGAAATACAACCGGAAAGAAAATACAAAAAATATTTTAATTTTCTCCCTATTCTGATTTTTCCGGAAAGTTTTCTTTTTCCCCCAAATTTTCTTTTGTGTTTGTTAAATAAAAAATAAACTTTGACGAAAAACGTCAACGGTTTTTCGATTGATTGTGTATTTACATCTTTTAATATTTTTTTTTAAATTTTTATCAAGTCATGTGGACTAGACTGTTTTAATTTTTAAAAATAAATTTAAATAAATAAATATTATTTTACATAAATAATTAAATTTATTTTTAAAATTAAAAAAATTTTTTATTATACATATTCAAAGCTTTTTTACTGGATATATTATTAAATTTCATTTAAGTTTTTCTATTTACTATTTCAGAATTTAAATTTAATTATTTTCTTTCCGGAATTTTTTCCCCTTTTGTTTTCTAATTTTGTATTTTTTTCTCTTAGCGTTTCCGGAAAGTTTATTTATTTTTGTGTTTTATATTGCCGAGAGTGTCTACAACAATAAACATTAACCATTTTTAATCTTTCGATTAAAATAAATAAAAATAAAATATTTACACAAAACGTTAAATTTTTTATTACATTTCTTTTAAAAATTAAAAAGAAAAAATTTTTGAATAATTCTTATCATTCATATTTTAATTTTGCTATTTAATGACGGGGAAAAGTCATGTAAATATTTTATAAATAAATTCTGTTATTATTATCACCCACGTTAAATGTGTGCTTTAATTTAAGGAAAATTTTTTTTGAATTAAAATTGATCAAAATTCTTTAATTTTATTTATTTACATCCCCCTTAAATTCTGTCTTAATTTTTTTTTCAAAACAAAATCTTTCAAAAATAATTTATTAATGACCAAAAACTAACTTCCTTTATTTGTACTTGAAAATAAAAAATAAATTCTTTTTCTTTTTTTTGTCAAAATAAATTAATTTTTAATTACTAAAATGTCTATTAAAATCCACCCAAAAATTGTTGTAGACACTGGAAATGAGAGAAATGAAAAAAATACAAAAATACAAAAGTATTTTTTAAAAAAAATATTTTTTTAAATTTAATTTCAAAATTAAATTTAAATATTTTTTAAAGCGACAAAAGCAACGAAAATAGTAATTATTGTAGTAATAACGCTTCAAATTCTGCTTCATTATACTTTTCGACACAGCATAAACAATTTAGGGTAAAACAAGCAATTAATTAATAATTAAATTTAAAAAATATATAAATGATATAATAGAACTTGAAAAATTAAATCTGAACAAGAAAAATTAAATTTGGGTAGTACTTATCGGTTTTCCACCGAATTTGATCGGCTTCAACTTTTTAATGTTTAATCCTTCACAAATAAATCTTTTATCATTCGAAAGCCCCCGATAAGAGGAATATTTTTTTCAACTTAATGGATCAAGTCTAATCACTCGTTTTAATGTTATAATTCAATAAATGCGAAAAACACCAAATAATTAAAAATTTTAAAGCAAAATTAATTAAGAATAAATATTTCTTTTCTTCACAGAGATCAATGGCACAAGATGCCGAAGACGGTCCAGATTTCCTCGATGTAGAACAAAATGGGTGGGATTTAAATTCACCCCCTTACAACAACAATACAAGTCGACCTCCAATGAATCAAGTGGAAAAGAATTTTTAATTTAAAAAATAATAATTTTAATTTTCTAGGACGAATTCGATAAACGTTTCTGTTACCGGACTCCTCGAAGCTCAAATATTTTAAAAGAGCGGGCTTCAGCTTTGTTGCGATATTATTATAGACCTTGTTTGTCTACTAGAAGCTTAACAATTTTCTTTTTAAAGTTGAAAAAAAATAATAATTTTTTTTAATTTCCCCTTTTCTTCCCTCTAGCTTCTTCCCAATTTTACAATGGTTACCAAACTATGAATGGAAAAATTGGTTTGCTTCGGATATTATTGGGGGAATTGTAACGGGTGTTATGCACGTACCTCAGGGTTAAAAAAATAAAATAAATTATTTAAAAAATTTAAATAAAGGAATAGCCTATGCCCAATTAGCTGGGGTTGATGCTGTTGTTGGTTTATACACTTCATTCTTCCCTCCTTTAATCTACATGTTTTTTGGTACTTCTAGGCACAATTCTATCGGTAAAATAAATACTGTAAATGCTCTAAAGAAAGCACATGTGCTTCTATTTTTCAATCCTCTCGTAGGATGTGCTTCTATTAGAGACTGCTCTTCAATTAGAGCTTTTACGGTAAACTTGAAACAAATATTTAAATAAACTTGAAGCAAGCCTTTTAATTAACATAATTCCGCCTGCTTCAACTTTTTTTTATAAATTTCAATTTCTTTTTCAGGCTCCTTTGCTGTTGTAGCCCTAATGAGTAATGTTGCAATGAATAGATTATTTGACGCTAGGAGAGAATTGTTTAACAATTTTAATAATGCTTCAGATTTAAATGTTTTTAGAGCTTTATTTAATTATTCTCTAATTATTTTCTTAAAGACTTCCCCTCTTTCCCCTATAATTGTTTCTTCAACACTAGCTTGCTGCATTGGTCTAGTTACTTTAGCAATGGGGATTTTAAGGCTTGATATGATTAGCACTTATTTTTCTGATCAAGTAAAATTAAATTAAAATTATTTTAAAAATAAAATTTAAATAATTTTAGGTAGTTGCTGGTTTCACTACGGGTGCTTCTGTTCACGTTTTTGCTGCTCAACTAAAATTTATTTTTGGACTTTCTAGGTTACCGGCGAGGTCTGGGGCTGGGAATTTAATTATGGTGAATTAATTATTTGTTTAGACTAATAAAAATTTTTTGTTTCAGAAATTTTATGATATTTGCAAAAGAATTCCTCAAATACACATTCCAACCTTTACAGTTTCTGTCATTTCTATAAGCAAGTTTATAATTTATTTTTTAAAACTTAATTGTTGAAGCAGGCGGAATTATAAAGCAAATTTCCGCCTGCTTCAAGTTTTTTTTAATAAATTAATTTTTTTTAGTTTTGTTATGTATTGGAAAGGAGGTGAAAATTAATTTAAAAAATATTTTTTTAATTATTTTATTTTTTTAAAGTTTTTAAATCCTTTGCTAAAGAAGAATTTTAAATTAAATGTTCCCATCCCCTTTGAATTATTTTTAATGGTCCTCGGCACTTTTTTGTCCTTTTTATTTCATGGACATTCCAAATTTGGACTGGAAATTGTTGATCATATCCCTGCAGGGTAAAAGAAAATATTTGAAAATTAAAAAAAATAATTTAAAGAATTCCAACTCCGATATTGCCTGATTTAACGTTGTTGCCTGAATTGCTTCCGGATGCGATTGCTATTGCTGCTGTGGTGTGTTTTTACAAGTTTTTAAAGTTTTTAGAGAAATGCATGAATAATTAGTAGACATTCCGGAAAATAGAAATAATCAAAAATACATACTTTCCGGAAAATACACAAATTCCGGAAATTTTTTGTATTTTATTTTTCTGTCTTTCTACTTAACTTTGTCTTTAAGGTTATGGCCGTTCATATTTCCTTAGCAAAAATCATTGCAAAAAAGAAGTGTTATCGTGTTGATCCTGGACAAGTAAAACAATTCTTTTAGCAATTCCTCAATTTCAATTTTCAGGAGCTTTTTGCCCTCGGATTTTCCTCAACCCTTTCTTCCTTCTTCCCAGTCTATCCCGTCTCTTGTTCACTCGGTAGAACTTTGGTTAATGTCGAAGCTAACACAAAAACTCAGCTTTCCACAATTTTTTCTTGTACTTTTTTGGCTGCCGTAATTCTTTATTTTGGCCAATGGCTTCGGACATTGCCTATGGCATGTTAACATTTTTTGCTTTTATTCTTATCAATTTTAGTGTATTCTTTCTTCAATTATTATCGTTGCACTTAAAGGCATTTTTCGCAAGATTGCCGACTTGCGAAGACTTTGGCCTCTTTCTCGAATTGATTTTTCAATTTGGCTAGTTAGTTTTGTTTCGACTGTATGTTGGGATGTTAGTCAAGGATTGGTTATTTCTATTGGTGATTAATTAATTTTTTTGAAATTTAATTTTTGTAAATTTTTAGGGTTTGCTTTACTCACTACAGGTGAATTTAATTTAAATGTAGAAATTCCGGAAACTTTTGGAAAAAATACAAAATTTGGGCAATAAATGAATAATTCCGGAAACTGTATTTTAATAAAATACTTTTACTCCTTTCAGTTTTCCGTACCCAATGGCCTCGTTGGCATTTTTTGGCAAATCTTTCCGGTACAAACGATTTTCGAGATGCAGAACGATACGAGCTTATACACACTTTTCCTGTAAATTTAAAAATTAATTTAATTGAAAATTATGTATTTTTTGAAAGGGAATTTGTATTTTTCGATTTGATTCGCCTCTACTTTTTACAAATGTTGACAATTTTAAAGTAAATTTTGGAAAATTTACTTAAAATTTAAATATTTTTAGGAAACAATTCACAAAGCTTTTCAACGTTGGAAACGTTATCAGGGAGCTCAACTTGGATTGCATGTTGTGGGGAGTACTTTAAGGTTAAGACAAACAACTTCAACTCCTTCACTTCAAATATTTACAAAACTGGTAGTTCTTTTGTAAAATTAAATTCAAATTAATTTTTTAGGGTTCAAATGGAATTGTTGTCCCCGCTAATTTGTCACCTAAATCAAACTTGCAGCGAAAACGGGATGATGATGAACATAACCGTAAATTTTTAATTATTGTAGTTTCCGGAAATGTTATTTCTGGAATTTATGTATTAATTTCGGAATGTAGTTTCCGGAATTGTAGGCTCCAGAAATTGTTATTTCTTTATTCTTTCCGGAATTTTTAAGAAATACTCTCTAGTTTATTTACTCCGGTTACTTTTATGTTTATTTTGCTTCCGGAATATTATTTCCGGAATTATTTGTTTGCTTCTAGTTTTAAAGTTATTATTTATAAACAATACTTACTTTCCGGAATTTGTGTATTTCTTCTATTTCCGGAATGTTTATATTTCTGTATTTTCTATACTTTTTATATTAAGAGAATGAACGTCAACCGGAAGATGAAAATAATGAAACAAAAACTGAAGCATTTTCTCAAAGTTTTGAAAATCAAAAAACTTTGGAAAAAATTGGTAAAAAATATTGGGAACATTTTTACTAAATTTATTTCTTTAAAGGTTCCTTTGACAGTCCCCAACATTTACATTTTATAGTAGATTGTTCTGGTTTTACTTTTGTTGATTGTATGGGGGTTAATGCTTTGAAGGAGGTTTTGAGGGAGGAGGGAAATTAAATAAAAATTTATTTTTTAATCAGATTTTTACTGAAATGCGTCAACAACGTGTTAGAGTATATTTTGCAGCGGCTAAAGGTTTAAAAAATATGAAGCAAAATATATAGAAAATAAAATAATTAAAAATTAATTTAAACATTTTTTGTTTCATTTTCAGCCCCAGTTCGCGATTTATTCGAAAAATGCGGATTTTATGAATATGTCCCAAAACGCAATTTTTACCCAACAATTAGAGATGCTGTTGCTATTGCTAGAATGAGAAGGAACGCGTAAATATATTTTTTTCTTTTCTAATTTTCTTAAAAAATATTTAGTTCTTCACAAAATTTATTGGACGAATCAGTTATTCATCGTGTATATGATGAAATTGAAACAATGCAGATAACACAACCAGAACAATAAAAATAAATAATGATTGATTTTTAATTGAAAAAATTGTTGTGAATACATATTTTCCACATTTATTGATGCTCATTAACTAACTAAATATGCTAGCTCTTTTTTTTAATAATTAATTAATTAATTAAACTTGCTTTCCTTTCTCCCTGTGAACAATTTTTATTCTATTTTTTAATTTCTTCTCTTTTTCCCAATAAAGTGTTTATCGTTTATTTTAATTTGTTTAAAAGGCAAAATTATTTTTTAAATTATTTTCTGTTTTATTTTTTCAAACATTAATAAAAAACCATTTACTATATCGCTTTTTAAAATCAAGACACAATTGTAAAAACAGGTGGGTGTTTTTATTTTTCATGACCGGCTATTCATTCAATTTTTAAATGCGCGCGATATTTTATCCATGTCTCTTTTTAGTGTTTAAAGGAGAATAAAAATGCTAGAGTTTATGATTAAAAAATTGGGCCGTTTTCTTGTAAAGTCCGTTCCAAAAAATTTAGACACCTCCAAATTTTTCGGATAAATTTTGGGAGTATCTAGATTTTTTAGAACAGACTTTATATCCTTCCCCAATTTTTCTCCCCCCCCTCAATATCAATCTATAAATATCTACCTACCCCGTCATTTACATAAATTCTTCTTTTTTTTTTGAATAAATTGTAGATGGAATTTGGCGTTCATTTTATTTTATTTTTGTTGTTATTTTGTGTGTTCAAAATCAAGGTCATATGCTAGAGTATATGTAGATAGAATGTTTGGGACGTTTTCTCTTTCCTTGTTTTTAATGTTGTGTTCATTCCAATCATTTTTTTATTTCCACAGTTGAGAAAAGTGTATATTTGGATTTGTAATATACAAAAATTAATGAATCATTTTTTTCTTGTCTTTATTTTTAGATTAAGAAAAGATTGAGAATTTGCTAGAAAATTTTTTGGGGGTTGATTTTTGGAGGTGATTAATAGAAAAATTATTTGAGAATTTTGGGTGTTGTCCGCAAAATTCAGTCCGCAAAAAAAGCATTTTCACCCAGACCTGGCCATGGATACGGATAACATCAGGATATCCGTGGATATATCTGGATACGGATAGCAAAATCCGTGTCCCTGGCCAGGTCTGTTTTCACCCTTCAGATTATTTTCAATTTTGAATTTCTAGTAAATTTAATTTTGTCCTATCAAATATTTTTTTATTTTTAGAATTTATGCATTTATTTTAGTGATTTTTAACTGTCTTTCTCTCTACTCATTTTTTGAAAAATAAATTATTCCAATTCTGTTTATTTTTGAATATTTTCTACTAATTTTTAGTGGTAAAAATTTATTTAAATGACTCATAAAATATTCGCGTGCCTTTTTTTATTGTTTAGCTGTAAAATCGTTTTTCACAGTTGTCCATCCATATTTTTAAAGACGATTAATCACTCTAAAATGTTAAAAATATTTTTTTTATAATTGTTCCCAATATCTTCGATTGTTTTTTTTATTTATGTAACTAGAAAATAAAATAAGCCTTCCAGGTGGCATTTTGGTGTAGTGGTCTAGCGTTTCGTCTCTCTCATGTAGAGGGGGAAGGTTCGAATCCAAGTGGTGAGAAAAGCATTGGAAAAGCATTTCTCTTTTGTTTTTTTCTTTTAGAAAGACAAATAGTTTTCTAAAATAATTTTAAAAAATAAACTGTGAGACAAGATTTACCTGAAACTCTAAATGAGAGATAACTAATTTTTTTACCTTTTTTCATAAAATTATCCTTCTATAAAAGCACTTGTCTTGTCTGTAATTATAAAAATACAAAAATCCCAAGCCAATCTTCCCTTCCTTGTATGAAAGAAAAATGAAAATCGATCGTTAGTCTCTCTCTCTGTTTTAACCTTTAGTCATCTACTAGCAACTCTAAATAAAAAAAAATATTTTCTTCTTTTTTTTTTCTTCAACTTTTTTGTAATTCACAACATTTTTTGCTTTATGAGAAATCTTCAGAAAAAAAAAGTTTTTTTTGAATTTTGTAAAAAAATTTTGTTTTGGGGTGATTCACTTCATTTTTGTGTCATTTTAAGACGAAAAACTTTTTTTTGGACTCCACCTTTTTTTGAACAATTGAAAGGGGTTTTAAAAAACGTTTAAAAACGTAACAAATATTTTTTTAACCCTTTTTTTTTATTTTTTGAAAGGTTTTTTTTGTTAATTTGCCCTTTTCTTTTTGTTTGCTCATCCTTTTTCTCGAGAATATTGTTCGTGTTTACTTTGGTCGAGTGGGGAAGGTCCTGGTTGGCTCAGCAGAAGGGGATGCAGGTTCGAATCCCTCTCCGAGATATTTTTTTTCTTTTTGTGTTTTTTATTCAAAAATAATGTTTAAAGGTTAAAAAAATTTTTAAAACATTTATTTTTATTTTATTTTTTTCAATCTTTCTTTAAAATAGTTTTTATTTTGTAAATTTTACTAAAAAAATTTCAATTTTTTAAGGAATTCATTCACTTAAAGGTGACGTTTTTTAGTGTTTAATCAATTAATTTCTACATTTATTTAAATATTTCACCCTAAATTGATTAGAAAATATTTTTTATCAGTTCACATTTTTTATTTTTTAATTCCTTTATTCCCTCCATTTTTCTTTATTCCCCCCCATTTATTATTCATTTTTTAAAACATTTGTTGACTTTACAATAAAAATTCTTTTTTTCTTCTTTTAAATCATTTTTAACAATCTATTTAACTGTTTTTATTTCCTTTTTTTATTTTTATACAATTTTACACTTCTAAAGGGACAAATAGATTATTTTAATGATTTTTTTGGTTTTCTCAAATTTTCTAAAATTATTTCTGGACATAGGCGCGCGGCCATAACGGCACAAAGCCATAATTTGCTGGAAAATTTATGGCCCTTATCAATTTTGGTACCAATTTCTTTAGTTCGATGAGAGGAATAAATTTGGTAAGATTCGGAAATCTTGAAGCAAGTTATGGCTTTGTGCCGTTATGGCCGCACGCCTACTTGGGCTGTACCCCCAATTTTCAGTTAATTTCTTTTTTCCTTTCAGTTCTTTCTAAAAAAATTAAATTATTTATTTATTTATTCGACCTAAAACAACAAAAAGAAAATGTTGAATGGGGGAATTGGTAACAACAACAACAAAAATGAGGATGGGGGAGGAGGACCTCTTGCTGCTCGTATGCGCATTACTGACCCAATGTTGCAAGCTGAATGGGCCAAAAAACGTCTCATTTGGGTTCCACATGAAACTGAAGGTTTTGTAAAAGCATCGATAATTAGTGAGGATGCTGATACTTATACTGTTGAATTTGTTGAGAATGGACATCAATTACGTTTAAGTAAAGATGATTGTCAAAAAATGAATCCTCCAAAGTTTGACAAGGTTTATTTAGTTTTTAATTTTTAAGGGTTAGCTAGTTGGTTTGGAGAGGGGGGGGGTTGTTGGTTAGGGGGAAGGAGGTTGGGACTTGAAAACAAAAATTGATGATTTCTCTGCTAAATTTCTGTTATCGTTTAAACAGAATAGGGGCAATCCAGGTTTTGGTCAAAAGAGGGCCCTTAGTTGGATACTTGTTGGTTTGTAACATTAATGAACTGGGTAGAGAAAAAAAAGTTGGGGTTTTCGAATCGTATCTTCAAAATTTTCTTTGGATCTTTACACTTATTTAGGCTTTTATAATTTTTCGGTTGTCTTGGCTTCCTATAACTCCTTGGGGTCTTCATTTCTTTCCACAATTCAAAAGAATTTTTTTCAGGTTGAGGATATGGCTGATCTCACGTGCCTTAACGAGCCTTCAGTTTTTGACAATTTAAAGCAGCGTTATTATTCTGAATTAATTTATGTATGTTTTTTTGGGTTTTTTAAAAGATTTTTGTTTAAATATTTTAGACATATTCTGGGTTGTTTTGTGTTGTTATGAATCCATATAAAAAATTGCCAATTTATTCTGAGGCTGTAATTGAGTCTTATAAAGGAAAGAAACGTAATGAACGTCCACCTCATGTTTTTGCTATTGCTGACTGTGCTTATAGATCGATGCTTCAAGGTTTGTTGAAAAATTCTGATTTTTATGGATGGTTTAAAACTAGGTTTTGAGAGGTAAATCTATATGACTATTGGGGATATAAAAATTGTTTGACTTTTGAAGAACAAAAGGAAAAGCCTAATTCTGTGCTTATTGGCTTTGAGTAGATTACGCGATTTTACTTCTTTCAAAATTATTTTCTTCTACAAGACACTTTCTGACCAAATTATAACATTTAAGCCTAAAATTCTTTTCAAAAAACTTTTTTAAAGATCATGAAGACCAATCAATTTTGTGTACCGGAGAATCGGGTGCAGGCAAAACAGAAAATACTAAAAAAGTAATTCAATATTTGGCTCATGTTGCTGGGGCTACAAGGCTTGGACATCATAATAAATTAGTTAATACCTCAACTTCCAACGGTCTTTTGTGTTCTTCTCCAGCTAGAAGCCATTCTAGTGTTGATCAGATTAATTTGGTTGGGGAATTGGAACAACAACTTTTACAGGCAAACCCAATATTGGAAGCTTTTGGAAATAGCAAAACTGTCAAAAATGATAATTCTTCGAGATTTGTTTGTTTTTTCTTTAAAATATTATGGATTTTTTTGGGATTGTGGGGATGATTTTTAATTTAATATTTGGGAATTATGGATATATGATCCCTATTTTTTATCAATGTTTTCCGTTAAAATTGGTCTACTCCCAGTTCCCACCCAACATTTTTAGGATAGCCCCGACCTCCTACTTTTCATTTTCCGCCATCTCCGTTCAAATAAAAAGTTCTCCTCGACATCTATGACCACTTCTACTGTCCGTAAACGAAAAATTTGCAACGAATTCTCCATTGTCCATTTAGAGACCTAATTTTTCAAAAAAATTATATATGTATCGATCGAAACTAAAATTTTTTCGAGATTTTAATCATCAATATTCTTTAATTCTTTTAAAATTATTTTAAAATTTAAAGGGAAAATTTATTCGAATCAATTTCGATTTGGCTGGTTATATTTCTGGTGCTAATATTGAATTTTATTTGTTGGAAAAATCTCGTACATGTCGTCAAGCAAATGATGAGCGTTCATTTCATGTATTTTACCAATTTTTGCGTGGAACTTCTGCAGAGGAAAAAGGTTTTGGATTTTTCAAATTATTTTTGAATTAAAAATTTGGGAAAATTGAGACCATTTAAAAGGGTTTGAACTAGGGTTGGTCCCCGACCCCGACTAACCCCGACCCCGACCCCGAAATTTTTTGACCTAAAACCCCGACCCCGACATTCCCAACCCCGAAAACCCCGACCCCCGAAAGTTCGACCCCGACGACCCCGAACCCCGAAAAATTTTTATGCCCCCGACTCAAACTGCATTAATTAACTAGAGATCGGAACGGGATCGGGACTTTGATGCTAAATATATGAAGGAAAAGGGAAAGGAATATTTATATTTTCTCCTGTTTCCTTTTGTTGGTCGATGGTTGAGTGGTTAGGTTAACTGACTTCAGCCATCTAGCTATTTTGATAGGAATGTTGTTCGAATCCAGGGATGAAAATAAGGCTGAGAAAATTTTTCTTCTCAAAAATAAATATTTTTAAACTATGATCTTGATTTTAAATTTGCAAATTTATTTTTTTAAATATTTTAAACTTGAAACAATATTAAAAATTTTAAACTAGTCATGAATTTTTCAAAATTTTCGCCTGCGGTGCAGAAAATTGAAGAAATCTGTCTCTTGGCTTTCCAAAATTCTCAAAATTTTTGCCTGCGGCGCTAGACTCAATGAAGGGATACAGAGGCTTTAGGAGAAATTGATGGATAGATGGATTTCTCCCGTTATCCTTGCAACTCCCCGATATCCCGTCAAATCCTTCTAAATCCCATTATATCCATCTTAATCCTCTGATATGCCTTCATATCCCCTCAATCCCTTTACATAAGAGGTGGAGTAAGAGTTACCTTGTGGGTTTGGGGATTTTGGGGATTATGAAGGATAACTTGGATAAAGTACTTCTTGCGCCTTCAACTTATCACGAATTAGATACAGAAAGTGAAGATAATGAAGATTAAGTTGATTTTTTAATAAAAATGTTGATTTTGAACAGTAATTTTGGATAAAAATGCTGGATTTTGTAAATTTTCACTTCAACCCCGACCCCGACCCCGAACCCCGATATTATTTTCAGCCCCGACCCCGACCCCGAACAATTTGAGCAACCCCGACCCCGACCCCGACTTTGTCAACCCCGAAAACCCCGACCCCCGACTTTTCCAACCCCGAAGGCTCGGGGACCAACCCTAGTTTGAACCCGTGACTATGTAGTGATAAAAGTGTTATGTGGTTGTGACAGGTTTTGAGGAAATTTTTGAACATTACTGCGAATCTGATCAAGATGACATTATTTTTATTGTTTACTGAGAAAGAGTTTCAACCCTATGATTATAGGGGCATCGCCTAAATCATTTAACCATGAGTGATTTTTTCCAAATTTTATTAATTAAAGCCCAGTCTAAAATTTTTGACATGAGTGATAAAAAATTTAAAAAATAATTTTTAAATTTTTCAGCAAGCTTTTTGCTCGAAGATGTAAGTAAATACAAATTTTTGCAAAATGGTTATATTACATTACCAAATGTTGATGACGCTGCAGAATTTCACAATACAATTCGTTCAATGAAAATTATGGGCTTTCATGATGATGAAATTAATTGTATTTTTTTTAATTAAAAAATTTTTTAATTTAATTATTTAGCTGTTCTCCGTGTTGTTAGTGCTGTTCTTTTGCTTGGAAATATTGAGTTTAAACAGGAGAAGAATAGTGACCAGGCAACTCTGCCTGATGATACAGGTTTATAAAAATAGTTTTTTGTTTAAAAATTTGTTAGAAATTAATTTTAAATTAATTTGAACCTGAACGGGTTAAAAATTTTACCCTCTATCGGACTGATAGTCGGTAAAAATTTTTCTGAATTTTTAGCTAAAATTTTTAGTTTTAAAAATTTTTAGTTGCTCAAAAAATTTGCCATTTGCTTGGCCTTCCTGTCGCCGATTTTACCAAAGCATTCCTTCGCCCTCGCATTAAAGTTGGGCGTGAACATGTACAAAAAGCTCAAAACAAAGAACAAGCTGAATTTGGAGTTGAGGCAATTGGGAAAGCTTGTTATGAGAGAATGTTTAAATGGTTGGTTAGCCGAATCAATAAATCGTTGGATCGAACAAGGCGAACTGGAACATCGTTTATTGGAATTTTGGATATTGCTGGATTTGAAATATTTAAATTGAACAGTTTTGAGCAGCTTTGTATTAAGTATATATTTTTTATTTTAAAATTTATAATAGGAAATAAGGGGGGAGGGGGATGGATTGTTGAATGAGTTAAAACTTATGGTTATTATAATCCGATATTTTGACTAAATAATTCACTGTATTTTGTGAACTATTCGCAAAATTTGGCCACAGATTTTTATTTTATTTTTTCAGCTATACAAACGAGAAATTACAACAACTTTTCAACAATACAATGTTTGTTTTGGAGCAAGAAGAATACCAGCGAGAAGGAATTGATTGGCAATTTATTGATTTTGGGTTAGATTTGCAACCTACAATTGAGTTGATTGAAAAGGTTTTTTTAATTAATTCTGGCTTTTGTAATAAGTTGAGGTACTTTTTTGCTGACAAATTTTCATAATTTTTGTCATTTTTGAAATTCATCTGAAGTTATTCAATTATTTTTCTAAATAAATGACAAGTAAAGAAGGGAAAGAGAGTCTAACCTTTTTAAATCTCACAAAATTAAATCACCTCAATTTTCTGTCTTAATTTTGGGTGTCAATTGGATTATTTAATATTTTCAAAATACAATTTTTTAATCTACAAAAAGGTTATCCATATGAAAAATCTCAAGAATTATTCTTAAATATTCACCTCTTCATTGCAATTGCTAAAAGTATTTTTTTATTTTTCTAGCCAACAGGAATTCTCGCATTATTAGATGAACAATGTATTTTCCCTAAAGCTACAGACAAATCTTTTGTTGAAAAATTGTTTACTTATCATGAAAAACATGAAAAGTTTGTTGTTCCAGAAATGCGATCAAAATCAGATTTTGCTGTAATGCATTATGCGGGTAGAGTTGATTATTATTCTGATAAATGGTTAATGAAGAATATGGACCCTTTGAATGAAAATGTTGTACAATTAATGCAAAATAGTACTGATCAATTTTTGGCTGGGATATGGAAAGATGGTAAGGAGAGATTTTTCTTTGATATTTAAGAATAAGTATACAGTACTGCACAAAAGTATAAGAACACTTTCAAAAAGCTTATAACTTGGGACATACTTGACAAAATTTTAGGAAATTTTGTGTAAATGTGTGGATTATAAAGAGAAACACGATTAAATAATTAAAATTTTAAATTTTTTAAAACATCTCTCCAAAACTTAAAATTATTAAAATTTCGCGTTTTTTTACTGCACAAAAGTATAAGAACACTTTATAAAAAAGATACTTCCAAGATTAGGAAAAATTTACAAAAATTCTAGCGAGCATACATAATGATATTATGAAAAAATAAAAAAGAACTAGACTCATATCTTTACCCGGAGCCGAGATCCCGAAACCCCGAAAATCAACGTAAAACAGGGGTTTTCAACTTTAAAAAATATTTTCGACCCCTTATGGATTACTTTAAATTTTGATTTTGGGCTCATTCGAAAGCCCTTAAAATTTGCTACAAGATAGCAACAATCTTATTTTTCAGAAAAAATTTTAGAGAAAGAAGCAGGCATTAAACTTTTTATGCAGAAAAAAACGCCTTAATGCCCCATAAAATTCCCCTTAAGGTCGCTTCCGAAGTTTGAATGCATGTACCTCCCTATAAAATTTTTTCATAAAAATAAGATTGTTGCTATCTTGTAGCAAATTTCAAGGGCTTTCAAATGAGCCCAAAATAAAAATTGAAAATAATTAGTAAGGGGTCGAAAAATTTTTTTAAAGAGCCTTACCCCCGTTTTACGTTGATTTTCGGGGTTTCGGGATCTCGGCTCCGGGTAAAGATATGAGTCTAGTTCTTTTTTATTTTTTCATAATATCATTATGTATGCTCGCTAGAATTTTTGTAAATTTTTCCTAATCTTGGAAGTATCTTTTTTATAAAGTGTTCTTATACTTTTGTGCAGTAAAAAAACGCGAAATTTTAATAATTTTAAGTTTTGGAGAGATGTTTTAAAAAATTTAAAATTTTAATTATTTAATCGTGTTTCTCTTTATAATCCACACATTTACACAAAATTTCCTAAAATTTTGTCAAGTATGTCCCAAGTTATAAGCTTTTTGAAAGTGTTCTTATACTTTTGTGCAGTACTGTATACTTATTCTTAAATATCAAAGAAAAATCTCTCCTTACCATCTTTCCATATCCCAGCCAAAAATTGATCAGTACTATTTTGCATTAATTGTACAACATTTTCATTCAAAGGGTCCATATTCTTCATTAACCATTTATCAGAATAATAATCAACTCTACCCGCATAATGCATTACAGCAAAATCTGATTTTGATCGCATTTCTGGAACAACAAACTTTTCATGTTTTTCATGATAAGTAAACAATTTTTCAACAAAAGATTTGTCTGTAGCTTTAGGGAAAATACATTGTTCATCTAATAATGCGAGAATTCCTGTTGGCTAGAAAAATAAAAAAATACTTTTAGCAATTGCAATGAAGAGGTGAATATTTAAGAATAATTCTTGAGATTTTTCATATGGATAACCTTTTTGTAGATTAAAAAATTGTATTTTGAAAATATTAAATAATCCAATTGACACCCAAAATTAAGACAGAAAATTGAGGTGATTTAATTTTGTGAGATTTAAAAAGGTTAGACTCTCTTTCCCTTCTTTACTTGTCATTTATTTAGAAAAATAATTGAATAACTTCAGATGAATTTCAAAAATGACAAAAATTATGAAAATTTGTCAGCAAAAAAGTACCTCAACTTATTACAAAAGCCAGAATTAATTAAAAAAACCTTTTCAATCAACTCAATTGTAGGTTGCAAATCTAACCCAAAATCAATAAATTGCCAATCAATTCCTTCTCGCTGGTATTCTTCTTGCTCCAAAACAAACATTGTATTGTTGAAAAGTTGTTGTAATTTCTCGTTTGTATAGCTGAAAAAATAAAATAAAAATCTGTGGCCAAATTTTGCGAATAGTTCACAAAATACAGTGAATTATTTAGTCAAAATATCGGATTATAATAACCATAAGTTTTAACTCATTCAACAATCCATCCCCCTCCCCCCTTATTTCCTATTATAAATTTTAAAATAAAAAATATATACTTAATACAAAGCTGCTCAAAACTGTTCAATTTAAATATTTCAAATCCAGCAATATCCAAAATTCCAATAAACGATGTTCCAGTTCGCCTTGTTCGATCCAACGATTTATTGATTCGGCTAACCAACCATTTAAACATTCTCTCATAACAAGCTTTCCCAATTGCCTCAACTCCAAATTCAGCTTGTTCTTTGTTTTGAGCTTTTTGTACATGTTCACGCCCAACTTTAATGCGAGGGCGAAGGAATGCTTTGGTAAAATCGGCGACAGGAAGGCCAAGCAAATGGCAAATTTTTTGAGCAACTAAAAATTTTTAAAACTAAAAATTTTAGCTAAAAATTCAGAAAAATTTTTACCGACTATCAGTCCGATAGAGGGTAAAATTTTTAACCCGTTCAGGTTCAAATTAATTTAAAATTAATTTCTAACAAATTTTTAAACAAAAAACTATTTTTATAAACCTGTATCATCAGGCAGAGTTGCCTGGTCACTATTCTTCTCCTGTTTAAACTCAATATTTCCAAGCAAAAGAACAGCACTAACAACACGGAGAACAGCTAAATAATTAAATTAAAAAATTTTTTAATTAAAAAAAATACAATTAATTTCATCATCATGAAAGCCCATAATTTTCATTGAACGAATTGTATTGTGAAATTCTGCAGCGTCATCAACATTTGGTAATGTAATATAACCATTTTGCAAAAATTTGTATTTACTTACATCTTCGAGCAAAAAGCTTGCTGAAAAATTTAAAAATTATTTTTTAAATTTTTTATCACTCATGTCAAAAATTTTAGACTGGGCTTTAATTAATAAAATTTGGAAAAAATCACTCATGGTTAAATGATTTAGGCGATGCCCCTATAATCATAGGGTTGAAACTCTTTCTCAGTAAACAATAAAAATAATGTCATCTTGATCAGATTCGCAGTAATGTTCAAAAATTTCCTCAAAACCTGTCACAACCACATAACACTTTTATCACTACATAGTCACGGGTTCAAACTAGGGTTGGTCCCCGAGCCTTCGGGGTTGGAAAAGTCGGGGGTCGGGGTTTTCGGGGTTGACAAAGTCGGGGTCGGGGTCGGGGTTGCTCAAATTGTTCGGGGTCGGGGTCGGGGCTGAAAATAATATCGGGGTTCGGGGTCGGGGTCGGGGTTGAAGTGAAAATTTACAAAATCCAGCATTTTTATCCAAAATTACTGTTCAAAATCAACATTTTTATTAAAAAATCAACTTAATCTTCATTATCTTCACTTTCTGTATCTAATTCGTGATAAGTTGAAGGCGCAAGAAGTACTTTATCCAAGTTATCCTTCATAATCCCCAAAATCCCCAAACCCACAAGGTAACTCTTACTCCACCTCTTATGTAAAGGGATTGAGGGGATATGAAGGCATATCAGAGGATTAAGATGGATATAATGGGATTTAGAAGGATTTGACGGGATATCGGGGAGTTGCAAGGATAACGGGAGAAATCCATCTATCCATCAATTTCTCCTAAAGCCTCTGTATCCCTTCATTGAGTCTAGCGCCGCAGGCAAAAATTTTGAGAATTTTGGAAAGCCAAGAGACAGATTTCTTCAATTTTCTGCACCGCAGGCGAAAATTTTGAAAAATTCATGACTAGTTTAAAATTTTTAATATTGTTTCAAGTTTAAAATATTTAAAAAAATAAATTTGCAAATTTAAAATCAAGATCATAGTTTAAAAATATTTATTTTTGAGAAGAAAAATTTTCTCAGCCTTATTTTCATCCCTGGATTCGAACAACATTCCTATCAAAATAGCTAGATGGCTGAAGTCAGTTAACCTAACCACTCAACCATCGACCAACAAAAGGAAACAGGAGAAAATATAAATATTCCTTTCCCTTTTCCTTCATATATTTAGCATCAAAGTCCCGATCCCGTTCCGATCTCTAGTTAATTAATGCAGTTTGAGTCGGGGGCATAAAAATTTTTCGGGGTTCGGGGTCGTCGGGGTCGAACTTTCGGGGGTCGGGGTTTTCGGGGTTGGGAATGTCGGGGTCGGGGTTTTAGGTCAAAAAATTTCGGGGTCGGGGTCGGGGTTAGTCGGGGTCGGGGACCAACCCTAGTTCAAACCCTTTTAAATGGTCTCAATTTTCCCAAATTTTTAATTCAAAAATAATTTGAAAAATCCAAAACCTTTTTCCTCTGCAGAAGTTCCACGCAAAAATTGGTAAAATACATGAAATGAACGCTCATCATTTGCTTGACGACATGTACGAGATTTTTCCAACAAATAAAATTCAATATTAGCACCAGAAATATAACCAGCCAAATCGAAATTGATTCGAATAAATTTTCCCTTTAAATTTTAAAATAATTTTAAAAGAATTAAAGAATATTGATGATTAAAATCTCGAAAAAATTTTAGTTTCGATCGATACATATATAATTTTTTTGAAAAATTAGGTCTCTAAATGGACAATGGAGAATTCGTTGCAAATTTTTCGTTTACGGACAGTAGAAGTGGTCATAGATGTCGAGGAGAACTTTTTATTTGAACGGAGATGGCGGAAAATGAAAAGTAGGAGGTCGGGGCTATCCTAAAAATGTTGGGTGGGAACTGGGAGTAGACCAATTTTAACGGAAAACATTGATAAAAAATAGGGATCATATATCCATAATTCCCAAATATTAAATTAAAAATCATCCCCACAATCCCAAAAAAATCCATAATATTTTAAAGAAAAAACAAACAAATCTCGAAGAATTATCATTTTTGACAGTTTTGCTATTTCCAAAAGCTTCCAATATTGGGTTTGCCTGTAAAAGTTGTTGTTCCAATTCCCCAACCAAATTAATCTGATCAACACTAGAATGGCTTCTAGCTGGAGAAGAACACAAAAGACCGTTGGAAGTTGAGGTATTAACTAATTTATTATGATGTCCAAGCCTTGTAGCCCCAGCAACATGAGCCAAATATTGAATTACTTTTTTAGTATTTTCTGTTTTGCCTGCACCCGATTCTCCGGTACACAAAATTGATTGGTCTTCATGATCTTTAAAAAAGTTTTTTGAAAAGAATTTTAGGCTTAAATGTTATAATTTGGTCAGAAAGTGTCTTGTAGAAGAAAATAATTTTGAAAGAAGTAAAATCGCGTAATCTACTCAAAGCCAATAAGCACAGAATTAGGCTTTTCCTTTTGTTCTTCAAAAGTCAAACAATTTTTATATCCCCAATAGTCATATAGATTTACCTCTCAAAACCTAGTTTTAAACCATCCATAAAAATCAGAATTTTTCAACAAACCTTGAAGCATCGATCTATAAGCACAGTCAGCAATAGCAAAAACATGAGGTGGACGTTCATTACGTTTCTTTCCTTTATAAGACTCAATTACAGCCTCAGAATAAATTGGCAATTTTTTATATGGATTCATAACAACACAAAACAACCCAGAATATGTCTAAAATATTTAAACAAAAATCTTTTAAAAAACCCAAAAAAACATACATAAATTAATTCAGAATAATAACGCTGCTTTAAATTGTCAAAAACTGAAGGCTCGTTAAGGCACGTGAGATCAGCCATATCCTCAACCTGAAAAAAATTCTTTTGAATTGTGGAAAGAAATGAAGACCCCAAGGAGTTATAGGAAGCCAAGACAACCGAAAAATTATAAAAGCCTAAATAAGTGTAAAGATCCAAAGAAAATTTTGAAGATACGATTCGAAAACCCCAACTTTTTTTTCTCTACCCAGTTCATTAATGTTACAAACCAACAAGTATCCAACTAAGGGCCCTCTTTTGACCAAAACCTGGATTGCCCCTATTCTGTTTAAACGATAACAGAAATTTAGCAGAGAAATCATCAATTTTTGTTTTCAAGTCCCAACCTCCTTCCCCCTAACCAACAACCCCCCCCCTCTCCAAACCAACTAGCTAACCCTTAAAAATTAAGGGTTAGCTAGTTAACCCTTAAAAATGCAAAATAGTACTGATCAATTTTTGGCTGGGATATGGAAAGATGGTAAGGAGAGATTTTTCTTTGATATTTAAGAATAAGTATACAGTACTGCACAAAAGTATAAGAACACTTTCAAAAAGCTTATAACTTGGGACATACTTGACAAAATTTTAGGAAATTTTGTGTAAATGTGTGGATTATAAAGAGAAACACGATTAAATAATTAAAATTTTAAATTTTTTAAAACATCTCTCCAAAACTTAAAATTATTAAAATTTCGCGTTTTTTTACTGCACAAAAGTATAAGAACACTTTATAAAAAAGATACTTCCAAGATTAGGAAAAATTTACAAAAATTCTAGCGAGCATACATAATGATATTATGAAAAAATAAAAAAGAACTAGACTCATATCTTTACCCGGAGCCGAGATCCCGAAACCCCGAAAATCAACGTAAAACAGGGGTTTTCAACTTTAAAAAATATTTTCGACCCCTTATGGATTACTTTAAATTTTGATTTTGGGCTCATTCGAAAGCCCTTAAAATTTGCTACAAGATAGCAACAATCTTATTTTTCAGAAAAAATTTTAGAGAAAGAAGCAGGCATTAAACTTTTTATGCAGAAAAAAACGCCTTAATGCCCCATAAAATTCCCCTTAAGGTCGCTTCCGAAGTTTGAATGCATGTACCTCCCTATAAAATTTTTTCATAAAAATAAGATTGTTGCTATCTTGTAGCAAATTTCAAGGGCTTTCAAATGAGCCCAAAATAAAAATTGAAAATAATTAGTAAGGGGTCGAAAAATTTTTTTAAAGAGCCTTACCCCCGTTTTACGTTGATTTTCGGGGTTTCGGGATCTCGGCTCCGGGTAAAGATATGAGTCTAGTTCTTTTTTATTTTTTCATAATATCATTATGTATGCTCGCTAGAATTTTTGTAAATTTTTCCTAATCTTGGAAGTATCTTTTTTATAAAGTGTTCTTATACTTTTGTGCAGTAAAAAAACGCGAAATTTTAATAATTTTAAGTTTTGGAGAGATGTTTTAAAAAATTTAAAATTTTAATTATTTAATCGTGTTTCTCTTTATAATCCACACATTTACACAAAATTTCCTAAAATTTTGTCAAGTATGTCCCAAGTTATAAGCTTTTTGAAAGTGTTCTTATACTTTTGTGCAGTACTGTATACTTATTCTTAAATATCAAAGAAAAATCTCTCCTTACCATCTTTCCATATCCCAGCCAAAAATTGATCAGTACTATTTTGCATTAATTGTACAACATTTTCATTCAAAGGGTCCATATTCTTCATTAACCATTTATCAGAATAATAATCAACTCTACCCGCATAATGCATTACAGCAAAATCTGATTTTGATCGCATTTCTGGAACAACAAACTTTTCATGTTTTTCATGATAAGTAAACAATTTTTCAACAAAAGATTTGTCTGTAGCTTTAGGGAAAATACATTGTTCATCTAATAATGCGAGAATTCCTGTTGGCTAGAAAAATAAAAAAATACTTTTAGCAATTGCAATGAAGAGGTGAATATTTAAGAATAATTCTTGAGATTTTTCATATGGATAACCTTTTTGTAGATTAAAAAATTGTATTTTGAAAATATTAAATAATCCAATTGACACCCAAAATTAAGACAGAAAATTGAGGTGATTTAATTTTGTGAGATTTAAAAAGGTTAGACTCTCTTTCCCTTCTTTACTTGTCATTTATTTAGAAAAATAATTGAATAACTTCAGATGAATTTCAAAAATGACAAAAATTATGAAAATTTGTCAGCAAAAAAGTACCTCAACTTATTACAAAAGCCAGAATTAATTAAAAAAACCTTTTCAATCAACTCAATTGTAGGTTGCAAATCTAACCCAAAATCAATAAATTGCCAATCAATTCCTTCTCGCTGGTATTCTTCTTGCTCCAAAACAAACATTGTATTGTTGAAAAGTTGTTGTAATTTCTCGTTTGTATAGCTGAAAAAATAAAATAAAAATCTGTGGCCAAATTTTGCGAATAGTTCACAAAATACAGTGAATTATTTAGTCAAAATATCGGATTATAATAACCATAAGTTTTAACTCATTCAACAATCCATCCCCCTCCCCCCTTATTTCCTATTATAAATTTTAAAATAAAAAATATATACTTAATACAAAGCTGCTCAAAACTGTTCAATTTAAATATTTCAAATCCAGCAATATCCAAAATTCCAATAAACGATGTTCCAGTTCGCCTTGTTCGATCCAACGATTTATTGATTCGGCTAACCAACCATTTAAACATTCTCTCATAACAAGCTTTCCCAATTGCCTCAACTCCAAATTCAGCTTGTTCTTTGTTTTGAGCTTTTTGTACATGTTCACGCCCAACTTTAATGCGAGGGCGAAGGAATGCTTTGGTAAAATCGGCGACAGGAAGGCCAAGCAAATGGCAAATTTTTTGAGCAACTAAAAATTTTTAAAACTAAAAATTTTAGCTAAAAATTCAGAAAAATTTTTACCGACTATCAGTCCGATAGAGGGTAAAATTTTTAACCCGTTCAGGTTCAAATTAATTTAAAATTAATTTCTAACAAATTTTTAAACAAAAAACTATTTTTATAAACCTGTATCATCAGGCAGAGTTGCCTGGTCACTATTCTTCTCCTGTTTAAACTCAATATTTCCAAGCAAAAGAACAGCACTAACAACACGGAGAACAGCTAAATAATTAAATTAAAAAATTTTTTAATTAAAAAAAATACAATTAATTTCATCATCATGAAAGCCCATAATTTTCATTGAACGAATTGTATTGTGAAATTCTGCAGCGTCATCAACATTTGGTAATGTAATATAACCATTTTGCAAAAATTTGTATTTACTTACATCTTCGAGCAAAAAGCTTGCTGAAAAATTTAAAAATTATTTTTTAAATTTTTTATCACTCATGTCAAAAATTTTAGACTGGGCTTTAATTAATAAAATTTGGAAAAAATCACTCATGGTTAAATGATTTAGGCGATGCCCCTATAATCATAGGGTTGAAACTCTTTCTCAGTAAACAATAAAAATAATGTCATCTTGATCAGATTCGCAGTAATGTTCAAAAATTTCCTCAAAACCTGTCACAACCACATAACACTTTTATCACTACATAGTCACGGGTTCAAACTAGGGTTGGTCCCCGAGCCTTCGGGGTTGGAAAAGTCGGGGGTCGGGGTTTTCGGGGTTGACAAAGTCGGGGTCGGGGTCGGGGTTGCTCAAATTGTTCGGGGTCGGGGTCGGGGCTGAAAATAATATCGGGGTTCGGGGTCGGGGTCGGGGTTGAAGTGAAAATTTACAAAATCCAGCATTTTTATCCAAAATTACTGTTCAAAATCAACATTTTTATTAAAAAATCAACTTAATCTTCATTATCTTCACTTTCTGTATCTAATTCGTGATAAGTTGAAGGCGCAAGAAGTACTTTATCCAAGTTATCCTTCATAATCCCCAAAATCCCCAAACCCACAAGGTAACTCTTACTCCACCTCTTATGTAAAGGGATTGAGGGGATATGAAGGCATATCAGAGGATTAAGATGGATATAATGGGATTTAGAAGGATTTGACGGGATATCGGGGAGTTGCAAGGATAACGGGAGAAATCCATCTATCCATCAATTTCTCCTAAAGCCTCTGTATCCCTTCATTGAGTCTAGCGCCGCAGGCAAAAATTTTGAGAATTTTGGAAAGCCAAGAGACAGATTTCTTCAATTTTCTGCACCGCAGGCGAAAATTTTGAAAAATTCATGACTAGTTTAAAATTTTTAATATTGTTTCAAGTTTAAAATATTTAAAAAAATAAATTTGCAAATTTAAAATCAAGATCATAGTTTAAAAATATTTATTTTTGAGAAGAAAAATTTTCTCAGCCTTATTTTCATCCCTGGATTCGAACAACATTCCTATCAAAATAGCTAGATGGCTGAAGTCAGTTAACCTAACCACTCAACCATCGACCAACAAAAGGAAACAGGAGAAAATATAAATATTCCTTTCCCTTTTCCTTCATATATTTAGCATCAAAGTCCCGATCCCGTTCCGATCTCTAGTTAATTAATGCAGTTTGAGTCGGGGGCATAAAAATTTTTCGGGGTTCGGGGTCGTCGGGGTCGAACTTTCGGGGGTCGGGGTTTTCGGGGTTGGGAATGTCGGGGTCGGGGTTTTAGGTCAAAAAATTTCGGGGTCGGGGTCGGGGTTAGTCGGGGTCGGGGACCAACCCTAGTTCAAACCCTTTTAAATGGTCTCAATTTTCCCAAATTTTTAATTCAAAAATAATTTGAAAAATCCAAAACCTTTTTCCTCTGCAGAAGTTCCACGCAAAAATTGGTAAAATACATGAAATGAACGCTCATCATTTGCTTGACGACATGTACGAGATTTTTCCAACAAATAAAATTCAATATTAGCACCAGAAATATAACCAGCCAAATCGAAATTGATTCGAATAAATTTTCCCTTTAAATTTTAAAATAATTTTAAAAGAATTAAAGAATATTGATGATTAAAATCTCGAAAAAATTTTAGTTTCGATCGATACATATATAATTTTTTTGAAAAATTAGGTCTCTAAATGGACAATGGAGAATTCGTTGCAAATTTTTCGTTTACGGACAGTAGAAGTGGTCATAGATGTCGAGGAGAACTTTTTATTTGAACGGAGATGGCGGAAAATGAAAAGTAGGAGGTCGGGGCTATCCTAAAAATGTTGGGTGGGAACTGGGAGTAGACCAATTTTAACGGAAAACATTGATAAAAAATAGGGATCATATATCCATAATTCCCAAATATTAAATTAAAAATCATCCCCACAATCCCAAAAAAATCCATAATATTTTAAAGAAAAAACAAACAAATCTCGAAGAATTATCATTTTTGACAGTTTTGCTATTTCCAAAAGCTTCCAATATTGGGTTTGCCTGTAAAAGTTGTTGTTCCAATTCCCCAACCAAATTAATCTGATCAACACTAGAATGGCTTCTAGCTGGAGAAGAACACAAAAGACCGTTGGAAGTTGAGGTATTAACTAATTTATTATGATGTCCAAGCCTTGTAGCCCCAGCAACATGAGCCAAATATTGAATTACTTTTTTAGTATTTTCTGTTTTGCCTGCACCCGATTCTCCGGTACACAAAATTGATTGGTCTTCATGATCTTTAAAAAAGTTTTTTGAAAAGAATTTTAGGCTTAAATGTTATAATTTGGTCAGAAAGTGTCTTGTAGAAGAAAATAATTTTGAAAGAAGTAAAATCGCGTAATCTACTCAAAGCCAATAAGCACAGAATTAGGCTTTTCCTTTTGTTCTTCAAAAGTCAAACAATTTTTATATCCCCAATAGTCATATAGATTTACCTCTCAAAACCTAGTTTTAAACCATCCATAAAAATCAGAATTTTTCAACAAACCTTGAAGCATCGATCTATAAGCACAGTCAGCAATAGCAAAAACATGAGGTGGACGTTCATTACGTTTCTTTCCTTTATAAGACTCAATTACAGCCTCAGAATAAATTGGCAATTTTTTATATGGATTCATAACAACACAAAACAACCCAGAATATGTCTAAAATATTTAAACAAAAATCTTTTAAAAAACCCAAAAAAACATACATAAATTAATTCAGAATAATAACGCTGCTTTAAATTGTCAAAAACTGAAGGCTCGTTAAGGCACGTGAGATCAGCCATATCCTCAACCTGAAAAAAATTCTTTTGAATTGTGGAAAGAAATGAAGACCCCAAGGAGTTATAGGAAGCCAAGACAACCGAAAAATTATAAAAGCCTAAATAAGTGTAAAGATCCAAAGAAAATTTTGAAGATACGATTCGAAAACCCCAACTTTTTTTTCTCTACCCAGTTCATTAATGTTACAAACCAACAAGTATCCAACTAAGGGCCCTCTTTTGACCAAAACCTGGATTGCCCCTATTCTGTTTAAACGATAACAGAAATTTAGCAGAGAAATCATCAATTTTTGTTTTCAAGTCCCAACCTCCTTCCCCCTAACCAACAACCCCCCCCCTCTCCAAACCAACTAGCTAACCCTTAAAAATTAAAAACTAAATAAACCTTGTCAAACTTTGGAGGATTCATTTTTTGACAATCATCTTTACTTAAACGTAATTGATGTCCATTCTCAACAAATTCAACAGTATAAGTATCAGCATCCTCACTAATTATCGATGCTTTTACAAAACCTTCAGTTTCATGTGGAACCCAAATGAGACGTTTTTTGGCCCATTCAGCTTGCAACATTGGGTCAGTAATGCGCATACGAGCAGCAAGAGGTCCTCCTCCCCCATCCTCATTTTTGTTGTTGTTGTTACCAATTCCCCCATTCAACATTTTCTTTTTGTTGTTTTAGGTCGAATAAATAAATAAATAATTTAATTTTTTTAGAAAGAACTGAAAGGAAAAAAGAAATTAACTGAAAATTGGGGGTACAGCCCAAGTAGTAAAATTGGGGGTACAGCCCATTTATTATTCATTTTTTAAAACATTTGTTGACTTTACAATAAAAATTCTTTTTTTCTTCTTTTAAATCATTTTTAACAATCTATTTAACTGTTTTTATTTCCTTTTTTTATTTTTATACAATTTTACACTTCTAAAGGGACAAATAGATTATTTTAATGATTTTTTTGGTTTTCTCAAATTTTCTAAAATTATTTCTGGACATAGGCGCGCGGCCATAACGGCACAAAGCCATAATTTGCTGGAAAATTTATGGCCCTTATCAATTTTGGTACCAATTTCTTTAGTTCGATGAGAGGAATAAATTTGGTAAGATTCGGAAATCTTGAAGCAAGTTATGGCTTTGTGCCGTTATGGCCGCACGCCTACTTGGGCTGTACCCCCAATTTTCAGTTAATTTCTTTTTTCCTTTCAGTTCTTTCTAAAAAAATTAAATTATTTATTTATTTATTCGACCTAAAACAACAAAAAGAAAATGTTGAATGGGGGAATTGGTAACAACAACAACAAAAATGAGGATGGGGGAGGAGGACCTCTTGCTGCTCGTATGCGCATTACTGACCCAATGTTGCAAGCTGAATGGGCCAAAAAACGTCTCATTTGGGTTCCACATGAAACTGAAGGTTTTGTAAAAGCATCGATAATTAGTGAGGATGCTGATACTTATACTGTTGAATTTGTTGAGAATGGACATCAATTACGTTTAAGTAAAGATGATTGTCAAAAAATGAATCCTCCAAAGTTTGACAAGGTTTATTTAGTTTTTAATTTTTAAGGGTTAGCTAGTTGGTTTGGAGAGGGGGGGGGTTGTTGGTTAGGGGGAAGGAGGTTGGGACTTGAAAACAAAAATTGATGATTTCTCTGCTAAATTTCTGTTATCGTTTAAACAGAATAGGGGCAATCCAGGTTTTGGTCAAAAGAGGGCCCTTAGTTGGATACTTGTTGGTTTGTAACATTAATGAACTGGGTAGAGAAAAAAAAGTTGGGGTTTTCGAATCGTATCTTCAAAATTTTCTTTGGATCTTTACACTTATTTAGGCTTTTATAATTTTTCGGTTGTCTTGGCTTCCTATAACTCCTTGGGGTCTTCATTTCTTTCCACAATTCAAAAGAATTTTTTTCAGGTTGAGGATATGGCTGATCTCACGTGCCTTAACGAGCCTTCAGTTTTTGACAATTTAAAGCAGCGTTATTATTCTGAATTAATTTATGTATGTTTTTTTGGGTTTTTTAAAAGATTTTTGTTTAAATATTTTAGACATATTCTGGGTTGTTTTGTGTTGTTATGAATCCATATAAAAAATTGCCAATTTATTCTGAGGCTGTAATTGAGTCTTATAAAGGAAAGAAACGTAATGAACGTCCACCTCATGTTTTTGCTATTGCTGACTGTGCTTATAGATCGATGCTTCAAGGTTTGTTGAAAAATTCTGATTTTTATGGATGGTTTAAAACTAGGTTTTGAGAGGTAAATCTATATGACTATTGGGGATATAAAAATTGTTTGACTTTTGAAGAACAAAAGGAAAAGCCTAATTCTGTGCTTATTGGCTTTGAGTAGATTACGCGATTTTACTTCTTTCAAAATTATTTTCTTCTACAAGACACTTTCTGACCAAATTATAACATTTAAGCCTAAAATTCTTTTCAAAAAACTTTTTTAAAGATCATGAAGACCAATCAATTTTGTGTACCGGAGAATCGGGTGCAGGCAAAACAGAAAATACTAAAAAAGTAATTCAATATTTGGCTCATGTTGCTGGGGCTACAAGGCTTGGACATCATAATAAATTAGTTAATACCTCAACTTCCAACGGTCTTTTGTGTTCTTCTCCAGCTAGAAGCCATTCTAGTGTTGATCAGATTAATTTGGTTGGGGAATTGGAACAACAACTTTTACAGGCAAACCCAATATTGGAAGCTTTTGGAAATAGCAAAACTGTCAAAAATGATAATTCTTCGAGATTTGTTTGTTTTTTCTTTAAAATATTATGGATTTTTTTGGGATTGTGGGGATGATTTTTAATTTAATATTTGGGAATTATGGATATATGATCCCTATTTTTTATCAATGTTTTCCGTTAAAATTGGTCTACTCCCAGTTCCCACCCAACATTTTTAGGATAGCCCCGACCTCCTACTTTTCATTTTCCGCCATCTCCGTTCAAATAAAAAGTTCTCCTCGACATCTATGACCACTTCTACTGTCCGTAAACGAAAAATTTGCAACGAATTCTCCATTGTCCATTTAGAGACCTAATTTTTCAAAAAAATTATATATGTATCGATCGAAACTAAAATTTTTTCGAGATTTTAATCATCAATATTCTTTAATTCTTTTAAAATTATTTTAAAATTTAAAGGGAAAATTTATTCGAATCAATTTCGATTTGGCTGGTTATATTTCTGGTGCTAATATTGAATTTTATTTGTTGGAAAAATCTCGTACATGTCGTCAAGCAAATGATGAGCGTTCATTTCATGTATTTTACCAATTTTTGCGTGGAACTTCTGCAGAGGAAAAAGGTTTTGGATTTTTCAAATTATTTTTGAATTAAAAATTTGGGAAAATTGAGACCATTTAAAAGGGTTTGAACTAGGGTTGGTCCCCGACCCCGACTAACCCCGACCCCGACCCCGAAATTTTTTGACCTAAAACCCCGACCCCGACATTCCCAACCCCGAAAAATTCCCAACCCCGAAAAAAATTTCGACAGTGAAATTCGCCAGTGACTAAACTCGACAGCGACTAAATTCGACAGTGAACTATTTTTTCTTTTTTCACCGTTTTCCTCGATTTTCGACAGTGATTAATTTCGACAGCGACTAAATTCGACAGTAAAGCCTAATTTTTAAAAAGAGTGAGTACTTAGAGAAAAAAAGTGAAATTTTCGTTGAAGGTAGATTCAAAGTCGCTAGTTGAGCGCGGTCAAGTGAGTGCCAACGAGCTTTAATCGACTATAATTTTTTAAGCTATGATCCAATTCGAGTAAATAATGTATGATTCGAAAGCCCTCGATAAGCGGCATCTTTTTTCCAACTGATTGGATCAAATCTGATCAATCATTAAAAAATTATAACGCGATAAATGTGAAAAATGCCAAATAATTGCGTCTTTCGGTTCGAGTTTTTATTTATTAATTAGGCTTGATCTTTCTAGTTGAAAGAATGATATTCCCTATTGAGATCTCTCTAAATTACTGAAAATTTGGCAATCCCGGAGAATTGGGGTTTCTTCGAAAAAAAAGTTTAAAAATAAGAAAAAGGTTTTTTCTAGGGTAAAAAAATATGCTGATTACGAATCTGAACTCGGATTTTGAAAAAGTCGAATCCCGGACCCGAATTCGGAATTTGACCCCGGACATTGTCGGACATTGTGCAAAATGGTCAGTCTTTCATATGCAGGTAGAACTCATCGAGATGCATCGAATGACACCAAAATCGATGAAATCCGACATGATTGGACCGAGATACAGACCCCGGAATATTGAAAAACCATTGGGGTGATTTTTTGGAGTAAAAAAAAGTTTGTGCAAATGATACATCATTCGAAAGAGCTCGTCGAGCTGGTCGAAAGACACAAAAATTACAGTGATTCATCAAGTTTTGACGAAGTTGTGACATAAGTCGCCGACTCCTACAGTACTCCCATAGGTATACTTTATGTCATAACTTTGTCAAAACAGGTCCAATCACGTTGATTTTGGTATCATTCGATGCAGCTCGATGAGCTCTTTCGAACGAGCTATCATATGTATATTCGAAATTCGGGTTCAGGGTTCGAAATTTGGTTCGGGTCCGGGATTCGACTTTTTCAAAATCCGAGTTCAGATTCGTAATCAGCATATTTTTTTACCCCAGAAAAAACCTTTTTCTTATTTTTAAACTTTTTTTTCGAAGAAACCCCAATTCTCCGGGATTGCCGAAAATTTTTTATTTTTTTCTCTAAGTACTCACTCTTTTTAAAAATTAGGCTTTACTGTCGAATTTAGTCGCTGTCGAAATTAATCACTGTCGAAAATCGAGGAAAACGGTGAAAAAAGAAAAAATAGTTCACTGTCGAACTTAGTCGCTGTCGAGTTTAGTCACTGGCGAATTTCACTGTCGAATTTAGTCACTGTCGAAATTATATAGCACCGAGATGAATTAAAAATGTTAGAGATTTAATTTTCGATTTACAAGATTTGTTTGGATTTAAGAGAACTTAAATAAAAGGGAAAAATAGAAAAGGGAAAAATGTTTATCTCCAGGAAACATTCTGTGCCACGGTCTAAAAAAGTCCCCCCAAACCCATCCTGCTGGGGGTTTTGCTGCGTGTTGTAATTCTCCAATTGTATGTCCAGCTTGATTGTGTGCTTGAGCATTTACTTGTCTTCCCTTTGAAAAAAATTTTTTCCAAATTAAAAAATATGTAAAACCTCAGTTCTAGCACCCGGATTGTCTCTCAAATTATTTAATCGAATTCTTGGTGCTGCTTCAATAATATCCAAAGCTTTTTCTGATGCAGATTTAACTGCTTTGTGTAATTGTGTTTTTACAACTGCGTGACGCATTTAACAAAAAATTTCACTAAAATTTATAACAAAAAAATTAAAGAATAACTTCAAGACTCAATGTTATAAAAATAAATTTCTGGTGAAAGTCGATTCAATTCCAAGTCCATCCGACCACCGGTGGAGGCGTTGATTCCTTCTATTTTTCCCTTTTATTTAAGTTCTCTTAAATCCAAACAAATCTTGTAAATCGATTTGTTTGGAGTCCATCCGACCACCGGTGGACTCCTACAAGTCGCCGACTCCTACAGTACTCCCATAGGTATACTTTATGTCATAACTTTGTCATAACTTTGTATACTTTATGTCATAACTTTGTCAAAACAGGTCCAATCACGTTGATTTTGGTATCATTCGATGCAGCTCGATGAGCTCTTTCGAACGAGCTATCATATGTATATTCGAAATTCGGGTTCAGGGTTCGAAATTTGGTTCGGGTCCGGGATTCGACTTTTTCAAAATCCGAGTTCAGATTCGTAATCAGCATATTTTTTTACCCCAGAAAAAACCTTTTTCTTATTTTTAAACTTTTTTTTCGAAGAAACCCCAATTCTCCGGGATTGCCGAAAATTTTTTATTTTTTTCTCTAAGTACTCACTCTTTTTAAAAATTAGGCTTTACTGTCGAATTTAGTCGCTGTCGAAATTAATCACTGTCGAAAATCGAGGAAAACGGTGAAAAAAGAAAAAATAGTTCACTGTCGAACTTAGTCGCTGTCGAGTTTAGTCACTGGCGAATTTCACTGTCGAATTTAGTCACTGTCGAAATTATATAGCACCGAGATGAATTAAAAATGTTAGAGATTTAATTTTCGATTTACAAGATTTGTTTGGATTTAAGAGAACTTAAATAAAAGGGAAAAATAGAAAAGGGAAAAATGTTTATCTCCAGGAAACATTCTGTGCCACGGTCTAAAAAAGTCCCCCCAAACCCATCCTGCTGGGGGTTTTGCTGCGTGTTGTAATTCTCCAATTGTATGTCCAGCTTGATTGTGTGCTTGAGCATTTACTTGTCTTCCCTTTGAAAAAAATTTTTTCCAAATTAAAAAATATGTAAAACCTCAGTTCTAGCACCCGGATTGTCTCTCAAATTATTTAATCGAATTCTTGGTGCTGCTTCAATAATATCCAAAGCTTTTTCTGATGCAGATTTAACTGCTTTGTGTAATTGTGTTTTTACAACTGCGTGACGCATTTAACAAAAAATTTCACTAAAATTTATAACAAAAAAATTAAAGAATAACTTCAAGACTCAATGTTATAAAAATAAATTTCTGGTGAAAGTCGATTCAATTCCAAGTCCATCCGACCACCGGTGGAGGCGTTGATTCCTTCTATTTTTCCCTTTTATTTAAGTTCTCTTAAATCCAAACAAATCTTGTAAATCGAAAATTAAATCTCTAACATTTTTAATTCATCTCGGTGCTATATAATTTCGACAGTGACTAAATTCGACAGTGAAATTCGCCAGTGACTAAACTCGACAGCGACTAAGTTCGACAGTGAACTATTTTTTCTTTTTTCACCGTTTTCCTCGATTTTCGACAGTGATTAATTTCGACAGCGACTAAATTCGACAGTAAAGCCTAATTTTTAAAAAGAGTGAGTACTTAGAGAAAAAAATAAAAAATTTTCGGCAATCCCGGAGAATTGGGGTTTCTTCGAAAAAAAAGTTTAAAAATAAGAAAAAGGTTTTTTCTGGGGTAAAAAAATATGCTGATTACGAATCTGAACTCGGATTTTGAAAAAGTCGAATCCCGGACCCGAACCAAATTTCGAACCCTGAACCCGAATTTCGAATATACATATGATAGCTCGTTCGAAAGAGCTCATCGAGCTGCATCGAATGATACCAAAATCAACGTGATTGGACCTGTTTTGACAAAGTTATGACATAAAGTATACCTATGGGAGTACTGTAGGAGTCGGCGACTTATGTCACAACTTCGTCAAAACTTGATGAATCACTGTAATTTTTGTGTCTTTCGACCAGCTCGACGAGCTCTTTCGAATGATGTATCATTTGCACAAACTTTTTTTTACTCCAAAAAATCACCCCAATGGTTTTTCAATATTCCGGGGTCTGTATCTCGGTCCAATCATGTCGGATTTCATCGATTTTGGTGTCATTCGATGCATCTCGATGAGTTCTACCTGCATATGAAAGACTGACCATTTTGCACAATGTCCGACAATGTCCGGGGTCAAATTCCGAATTCGGGTCCGGGATTCGACTTTTTCAAAATCCGAGTTCAGATTCGTAATCAGCATATTTTTTTACCCTAGAAAAAACCTTTTTCTTATTTTTAAACTTTTTTTTCGAAGAAACCCCAATTCTCCGGGATTGCCAAATTTTCAGTAATTTAGAGAGATCTCAATAGGGAATATCATTCTTTCAACTAGAAAGATCAAGCCTAATTAATAAATAAAAACTCGAACCGAAAGACGCAATTATTTGGCATTTTTCACATTTATCGCGTTATAATTTTTTAATGATTGATCAGATTTGATCCAATCAGTTGGAAAAAAGATGCCGCTTATCGAGGGCTTTCGAATCATACATTATTTACTCGAATTGGATCATAGCTTAAAAAATTATAGTCGATTAAAGCTCGTTGGCACTCACTTGACCGCGCTCAACTAGCGACTTTGAATCTACCTTCAACGAAAATTTCACTTTTTTTCTCTAAGTACTCACTCTTTTTAAAAATTAGGCTTTACTGTCGAATTTAGTCGCTGTCGAAATTAATCACTGTCGAAAATCGAGGAAAACGGTGAAAAAAGAAAAAATAGTTCACTGTCGAATTTAGTCGCTGTCGAGTTTAGTCACTGGCGAATTTCACTGTCGAAATTAGCCACTGTCGAATTTAGTCACTGTCGAAATTATCAGACACGATTCATCTCCAGGTTTGCAACTAGAGTCTCGGTATTAACTAATATTTTTATAACTAAAGGAAGTGAAAAAAAATAATAGAGGGGAAAAATAAACAAGAGGGAGAATATAAAATTTTACACCACATCAAAAATTTTTAGCAATAAAAGGCAACATAAATATGAGAGAAAGAAAAGATGCATAAAGATGCCATTTCTCAGACGCCGGTTCCCGCACTTCAAGATGGCACTATTGAAGTGTTAGGTTGTATCCGGTTGGAGTTTGTTGAAAGGCGTTGTTTCTATTTTTTCCAACTAAAATTTAGTCTCTAATGTCAAAGGGAAAAATTTAAGAGAGAATGAATATCTACTACCACTAGCTGTCAATTACACCCTATCTACAGTTTTTAAAAATAAAAAAGAACATAAAATATAAGAGAGAAAAAATTCAAACTTATTGGACGCCATTTCGCAGGCGCCGTTTCCCTCCCTTTGAGAAACCGGTGGTCGTATGCTTTGCTACTTTCACTGGGGGTACGTTGTATCGTTGGACTGTCACCAGCACACTGTGCCGGCGTCGGTACCACTCAGGGGAGTAGGTTGTACTCGGTTGGAGTTTGATGAAAGGCGTCTAATTTTTGTGTGTGACAACCCATCATAAATTTTTAACAAAAAAAATATTGAGAAAAAGAAAAGGGCATAAAGATGCCACTTCTCATGTCAGACGTCGGTTCCCGTACTTCAAGATGGCACTATTGAAGTGTTGTATCCGGTTGGATAAACTTTACGCGCAAAACAGAAAAAAAACAAAAATATAAAATTGTTAAATAGCAATATTAGAATCAGATTTATTACTTTTCTTTTTCAAAACTTTTTCTTGTTCAATCTCTTCTTCTTCAACTTCCTCGTCTTCCTCTTCTTCTTCTCTTTCAAAACTTGCTACTCTTTTTCTTGTAATTTCTACATTTTTATCCTTTTTCTTTTGTTGTTCAACAGAGTTTTTTTGCTTTTGTTGTTGTTGCTGAGGCTGTTTCTGTTGTTGTGGCTGTGGTGGTGGCCTTTTTCTCAGATTTTCAAAAATTAACATTTTATTTTTTATTGGTTTTAAACTTTCTTTATTTTTATAAATTGAATGAATTCTAATCATTCTAGATATTAATTCTCCACTTTTAAATTGAAATGATAAGGAAGAAGCTAATGGAGCTAATTGACGTGAAATTTGTTCAGCCCCAGTTAATGTTGCATTTGTGGCAAATGATTTTTTTGCTAAACGAGCAATTGATGGATATATCTAAAATTATATCTGGGAATTTCAAAAAAAAATTTTTTTTGTATTTTTCCTAGACTTAATAATTACTGGATCTGAGACCCCGTTTAATTAATTTAAATAAAATTCATTAACATACAAGTAAATTTAAAAGAATCAGAAAACTACTAAAAATTATTCGTTTTCGTTGATTTTGGAAAAAAATAAATAAACCAAAAAAAATTCCGAGGAAATAATCCAAAATTAAAAAAAAACAGAGCAAACCTCTTCATAAACATTCCAAAATTCCAACGGATTATATTTTTTCGGATCTCTTTTAATCCCTGCAACCCCATTAATTTCAAGTGTTTCAAAAATTTGTTCAATCGTTAATTGTTCATAATGATGGGCTTCTTCTGTATAACTTAACCAAGGAGAAGAAGAATTATTTTGTTGTTGTCCATTTTTGTTAGCATTTTCTGTTACCACACCATCTAATGATATTGATGTTTGGGAGGTTGTTAGATTTGAATTTTCTAATAAATGTTCCAATTCAACCAAAACAACACTCTTGACCTTTAAAAAATTTTGAAAAATTATATTCCATGTTTAAAAAATTTTGCGGATTAAATTTACGGGCATTTTTAATAAAAAAATAATTTATGTAGAAAATGTCCGCAAATCTTATCCGCACAAATATTTCAAAAATTTTTTTAAAATAACTTTTGATCAATAGAGCTGGCAATCATTGGAATTAAAATGGAATATGCGCCAACAATTTGGCCCCTAATACCAAGGACATATCTAAGGGCTGTGTCCCCTGAAATATGACCGTGGATTTGCCATTGTCTAATACAATAAAATCCATCAAAAAATTCAGCAAAAATAAATTTTCAATCAGAATTTATTTATTATTTTTGGGTTTCAAAATATTTTCAATCACAAAATAATTTTAATAAAAAAATAAAAAAAACCTCCTCCATGGTACAAAAATCAGACAAATCTCCAATATGATTTAACCCCATTGGATCACAATAAAGAGCACATAAAGCCATTCTTTTATCAATATAAGTTTTAAAATCTTTCTCCAATTTATTTAAAGCGAAATTAGCCAAAGATTTTAACGTTTCGAAATCACAATTTTTTAAATGTTTTGTAGAATCTTTCAAAACATTTAAACGTTTGTTTAGTCCAAGAAGAATAAATAAAATTAAATTTGAATTTGGAGTTTTGTCTGCTGACTGAAAAAAAATTTTTTTAGAATGATTTATGATTCCAAAAGTCCGCAGGGTTTCCAAAGTCTTCAGCCAACCGAAATAGACAGATAAACCGAGAATTTTTGATTTTCTGAGGGAAATAGAGTACTGGAAAATATTTTCACTTTATAGCCTTAATAAAAAATAGTCCTCCTAATAAATCTGAAAATTTTTAGACCAAGCAGAACAAAACTATCAGAGGTCGCAGGTCCGGAGCCGTCTGAGGTTCTGAGAGAGCTTTGAAATGAGCTAGGAAAATTTTTTGAAGTTTTCTATGACATTATTTTTTATATAATTTTAAAAATTTAAAAATTTTACCACAGTTTCCAAATCAACAATAGACATTTCAAAAGCTTCCATAACTCTAACATAACTCCACAAAAATGTAACATTTTTTTCTTCAAAAATATCAGAATGAATTGCACAAAGTGCTCTAATTAAAGAATTTTTTGTTTGATGCAAAACCTTTGAAATATTTTCGATAGAAGAAACCCATCTTCTAGATAATTGAAGCATTAAAAGTAAACGAGAATTTCCATTAATTGATGTATAACGAGGCGAGAGAAGTGAACGAAGGTCTTTATAACGTCTAAAAAAATAATAAAATTGCAGTTAAAAGATTTTAAGTAGTAGGTGTGTTTATAGAGAAAAGAACTAAAAAGGGAACATTAACACGTAAAGTTTACGATTTAAAAATTATTATTTTGGGAATATCTAACAATAAGCTTAATCTTCCTAATTTTTTAAAAACTTTTCCAACGAAATTTTGTCAGTTTCCTTAGATTATTTAATTTAACCGAAAATAAAAAAATTAAACCTCGTTTGTTCAGCAAATTCTCTTAAAGAACGAAGCAATTCACGAACTTTAACCAACTTTTTAACGTCAAAATCATTTGATTTAATTGGCAAAGGTTCAGAAAAGAGTCGATCAGCAACTGAATCCAACAATGTTAATAAACAGGGATGGCGCAATCCCTTGAAATAGTTAAAATTAATTAATTAAGTTGTTGATTTTTGTACAAAATAATTATCTCATCTTCATCAGAATCCTTTTAGAAATATTTTATTACTTGGGTCGACCACAGAGCAAAGGAGGGAAGATGACTACATGCCAGCTTACGGATTTTTTACATCCAAAATTTAATTTCTATCCACAGAAAACTAAAAAGTTCAAAAAATTTTCTTTCAAAAACCTTTTCATTCTCATCAGCATCGTCGTCTTCATCCTCCATTTGTTCAAATTCAGAGACTATATGAAACTTTTCCAATAAATTTTTTTGTTTTTCCTTTCCTTTGTCAACAAATTGAGTAACAAGTTGTCTCAATGGTTTAATACAAGAATCTCCAGTAATTATTGCATCAGATATTGGATAAAATTTAATAACCGTTCTTACTAATTCCCTTTAAATTTTATCTTTTAAAAATGAAATTTAATCCATCCCTAACCTATTCAGAAAAAATAAAAATTATGCAAGATCTTGAACCATATCTAGATTTCTCAAAAAAATTTCTTTTGTCAAGGGCTTTCTTTTCTGATAGGCTATAACGTATGTTAATGAAAGGACAGGTTCTTTTAAGATTCCTGGGGCCTAAGTCAATCCACACTTTTGTGAATTTCAGGCCAGTACATATTTTGTCTTTTGAAAACGATATCTAAAAATGGGAGATGAAAACCGCCAGTTGAGTGCTAGCTGCCTTTGATCGAATATAACTTTTTGCTGCTTGATCTAATCCAAATGAATCTTATAGCACTCACTCGAAAGCCCACAATAAGCATTCGAAAGCCCTCCTTCTTCCAGCTTGATGGATCAAGTCAGATACTTCTTGAAAAGTTATAACTCGATAAGTCCAAGAAACGTTTATCGGGTTCCAATTCCAATTTTTTTACGATTAACTTACTTAGCAACAAATATTTAAAGAAAAAACCATGAATTGCTTATATATGTAACCAACAAAACTTTATAACATCCTCCAGTTGAAGAATCATTTAAATTCATTTGAAGAGTTTCCAAAGCAAAACCATTCTGAAACATTTCATGCAAAATTGAAGGAAGTAAAGCGACTTCATCCTCATGTAAAAATCTCATTAATTCATTTATTAAATCCCGGTGACGAGGCAAAACATCTCTTCCTATAGGCATTCCAATACCTTGACGTAAAATACTAAAAAAATTATTTAGGCTAAAAGTGAGGGAAATTAAGCAGGAAAAAGTAACAGGAGGTAACGAGCTTTGAAATCTTCCGATCAAGCTGGGCAAAATTTCGTTTACCCATTTTCCCTTTTTATTTCGGAAAAAACAAAACTTCGCTCCGTTTTGAAGTGAAATAAATTTTTTGACGAAACTAGATATAATTTTCTGACGAAACTAGATAAAAATACACTCCTAATGGCAGGAATTTTTATAAAAATTTAAGATTTTTAGGAAATTTTGTGCAATTTCGATTAAATTTGTAAATTTCTGCCAAAAAATATAAACAAAAAATGGAACATTTGAAGGATTGAAATATAATTTCTGCGGTCTTTTTTGTGGATTTTTTTCTCTGAATACAAATTATTTCGACAACTAAACGAGAAGAGTCCGCAAAAAATCAAAAGGAAATGCAACAAAATTTCTTATAAAAATACCAAAATGATTAGAAAAATTCTTTAAGCATTAACCCCCAAAAATACCTTACATAATTCTCGACAATTCCTCCATAAATTCCAAATAAAAACGGCTTGTAAGCAAAGTCAAAGCTGTTGGTTCTTGAACTACCAAACGAGCAACAAGTGCTTTACAGGCATTAGCATTACATTCTTCTGGATTGATTAAATTTTTATTACGGCATGTTTGCATATGAGTGCTTAAAATAAAAAATTTTTATAAAAATTTTTTTAAAGAAAAATACGTAAGAGCATCCAAATAGCGGCGATGAAAAATTTTGCCGCATTGATCATAATTTTTGCAAATGTAGTGCTAAAATAATGATATTTTTAAAGAATAAAATTTTTTTAAGCGAAAAAAAGTTCAAAAGTAAATGAAAAAAATTAAAAGTTACATCAGTAGTAGAACCATCAAAATTAACTAAACGATCATAGCCAGCTCCATATTTAGTGTTTCCTTTATAAATTGGAACTCGAAATAATTCCTTGTTTTCCAAGCCTTTTTTAACCTTAAAAATACAAAAAAATAAAATGAATTTAAACTAACAAAGAACCAGTGAATAGACAGTATTTCATAAAACCTCTTCAACGAAAACAGGCTAGTGCCCAAAAACTCTTTTTAAGATTAAGTCTCTAGAATTATGTAAGAGACAGTTAGACTACCTACCGCCATTTAAAAGTCAATTAATCACGATTTTTGAAATCAGACTGATAACTATTAGTTGGTTCAGACTTTTTTTTACCAATCCCAATTTTTGGTTATATATTAATTTTTTAGAGACAGGATTAATCACAACGGACACCCACTGCCATAATTTCCCAAAGCTGTCCAAATCAACATGTTCACTCCATTCAATATTAAACACTCGATGCCCATAATAATCAAATAAATTCGACAAAAAGTTCCTTACTCGTTTAGCACTCATTGAACGCACACTAGATTTCCCATGTATTTGTTCATCCAGAAAAAGATCTTCTGCAAACTGCCCATAATTGTCATAAGTAGTAGAACCTGCTGGAACTGAAACCAAAACACGTCCATCCTCCCCATCTTCAGCATCAACCACAATTTCATCACAAATTTCAAAATCGTCAGAATACTGTTGCTGATAATTTAATTGCCCATATTCTCCTCCCACTGCTTCTTCAAGCTTTGAAGAAATTAGAATACGTTGATTTCTTTGTTGTTGGTGTTGGTCATCTACAACAATATATTCTTCTTGAATTTGTGAGGAAGAGGAACAGGCACCAATATTTCGAGCATTTGAGTGTGTACTCATTTCTTAAAGACGTTTTGGCACAAAACTGAAAATTGTGGTCATAAGAAAGCCAAAAATTTAATAAAAATTTGGAAATATTCTGAGGGATGGGAAGGCAAAATTAAAATAATTTGGTTAAAATTAACCGTCTAAATCGAAAAAACCGTAAAAGTCAAAAATTTGAAGCCCTAGAAAATTTTAAAAATTTCTAAAGTAAGCCAAACAAATACACTTAAAGACAGGCAATCAATGATCGATTTTAAAACGCGTTGTCAAGTGACCGGGGACATTATTTCATTTATTTTTAAAATTGGACATTTAGCCAAAAACAAAAATGGTGCAAGGGGTAAAATTTGCCATTTCGTCGAACAAGAATTTAATTTTAAGGTTTTTCAAGAGGGGGACGAAGAAAATATTGAAAGATAAAGGAAAATTTATAGAGTGAGAGAAATAATTTACATCCTATCTAAAATTTTTGATATGGGAAGAACCCTAAATAAAAAAGAGAAAAAGGAGGGTTGATGCAAGCCTTAACAGACGCCGGTTCCTCGCTTTGGTAGCCTGCGGGCGGTACTTGTACTTGTGTATGATTAGGGTACTCAGTTTTGCTTTGTACCCGGCCATACAACTCGAAGTGGTAGGTTGTATCCGGTTGGAGTTTGTTGAAAGGCATTTTATTTTTCGATTACAAAAAGAGTGCAAGTGGGTTTAGTCGAACTGGAGATGGATCTTTTTTGACTATTTCGATTTTTTTTTTGTTTTTTAGATTATAGATGCCCTATTCCTTATATTCTAATTTATTTACTACTCGTTTATATTTCAAATCTCTAAAAAGAATATTATTATCTCGTTCATTTTGTTCAGACCTCTCAACTCACCAAAATGACAAACAAAAAATTTCAACAGTAAATTTGGCTTACGATTTACATTTGGGCACTTTTAAACGAAATGAAGATAAAATCGAAGCAACAAATCCATTAATTATTACACACGGCATTTTTGGACATAAACAAAATTGGCGTTCAGTGGCTAAAGCTTTGCAAAGGGAACTTGATAATTTTGTGTTTGTTGTTGATATGGTTTGGATTTTTTTTAATTTTAAAGAAATGATTAATCACCCCATCTCTCCTATCTCCAAAATTTTTTCATTTTTTTTGCTTGTCATTTAAAAAAATTACTGACCCTTATGAGCCTTTTACTCAAATTTCTTTTTGGGGGTTCCCAATTTTCATTTTACTTTTTAGAGAAATCATGGAGAATCTCCGCATACCTCAGAATGTAGTTACCAGCTAATGGCCGCGGATTTACGTGAATTTATTCAAAAAGAAGTTTTGAGCCGTTCTAGATTTAAAACTGTTTTTTTGCTTGGGCATTCAATGGGAGGGAAAGTGGCTGCTGAATTTGGTTTGCAGGATGCCGAGGTTTTTTTAATTTATGGGCTATTTTTTGTCAGATTGTCCATTTATTCTTTTTTTCAAATTTCGATTTCTTAAAATTATTTTTCCTTTAAAAACCTGTAATCTTATTTTTGGGACATTTTGTCCCAAAAATCCTTTTCAAAATTAATATTTTTTTAAATTTATTTTCCAGTCTTCTACCCCTCTACTTGAGAAATTAATAATTGAAGACATTTCCCCCCACAGAAGTTCAACTTCAAATAATTCTGAATTTATTAAAACTTTAAAATCTGTGGACTTGCACCAAACTAGGGCTGAAATTGATAAATATTTGAAGAAACAAATTTTTGATGATGATATTAGAGCTTTTCTTTTGACGAATTTGTTTAAACCGAGGTTTGAAATTTTTTTGAAAATTTTTATTTTTTGGACAAAAATATTAAAAAATATTTAAATACTAAAAATATAAAAAATATAAAAAAGCCAAAAGAATTTTTTAAAAATGTTTTTAATTAAAATTTTTGTTCAGAGGTGGCCCATTCCATTGGCGATGTAATTTAACTTCATTAGAATTAAATTTAGACCATTTATTAAATTATTCAATTAAAACAAATAATTTAAAACAAAAATGCCCAACTTTATTTATTGCTGGAAAGAAGTCTGAATATTTAATTGTGGAGAGGGATAAAGAAGAAATTTTGAAAATATTTCCAAATGCTGAATTTGTGGAAATTAGAGGTGCTGGACATTGGTAAGGGATTTATTTGGAAATTTAGTTTAAATTAATGAAATTTTGGGAAAAAATAATTTTAAATAAAATAAATTTCAAAAAATACATTTTAAAAATTTTTTCGAAAAAAACAAATGGGACAAAATGTCCAATAATTAGAAATTAAATTAAATCAGTATCATTTTTAGTCGAAAAAAATTTTTTTTTATAAATTAAAATTTGGTCTGACGGAATAAAATGTCTCCACTCTAAAATTAAAAAAAATAAATATTTTACTTGTTAAAAAAATATTTTTTTTAATTTTAGGGTCCATTCAGAAAGACCCGCCCTTTTTGTGCAACATGTTGTTGAATTTTTGAAGAAAGGGTATTTTACTTTTGAACAAGAAAAAATTATTTAATTAGTTTATTTTTTGTAAAACGTGTTAAAAATTATTGAAATATATATAAATAGTTTACAACTAAAAAATGGCAATAATCGAAAAATTAATTTTTAATTCCTCAGTTTCTCTAAAATATCTGCTTGGGGTTAGTTTTTCGAAAGGCCTCTATGGGGGGGGGGGGTTATTTTAGAAAAATACGTTTTGAAAACGAAGCATAAAACTTATTCCTCTCTTACTTATACCAGCCAACCTCTTATTTTAGTTATCCCATCATTAATGTGATTTAATTTCCTCAGTTAACTCAACCTCCTATTTGGACCGGAATGACACCCCAATGTACTGCGGAGCTATAACTTCTTTCAAAGTGATCGAATCCGTAAAATATTTGTACCTTCATGTTCATCTTCTTCTCCTTTTAACGCCCATTCTTCTTCATAACGCCCAGGTATTTAATTCATCTCATAAGGACGCATCGCCGGATTTGACCACTTTGAAAGAAATTATAGCCCGCGGTACATTGGGCTCGGAATGAGGGAAACAAAAATTTATACAAATTATAAAGATATGTTATTCTCCTCCTCTTCTTTTCCATTTTTTAAATTTAATTTCCTGTAAATATATTCAGAAATAATTTTGAATGGACGCATTTCTGCTTCCTCATGAAATTCTTTTGACATTTTTATAATATTTTCCTCAAATCGGTTGACTAGGGCAACACAACAAATTGCACCTAAAGGGATATTGAGTTTCTGACTTTTCGGGACTTTTTAAAATTTACCAGGGATTTTGGCTCGATATGTGATAGCAGCGAAATACACACTTTCCATCTGTTTAAAATAAAAATATTATTTTGGACATTTTAAAAATGTTCCCCCTACTCCCAATTTTTCAAACCTCGATATTTTTGACTCCTTTTTCAATAAGTTTATTCATGGAATTCATTTTTTGGTTGTTATTGTTATCACAAAAATAGCCATCCTCTCCTCGATATTGGCCTTTTTATAAAATTTAAATTATTTTTCAAATTAAAATCCCTCCCTCTCTCACTTTCGTAAAAATCATCAGCACAAAGGGTTACTCCTTTTACTACTGGAACTTTTTGTTGTTGAGCAATGAGGTAAAGTTGATCGCATAATTGTTGATCCAAAATGGCAGGGCGTTTGACCTTTAAATAGTTGGCCATTTTGGTATCTGACTGTGTTGTGAGAATGTCTATGGTTCTAGACATTTTTAGGGGGAGGACATTTTGGGGGTTTTTGTTCATGAGGACACTGGGGGGGGGGGGGGGGGGGGACTTCTTCAAAATTAATTCTGACCAACTCTCCTCCAATCCATTGATATCTATATGGCTCCAAAGCTGTATTAATTGCTCCGTTTGATACAATAACAGTCCCGGGCTGCACCCCAATTCCTCCACTAGTTCCAAGTCGAAACATTTCAAAATTTGTAGCGCCCGCACATAAAAGCATTTGGAGTATTTCATCAAGTATAATTGAAAGAGAAGGGCCGCCTATTCCGTGCTTTAAAACAAAAATTGAGAGAGAGAAATTAATTAATTAAAGCTCTCTCTCACATTTGCCCACAGAACTGGTCCAGTTTTGTACATTTCATATCTATCTGTTTTACATAAATTATTGCTAGCCTGATATCCATAAAGTTGTGAGAATTGTTTTGCATAATTACGAATTCTTGTGTAACTTCCTCCCAAACAGACAAACTAAAGAGTGTTTTGTTGACATTTAGATTAGAGATCGAGATTTTTGAAAAGCCTGGACCTGTTCCTGGACTCTGAATTTGATTTCTTGACCTGGACTGGATCCTGGGCCTTTAGTCCAGGAAAAATCCAGGAAGGTCAAAAATGCCTGGACCTGGACTCTGGGTACAGGAAAAACCCAGGCCTTGGTACAGGTCCAGCTCGATCTCTAATTTAAATAGGGCTTCTAGCCCTTCATATTTAGGAGGACTGGGTTTTTCAAATCTGACCCCATTTTTTAAATTAAACCCCCCAACCTTAACATCTCCATATTCTGCAGAAAAATTAGTATTTTCCGAAGTAATCCCTAAATGATAAAGGATTTTAATCTTATTAACAGAAGTATTATTTGTAATTAAAGTATCTCCATTAGAAATTAATTGGGAAGAGCAGGGCATTTATTTATTTAAAATTAAAAAATAACGTGGGAATATCTAAAAAAATTTTATTTATTTATCATGTGTTTAGTTTTGTTACTTTTATTTTTATTTGCATGTTTTATATTTAAAAAGTAAAGAAGTTATCATCAGTTTTCATTGCCAATGCTTTTTTGATAAGGGAAATTTATTAATAAAAAAGGGATGACTTTTTTGATCAAATAAACAAAAAAAAGAAATATGTAGGTACAAATATTTTCTGTTAAGATAACAATTTGGGGGGGGGGGGGGTTAATTGTCATACATATTTTATTCATGCGACACTCATTCTTCAGAAAGATTCTTACTTAAATGTTGAAATCCATCAATAAAAAAATTGTTCACCGCGAGAGGGGCTTGAACCCCCAACTATTCCTACTAAAAATCTAAACGTTTTCCAACTTAACGGAGAGAAAGTAATTGTTGGGGTTATGAGGTTAGGTTTATTTTATGTCAAAAAACTTTCCGGAATTGCAGGAACGAATTTTTGAGTTAAAATGACTTTTAAGCGAAATATCTAAAGTATTTATATGTATGTCTGGAAACATTTTTCTAAATTCTTTTTTAATAAAAAGAGATTGATTATGAAAAGAATTTATAAAGGAAATATTTTTTGTACACATGACTTTTGGTATTTTTGAAGTAAAATATATGTAGTACATAAGAGTGATTCAAATTGTTAGATTGGGAAATAAGTTTAAAAAAGCTGTATTTTATGTCTTTTGCTTATAGTAAACCTTTAACGAAGATTATTAAATAATGAGAAAAGTCAGGCTGAAGCAAAAGAAAAGTTTAAAAATTACTTTTAAACTACAATAATCTAATCTAACCAATCACTCCGAACAACAAAAGATGTTGGTTGCTTCAGACGCCTAAATAACCCTTTGCATTAGCAGAAAAAATATCTAATTAGCCTAGTTCTGCTCTAAATACTCTATAAATTTATGCATAAGAAAACGGAGACAACTTCTAGAAATACAAAGATTGTCTTAACAATGTTTCAGTTTTTGTTTTTTACATTTAATACAAGTCTCCTTCAATTTTGTCACTTCTTAGACACCTGTCTTCCTTCACTTTTATATCTCTTCTGGTAAAAATTTCTTCTCAAATCCATCTTGAAATGCTGGAAGTACTTTTGCAATAATCTGAAATTAATTCCGAATTTTATTTAAATTCTGCAGATTTACTGCAATAATCTACCTTATAAGGATTCTTTTCTCGTTTTTCTTTTGATTTTTCCTTACTCGCATTTTTGGGCGATTCACTAATTGCAGACGACGATGAAGAACTTGAAGCACGCTTTCCACGTTTATTAAATGGAAATATTCCCTAAAATAATTTAAGTGAATGTCATTTCTGGGTGACAGGGCCGGCCCTCGAGGGGTGGTAAATTCAACATAAACTAACAGAAGGAATTGTAGAAGCATTTCTGGCGAGTCCCGCTATCTTTTTTCTTCCACTTGTAAGCGCGCCTCCAATAATATTCCTGCCTTCAACAACTGTGTTTTTGGCCATTCTAGCTCCATCAGAAACTGTGCCTGCAACCAGATGTGCTCCATCTGAGACTGTCCCTACAACAGAATGTGCCCCGTCAGTAACTGTATCTGCAACAAAATGTGCTCCACCAGTAACTGTATTCGCAACAATATTCACTCCTCCAGCGGCCATTTTTGCCCCCTCTTCAACTGCACTTTGTGCTCCTTCTATAACTGTTTTTCCAATCATTTGTGCTCCTCCCGCAACCATTTCTACTCCTCCTGCTATAATACCTTTTCCTTTTGATGATGGTACGAATTGAATACAAATTACAAATCCGCCTTCGAATCCATTGGGTTTAAATCTAAACAAACATTTTAAAATTTAAAATAAAATAAACAAAAAATAACCTTCCATGAAGGCTAACTGCTGCAGTTTTTGGTAGTTCGTTTTCACTCTCATGTATTTTACTAGTCTTCGTTATGTTACATTCATCCTCAATACGATTTATGAGCATCTTGTAGTATCCAGGTTCTGTTAAAATTGAAGTATTTAAAAATTCAATTAGTGTATGAAACTCAGTGGTTCGTTTTTTACAAAAGGTTGAACGGGAAGGGGGATTGTAGCATAAAAACCGAAATTCCGGGATGGAAGTCAATGCCGCATTCAAAGTATTTCCAAAAAAATTTAAAATGTTCTTTTAAAATTGTCAAAAATTAATTCTAAAAACTACCGCGGACTTGAACATAAACGTCTAAAGAATTTCCCATCCAATTCTGATACCGAAATCCCACAAAAGAAAAAAGAATATCCTCAAATTCCTCTAAAATAATAGCTCCATTCTTTCTTTTAATCGCTCTTCGAAGGACCCCTCTTTTAAATAATCTCGATTTATTTTCTTCTTCTTTCCACATAAATCCATCCGAAAATAAAGGTTTCACAAAATGTATTGTTGTTAATTTTAATTCTTCCTTCAACATTATATTTGAACATAAACGAAATCCTTTTAAATAATTAACTGATAATTCTTTAATGAAAGAAAAATTATTTTTAAAATCCTCTTCTTGTCTAATCATTTCTTGATTGTCCTTCACACCCTCCTCACATTGACTATCAATTGGTGTAAAAAAATATTTAATGCCTAATTCTTTCGAAACAAATTTTAAAGTAATTTTTAAAGGCATCAAAGAGGCATCATTAACTTTAATTTTTTCAATTTTTAAATTGGAATTTTTATCCATTTTATATTCGAAATTTGGAGGTTTGTCAGGTATCGTCTTTACTCCAAACACAAAAGTTAAGTTTAAAAATAGGAGAATTGAAATAAAATAAAAAGACATTAAGTCTAAAATTTGTAGGAAAATTATTAGAGGATGAGGTAGCGTCAAACAAAGGAAGGCCCGTGCGATGGCAATGCATTGCCGCTCTCCCCCTGACAATTGTGCCCCCCGCTCCCCTACTACGGTAAGCCATCCAATAGCCGCTTCTGATATCTATTCAGCAGATAGTCTGCTGCTGGGGAATCACGAGTTTATAAATTAGTGCCGGATCCAATACCTGGGAACACCTTTGGTAATAAAAGGATGCTCCCATAAAGGCTATGTTGGTCCCAGCGGTTTTATAATTTTGAATTAAGTTTGAAAAACTGGCAGTAACGAACATAAAATTTAAATTTAACTCCCTATAGGTACATAAATATTAACTCCTCAGAATTTAACTCCTCAGAAAAGAGGCATAAATGCCATTTAAAATATTTTAAAGAATTTTATAATATTTGTCTATAAAATGCCAACGTGTTAAATTGATTATTATTTATAGAGCAGTGTGATTGTGTTATAGAGAGAGAAGTCCCGAGCTCTCAATAATGAGGGAAGTGAGGGTTAAAAGAAGCTGTAAAATAAATTTGAATATCGCCTTTTATTAAATTCTTGGCGTTTTGTAAAAAATTATTTAAAACGAGAGAGCATTAAGTAAAAAGAAAAAGAGAAATAAAAGAGTTAAAAACGTGTCCGGACAAAATATCGAATCGTTAAAATATGGAATAGGCTAAAAAAGGGTTAAAATCTCGAATCGGGTAAAAATGGGTTAAAATCGCGAATAGGCTAAAAAGGGGTTAAAATGTGGAATCGTTAAAATATGGAATGGTCAAAATATGGAATAGGCTAAAAAAGGGTTAAAATATGGAATCGTTAAAATATCGAATAGATAAAATGTCGACATGGCCAAAATAGGTCAAAATGTCGAATTTTTTAAAAATATCGCCAAAACCTAGAATCCGGGCGTTACCGTAATACCGACGGTATTTTTCGGTATTCCGAGTCGGTAGTACAGTACGGAATTCCGACCGATAAAATTTAAAGGCTGATCGGTATTTTTCGGTATTCCGTACCGTATACGGTAGGGTACAAAATTTAGGTCTTAACTAAAAACTAGTGCACGCCACTCTAATTTTTCCGTATCAGGATCGCGTTATGTTTTCCGGATTCGTACGATCATGCCGGACCGGATCCGGTCTTGATTTATCCGGTCCGGTTTTACTCCATAAAATACACTGAACTCGGGCAGAAAAGATTACGCCGGACTATGACATACGAGACTTATCAATCAAATTATCAAAAATAAGTTGATAAGTTGATAAAATTATCAACAATCAATGTATGGCACTCATCTGACCCTTTTTTAAAAGAATTCGACATTTTGACCCATTTTGGACGTGTCGACATTTTTACCATTCCATATTTTAACATTCGATATTTTAACCCTTTTTTACCCGATTCGATATTTTAACGATTCCATATTTTAACGATTCGGTATTTTAACCCCTTTTTAGCCTATTCGTGATTTTAACCATTCCATATTTTAACGATTCCATATTTTGTACCGGAGCCGTTAAAAATTGGGAGGAAAGTTGGGGGGAAGTTTTTTCTAATTTAATTAGTTTTGGATTTTTTTTTGGATAAATATTTATTTTAGCTATTTAAATTTATTTAAAATCAAAAAATGGGTGCTTATCGTTCAAAACCGGAAAAAGAAAAAATTTATGAAAGTGGAGGAAATGAATCTATTCGGTTTGCTTCTTGCTCAATGCAAGGTTGGCGTATACATCAAGAGGATGCACACAATTGTATTATTGACTTTATGCCGAAAATGGGCTTTTTTGCTGTTTATGATGGACATGGAGGTTTTTTGGAGTTTTTTGTTTTTTAAAATTTTTCTGGAGATTCTGCCACTTAAGGAAATAGAACTGAGGGAAAGGAGAAAATGTTAGATGCTGAGTGTGAATATCTGAAAACCCTTTTTAGAGTTTTATAAACCTTTTAAAGGTTTGTCGGACTGGTAAATCTATTCTCTCGGGTAATTTCTTCTGAACTAATGGCAGACATTTGCGGGTAGATAAAACCATAAAATCCCAATACTAGCCCCTCACTTATAGAACCCCACTGAATGAGACCCACTTCATAAGCCATTTAATTTTTATGAAATAATTTTTAAAAAATTAATTTTTTTAAGGTCCAGAAGTAGCTCAGTATTTATCACTTCATTTTCCTGATTATTTAAAAAATTCGCAAATTTTGAACAATTTTGACTCTGAAAATCTTCCAAAATTAGAAGAAATTCAAAATTTGCTTGGACAGGCTTTTTTACAATTTGATGAGACTTTGGCTAATCCAAATGTTATGGAAAAATTGACTGTTTTGAAGGGGGATAGTTCTCAACAGAAAGATTCGCCAAAAACTGAAAAAGAAGAGCAGGATGAATTAATGGGTATTTTTTTTTAATTTTTTAAGATTTTTTTTTAATTAGGGGAATTATTTGAATTCTTATAAAAAATATTCTAGTTGGGTTAGCATTGTCTGTAACATTTAGTTTATTTTAAAAAATTCTAAATAAATTTTTCTCCGCAAATTTATTAAAAAATTGCAGAAAAATCCCCAGCGAGTAGGATTTCTAATAGTGGCCTGACTTTGACGTGATCTCGAACAAAAATCTTGGTTCTTCTTTTAGTTATTTTTTTCTCGAGATATTGATATAGATTTTTGTACTATCCTTCCATTTTTTATCCCTTTTCATGTCTTTTTAATAAGAAAGTTGCTGATATTCAATTTGCGACTGAACAACGAACTTTAACAAAATATATTTTTTTTAATTTTAGCAGAGGCAATAGCTTTATCAGAAGAATCGAGAACTAGTTTAGACAAAATAATTAAACGTTATACAAAATATCAAGAATATCTCATTAAAAACCAACCGCCAGAAAATGTGGAAGGGGAAGTTGAGGAAGAAGAGGTTATTGAATGGTCAACTGAAAGAGCTTCTCGTCGGGCAACTAAACGTTCTGTTATGCTTTTTAACTCTCCACAAATTCCGAAGCGTATAAAATTGAGTGGACAGTCGGAGACGGAGAAAGGTTTTTTTAATTCTTTCAATTAAGGATAACGTAGATTAGCTTAAAGTAATTTACTTTAACACGACACTTGATTTTGTGTGTTTAGCTGGGATGGGCTGCATTGAGAAAAAAACTCCTTTAGAATTTTAAAGTCTTCTTCGTATCAGGTTTTTGTCATATATAAAGTCCTGGTTTTGTGTACCCCGACTTATCCCTGGTATGTAGTTCCTAACCTTCTAGAATTTACATAATTGGAATCTGTGTCTATTGGGGTACTTAGTGTTAACGTATGTCAGTAAAGTAACTTTTGTTCATTTATCTCAACTGTCAGCAAATCTTTTTCCTCCCTGACTTTTATCATACAATTAAACTTGGTCCGTCATTTTGTCATTAACTTTTTTTTATTTCTTTAGAAACTTGTGGATCTTCTAAAAGTGCATCTTCAGAAACTGAAAAGCCTCCAGAGGAAAAGGAAACTTGTATTGATGATATTCCAGTTCCAATGGATAAAGAAGAGACAAGTCCAACAAACGGAAAAATTGACGAAAAAATTAATAAAAATAATAACGAAGAAGGAAATGGAAAAATTGAAGCAGTTCATTTAATTGCTGGTAAGGAGGAAGAACTTGTATTGCCTGCTTTGGAAGAATATGTTGTTTCCTCGACTTCAACTACTTCAAATACTATTGGTACATTTAAATATTATTGGTTTTGATTTTTGCTTTTATAAAAATGTCCGAAAAGTTGTCCTCAAATATTTTGTTTTTTGGAACTAAAAGATGAGACTAGTTTTTAATATGTTTTTTTTCTTAAGCATTGTTCTTCACATTTAACGCTGTATATAGTACAGGATTAAATGTATTTTTTCTCTTAGGTATTTTCATTGACGTCTCGACTAGTAAAAATTATCGAAAAATCAATAAAAAATAATTGAGAAGATAAATTTAACTTGATATAGAATTTTATATTTTTTAAAGATTCTGGACAAAAAATTAAAACACCAAAAAAGACGACAACAACACCAATTAAAGAAGAAAAAAATCAGAATATTGTTGAACAAGTTGAAGAAGGTCCAAGTAGTAGTAGCAGTAGTTTGGACAAAGATAATAAACCAGGAATTGCTCAATTACTTGAGGGTTTGGATGAAGGAAATATTAATAATGAAGAAGAAGATTCTGATTATAAAGTTGAGGATGATGAAGGGGATGTAGCTGATTCTACTTCTAATGAAGTTGAAGATGAGGAAGAGGTTTATTTTATTCTTTAAAAGGGAGGAGGATATGCGAGTGTGCGTCCAAACTATTGGTGATAATTTTCATTCTTTTGGAAGGTCAGGTAGAATTTTCGGAAAGTGCCCCGTATATTTCCTCGGTTTCATTTTACAGCACCTTTTTTTTATAAATTTAAACGCCTTTTGTTGTATATTTGCTACTATATACATATTACGGAATTGTTAATCATCTTTAAAACATTTTATATTTTAGAAAAGTCATATCAGTTTAGAAAAATATTTATTACAACTTTCCATAGACAAACGACTTTTGTCATTTTTGGCATATATTTTGGATAATTTTAAGTTAATTCAAAAATTATTTTTATTATTTTTAAAGGGTGAGGCTGAAGATGGAGCTAGTGGTGAGGATGAAGAGGAGGAGGATGATTCTCTTGAAGAAGAAGATTTGAATTCTTTAATGATGAGGACTGGAAGTACTCGTGCTGGTTTCGATTCTGGTTCTACTGCTTGTGTGGCTTTTTTGCTTGAGGTTTTTTTAAATTAAATGAGATAAAATATGCTAACACTAAAACTGAAGTTAATCTACTGATATTTCGTATTAAAAATTTTTAATTTTTTTTCTTTAAATTACTCAAGAAAAATTATTTACCTTGAACCGGATAATTAACATAAGTAGGGCATAACTAAACATTTACATACTTGGCCATATAGTTTTTTATTCTAGTTTATTTTTGGGTGATTGTGTTTTTATGGTGTTAAAATAGAGGAGAATTAATTTTAAATGTGAAAAATTATAAAAAAAATTTAAACAGAAACATATAATTGTTGCTAATGTTGGAGACACTCGTTCTGTCCTTTGCCGTTCCAAAAAAGCTTTAGACCTTTCATCAGATCATAAACCTGAAGATGAGTTGGAAAAGGAGAGGATTGTTGCTGCTGGTTTGATTTTTTAAAAATTAATTTAAAATTTTTATTCTTTTAAGGTGGAAATGTTAGTTCTGATGGACGTGTTAATGGAGGTTTGTGTGGAAAAAATAATTTTTAGAAATATTTTTTATCTTTTTCTAAAGGTCTCAATTTGAGCAGAGCATTTGGTGATCATTTTTATAAACAAGAATCTAAACTTCCATTGAGTTCTCAACAAATTATTGCACTTGTAAATTTTTTTGAATAATTTTTTATGAATTCGGGCCTCTTTATAAAATTTCTTCGAAAATTATCTGTATACATACCAATTTTGGATACGTTTTTAACTCCTAAATTTAAAGTCCAGTGGGGACTAGAGACCTCCTTAATTATCAGATTACGTTTTGGTGTTACGGCCTTTGTTATTTCGGCATTTTATAATAATTGAGCGTTTTACTTCGGGTTATCCAATGGGACTGGTGCCTCTTCTCCTTTTACTGAAATCCGACCGAGTAACTAAAAATAGGATTTGATCATTTTCTCTATCTTTTTAGCCGGACATAACAGTTACTCAAAGAGATTTTGAAAATGATGATTTTTTGGTTGTTGCTTGTGATGGAATTTGGAATTCTTTAACTAGTCAACAAGTCTGCGATTTTATTTTGGAACGAATTAATCGTATTGGATTAAAAGAAATTGTAGCTGAGGTTTTCTTTTAATTTAAAAATTTTTTTTTGAATTTTCTAAATTCTAGATTTGCGATCATTGCTGTGCAAATGACACTGGTGGTGATGGGACTGGTTGTGATAATGAAACAATGTAAATAAACTAAATTTTTGGGGTTATAGTATTTTCAAATTAAATTTCTTTTTTGTTATTTCTGCCTATTTTTTTTGTTCAGTTTCCTTTATTAAAATTTACTTCCAAAAAAATTATTTAACACTGACCGGGTTCGAACCCATTACCCTTGTGAGGTAAAACTAAACGCTTACCCACTTAGCTAAATATTTTTTTAATTTTGAATTTTTGGGTAATTTTTATTTCTGACTAAAATCAATTTTTCAAAAAATTTTCTTTAAGAATTTTGATTGATCTCAAAAAAGAAAGGCCAATATCGCCACAAGTAACATCATCAACATTAAATATTGAACAAGAAAATCCAAATCAACAACAGCAACAACCAACAACAATAATTTCATCAAATCCAACAGAAGAGCAATCTACAGCAACAACAATATTACAAAAAGAATCTCAAAATCTAAATGAAAATGAGAAAATGGGGGGAGAAGAAAAGGAAGGGGAGGGGAAATAGTAATGGGTAAAATAAATTTTTGTTGGAAGAAAAAGAATTTTTTGGGAGAAAAGTAAGTAAATTTATTTTAATTATTATTATTTTTTGATTATTTAAGAATGACTGACTATATTTATTTATGAACCTCAAAAATGGTTTTAAAAAATAAAAATTATTATTATTTTTTGGATATATATTACTCTACTTTTATTTTATTTATTTTTGTTTAAAAGAAAAAGAAAAGTATAAATTTCCTTCTAAAATTTAAAATATATTTTTTGGTTATTTTAGGTGTGATTTTGTTGTATTTTTAGGAGATAAAAAAATTTTTTTGTGATATAGGAAATTCTTCTTTAAATTAATTTTTTGGAAGTTCCCTTTTTTGTTCTAAGTTTTGACTTAAAGACAAAAAGGCATGAGGGGGGGGGTAGGGATGTTTTTTAAGTATTGGATTTAGTTGTATGCTAGGGATGTAACGAAAAAGATTTTAAAATGTGAAACGCGAGAGGTGAAAAGCCGAAAATCATTTAAAAAATTATTTTTTGTTGAAGGAAATTTATTTGGCTCTATCTTAGGACATGCGTCCCACGAACATTTATGCGTCCCATGAATGTTTATGCGTCCCATGAACTTTTATGCGTCCCATGAAAGTATATGCGTCCCAAAAATAGTATAAGCGTCCCTTCAAAGTAAATGCGTCCCAAAATTAATATAAACGTAAAACAATTGTAAAAACATTTTTTAATTTTAGTAATGACAATTAAATATTTTATTATAGGTTTCCTTGCTCAAGGGACAACGAGCATTAAATTAATATTTAATAGAGATGTCCGAGACTCTTGGTCTTGGAACTAAGACTTTTCTTGTTTTTTTCGGTCTTGGTCTTGGGGTGTTTGTCTTGGTCTTGTCTTTGCGCTTATATTATTTTGGGACGCATATACAATTTTTGGGACGTATATACTTTCATGGGACGCATATACTATTTTTGGGACGCATAAACTCTCATGGGACGCATAAAAGTTCATGGGACGCATAAATGTTCATGGGACGCATGTCCTAAGATAGAGCCATTTATTTTCTTTTTTTTTAATTTTTAAAAAAATATTTGTTGTTTTAACTTACCTTGAGAAAGAGAGCTTTTTCTTTAAATTTTATTTGTTATGTTAAACGGTGACATTTTTTGTTTGTGTTTTTGTTTAACCGTTTAAATTGCCAAAAAAAGTAGGAAAAATCTGAAATTTTTTTGAAATTTTTTGAAAACTTTTTTGGCAATTTTTATTTATTTACTACCTAAAATATACTCTAAAAACTGCCACAAAAATTAAAAACACATAGTATATACTAATTATATTTATTTCGTGGTAAATAAATAAATATTATTTAAAAAAAAGCCTAACCAGTATTTAGTTAATACTTCGTCCCATTCAAGCTGACCATTTGAAAAGGGGATGAAAATCAGTAAGTCTTTACTAGACCTCCCCCAAATAAATTTTTTCGGGACTCGAAACATCGAAAAAACCCAAAAAAGTCGTAACCTCCATGGCTCGGAGAGAGAGTAGGATTAGATTTTATTTAAAAAATCTGTTTTATCGATTCAAAATTTATTATTTTTTGGCGATTTTCGAGTCTTTTTTAAAGTTTGGATATTTTTTGAGTTACAAACAAATGGGCTTTCTCTACGCATTTTCAAAAATTTTATTTTGATTGGCCTTGATACTTAGTTACCTTATAAATTGGTTTTTAAAGGGATAAAATTAAATCCTTATTAGACTATTAGGGCTAGAGCTATTTCGAAACAAAAAAAATCTTCAAAAATTGTCCAAAAATATCTATCTAAAATACCCCCCCCCCCAAAAACTTTAGTCAATGCTAAGAATATTTATACTTTTATTTAACCCTTTTATTAACATTTCTTTACTCATTATTTAAAATTCATCCATTACTTAGTTTATTTATTTTTTTTATTCTTTAATCCCCCTTTTTAATTATTTACTTCATCATCATTTAATTTAATTTTGAATTTCTCCTCCATCAGTAGTAGCTTCAACATTTGGTGGAATTGTATTTCCTCCCTTCTTTGGTTTTTTAGGTTTTTTGGTTCCTTTAGGTTTCTTTTCTTTCTTTTCTTTTCCGTGTCCTTTGTGATGTTCTCCTCCTTTTTTGTGGGGGCAATCTGTGGTTACAGCACCATCAATCGGTCCAACTGGGTATCCCTTGAAAATTAAAAAGAAAATTTTTTCTTTCAAAAAGTGCAAATGTCTGAGTGGAAAATTCTCTAAAATTTAACGATTTTCGCTTCCACTTTCGCCCTCCACTTTCTGCTTTCAAGTCGGGACTATCCCTGATATAGAATCATATCGGTTATAATGATCCATTATGAATGCTTGATTCATTATGAAACCTTTAACCGATTCAACACATGGACTGTTTCATTGTGGACAGATTTGCAGGGGCACAAGGATATGAAGGAGCTCGGGGAGAAGGGAATGAATAATTTATAGAAAAATTAAAAGAGTATTCTTGATGATAATCCCCTCCTGCTTTAATTAAATATTTTTTTACCTCTTGAGCATTAACGCTTTCCAAAACCAATTGGAGAAGGACAATAGCGACAAGAATCTTTGCGAGCATAATTTAAAGTTTTTATATTAAGTTTTAAAATTTAGATGATGGTAAAAACTGAATGTTGTTGGTAGCATTCTAATGGGCTTATAAAGACGAAAATTTTGACAGTTAAATAAATAAGAAAGAAAAAAAATTTTTTAAACTTAAATAAAAAAAATTTTAAATTTAAAAAAATTAAGAAAAAAACGTGGCAAACAGAATTTCATTTAAATTACAAACTATAAAAAATTTGGTTAATTTCCGTCAAATTGGCGATAAATAATTATTATTGTAATGCTGGTGGCTTTTTAATTTAATAAATGGATTAATTATTGAAATTAAAAAAAATCAGAATATTTTAATAAAATTAATTTTAAAAAATCAGAATTTTAATTAAAAATCAGAAAATAATTAGAATTACTACTAAAATACCAAAATCAGAATTAATTATATTAAAAAATCAGAATTTGCACTTTTATAATTTTTATTAATTAAACTTAGCCTGTCTCTCTTAATAATTAATCCACGTTTAAATTAAACAAATAATTATTTATTCAAAAATTAATTTTACTTTAAAAATTCATTAAAATTATATTCCCAGACAATAAAAATTTTTTTAAATTTTTATACTTTTTGAGAAAATTTTGTTTATCTAGCTAATTTAATTTGACAAAGTTTTTGTTATAAAAGAAAGTAAAAGGTAAGTTCATTTAATTTTAATTAATTAATTAAAAATACAAAAATTATAAATTAATTTAAAAATGTTTTCCAAAATCTTATTAGCTATAATTCTTCTCCAATTAATTTTGGATACTGTAAATACCCAAGAAGTAATATTTCTTTTATTTTTTAATTTAAAAAAATTTTTTCAGGAAGGAGACAAAGTAGAAGTAGGACCTCCAAAAGTAGTTGCGCAACCTCCAGTTGCAACAACAGAATGTGCTCACCATAAAAACAAAAATGGTGGAAAAAATCATAAGGGAGGAAAAGGGGCGTTTTTTAAGAAACATAAAGGAACTAAAAAACCTAAAAAGAATAAAAATGGAGGGAAAACAAAACCTCCTCAAGTTTAATAAACTAATGGATGTTTTGTTTGGATAAATAAAAATGTTTATATATTGTTGTGAAAATAAATAAAAACTATTCAACTTAAATTGTTTTTAATATGAAAACATGTTTATAAGGAATGAGAATAAAGTAAACATGTTTTTGAATATTATAATTGAGTTTAAAAAAATTAAACATGTTTGTAAGAAGAAAATAAACTTGTTTGTGGAAAACACTGAAACAAACATGTTTTGGAAAACACTGAACTAAACTTGTTTGTAAGAACTAATTAAACTTGTTTATGAAAAAGTTTAAAGAACCTTTATTAAACTTGTTTTCTAAACAAAATAAACTTGATTTATGGAAAACACAAAAATTAAACTTGTTTCTAAAATCAAAAATTAAATAAACATTTTAGGAAGATGCAAAACATGTGTTTATAAAATCTAAGTTTTATCCAAATTTAGTAATAGCAAAATTATTATTATTATATCTATTTAATCTATTAATTCCTCTATTACATGTTGATAAAGTATTATTATTTATTATTCCTCTTTTAGGCGTCCATCCAAGCATTTGAGGTCCCCCATTATATTCAACTTGCCGCAAACTTTTTAAAAATTTAATTTTTTTATTAAAAATTATTTTTTAAAAATATTACCGCTGTCTTTTAAAGCAATAAATTAATGAAAATACAATAGCTATAACAAGCCATGTTGAGCCGAGAATTGAACAGACAACGAGGATTAGGGCTAAAATTTGAAAAAATTATTTTTCCAATTTCAAGGATTAGAAGGGTTTAGAAAAGGAAAATAATTAATTTTTAGACAATTTTACTTACTTCCCGATTCATTTGCCGCTGCTAACAATTCTTTATCGGTCATACCGATTTTTTCTTCTTTAAATATTTTCCCCCTTTCTTGATTGTTGCCAACTCTTTCTACAACATTTGTTGTTGTTGGAAAAGAATGTTTTTCAAAAATGTTTGTATTTGTTGTTTTAATTTTTGTTGTTTGTTGTGTTGTTTCTAATGTTTTTGTTGATGTTATTTCCATTATAGTTGATGTTTGTGATGTTGTTGTTGTAAGTTTTGTTGTTGTACTACTGGTTGTTGATGTTTCGGCTTAAAAATAAAAGCAAAACTTAAAAACAACTTAAAAACTTTTTTAAAAACATGAAAACTTAAAAACAAAAACATTGTTTTACAAACATAAACAAACTTGTTTTTACAAATTTAAATATATTTTTGTAAAAACAAGTTTTAAAACCAAAACTTGTAAAAACAAAAAATAAACTTGTTTTTAAGTAGAGAATTTTATAAAAAAATAATAAAAAACCATTAGGAGTGCATAATTTTCTCCCATCGCCATGAAAACCTTCATTACAAATACATTCAGGTATCTATTTAATATCAATCTTATTTCTAAAATTATTCTCTGAAATTAACCTCTTCATTGCTGGAATCACAATGAGCATAAATATGGCAATGTTCGTTAAATCTTTTTTTACAAGGATCGAACACTTAAAAAGTATATTAAACGAATTAAATAAAACAATTTCGTTGTTTAAGAAATTAATAAAGTTTATAAACTTAAAAGATATAATCAAGTTTAGCAACAAGTTTACAAACTTATTTTTCAAAAATAAACTTGTTTATAAACAAGTTTATATAAACAAAAATAAAATAAACTTGTTTTTATTACATGTTTTTAATAAAGTTAAGTTTTCATAAAAATAAACTTGTTTTCCAACAATAAAAAATGTTTTTAACAAACTCAACAAAAACATACGTGTGCAATTAAATCCATTTCCAATAAATGTTGGAGCGCATGTACAAGTATACGAGCCTGGAGGCGTGTTTGAACAAGTTGCATTTGCCGAACATTTATGTAAATGGAGGGAGCATTCATCGATATCCTCCGCACAGTTTTTGCCAATAAAACCTTTAAAAATAATTTTATTTTAAAAATTAATTGAAAATTGCCTGTAGCACACAACCCCCCTGCACACATTCCACTAGCAAAATCACAAGGAATCGAGCCAAAACAATTACAACGCGAAGCACAATCAAGTCCCCAAGAGCCTGGCTCGCATTCTTTAAAATATTAAAAAATAAAAGTATTTTTTAATTAATTTTTAATTACCTTGTTGGCATATTGGGGGACCCAAAGTTCCAGACTGGCAAAAAAATTAAATAATTTTTAAAAAATTAATTTCTAACCGGACAAGAGTAAATTTTGGAAGGATTGTCGATACGAAAAATCCACTAAAAATCTTTTTTCAATCTTTTTAAATAAAAAATTCACTTTTCCAGGCTGTCCAACATTAGAATTCTTCAAAAGTAAATCGACTGGCAACGATTGGAATCCCAAAAAGGGATGGAAAATGCCTGACAACATTTGCCCATTAATAGAAATACTTTGATATAGAAAAATAACAAAAGTTGAAAAATTGTTTTGTTTAAGGTCATCGGGTGTTTGTCCTTGTATTAATGCTGCTTGGAATGTGTTGCTCTATAAAATATAAACATTAAAAAAAAATAAAACAAGTTTTCTAGATGTTTTTAAACATTTTCTTGGATGTTTTTAGAAATGTTTTTAAACAATGTTTTTAAATAAAAATGTTTGTAAATTTTAGTAAGTGAAATGTTTGTCTAAAACTTGTTTTAAAAACATAAGCTTGTTTTTATAAAGAACAAAATAAACTTGTTTTACAAACATTTGTTGGGCAAATAAAACTTGTTTTAATCAAATTTTTAATCAAAGAAAATTTTATTTAAAAAATCAATCCATTTTTACTCTAAATATATTAAATCAATTTTGCCGTGTTGGCAAATTGAGAAATAATATTTTTAATTCATAGGTATTATTTTTTCAAACAGCTTCCTGTTAATTTTAATAAGGGATTTAAAAAAAAGGTCATAAAAACATGTTTGTTTAAAAACAAATTGTTTCAGAATAATTTTCAGAAAATAATTCAAACAAGTTTTAATCAAACAAAGTCTTCCTTTAAAAAAGTTTATTTTAGAATAACATCTAAAATTAAACTTGTTTTACAAACAAATGCTAAAACTTGTTTTAAAACAAGTTTTATTTCAACCCAGAAAAACATATAAAACCAAAACATTTCTAACAACTTAAAAATAAGTTTTTAAACATGTTTTGTTTGTTTAATTTATTTCAGAATAAATTTTCAGAATTTTTTACAAACATTGTTCAATGAGAATATCGTTGTTTTTAGTTACTTTATTAACTGTTTTTATTACCTCAATATTTCTTACTTTTATTTTTCTTAATTATTATACACAAAAAGGTAAATTAAATTAAAATTTTAATAAAATTATTATTTTTTAATTTTTATTTAGATAAATATACAACTTCTGAAAAACACCACGTTCCCCTTTTAGAATCAATACCGAATAACGGAACGGTATAAAAATTTTTTAATTTTTACAAAAATTCTCTTTTCAAAGGTCGATCCCCGTGTTCACTACGAAAAAGGACCTAACGGGATGATTGCTAAAATGGATATTGATTTGGGTATTATAAAACATCCGAAAAATATTAAAAAAGAAGGAAATATTGAAGCTAAAATTTAATTTATTCAAAAAATTTTCTTTAAAAAATCTTTTCTAAGCTTATTTCTTTTTTTATTAAAAAAATTATTTTTTAAAAATTCACCATTTCTTCGGTTAAATCTTTTTGTGCTGTTACAAGTTTGTTAAATGTTGCAACAATTAATTGGGTAGCCTGGAACTCTGCAATTCTAAACCCATCACGAATTAAAAGCGAAGCACGCGATAAAAGTCCCCCACGCCTTCTACGTTGAAGCGAGTCACCTAATAGTTGTGTTTTGTCTGTTTAAAATAAAAAACGTGTTTTAGTAAAATACAAATAAAATTATTTTACAAAGAAGTTTTAATTACAAATTGTTTTTAAACAAACATGTTTTAGTTAGGATGTTTTACATAGGATGTTTTACACAGGATGTTTTAACTTGTTTTAAATTTAAAAAAACATGAATAAACATGTTTTAAATAAAACATGTTTTAATAAACAGTTTAAATAAAACTTTTTTTAAATAAACTTGGTTGTAAAACAAACTTGTTTGTAAAAACTTGTTTTAACTAAAACTCGTCTTTACAAAAACATTTAAACTTTAGCATAAATTAATTTCTCTACCTTCATCAACAACCATTACATCAATAATACTGCCCATAGATTTAGTGTCATAATTAGCAACTAATGGTAATATCAAAGGAGGCAAACCACCCCCATTATCAGTAAAAATGTTTGACACAACAGTTTCGTTAAGTGGTGCCCCAATTGAAATAATTCCCTTAGGTGAGACATAAAATGTAGAATATTGTTTTCCAAAAATATTTAATGTTTTCCCATGCTCCAGATGAACCTCCTTAGTTATTAATGGAGAAAGATTGTTGTTAAATAGAGATGAGGTAGTTTGTTTAGTTGTTGTTGGGAACAAAATGCTTTCTATGTAATAAAATGTTTTGGGAAAAATTATTATAAACAAATTGTTTATAAACATGTTTTATAGAAAATGTTTAAATAAACTTTAAATAAACTAAATAAACTAACTTTTAATTAAACTTATCTTAAAGAGGGAAATAAACTAAATAAATAAACTTGTTTGTTTTTAAAAACAAACAAGTTTTGTTTTCAAGTTTATTAAAAACACTTAATTGAACAAGTTTTATTAGTCAAGTTTACTAGTAAACTTATGTTGGAAACTTAAGTTTGTAAACTTATATACCGTATTTCCTATATTAGAGCCCCACTCTTTGTTAGAGCCCCACCCTCTAATACAGCCCCACTTTGGAGGATAGTTGAAAAATAGAGCCCCACCCTCAATTAGAGCCCCACCCCAAATACAGCCCCACCTAAAAAATATTGGAGGAAAAAATATCAGAATAACTTTTAAGATGTATGTATTAAGAGAGTTAAGGAAATAAAGGGGGATATCTATGATTTCGTGATCATTGAGGAGGAGGGATCATGGGGATTAGGGATGAAAATGAGGGATTAATCCCGTTATCCGTCAAAATACTCTAATATCGCCTATATTCCTCTAAATTCCTCCTATTACCTCCAAAATCTAATCATTTTATAAAGGGTTGCAATCGTGTTAGGCACTTGATGATAATTCGCGAGATTATTAGAGATCTATTAGATATCTAATCAGTGATATCTAACCAAAATTTCTCTGGAACCGATTTCAGTTACGTAACTGCTATTTGAATTTCTTCAGTTCCAGTTCTGGAACCTGTTCCAAAGCTTTATCAAACAAATCCCTTCATATGCCTCCTAATACCCCTAGTCCAGAATATCCCTCATAATCCCTCTAAATCTCTCAATATAAACTTAATCCTCTGATATTCCCCATAATCCCTTAAAATCCATTTTTATCCCTCTAATCCATCAATGTCAAATAAAAGTTCCATAATATTTCCTTTAATCCGTCCAAATCTACCCATATTTAATAATTAATCTTACTCTCATTGAACTATTGGGACTATTTTGTAATTCATTGCTTAAAAAGTTTTGGTTTTTCTTGAAAAATCGAAAAATATAGATTCTCTTTCGATATTTTGCGGCTTTATCGACCAAACCCTCCGACTTATCTCTAGTTGCAATGGATATAATAAATGGGATTCTATCTCAAAAGAGGGTTGAAAAATAGAGCCCCACCCTCAATTAGAGCCCCACCCTTTAATACAGCCCCACCTTGGAGGATAGTTGAAAATTAGAGCCCCATGGGGCTCTAATATAGGAAATACGGTAATTTAAGATTTACCATGGCATTGACGGCCATCACCAATAAAACCTTCAATACATTCACAATGAAAACTTCCTTCCAAGTTTGTCTAATGAAAATAGTAGAAATTAATTTAATTAATTTTTTTATTTAATATTTTTATAAACATTTGGTCCTAATAAACATCAATTTGTTTTTAATTATTTAACTACCTAATTAAAAACTTACACATATTGCTGATCCTTTATGACAATTTGAAGCATCCGCACATTCATCAATGTCTTGACAATGATTGGAGTTTGATTGACGTTCAAACCCGGCATTACAATCACATCGAAAAGAGCCTATTAGATTAACACAGGTTGCGTGTCTTTAAAAATTTTTTGTGAATTTTATTTTTAATTTTAACAATTTTATACTTTCCGCAATAATATTCAGCAGTTAAACATTCATCAATATCATTACACCCTTCCCCGTTATTTGGATCGCCATTAAACCCAGGTGAGCATTCACAGTGAAAACCGCCGATTGTGTTTTGACAGCGGGTATTTGCGTGTGGACAAACATTCTCCAAAGTATTAAGTACAGCACTCTCTGCACACTCGTCAACGTCTATTTTTAGTAGAAAAAATATTTTTAAATATTAAATATAGTACAAAAAAGATATTTTAATTACCAAGGCATCCTTGACCATTAGGGTTAGCAACAAAACCTGAGTTGCAAACACACTAAAAAGAATTAAAATGTTGAAAAAAGTTTAAATTGCAAAAAAAACATGTTTTATTTAGATATTAAAACAAGTTTATTTAAAATTAAGTTTCCTCATTAAAACAAGTTTATTAAAAACAAGTTTGGTGCAAAACAAGTTTATTTAAAACACAACTAATTTAATCAAAGATAATAAATATCAAAAAACAAATAGCTTTTAAAAAGTCAATTTTGCAAACAAGTTTGTTGCAAAACATGTTTAGAGAAACAAGTTTGTTTTAATTTAAACTTTTAAATATTAGTAAGAAAGACAAAGATACTTTCAGACCTGATAAGAACCAGGAAGATTTTGACATTCAGCATTTGAACCACAAATTTTTTCATTTTTAGAAGCACATTCATCTATATCCAAACATGCCTATAAATTAATTTTTAATTTAAAATAAATTTTTCCTACCACTCTTCCATCTCCTTGCCATCCTGGGGCACATCTACATTCTCCCCCTTCTAGACAGATACCTTGTTCGGCTATACATTGACGATGACAATCAGCAAAAATTAAATTAGATGAAGGAATAAGTGTTGTTGTTGTTTTGGGTATTGATGTTGAGGGGATTGGAGGTAGATTTGGATGGTGACGAAATTTTGACTGGGATAATAGAGGAATATTGGAAGGATTAGAAGGTAATAAAGGCGTTAATTCATTCAAGGACGATTGTTGAGAGAGATGAGGAGATAAATTATTTGGTGGAGAAGGATGAGAAGGGCGTACACCGGCAAATAAAGGCTTAAAAATAAAATAAAGAATTATCCATGTTTAGTTAAGGTTTAATTAAACTTTAGGTTTGTTTTCAAGATTAAGCTTAAAAACTTATTTTAAGTAAACTATTTTAATTTTCGGGTTAATTCCGTTTTACTTAAGTTTTAATAAATTTAAATCAAGTTTAAGTTTGAAATTAGTCTAGCCAAGTTTAAAAACAAGTTTGTAAACATATTTAAAACTTAAAAACAAAAATAAACTTGAATTAAGTTCAAGCTTCAACTTTATTTTATAATTCAAGTTTAAACTTAAAGTTTTACCTGAATAGTAACAGGCAAAACTTTAATTGACAATCCATTATTATTTATTGCTTCATTATTAATTCCTAAAGGTTGCCTTTCTTGTTGACGTCTAGTATTTGTTAAAGTATTTTTTGTTTTAGGCCCTAATTGAGGAATTAATGAAAGAGAAGCTATTGGAACTTGAATTCTTTCTTTTCCCTCTTCCTTAGAAAAAATTAAATTTTGATGAGAAATAGAAGAAGCTTCTGTTGAAGGTTCTAAAGCAATATTTGTTGAAAAAGGAGAATCTGGTTGGGGGGATACACACAATCCTGTTTGGTTATCGTATTCAACACAAAAACAAAGAAACGAGCCGGGAGTGTTCTAAAAACAAAAATTAATTTTTAAAAATTTCATTTCTTAACCATGCAATCAGGCTGTTCATCTGGACATGTAGTTTCTGGGTTGGCACATTCGTCAATGTCATCATCACATATTGGAGGTCCTTGCCAACCTTTTTTTAATTTTTATTTAATAATTAATTAGTTAACAATACTTACCGGGACTACATTTAGATTCAGGACATTCGCCTGTATCTACATTACAAGCCTTGCCATCGGCACAATGACAAGACTTTGAACTAAAATTAGACTGTATGAGCATTAGAATAAACATAAAAATTAGGTATGTTGCAGAGAAACATGTGATATAAAACATAGATTAAAACAAAAAAAATAGACTTGAATAAAACATTAAAACGAAAACATAAAACTTGGAACAAATATATTAAATAAGGAAAAACAAATAAACATACTTAAAAATAAAACTTTAAACAAACAAACATAAAAACAAACTTGACGAACAAAAACATTAAAACAAACAACTTAGAAATAAACTTAAAAATAAACTTAAAAATAAACTTTAAAACAAACATTAAAACAAACAACTTAAAAACAAACAAGCGTTAAACAAACAACTTTAAAATAAACCTTAAAACAAACATACCAGTCCATATACCATTGTGATGGCAAACACGAATCAACACATTCTACATATATTTTTAATCAAAAATATTTTTTTATTTCTAAACAAACCCAATCCTTTAAATCCAGCACCACAAAGAAAAACACGTTCAGGATTGTCAATTCTCATAAGCCACTCACCAGGTATTCCAATATTTGATTGTTGTGTTACCTGCAACGATGTTTTTCCTGAACCGGGAAAAACAAAATGTTTGGAATGTTGTTTTGAATGTTTTTCTTGTTGTCGTTTATGTCTTTCTAATATAGGAATAGCCTCAACTCTTTTATGTTTTTGTTGTTGGATGTTTTGTTTGTTATTTAAATTGTTTTGTTGATTAAATGATGTTTCCCTCTTCTCCTCTTCTTCTCTAATTTCTTCGGGTATTTCCTCAACATCAGCTATAGGGGAAGAGTTTGTTAATGTTTCTTCTTCATTTTTAATTTCTTCATTATCTTGTTGTGAAGATTGAGGGCCATTAATTCCTATCTATATTTGAAAATTGGACGTTTTGAAAAATCAAAACCTACAATTGCTTCTTCCTCAGGAATGTGACTATAAACAAAATGGGCAAAACAAGCATTTTTATCAAGTATTAGGGCTAATTGAAACAAAACATTATTTTCTCCTTCGCCTTCCTCTAGCCATGTGATGATAATTACAGATTGGGGAGTAAAGGAGTTACCATAGCGGAATTGGATATTAACCTCGTTTTGAGCTAATCCCAATGTGTTTTCATCTTAAATTATTTGTTTTAGGTTAAAAAAAGAAAATACAAAAAAACACAAAAAATACAAAAATTCACCAATACTTTCCCTCACAAAAAGCCTTCGTTTATAACTTCCACTATGCTCACTTTCTGTCCAAAAAACGGCAATAAGAGGTTCCCCTGATTTAATTGGAATTTGTGTGGGCATACCAGCACCAATAAATGTAGGACTTAGGGAAACAAGGCCGTTACGGCAAATCTAGGAAATTAAATTTAAAATGATTTGAAATTTTTAAAAATTTTTACAAAAATTCACCAATACTTACCCAGATTTTGTCAATACTTTTCCCCATAAAAAGTATTGGTGTGCTCGATCTAAATTCATTATATTCCTGCACCAATTCGGCATCCCCATTTTTCACACCATAAGGATAAAGTCTGGCTGAGAAAACAAAGGGTACCTTTTTAGAAAAATAAAATTTTAATTTTGAATTTTGGTAATTTTGGTAGTTAATTTAATAATTTAATTAAAAATGAGTAAAATAAAAATTTTCCCTACAGTAATATTAAGATCTATTTGTTGGGCACCAGAACTAGAAATTGGGGCCTCTAGCAACTGACGCCGCTGTCTGGCTAAAATTAATTAATTAAAAAATTTTTTCCCAATAAACATACATTTACTTAAAAAATAAAATTTTCTCCTTTCCATTTTAGAAGAAATTGAGATATTTCTGGGAGAATTGAGAGTTGAATTAATTTCAGCCAAAAATTGAGGTAAAAAATTGATAAAAATAATATTTGTCAAAAATAATAATTTAAGAGGCATTTCTAGTAAATAAAGAAAATACAACCGGAAAAAAATATAGGTAATATTAGAAAAACACAACAGGAAAACAAAAACACAACCGGAACAATATAAAGAAAATACAACCGGAAGATAATAAAGGAGTAGAAAAATACAACCGGAAAACACAAAAAAACACATCCGGAAAATAATCGGAAAAATTAAATATAAAAACATCCGGAAAAAATAATGTCGAAAAACACAAAAAAATACCGGAAAAACACCAATAAACATAAGTGAAACAAATAAAAGGAAAACACAAAACAAAGAAAACACATCCGGAAAAACACCAACAAAAATACATTCCAGATCAATTTCTATTCATTACCAAAATATCAATTTCCCTTTGATTGCGGGTGGATTTTTAATGTGAAAAGATGAGGGGAGGTAAAAGGGGAAAGGAGTGTTGTTTGTTGTGTGCCGGCGGCGCCAATCCCAATCGACCGGTCAAAATCGGATGATGAGAAAAATAAAAAAAAATTTCTTCAAGTAGAAGACGAAAAGAGGTTCAACGAATTTAAAAAATTTCTCCCTCTAATAGACAAATAATCTAAAAATAAGTAAAGGACACTTTAGAGGGGTGAACTCCTGCCGAGAATGAGTTGAAACGAAAAAAATAAAAATAAATTTATTTTAAAAAGAAGACTCAAACCCTTATATTCTTTTATTTCTCCTTTCTTTTAATCCAGAAAATTCCGTTTTTTATTTTAGTACTGCGCAAAGATGGTGATTATTGGGGTGCTATTACTTTAAAAAAGTATGCTAACGATCTTGCAATAATTTAGGAAGAGAAAAAAGAGAATTTAAAAAAAGAAATAAAAAATAAAAAAGAAATGCCCAAAAAATTTTTTCATTAAGAGAGCCCCGGCAACTTAGTCGGTAAAGCATTTGTATGTGGGGAGCGAAAGTTAATTTAAAGTAAAGTTGGCTAAGCCGAAACAACTGAATTTTTAGGAATGCAACATTTGCACTACAAGCAATTTTGCCATCATGTAAATGGTTTGAAGAAGCTAGGTTGAAATTGGGCAGCAATATCTGCATCTTTTCGAGAAGTGAAGGCCTCTCTGCTTGGGATGGGAGGCTGCTTTCAATCTTTAGGCTAAATCTACTTTCATCTGTTCTGGCATTTTCAACACGTCCCTAGTTCCGGAAGGAACATACTTTTAAGGAAGAAAAGAACGGTTTAAATTCATATAAAACATGAAAAAATAGTCTTAATCATGTAATAAATTTTTATTTACTTTTTTTAATTTTTTTATTTTTAAGAATACTAGCTAATAAGTACATATTAATATTAATATTTTTTGTTCCAAATAAACACAAAAATAATATTTACATTTTATTTAACATACAGTCACAAAAGAACAATCTTTTTCTTATTGTTAATATGGTGGAATGAGATTTTTAATTTAACTACAAAAAATATTTGTTTTTATTTATTTACAGATTTTCACCATCCATACTCCTTCCTCTTTTAATTAATTTAAAATTTATTTATTTACATTATTTTTATTTTATTGTTGCTATTGTTGTTTTTTTGAGGGAGGACTTTTACAGAGTTGTTGAGATGAAGGAAATAAATTTTTAAAATTATTTATTGTTGTTTTTCTATAGATTTTTTCTTTTAATTTTGGCATTTCGAAGGTTTTTGAGGGTTTTAGAGATTTTGAATTTTTTTTAATTTTTAGAGGATATTTTTGGGGATAATTTCTTTTTTTTATTTATTGTTGTTATTTTTTCGACTTTATTTTTTAAATAAAATTAAAGAGAGAAATAATATTAGTAGTTGTAGTCGGTTGCTCTAGGCCCTCCCAAAAATTTTTTTTTCAATTTTTTTTTACAAAAATAATTTTTTTCCTTCATTCTCTTCATTTAGTAGATAACAACAACAACGAGTATATTCCTCCTCCTCCTCTTTATTTTTCTATTTTTTCTTCTTCCTCTCCTAAATTATTTTCATTTTTACTTTTATCAAAACAATAATTTTGTTGTTGACCTCTAATTTTTCCTCTTTTAATTTTAATTAAATTATTTGTTGGAATTATTGGAATTAATATATTATAATTTAAAGGTTTTTGACGACTTTTAATCCAATAATGATTTCGTAAAAGTTCCCCAGCATCTTCGCGGCATTTTAAAAGACAGAAAGGGTCTATCTGAAGTTTTAAAAAATATTTTTATGTATTAAAAACATTTTTAAATCAAAAAATCTTAGGTCAAGGAATTAAGATCCGAATCTTAATCATTTCCCATTTGAATAAAAATTTTTCTTGGATTTTTAAAATATTAAAAAATTAAAAAAATTCTTCTGTTTATTTTTTTACATTTTTTATCAAAACTCAACTAAAATAAAAATATTTCCCATGAGTGGGATTCGAATTCGAAACCCTTTTTCATCTTACAATTAAACTAACAATAAACTTTCAAACTACACCAAGAAATTAATTGGCGTGGGATTATTGCAGTACTAAATTTTCAACTAAAAATCAAACTTAAAACTTGTTAAAAAATTCAGAATTTTAGGAAAAATTTGCATCCTCAATACTTATTACATAGATTTATTAACTAACAAAGAATTATTATTTTTTTTCAGAAAAATTTCATATTTTTTGAGGTAAGCTTACAAACTCTTCCTTAAATTTTCAACTAAAATTTGGGAAATATCAAACCAAAAAATCTGAAATTTTGGAAAATTTTGGAACACTTTTAAGGATAAATATACAAAATTTTAGGTTTAAAGTTATCTTTTGTGTTAATTTATGAATTTTGAAAGGAATACTTAGGAGGCCAAACCAAATTAATTTAAAAAATAAAAACCTGAAATATACTCGTTAACGACTCGGTAATTCTTTTCCATTCTTGTGTTGTAAATTCCAACATAATCGAAAGTGTTGAGAGGGCTAAAACAGAAGAAGAATAGGACCAAACTAAATGTCCATTTGAAACAATTAACTTTAAAAAAAATTTAAATTAAAAAGTATCCTCCCTTTTTAAAGAAAAACCTCAAAATTACGACGCAAAATACGCGAAACAGCCAAATGAGGAGTTCCTATAACTGCCAACATTGCATGCAAAAAGCGGTCAAAACCTTTAAAAATTAAAAGAGGTTAATTTTAAAAATAATTCTTAAAAAATTTTTAAATTAAAAGAAAACGGAAAAGGGTTCGGAACCTTCCCCCTATCTCCCACAAAATTTAAAATAAATGGTACAATTAACCAGAACCACTAATCAAATAAATATTGAATATAGTAAAGGGGTGAAAATATTAATTTCAAAATTAATTATTAATTTACTTGGCAACAACAAATCCCAACTAAGTCTAGCAAGTAATGTTCGCTCCATTCGATTTAATTCCTGCAAAAATAAATTTTAATAAAATTTTTAAAATAAAATATTGGAATAAAAAAAAATAAAAAAAATTGTGGAGGGAAAGGAGGAATTTTCAAGTCATAAATTTTGAGGGATATGGATCAGTGATGTTATACAGTCCTTGAAAAAATAGAAACGTTTGTTTTAAAAATAGGGCCAGGTGAAAAAAAGCATTTTTTGAATAAAAACTATTTTTGTTAGTTTTTATACAAAAGGCGTAATTTCGAAAAAAAAATATTTCGAGGAAAAATTAAAAATTATGCATTACTATTTGTCCTCTAATCAAATTTCTTAGAGTAGGAAAAATACAAATTAAAACCAGAATACCAAAATTAAGGGGAACACAAGAACAAAAACCTAAAAATATTGAATGGTAAGTGAAGACTTGCAGACTTTTAGTAATCGAAAAAGACCTCTTAACCTCCCCCCAAAAATTTCAAAAAAACCTTCTGGGAAAATTCAGATTGTGCTCTAATTTCAGCAGCCAATTCATCAGAATTTAAAGGTTCAGGTGAAGGAATAGCCAAAATTATTGCGGCAGCTCTGTTTGCTTCAAAAGCTTCAGATTCAGCATCAATCTCTTCATGAAATTTAACTGCTAAACCGAGGGAGGAAACGGCTACACAATGCAAATATTTTCCTTGAACCTTTAAAAAATAGTTAAAATAAGTTAAACCAAAAACACCCGTTTAAGGTGACGAGAGGAAAAGTGGACATTCGGTCCCAACCGAAAATTTTTTTAATCTCACAGGATAAGCATCTCTTGTCAGTCAAACAGAAAAATTAAACTCGTTAAGATTGAGATAACAATACTGATCTCATGCTTCCGGCATTTTTGTCTTTCGAGTTCATGTCAGACACCTCCGGATATTTCTATTCCACTGTCAAAATTGAAGGAAATAAAACAAACTAACTTTCTGGATAAGGGAATATAAAAATGATAACAAAAACTGAAAAAATGGAATTGGGTAAGAAAAAATTTAATGTGATCAAATGTCCACAAAATCAATTAATTTAGAAAAAAACTTTAAAGGCAAACCTTAACCATTCTCATAATTTTATCCAAAATAGCAATAGATAAGCCTATAGTACTCAATCCCAATCGAAAACGACGTCCCAACATTAAAATCCATTTAACTTGTTTGTTGCGGTCAGCAAGGGAGTCCATCCCCTTAAAAATTAGAAATTTTTTTTTAAAAAATAGTAAAATCTACTAAATATATTTAGGTTAGAATTAAAAATAAAAATTGTTTGAAAAATAACGAAAAAACTCATTTAGAGAGAGGGAGAAGAAATTGGACATTTGGTCCCACCAGAAAAATTTAAAGCTTCCAGAAAATTTTTAAAAATAATTTAGAATGTAAAGCAATACGGATTTTAGCTTTCAAAATCAATTAAGAGTGAAGAGGGGGAAAATGGGGCATTGGATCCATCCAAAATCTTTAAAAATAAATCAAGAATGATTAAATACCCCAAAAAAATTTTTTCCAAAAAAAAATTTAAAAAACCATGTATTGCTGTTTCTTCAATTCATTAACTTCATTAGCACTTTTAAACAGCAAAGAATTTAGCAAAACACGGGAAATTGTATACAATGCCGAATTTTTTGGTGAAAAGACATCCGCAATTTGTGTTGAGGTTTCATTGCTCATCGAATTTAAAATGTTAATTTTTTTTGTTAAATTTATTAATTAAATATATTGCTAAAAATAATAGAAAAATTAAACAGAAAAATTAAATGAAATTAAATTTTTTTAATCAGTCAGCGGTTGATTTGGGAGTAGATGACATTTTGTCCCAAAATTAAAATTAAAAAAAATTTTTTCAAGACTAGTTGGAACTTCCCATTTAATTTGCAGTTGAAAAAGTCTTAAAAATTTATCTAGGTAATTTAACCTAAAAAGTAGCCGTTTTTAAAGCCTTTGCTAAAATTCTATTTTTTAATTATTTTTAAAAATTAATTGTTTAATAAATACAAAATAATTATTTTCTTTATTTAATAATCTACCTATTTCTAATTTTTTTTTACTAAAAAATTTTTTTCAAATTTTAATTTTAAAAATAGAACTATCCCCCTCCCTCAGAACATTTGTGTAAACCAAACTAAAAATTTTTTAATAAAAAAGGCATATTCTCTCGCAGTTTTAATATAAATTTATTTTATAATAATTCATTCTCTCCTTCTTTAAATTCCAAAAATATCGTTAAAAAAAGTTTTTATTACATACAAAATGCTTTTCATGTGCTGAAAATTAGAGTCCGGCAAAATCGCATTCCCGGGATCCCGGAACGGGATTTTTTTTCAAAATTTTGTACGGGACGGGATCCCGAGGGATTAATCCCGTAAATCCCGTAATCCCGGTAATCCCGTTCTCAAATTTACCGGGATCCCGCCGGGATTCCGGGATTTTCACAAAAAAAATTTTAAATTATGATATGTTGAATATTGGCGTATTTTGAGACAATATCGGTGGATTTTGACGGATTAGGGGAGGAATGAATAGATATCAGAGGATTAAGAGTGATATCAGTGGATTTAGAGAGATTAAGAGGATTTGAATCCTTATAAGTGGATTTAGAGGGATATCGGTATATTTGGAGTGATAAAGGGTGATTTTAATAACGGTGTGTTAAGGCGAATATACGGATTTAGAGGGCTCAACTGGATTTGAATGGATATATATGGATCCCTCAATATCTCTTAATCCCCAGATCCTAGGTATACCTCTTAATCCATAAATCCCTGATACCCCTTATTATCCTCCAAATTTCTCTTAATCCTCTATGTTAACCCCAAATCCATGACACCCCTTTGCAATACTCCAACATCATATATCTCTTACTCCACAGGAGTTGAACTTAAGATGATTTAACCCTCAGAAAAACGTACTCCTCACAAACCCTCTGTATCTCTGTTAATCCAAAAAATCCATTCTTAATTACTCGTAATCCATCCACTACAGGCAAAACTTTTCGAATTTTTCTTTTTTTTGGAAGGCTAAGAAGCTAGCTTTTTTCATTTTTTAGCGCCGCAGGCGAAAATTTTGAGAATTTTGGACGGCCAAGAACCCAGATTTTTTCCTTTTTCAGCTCCGCAGGCAGTTTACTGGAGTAATTATAAATCCCGTAAATTTGAAAAAAATTCCCGGGATCCCGGAACGGGATTGGGTTTTTAAAATTCGATCGGGACGGGATCCCGCGGGATTAATCCCGTAAATCCCGGAATCCCGGTAATCCCGTTTGTCGCTAAAAACCCGGGATTCCGGGACGGGATCCCGTAAAATCCCGTACGGGGTCCCGTCCCGTGCCGGTCTCTACTGAAAATCACGAGAATGACGCGGAAATGTTTCTTTGGGTAGACGCCAAAAAATAAAAGAGATAAAAGGAAAAAGAAGAAAATTAAAAAAAAATGTAAACTTTTCGTTTGACCAAATAAAAGAAAAATTAACGTTTAACCAAAATATATTTATTTCGTCTTATTTTTGTGTATTTTATGGTGTATGTACTTATTTTCTCTTTTATGTGACAGACACAATATACAAACAAATAAGAAAATTTAAAAAATTTTTTAAACTAACACAAAAATAGGTAAATATGCAAAGTTCTCTCTCCCATTTATTTACCTATATGTACACTTTTTTTCTCTGCTTTATGACCCGACAAAATGGTACTACCCCATAATGCGACAAAAGGGTTCATTTTAAAAACAAATTTTAAATAAATTCATTAAAATATTTAAACTAATTTAAAAAATATTTATTCTATTTTTTTAATTTAAAAAACTGCACACACTTCATTAAATTAAAGAACAGATTTTTTTGAAGAAAATAATCACAAAATAAAATAAATATAAAAAAATCACAGAATGCCAAAGAAAAAAAGAATTTTCTGCCTTAATAAAGGCTTGAGGAATTTTTATGAAGGTATGTAGAATTGACTAATTTTAATTCAACAATACAATGCAATAATGTAACATTTCGATCTTTTGGACTTTTAAGGATACTCAACTGGAAATGAATTTTTTCTAAAGATATTTCCAAAAAACTTACAGCATCCAAACTAGAAAGCCTAAAACCATAAACAGGCGCTCTTCTCTGTCCATTCATTGCATTTCCAATAGCCAAAATAATTTCAATAATTTTTGGAAATTTTTTTGAATTATGTACAGATTTAGCTGCTGCTGTAACCTTTTGGATTTGCTAAAAAATAAATTTTTTAAAAATTATTGTTGATTAAAAAAATTAAAAACATACAGGAATGAGTAGACGAACGCTTAAAAGAAAGGGGAAAATTAATAAAATTAAAAAAAAAATAAAAATTGAATACAAAAATTGTTTCAAAATAGTTGAGGAGATTCGAATTTAGGAGATAATAGGTATTCCAAAATATTATTCTAGGTTAATCTAGTCAGGGAAGTGGAACCTAGAGTCCTAAAAACTCAGTACCTGCCAATCATTATTTTAAAATTGAAAAATCCTCTCAAAAACCCACCTATCATTAAAATCTCCCATAAATTTCATAATCAAAAGTTTTTGAGATAATCTTTCAATTCCCATTAATTGAGCCAAAAATTGATCTTCAGCAGTCAATAATTCCCAAGGATTATTTAAATTTGAAGAATTTTGATTTGAAGAAGCATATTCTTTTAATTTTGTACATTCATCTTGCGTGGGTACTATAGGTAACAAAATTTCAACTTGATCCGGACTTAGAACAGACAAATCAAAACGATGAACACCCGACCTTTAATTTAAAAAATAAATTTTAGAAAATTATTTTCTATACAAATTATAAGAGACAGAAAGTTTCTATTAGAGTTGGAAAGGGCCGAGTATTAACCGGTATTCCCAGTTTTCAGTTAATACCAGTTTAAGACGCCGAGTCTTCGACTGGTTCAATTAACCATTTACTTCCAACCTTATCTTCTATATAAAACTTACAAACTAAATAACTTTCATAAAATTTTTTTGCAGAATTTACCCAATTTCTTAAGTATTTTAAGTATTAGGTCACTAAAAAACAAAATCCTTTTAGATATATGTAAAGGTCAAAATTTTTAAACTGCTTTCTAATAAAAAAGTATTTTTTCTTACATAATTTCCATTATTGACTTGCCAAGCTTTCGACGTATAATAGCTAAAAAAATTTACATATTTTTAATTTCCAAAAATTATTTCAAACCAATATTTTGAAGTCTTTTAGTGCCCAACAAAGTTTTTGTATTCCCTCCATTCAATACACCAACACCTATACTACTAGATGCCGAACTTGGAGGGGATAATTGCCCGCCAGAAACCAAGTCTTCCTTCGATTGTTTTTCTGTTATCTTGTTGCCAGAGGGTGGGCCATCAACGCAAAAGAGTTCTTCCAAACTAGAGAGGTCCAAAACCTGAAAAAATATTTTTTTTAGATTTTCTAGAATATCCAAATAAAGCCCTCTTACATCAACAAGTTTTTCATCATCAAGTTCATTAAAAATAGTTCCCTTCACTTGATTTGGGTTTAAAGCAGACCAATTAAGCATTGGTAATTTGCTCCTAAAATTTATAAATTTTATTAAAAAATCCCAAAAATTCCCTACTTAATAGTCACAACACGTTTTTGAGGTCCATCATTAGCCAAAGCTAAATTTTGTTGATTTGCTTTAGATAAAAGTCCGGGAGGAGGCGGAGCTATTATTTTTGGTGGTAATTTAAGTGATGGAGGTGGGGGTGGTGGAGGAGGTGGTGGTGGTCCTCCATTTGATGGTTTTATTGATGAAGTTTCTTTCTTGAGTAGAAGATTTGTTGGAGGGGGTGGAGGTGCAGGAGGTGGGGGAGGAGGGGGTGTTGGAACCGGCAGAGATGTTGTTAATGCTGCTTTTTTAGCCTATAAATAAGAAAGAAAATTTTTTTTTAAATTTCCTAAAGAATAGAAAAAAGCAAATTTCTTTTCCAAAAAATATTTACTTGTTCGCCACCAAGTGTCTGTTTTGATAAAGCGCCAGAAACATTATTAGTTGAAGTAGCAATATTATCATTAGTTGAAGCAAGTGCAGCAGGTGAAGACTGTGTTACAACTGCAGTAACTGTAGCAACAGAAGCTGCTTGTTGTGCTGCTGCCTGCTGTGATATCTTTAGGCTTTCTGAAAGAAAATACCCGTATTTAAAAAAAAGTAATTTTCTTGAACATTTTTCAGGAAGGAAAAGTTTTCAGAAAGGGAAGAATAATTTCCGAGAATATTCCAAAAATAAGGAAATAAATTTTTAAAAAATCAAGATTTCCCCTTACGTTGTATTTCCCTCTTTGTCTGTTCCAACATTGTAATTCTTCTCTCCAATTCTCCCTTTTCATTTTCAAATTTTGTTTCCTTTTCACGCCAATCTTTTGTAAGTGTAGAAATATGCATATCTCGATTAACTTTCTGTCTTTCCAATTCCAATTTATCCTCTACCAATTTTTTAAGTTGAGCATTTAATTGGGCTATTTGGACATAACAATCAGCCTGTAGTTGTTGAAATTCTTCTTTTTGACGAGAATTGTTTGCCTTTAAAAAATTACAAATTTTTTTTTGGATTTTAAAATTAATAAAAAGATATTTTTATTAAATAGGTAAATATTAAAATAATTTCTCATGCTAAAAATTGACTCAAAAATTAGTAAAACAAAGAATTTGTTTAATTTTCTTAAAATTTTTTTTAAATAATTTCCAATAAAAAACCTGTAGTGCCTGAATATCACCTTCAAGTTCATCACATTTAATTGACTTATCATGTAATAAATCAACATCAATGCAATTATTCCAATAAAGATTTATGTGATTTAAAAGAAATTCTGATTCGGAATATTCTGAGGAAAGTTGCTAAATTTTTTTTTAAATTTTTATTTAAAAAATTCAAAAAAACCTCGAGATGTCTATCCAACCCAAAAATAGTAAATTCATCTAAAATGTCAAAAAATTAAATTCAACAAAAAATTTCTTTACATTGTAAAGCTACTCGTTGATTCATATCACTACTTGAATGGACCATTACATTAATAAACCTTCAAATTAAAAAATTGGAATTATTTTTTTTTGGAATTATTAAAAAAATTATTTTATAATTCTAATTGGAATTATTTTTGTTTAATTTTGTAAATGCAGAAAGGGGGCGAAGAAAAAGTAAATTAATTAAAAAATTTTGTGAAGGGGGTAAGGGCAGACTCTGTCTTAAGTAATTAATTTTCCAAAAAATTTTTTAAATATTTCTTCTGAATAAAAAAAAATACTTAATGCAGGATGCAAGAAAATCAACATTTACACCAGGACATTTAAAGCACCGAACTAATGTTTGGAAGCGAAAAATCTTTAAAATTAATTTTTAAAAGATTTAAAGAATTCAAAAAACCTCATTGTAAGCACTTCTAAATTTATTAAAAGCACCAAGTACAAGTTCATGTCCATCTGTTAAAGTGACAATCGCAGACAACATATCTAGCACCAAAGCTTTTGTTCTAAAAATATTTAATAAAAATACGATAGAAAAAATTGAATGAAAAAAAAGATTTGTGGATCGATATTTGCCCTATACGAACATTCTACTCTGTAGAATGCTTATCAAAACTGGCTGATAGAGTCCAAAAATAAATCATGGGATTCTAAGTCAACGCTAGAGGCCAAAAAAACTTATAAACTGATTCAAATAACACTCCACCTCATTTTAAAGAATACCCACAAATGTCAAAACTCTTGAAAAAAAAAACAAACTTGAAAGACGGATGTAAAATAGCTCGAACAATACAATAAATTGCCTGACGATTTGAAAATACAGCAACAACTCCAAACTTGAAATTAATTTTTTTTAATTTTTAAATAATTAATAAAAAAAACTTTATTATTCAACAAAGCACGTAAACAACAAATTCCAACATGTATATCATCATCAATATGGTCAATACCTTTACTTGATGAATAAAGTTTACGAGAATTGTGTGAATCTTTAAAATAAAAATTTTCAAAAATTATTTTAAAAATAAATTCAAAGAAAATTAGAGCTCTAACACGTTTAGAGCTCTTACTAGAAGAAATTAAGCCCAGTCCTTCACAGTAAAAAACAGAATCAAAAAAAAATCGAAACTAAATTTTTTATTTCAAAACGAGCTGCTAAAAAGCCAAAAAAAAATTCTAAAAAAAATTCTTTTGGCTGAATAACAAAATTGACGGTGGCATAGTTAATGATTTAATTATGAATGCACTTTAAAATGCAAGAAACTAGCTGGCCCGATTCCCAAAAAAATCAATTAATCTCGCAAATATAAAATAAAAAAAATTTAAACAAACTTTTTAATTTTCCAGAAGTAAAAGACAAATCATCTTTATTATTTGAATAAATCGAAGAATTCATTGTTGTATTAGTATTATTATTTAAATTTGTTTGTAAAGAACAAGTAGAAGAACCTCCGCTTGTACCAAACTGATTATGAGTCCCTCCCCCTCCTCCTTGCTGTTGTTGTCCTCCTCCAGAAGATACATTAGTTGAAGAATTGATAAATTGAATATTAACTGCTGTTTGAGAAAAGGAAAGGTCTGGATTTGATGAAGAAGGAACAATTCCATTTTCTTCAGAAGAATTTCTTTAAAAATTTTTTTTTCAATAGTTTAAACTCATGTCAGAAAAAGATAAAAAGAAATTTAAAAATAGACTCAAAGATTGAGGCAATAAAGCCCTTGACCTTAAAAGCCGAACTTAAAACTGATTTGGAATAATTAAAAAGGAAATAAGAAAAGTTCTGAATTTTAGTAAAATTTACTTTGTTAACTATAAAAATGAGAAAAGCAAATTTTAATCGTCCAACAAAAGTAATAGCAAAAATAACCCCTACAACAAACAAGAAAAAAATTTTTCCAAGAAGGGGGCTATCTATCCTTTTCTTAATTTTAAAAATTTAAAAACAAAAAAATAAACAAACATTAAAACAGCAAAAAGAGAATCTTGCAAAAAAGAAATGTAGTCAACCAAAACACGAAGACCATCACCTTAAATTTGTAAATTAATTTATTTTTAATAAAATTTACATTGAGGGGCTAGAAAAGCCCTAACCCAGTCAATTGTGTTTGTTCTGAGTGAGATCTAAAATGTTATAGGAATTAAATATTTAATTTAAAAATTAAGAAAAACCTCAATATGTTTTAGGAGCGTTGTTGAAGACTCGCCAGAGAGATATTTTTTCTTCTAAAAATTATTATAGTTTATATAAAGAAAAAATGATAATTTTAGAGGTTTAAAATAATTAATTTCTCAATTTTAAATTAATAAATTTACTAAAAACAAAAATTCACTTTTAAAAAAAATTCCAAAAGAATTATTGACTGAAAATATTTTTTAAACTTTTGAACTTTACTGGAGGTTCCCTTTAATTTTTCTTTATTTTCCATTAACAGCTAACATAAATCACTCAAAAAGGAATTGAATTTTCATTTGTGACTTTGATGAAAAGATCCGTTTGATTGACACTTTGAGGCTTGGCTTTCTCATGGAAAGAAAGCTTGAACTTCTTTAAGGAAAATAAAATGTCAGAAATATACGGGGAAAAACCCCAATAAACTTCAAAATACCATTTCCCAAATTTCAAAAAATTGAAAAAAACCTTTTTCAAAGTCTTCCTATCCATATAGATTTTCAATTTTTCCAAATAAATACTCGGATCTGGCACAGAATGATCGACAGAAAATTTTCTCTGGTCACAGACTAAATCCCATTTCTTCTTAAGATCGCAATTTCTCAGAGTTCGCATTTTGTCTGGAGGAAGGTCCATTTGTTTCTAAAATGAAAAAATAATTAATTTAGACAAAAATAAATAAATACACAAAAGGGGATCAAACCTAGGTCCTTAACAAGAAGAAAATCTAACATTTTCCCAGAAATAACAAAAAATTGAAGTTTAAAATTTTAAAAACTAAAATTTAATTAAAAAAAATATGGTAAAAATAAAAAGATAAAAATCAATAATTTTCACTGATTTTTTCTCCAATTTTTATAGAATTGACTAAATATTTAAATGATGAATCATTCAACAAAAAAAAGTTGTTCCGCCTCCATTTTAGAGAAAAATAACCAAAAAACAATTTTTAACAAAAATTTAATTTATTGGAGAACCAAAATTTTAAAAGAGGTAACAATTTGTCAAATTTCAAGGAAAAATAATTATGAAGATTGAGGTGTCCGGTTTTGCAAAAAAATTTTTAACAGGACTTTCCATTTCAGTAAATGAATAAAAAAACAGATAAATTCCAAAGGAAAAATCCGCAAAAATGTGGACACCTCAATTTTTAAAGAAGCGGAAAAAGGCTTTAAAGAGCCATTAAAAATTCCAAAGAAAATACCAAAACTTCTTCAAAAGCAGCAAGTACAACAGATTCTGGAGGCATAGAATTAGTCCTTTCCAAACTAGAATGTTGCTGTTGTTGTTGTCCACTTAAATTCCCCCCTCCATTACTTGAAGAAGACGTTGCTGAATGGTAATGTTGTTGTCTTGGATATTCTTCTATAGACATTGCTAATGAATCTGCACGGTTTACCATAATTTTCAAAATAAATTAAAAGTTTTGTCAAAATAGTTTAACTGAAAATAAAAAAAAATTTTTTTTTGAATTTTTTAAACCTTTCCCTGCATTTTCGGGTAAAAATAAAAAAGAAAAAAATTAAAAAATTTTAACGAAAAAATTAAAATAAAAAAAACAATTTTATCCTTGTGGCAAATAAATAAAAATAAAAATAGTATTGTGGAGAGAATAAAAATAAATAAAAATTATTTTTGGCATAATGTATTTTTGTGTAAATTCAAAAAATCAATGAATACCTCACAAGATGTTTTTTTGCTTTTTAACTTGAAAAAAGAGTAAAGGTTTAAAGATGATTTTGGTATCAATCGATAGAGAATTAAATTCTTTATAAGGTATGCAATTAAACAAAAATTTAGTTTGTTAAACGAAAAAAAGTTATGACCAAAAAACGAATTTTTAAGAGAGGAAAATGTCAAGTCTTGGAAGGTTTTTGGCCCTAACTTAACTTTATTTTTCATTTAAAAATTTTAATTTAATTTTATAGACAAATTAATTCTCTATCGATCATTACCAGCTTTAAAAAACAATTTATATTATTTTGAGTTCGTAAATGAGCGGTCTCGGTCTTTAAAATGGGTGGCACAAAATGGGGGTGGTCAGCAATTTATTTTCTTTATTTCAAAATAATAGACAAAAAATTTCTTCAATCTTTTCTTTTTTTGAGTTTTTAGTAGTACCTAATTGCTTGCTCCTCAAAGTTAAATAATGTCAGAGGAAAAAAGTGTATGATGAAAATACGGCGTTTTTAAAAAAAGTAGGTAGTTAAAAAATGAGGAAGAGAGAAAGAGCAATTATGTACTTCTATATAGAGCAGTTGGTGGGGTTGAAAAAATAAGTAAAAAAATATATTAAAAATATAAAATTAAAAAAAAAGTTTATTTTATAGAAAATATTAAATAATTAAATTTTGTAAAATATTTATTTATTGTTTGTTGTTTTTATGAAAGTAAAGAAAATAAAATTTTAAACTATTTAAAACATGTTAAGATATTAAAAACAAAACAAGAAAAATATACTAAAAGAAAATTTTACAATTAAAAACATTAATTAAAACAAACTAAAACATTAGGAAAATATTCAGAACATTATCAAAACATCAAAAAATAAAAAATCAGAAAAACAAACATCCAAACAAATTAAAACTTAAAAACAAAATCAGAATAAAATCAAAACATCAAAAATTACTAGAAATAGAACATGCTTAAACATTAAAAATAAAATCAGAACATGATAAAAACAAATTAAACAAAACCAGAACTTAAACTAAAATATTAAAACAACAAAACCAGAACAACACAAATAAAAATCAGAAAAACAAACATTCAAACAAACAAAAACTTAAAATCAAAATCAGAATAAAATCAAAACATCAAAAAACAAATAAAAGAATAAAATCAGAATTAAATTAGAACAAACTAAAAATACAACAATTTTTAATAAAATATTTAAGATATGTTGGCACAGAGTATTTTTGGCTGATCGAATTTATTTATAAAGGAAAGTTAAAAAAATTCAATGAGAAAAAAATAAATATAAGAGGATGGGGCAAAATAAGAGAATTTATATTTTTTAAAATGTTTGGTAAGGGAAAATATTGTGTGACTAATTCCCAACATTTCCGCATCCCTTTCCGTTTTCACCTTTTGACGTTAAAAAGAGAAGAAAGAGGAGATGTGCACAATTCAATTTCGATCAAGTAATTACCATTGTGATATTTTGAAATGTCAAATTTAGAGAAAAAGAATTAAAAAAAGATTTTTCTATAAAATTAATTTATAATTAAAAAATATTTATTATAAGGTGCTCCTCCGTCGTTACATTACGGCGCATAACCGTTATGGCACAAAATTAAATTTAGAAACAATACAGAACCTGCTATTAAAATATAATTTTGTACAGATATTTCCAATTCTCTTCAATTAATTATTATAAAAATTTCGAAATATTTAAGTTACTATGTAAGTAAAATGTTGTTCTAAGAATGTTATGTTGCAGCGACCTTATGGCGCGAATTTTAATTTTGGCACACTGCCAAAACCTAACTTAGTGAAATTTTGCAAAAACATTCTCTATAGAGTTATTTAACTTATAGAAAAATTTTAAAATTTTCTTTTCAGTATTCAAAAAATTATAGTCGAAAAACTGCCATAACCTCATCATTATACATATAAATGTTAACGTTTACGATTAAATATTTAATTCAAAATTCTAAAAATCTTATAAAATAACCCCTAAAAAATATTTATACAAAATTTCATTTAAATTTATTAACTATCTAGAGAATTTTTAACAAGCCCGCGAGCCGTAACGGTTCTGCGCCGAAAAAACTTTCCTCCTACTCATTTTATTTAAATTAATTTATAAAAAATGTTTACAATTTTCTCGAGAAATTTTATTTAAAAAAATAAAAAACAAAATAAAAATAGAGAGAACGATGAATATGATGAAAAAAAGTACTTTTCAATTGTTTATTTTTGTCATTTACTGAAAAAAATATTTTCTTAATGAAAAAGGGAACAATTAGAATTAATGATTAGTATCTCCTCTAAATGAACACTCTAAAAAAACATGTTTTTTAAACTTTAAAAAATGTTTATTCAGCAAAAAATAAAATAAACAATGATACAATATAAAAAATATTTTTGGGGATTAAATAAATTGAGATAAGAAAAAATAGGGGTTTAAAAAAGTATTTTTAATAAGGAAACTAAATTTTGATTGAATTCTGATTTTTAAGGTGTAGAGTTAACATGTGTAGAGTTAGGATTGCGCGTAAAATTGAAAAATTGCCTATTTACAAAATATAAATATGAAATTTTGCAGAGATAATGATAAGGGTGTTAACTAATTATTCTGAAAATTTCAGAATTTTCTAAAATTTATTTCAAAAGTTATGGGCAAAATAACAGAAAGCGCTAATTATTCTGACTTTTTTGGCCATAAATTTTTATTTACAAAACTAAAAATTCTGAAATTTTTGGCAGTGTTAGATAATAATATTGAAAATAATTCTCCAAAATTTCAGAATTTTTTTCTAGTCAATTGGTTGATTTATAATTAAAAAAGGCAACTTGTAGCAACTTGTTTCTCCTATATTAGTAGAGGAGTTTCTAATTAATTTTCTTTAGATCCAAAAAATATTTTTACGTTCTAAAATGATTTTTCTCTAATTTTTCCCATCTAGATATTAATATTAAAACCGGATTTGGACATTAATTCAAAAAATATTTTGCCAAAAAATTAAGCAGATTAAACGACATTTTTCATTTTTAATGTGTTTTAGGGGGGCATAAAATAGTAAAAAATAAAAATAAAAAATCCAAAAATATAGCTACGAGCGATAATAAGCGTTATATATGTACTTGGATATATACTACAAATAATACTAACAACCTCCTAAGCAATTTTCTTTGAGGGATAAAAAAATGAAGAAAAGCAACTGCTGCTTTCCGCTATTCGCCAGAAGGTCACTTTAAATATGTATTTTTTCTGTTTCTTTTTTATATTTTTTGATGTCTAACAATGGACTAAGGATGTTTGAGTATTTTTTAGAAGGATTTTTATATTTTAAAAAATTAGGGAATTTTTTAAAAAATTAAGAAAAAAAGAGAGAAATGTTAAGGTGTGAGTCTTAATGGAGGGATTTTCGTGCCTAGAAAAATTTACCAAAATTTTTCAAAATTTTTTTTTATAAAAACAAGACGACTCTTCCTTCCAAATAATATTAGAAAAAAATATCTTAAATTTATATCTAAAATAGGGATGAGGAAATAAAGAGAATTATGTATGTCATTTACTTTATATAAAACAGCCTGGATATACACATATATTTCCGTTTACGGGCAGCTATATTTTTTTATTTAAAATTCTCTGCAGGTTTTTAAAAGTTTGAATTGTCTTTTGTTTTTCTGAATTTTAAAAGTATTTGAGGGATTTTGAAATAATTTTATATAGTACATGTGACTAATTGTTTAGATTTTAATTGTGCCAAGTAGTTCGACGAAATAGTTAAATAAATTGGAAGTAACGAAACAAATAATTGGAGGTGTTAAAAATATTTTTAAAAATGCCTTTACAACCTTTTTTTAAATTGTTATACAATGAGCAAAATAATAATCCTAAATTTTTTTACAAAACAGAAAAGTTTTAAAAATTTGCAAGCTTAATTAGCAAAAAATATTTACTTACATATTACAAAAATTTGCTTTTAAAAATAATAAAAAAATAAACTTTAAAACTTAAGTTTATAAAATATAAACTAGTGTTATTTAATTTGATAGGCTATAACTTTTTTATGTTTAATCCATTCAGAATGGATCACATGTTTTTTGAAAGTTCCAGATAGGCTCTATCTTTTCCCACCATTAAAAAGTTAAATCTCGATAAATGCAAGAAATCGTTGTTTTTTACTCATCGAATTGTAAATTTTTAATAGGCGATCAGCCTTGATGTATCCAGTTGGGAAAAAGATAGCACTTATCGAGACTTTCGGTTAAGAATTTTTTGGAGTTGATCAAAATTAGGAAGGAAAATGCTTTCAAATAACACAAGAGTTCCGTTGTTTTATTACTTTAACAATTAGGTGTTTTTATTAATTTTAAAGAAATTTTTGTGATTGAGATTAGTTATGTTCAACGCTGAAATTCAAAAGTAATTTTTAACAATTAACAATTAAAACTTAAAAATATTATTTTTTTATTTTAATTTTTCTATAAAAAATTTTTTTATAATAAATTCATCTTTTTTAAGTAATTACCTCTGACTGAATCTGCAACTTGCAACAAATATAAAATCAAGTTTTTCTTCACGCATTTTGGCTCCAACTTTGATTTATGCTGTTAAGTGTTCTATTTAAATAAAGCAGAATATTATTTTTCTTTATTTTTTTACAATTTACGTAACACAAATGTAAAAACAATAAAAAATATTAATTTCAAAAATCAGAATTAATAATATAATCAGAATTGTAAAAAAACAGAATTCAAGTTCAAACTTTAATTTTAAAAATAAACTTGAATTACAAACTTGAAAATTAAATTAAGTAAGAAAAATCAGAAATTAGAATTTAGTCTTAAATTAAAATTCAGAATTTAATGTAAATTAAAAACCAGAATTATTCTGATAAAAACATCAGAATAAACTAATTTTTCTTTATTTCATTTCTTTAATTTTATAGCTCAAATTCTGCCCTTTATTTCAACTAAATATTAAAATAATAGCTTTTACAACCGTAAAATTATTTTCTTTTTATGTTAGCCGATACAACGTGTGGTTGTCTTATTTTTATTAAGTCATTAAAAAGCTTATCAATTTAAAAACAAATTAATTAATTTTTTGTCTTGAATTTAATTATTTATTTTTAAATAAGCGTGTCTTATATAATAAAAAATATTTATTTTGAAATTAATATTTTGATAAAAATAATTTTTTAATTAATTAAATTTTGGTTAAATAATTCTTATAAAATTAATTTAATTATTATTTTCCCTCCTTCCACTTTAATAATTAAATCCAAAAATTAAATTTACTATTAAAATTCCGTTGATTAAACAAACAAAAAAATAAATAAAATTTTCAAAAGTATTTAAATTTATTTGCACATTTAATCGGCTTTTATCGCGTCCAATACACACTTAATTTACCCTTTCAAATCTTGACGTCTTCCCTTTAATCTGCTTTATTTTTAATATTTTTAGTAAATTAAAGAATCAACGCATTTTAAAATATTATAGTAATTGTTTTTTTAATTCTGATTTATTTTTGAATTTTTTTAAATTTTACTATTTTGTAATTCTGATTTGTAATTATTTTATTAGTTAAAAACAGAATGAATGTAATTTATTGCAAAGGTTAGAATTAATGAATCGCAATTGTAAAAATCAGAATTTAAGTTTAAACTTGATATTCTGAAAATAAATTTAAATTACAAATATAAAATTAAATTCTGATTTAAACCAAAGAATTAATTATAAAATTAATCGCAATTGTAGAAACCAGAATTAATTAAAACAGAATTTAAGCACATTACAATTGCATTATCTATATAATTCTGAGTTGTAATTTTTACTTTTATTTTGTAATTCTGATTCCCAATTAATTTTAAATAAATGTTATAGTTAGGTAATTTTCTTCATTAACCCGCTATTTGTACTTTACGAACAATAATTTCTAATCAAACAATTTTTAGTTTAAAGAACCACTTCATCGGGAATTTTGCAAAATATACTAATGAAAAAATAAATAAAGGGCAAAAATTTGAAAAATTTATATTTAGAATTTTTTAGTTATTTTTAGTTACAAAACTCTTATTTTGTTTATTAACATCTATAAAAATCAGAATTTCTAGTTTATTTTTAAGTAATTCTGACTTATAAAAAACCATAAAGTTTTAAATAATAATTCTAATTTGTATTTTTGTAAATTTTAATTGGCAATACATTTTTAATTCACAAATTAAATTTACAAATCATAATAAACTTGAAAAATAAATTCTGATTCAATTCAGAACCTTTTTTTAATTTTATTTATTTTACATTTCAGAGGTGATTATCTAAAAATCAAAACAATTTACAATTACAAATCAGAATTTGTAATATAAAATTACAATTCTTTTCATTCTTTTTTCCTCCCTTCCTCCATTCATGAATTGTGTTGTAGTCCAATCTTTTTTGTATACATTTTTTAATAAATATATTTGTCTGCATATTCTCGGGTTTTATAATATTTCTTATTTAATGCTTTTTTTTTCTTCTCCTTTGCGCTAAAAATAAAAATATTATAAACGTCTTTTATTTTCACATATTTTTCATTTTTTTCCTTTCCGTTACATTCTTCCAAAGGAGAGGATTGCTTTTTCACATTTGCCCGTTGACAAATTGGCAACCACCACCACCAACGGTTGGAGGGAGGGAGAGGGATTCATTTGAGGAATATACAAGAGTTGAGTTGTTCTTCTTTCTTTTGTTTTGTTGTTTTTTTATTTAGCATTTATGCCAACAAAAAAAAACAAATATATATAAAAATACGTAAATATGCTTGTCTACAAATTCTTCCATTTTTTCAATTTAATGCCTCAAAGCATTTAATGTAGGAAGAGAAATACAGGGATAAAAACAGAATTGTGTGTATATACATACAAACTTGAATTACACCTTCAAAAATTAATTTTAACTTCGATTTTGTACCCAAATTACAAAAATAGAAGGCAAGAATTAAATTCACAAAATCTATTTTTACAATTCAAGTTTATTTTCGTATTTATTTTTTATTTTATTAATAAGCTTGAATTGCAAACTTAAAAAAATAAACTTGAATTACAAACTTGAAATACAAACTATAAAAAATAAACTTGAATTACAAACTTGAAATACAAACTATAAAAAATAAACTTGAATTACAAACTTGAAATACAAACTATAAAAAATAAACTTGAATTACAAACTTGAAAAATAAATTCTGATTTAATTCTGAACTTTTCTTTTTATTAATTCTTTTTTATTTTCAATTTTCCCCTTCTCTTTTTCATTTAAAAATTCTCTATTTCCCCCAAGTTTGCCAAAAATCTCTAAAAACTTTTTTCTGACATTTCCGCTAACATTTTCTTTCATTTGTTAAAAACATTTTTTATTTTTCATTTGTAAGTTTATACTATTTACATTAGTATAGTTGTTGTTTTTTGATGTTGTCAGTGACTAGTCTTCACATTTACATGTGTATTTATTTGATGTAGATATCAAAAAAACTGACAGGTAAATTTTAAAATTACTCTCATGCCAAGAAAATTAATTTTAAATAATTCTTAATTAATTTTCTAAAATTTTCTGATTTTTAAAAAGTTTACAAATTGTAAAACAAATAAAGTTAATTATTAATACAAAAATAAGCTTGAATTGTAAACTTAAAATTTTAATTAAATTCTGATTTAAAATTCAAGTTTATTTAATTTACCAACTTTAATTCTATCGCAATCTTGATTTTAATTTAATTCTGATTGTCTTCTGATTTTTAATTTTATTATTACTCTTTCTTTTTCTCTCTGAAATTCCTCCTCAAAAAGTAAACTGAACTTTAAAATTTTGATTAAAATGTTCTCTTCTAAAAATACAAAGCTTTTTATTTTTATTTATTTTTCAATTTGTTTGTTTACATATATCCAATTTCTTTTTTTAAATTATTTTTATTTCAATTTTTTCTTTAATCAACGAGCAAAGGAAAAATGTCTGTTCATTCAATACTAAAAATATTATTTTTTAAAAATAATTTAAAATGCAAAAAGAACAAAATTCCCGTTTTGCTTTCAAAGTCCCCCTCATTTATTTGATTTTTCATCCAATAAAAATAATAATAAAATTTTATAGATTCCGCAAAGTATTTTTAGGGTTATTCTTCTTCTACCACTCCCCCTTTATACGAATTTTATTTTTTACAAATAAAAAATAAATACGAAATATTTTTTAAACTCGACTTCTCCTTTCCTTTTTGATTTTGGACTGATTTTAAATTTATTCAAGTTTTGTTAATTAAGTTTGTAAATTTAATTTATTATAAAATCAAGTTTGTGATTATCTTAATTTTTAATAAAAAAATAAACGAATTGTAATCTTGAATTTTAAACTAAAGATTTTTCTAACTTCAAGTTTGTAATTTATATTATACTTTACTCGATACAAAAATAAACTTGAATTGTAATAAAACTAGAATTGTACTTGAACTTTAAAGATAAACTTAAACTTAACAACAATCTACAAATAAGTATTATACTTAAAATATTTTGCTCAAATAAAAATCATAAAAACCAACAAAAAATAGTTTACACAGCAGGAATTAATCCAACTAACAAAAATAAAATTAAAAATAAAAATAAAAACTGTTCGGCCTCTGAATGTAAACTATACAGCGTGTGGAGTTTGCATACGCTGTAGTAGTAGATTATGTGGGTGGAGGACAAAAACAACAAAAGGATTAAATGTTTGAAAGGGAGAATTTGGTTGTTGTGGTGTTCGCCACTTTACAACAGGTAAAAAAATATAAATTTTAAATGAAAATTTCATGCCTAGGCTTGTTTTAAATTAATTTAATAAATTTTTTAAAAATAAACACAAACTTAAAGATTTATTGCCAACGCTTTCTCCTAACTACATTTTCCCAAATATTTTTATTAATATATTCCTCAATTGCTGATAATAATAATAATTATCAAAAAAATCCTCCAAATATGTTTGGCTGTTCCCTTCCAACTGGAACACCCATGTGTTGTTCTGGAAGGAATTCAAGTTGTAAATCAATGGAATACCCGGCACAATCTACAATTTATAGGTAATTTACTTAAATAAAAACTTGAGTTACAAAATAAGCTACAAATATGCAATATTAATTCGCAAACTTGAAAGAAATTAAATTTGCATTACAAACTTGAATTTTAAATTAAACTTGATTAAACATGATGAACTAATTTGTAAACATGAAAATGAACTCTAATAAAGTTCATTTTCATGTTAGTTCATTTTTACAAATTAACGGACAATTAAAAATAAATTATTTTTAATCATTGCCAAATTTTCAAACAACAGATTCAACATTAATCCCTCCGACATTTCACCTGTTTACTGCCGACCAAAAAGACAAATTTATTCTCAAACTGTTTTAAACAATTCTTTTATTTTACAAAATTTAATTACTAAAAATAATGCAACTACAAATAATGGTATATTTATGTATATAATTAAATTTATTTATAATACAATCTATAAATTTAATAATTGCAAACAGTAACTACAGACATATTTCAAGTTTACAAAAATTAAATAAAAATAAACTTACCTATTTCACAAACTTGGTTTAATTAATAAACTTAAGTTTCGCAAATTTAAGTTTTTTGAAATAAATTTAAGATGTAAACTTAAACTAAATAATAAAAAGTTTCAGAATCAGCAGCATTGGAATTACAACTTGAAAATACCAGAATAGGTTTTACAAACATTTTACCCGGTTTAGTTGCTATCTCACCTTCTGGTCAACAATTATTAAATAAACTTGGAATAAATAATTGTAAAATTTTAATTTAATTTTTTAAATAATTAAATTACAATTTTAGTAAATGAAAGGAATTTACGTCTTTTTGAAATTACAAAACCAAAGAAAAGAAGAAAAGGAAGGAGGAGAAAACGTCTTTCAAAAGGGCAGGATGAATTAATTATTGAGAATCAGATTCCCCAACAATTAAATAAAGATTATGTCTTTCATTTTGGCTGGCCTGTTGAACATTGGGATATTGAGAATTTTGATAAATTAATTACTGATGAACAGGGCTGGCCTTTAATTAGGTAACGTATATGTGAAATTCACTTATAATTACACCATTAGTGTGACAAAACTGATTTTAAAAAGCTGAAGACTAAAGGCGAAACTGGCACTCCCTGAGATATATCCAATACTTGATACACCTCAATTTCGGATACATTTTTTAGTAGCCACTAAGGTGCGTTGCAAAATTATAACCGCACCCCAATTTTTCGAATTTAGCCAGCTTCTCGCTGTCCAATTTGGCTAAGATTTTAATAATAAACTCCGTCCAGTACATCTGGTCAATTAAAGTCAAAACAGTTTTCAGATTATGTACGACAGGATTTTTATAAAGGAAAAATGAAAAAAGTGGTGTTGCATAATTATAGCCGCACCCCAGGTTCACCGTGTTATAAGTTAGCTAAAATTCCCTAAAAATTTATGTGAACGTATCTATCAATATGTATCAAAAATAGAAAAGGAATGAGGTCGAAATCTGTCTTTATCACAGAGATCTCGAACCTCAGATTTCAACTGAAAACAGGGGTAAAGTATTTTAAAAAATATTTTCGACCCCTTAGGGCAGTCGTAAAAATTTTCTTTTATGTCAGCCAGATAGGCAATAAAATGTTCTATAAAATACAAAGGGACTCATCTTTCCAAAAAATTTATTCGTGGCGGCGCTCACACTAGAATTACTAACGGGCAAAAATAGTGCATTATTAGGCTATTTTTATAAATAGTGAAAAAATAATTTTGCGCCGCCACGAATAAATTTTTTGGAAAGATGAGTCCCTTTGTATTTTATAGAACATTTTATTGCCTATCTGGCTGACATAAAAGAAAATTTTTACGACTGCCCTAAGGGGTCGAAAATATTTTTTAAAATACTTTACCCCTGTTTTCAATTGAAATCTGAGGTTCGAGATCTCTGTGAAAGACAGATTTCGACCTCATTCCTTTTCTATTTTTGATACATATTGATAGATACGTTCACATAAATTTTTAGGGAATTTTAGCTAACTTATAACACGGTGAACCTGGGGTGCGGCTATAATTATGCAACACCACTTTTTTCATTTTTCCTTTATAAAAATCCTGTCGTACATAATCTGAAAACTGTTTTGACTTTAATTGACCAGATGTACTGGACGGAGTTTATTATTAAAATCTTAGCCAAATTGGACAGCGAGAAGCTGGCTAAATTCGAAAAATTGGGGTGCGGTTATAATTTTGCAACGCACCTTAAGTGGAGGACCTTCCCTTGCGATACTCTCTATTTAAAATTCTCTCATTGGCAAATGACCACAATTAAAAAAAAATTTTTTAAAAATAAAATTTCAAAATATTTGTGCAGATACTCACTTCTAAACAAATATTTGCCTCTTCGGGTACTTAAACGTAGCCATACAATGAACGTTGTTAAAGGCAGACAACAAACTATTTGGCATACTTTTAATGTTGCCGAAGCTCCAAAAGAGTGCTTCTGTGATCAAATGTGTGTAAAGTATGGGGATTGTTGTGGGGATTATGCTTATCGATGTCCTGGTAATTTTTAAAATTTTTTTTTCATTTTTAATTTAAAATAGAAATTTTTACTTAATTTCCCCCTTTCCTTTCATTTCTCCTTCATTTATTTTAAGAATTTAAGCAAACTTTAAAGTACAATTATTTTATTTATAAAATTTTTTTCTACATTCTCTCAGAATAAAAAAAAAAGATTGAAGGAACAGACTACACATTTCTTAGTTGTTTTTTAACCAATTTTCTTTTTTTTTAATTTAATTGACGGCTTAATTATTAGAAAATGTCAATTGTTTAAAATGATAAGCAGAAAAATTAAAAGAAATTAAAAATAAAAATAATAATTAGAAATACCCTCTTTTAATCATTCTCCATTTTTCAAAGAATTTTTCTCTCAAAAATAAAATTTTTGAATCCCCAAAAACCTTCCAAAAACCCTTCCAAATAAATAAATGTATTTTACAAAAAATATTTTTCTTTTCCTATTAATTTTTAATTTAACAATTTCTCCCTCTTTCCAACAAATAACTTCCTTAACCGATATATTCACCTTCTCTTTTAAACTTTTTTCTGACACTTTAACTGGAACTAGTATTGTTAATGCTTCTAGTTCAAACACAAAATTAGATTATTTTAATGAAACAAATAATGGAAATAATAGTAAAATATGTCGTTTAATTAATTCTACAAATGAAAAAGGCAAAAATTATTTTTAAAATTTATTTTTTTTTGTTAATTGAGATTATGCCAAAAATCAAATTAATTTTATTTAATATTTTTAAATTTATTTTAATTAATAAAAATTTTTTAGGCCCATTATTATAATAATTTAAAAATATTAAATAATAAAATACAAAAAATACAAATATTTCAGCTGTTGATTGTCTCATCTCCCAATGGACTTCTTGGTCCGATTGTTTTGTTGAAATGCCAGAAGCAAATTGCGGTTTAGGGTTTCGTGAAAGACATCGACAGGTGTTGAACCAGGCAGAAAATGGTGGTATAGAATGCCCATCTTCATTAACACAACAAATTGGGTGTTTCAAACAATGCGAGGCTAACATAGAGGAGAGGGTAGATTTGGGAGAGGAGGAGGAATATACAAGGCCAGGTTAGATGGATTGGAATAAATATACTTATTTGAATTAAAATAAAATTAGATTGTCCCAAGGAGGAGCTACCTAAGGCTATCTCTTAAAGGAGCTACCTAAGGCTATCTCTCAAAGGAGCTACCTAAGGCTATCTCTCAAAGGAGCTACCTAAGGCTATCTCTCAAAGAAGCTACCTAAGGCTATCTCGCTTAATATATAACGGGGATACCTCCACTTTATAACCTTGGGGGTATCTCTCATATACATATTTAAAGTATCCATCATTGTAAGTGTTATGCTCGAAGGACATAACAGTAAGGCACGATTTTTTCAGCCACGAGGGGTTATCTAAAAAAGGGGTCGACTGTGATTAAACAAATTAGAATGTAAAATATTTATTTTTAAAGATGTAACAACGGTTGCCTTATTGCTTGACTACCGCTTTAATAAATCAAGAAAATTTCTTCCTCGTCATTTGAAGAAAACGCAAATTGGATTTAATAGAAGACGAATGAAAGGGCAATATAAAAAGTAGAAAAATTTTAAAGAATTTTTTAATTAAAAAATTTCTAGTTATTGTGTTATTTACACAATTGAATGGTTAAATCGTAATTGTATTGAAAAGGAATGGAGTGAGAAATTATCGGCCAAAAAACGAATTTGTGGGGAATGCCAACCTGAAGCACAATATCACAGACCTAGAGAACGTTGTGCTTCTGGCGAGTATTTATTAATTATTCTAAATTACAATTTGTAAACTTGAGTTTAAAAATAAACTTGAAATTTAAATTCAATGATAACCTTGAATCTACCATCTTTATTTAGAAAAATAAACTTAAATTTAGTTTATAATTGTAATTTTTAAATTCAAATAAGTAAACTTGAATTTAAAAATTGAATTACAAATTGTAATTACAAAACAAACTTTATTTTACAAACTTAATTAATTAATTGTAATTCTGATTAACTACACACGATAATTTAAAAATAATTATTTTTATAGATCTAGAAGATGGCCAAACCGGCTTCTGGAAACTTATCGGCCCAACATCTTGTTATGGCATTTGGCGAAGACATTATTCAGATTCAAATGACTGTAATTGTTCTCAAAGTTATCCCCAATTTGAGCCATTCTTGCTAGTTTAGATTTTCTTTATTTTATATATTTTATGTAAAATACTCATACCCCTCCTTCCCAATTTTAGAAAATCTATCACAAAATTAAAGCTATTTTTATCAGATTAATTATTAAATATTTACATTCCAAATTATATTACCTAAATTTAAAAGGTTTGGATGAATATGTAGGTGTATTTTAAACTTTACATTATTACAAACTTTATTTAAACTTAAGTTCCAACTTGTTCTACAAACTTGAATTTTTCATATTCAAATATTTTACAAACTCAAAATCAAAGTTTTTATTTACATTTAAAATTACAATTTGTAATTTAACTCCAAGTTTATTTTAAAGTTTGTAAATTACTCAAATATACCAAATTGTCCAATTTCTTTAATAAACAAAAATATTAATATACGCAATAAACCATACACTAATCATATTTTCTTTTAATCTTTAAACATTTTTAGTTTTTCCAATGAGATTTAAACAAAATATTTTCTATTGTTATTCTATATACTTAATAAATAAATAATTTAGTTTTGCTGAATAAAATTTTTTCTATAATTTTTAATTTCCAAATTAAAGCTAAAATTATTGAAAAAATATTTTAGCTTGAAAAAGCAAATAATATAATAAAAAATTTTTTTAGCTTAACAATTCTCTGCAACGAAAAATGCAAAGCTGGAAGAAAAAACGACTCACGATATTTATTGAATTGATTATTTATTTTTTAAAACGTAGACGGCGTGAAGAGAATAAAAATAAATATAGAAAGAATATATGTATAAAGCCCCCCTTTATTCCCAAAAATATCCACAACCAGTCGACATCACAATACTTGCTGTTTCTTTTTTTAGTGCTTCTTGCTTCACTTCCTTTGCATGCCAAAAACAACAGCTGGTGCCGATTATTTGAGTCTCCAAGTTTATTTATATTTTCGTATCTAGTTTACAAATCAGAATTTAATTGCAAAAATAAAAACTTAAGTTTACAATTCAGAATTATAAATATTAATTTTCTATTAAAAATCAGAATTTTAATAAACTTAAGTTTACAATTTAATTACAACTTAATTAACAAATCAAAACATTAATTAAACTTAAAAATAAATAAGAATTTAAGTTTACAAATCAGAATTTTAAATATTAATTTTCTATTAAAAATCAGAACTTTAATTAAACTTAAGTTTACAACCTAATTACAACTTAACAAACCAGAACATTAATTGATCAAGTTTACAAATCAGAATTTAAACATTAATTTTCTATTTAATTTTAATTAAACTTGAGTTTGCCTCATTTAAAAATCAAAAAAACATAATTACAGACCAGAACAACATTAAACTACACTAAATATTTCCCTTCCCTTAAAAATTCTTCCCAAAATGAGACTCAAAAATCACTCTTTTGCTAACAATTGCAGCAAAATAATCGATTTGGGTAGAGGGGACCGGCTGGTTATTTTGTCTGCTGAAATTCCAGCTGCTGTTTCTGCTAAATATGACAAAAAGAATTTGCAGTACTTTTCTAAATATGTACTCTCTACATCATGAGAAAAACTTTTTTTAAGTACAGTATTATTTCTATGCATTTGCTAATTCGAGTCGGAAAATGCGAGAAACCACTAAAAAATGAACAAAGAAAATTCCTAACCAATTAGAGTGGTAGACAGAAACTGGTCCCATCATTAAAAATAGTTGTCTGATTTTGATCTAATTATTTTGTTGAGCAACACGTTTAACAACAATGCTACCTAAAAATTATTCAATTAACTAAATAATTAGTTTAACATTATTTTTCCTTCTAATAAAATATTTTATTTTACAAATTCTTATTTATATTTTCTTTAATTTACAAAATATTCTGATTTATTTTTAAATTCAAGTTTATTTTTCATTCTGACTGTTAATCTTAAATTTATTTAAATTATATTTCAGCTAAGTTTAAAGTTTATTTTTTATTTGTACTAATAAGTATATTTTACAAATTCTGATTTGTAATCTTAAGATTATTTAAAATTTAGTCATTCGAATACTAAACTGATTACTCGTTTTCATTTGTAATTTTAATTCTGATTTTTAAACTTAATTGATCTGATCTATAAAGTTTAATTTTTGTAATTTTGAAATTTAATTACCTCAAAAATTAAAACTTACAAACTTGCCATTAATTTCAATTGTCTAGCACCCTAAATTTTCTTTTAATTTGTTTTATGTTTTTATATCTGCCTTCTTCATTTCATTGTTATATATTTATTCGTGGCCGACACCGACACGAACCGATGGGCTAAAAAGAATCGACAACGGTGTGAGGACGATGAAGACGGGGTTGGGAAGTATTTTAGAAGAAGACCTCATTGCTTTTTCTGCTGCCCTTTCGCGGTCGTGGAGATGTGATGATGATGATGGTTGGGTTGTTGTAACGGCGGCGCAGAGCACCGGAGACAGGCACTGACGTCCACCACCCGTGCTTTGCCCCCTTTTTTACCAATCCAAACACAATTCGTCGTCATCGCCTTCCCACATCTCCCTCCCCGTCCACTCATCCCTTCTTTATTGCGCCGGATTTTCTCATTTTTAATTTCTTTGAAAATTTTAAAAGGACATTTATTTTTGTTGGCATTTGTAAGACTTTTAATCCCTCGTTGATTTCTTGTTAATAATTTATTTTTTCTTTACCTGATAATTTCCTTATAATTAAAAAAAATTTTTATTTAAATTTCCCTAATTATTTTTTAATTTAATTTTTGCTTAAATTTAAAATAATTCATAAAATAATTTTCCAAAATCTCTTGACACCAAAAAATCTTTTCTTTTTTTTTAATTTTTGCCCTTCAAATCTAACCAATAATTCTTTTCTCATTTAAAAGAGCGAAGCGCCTACCAATAAATATAAATACACTTTTTAGCCCACTGACCCAGACAACTCAAAACCCCCTTCCCCCCACCACCACCCAGCACCCGCACATCCTTCACAATTCTTCCATCTTCCCTTCCAATCCATTTCAATTGACCACCATCACCAAATTGTCTTCCCCGACAAATAAGGGGATTGTCATTTTGTATATTATTATTTGGGTGATATTTAGAGCGATATTGGGGTTGGTACAAGCTGTGAGGATTAATATACAAAATGATTTATATGAATTAAAAAGCAAAAGGCAAAAAAATTATGTTAAAGCATGTAAATTTTGTGAAAATTAGATTGTATCTATTTATGTAAATTATTTATTTAATTTTTACAATTGCTTACTCTCAACAAAATTATTTTTCACAACTTTTAAAAAATTAAAGAAAGTCAGAAATAATTTTAAAAATATCTTTAAATAATCATTTTTGTGTTCGCGCCTAAAAATGTTCGCACCTAAAGAACCATTAATGTTTTGATTAAATTCTGATTGTTTTTGGAATGAATGTTTGTTTAATTTCTGATTTTATTATTATAATTATTTAATGTTTTTCTGATTTATTTTATTAACCAGAATTTTTATTTCAATTTTTGTTTTGCAAAATTTTCCTTTTCCAAACAACAAACCAAAGTTTTTGAATTATTAATAGATTTTTTTACTTAATTTAGAAACTATTCTATTTTCGAATTTTATGTTTTAATTTTATTACTAAAAATTAATGTTCGGTTTTTAAAATATTTTTTAATGTTCTTCTTTTGTTTCTTAATCTTCATTTCTTACTATTTTTTTACAGAACATCAGTTTTTAAAACAAATTTAAAAATTAATCTTAAAAACTTCTTTTAAAAAATCTTTAAAAACATCATTTTTCATGTTTGCGCCTAAACAAACATGAATGTTTTAATTAAATTCTGAATTCCCAATATGTTCACATTAAATCCCTAGTCACGTTTTCTTTATATTCTGATTTTAATTTGGTCAAGTATTCATGTTAATTGGTTAATTATTCATGTTCGAATTATATTCTGATCTTCCCTTAGTTTTTCTATTTCTTTTCTTTATATTTTATGTTTTTGCCATTTATTAATTCGAACATCGGAAATCAGAATTTAATCAAAACATGCATTTTACGCGCAAGCATGAAAAATGGTGTTTTTAAAAATGTTCGAATGATATTCTGGTCTTTTCTTTGTTTTTCTCAATTTGTTTTTCTCAATTTAAAGCGTTTTAAACATTAAAAACAACATATGTTAAAACAACCTTTCAAGTTTGTTTTTACAAATGTTTTTTTCCCAACATTTATTAATTCTAATTTTAAGTTTTATTTAAATATTCTGGTTTTTTCCTATGTTTTCTTTTAATGATCATGTTTGTTATAAAAGAACCACAATTACATATAATAATTACCGTATTTCCTAAAATAAAGCCCCATGGGGCTCTATTTTTCAACTATCCTCCAAAGTGGGGCTCTATTTTAGGGTGGGGCTCTAATTTAGCATGGGGCTCTATATTTCAACCTATTTTTCAAATTACAAAAATGAAAAATAGTTTATTTTTATTTACGAAATTTAGGAAAAATTTGCGATCTTCAATAGTTTTTGCAGACTTAAAATTTTGTCTATCTTCCAAAAGTTTCCTCCGCGGCGTTGAAAATAAAGAAATTTGACTCCTTGGCCTTCCAAGGTTCTCAAATAATAATAGTAAAGCGGTTGGTCCCGTTTCCCAATGCCTTCTAAATGGGGTTGCTGGATTGGAGTTTCGCAAGCTTACTTGTGTGAAACCCGCAAATTATAGGAAATAGGCAAGCGCTGGACATAGGGGAGTTTCGGATCGGGAGACGTCTTCCCTCCGAACCAGACACTCGATTGACTGACATCCTTTTTCGGACTGCTTACTCACCCAAATATTACAATATCACTTTTAATTGATTTAAATTTTTCTCATTCAATATCCCCCGAATGGACACTTAAATTCCTTCACCGGCTTTTCGCAGACTGTCAGTTTATGCTAAACTTTGGGTTGTTCTGGGAACTTCCGTTACTTAGCGCAAAGTTTAGAGCGCAACTATTCCTCAAGTGATTTCAGGTGGTCTCGGCCTTACAATATTAAGGAAGTTCCCTTAATCCAAAATAGCTCCCCACCCTTCTTAATTTTAATCTCTCGATATCCCGTTTAATCCCCAAATTCACTAACATCCATTCACTTTCCAACCCGTCTCCCCTTTTACTCACTTCTTAACAATTTTGTTTACCAATTTGGAATAAAAGTAAATTTAAAAAAAATGAGGTGGGGCTCTATTTTAGAGTGGGGCTCTAATTTAGCATGGGGCTCTAAATTTCAACTATCCTCCAAAGTGGGGCTCTATTTTAGGGTGGGGCACTAATTTAGCATGGGGCTTTATTTTAGGAAATACGGTATATTAACAAACAAAAACCTAGAAAAATGCTTAAAAATGATTTACTGTCACAACATTATTATTTCTTTTGTTTTATTATTATCATCTTCTTCTTCTTCATGAACAACATGGTTCCACTAATTCCGTGTCTGTCTGTTCCTTTTTCTTGTTTTTGAGTCTTTTACAAAATTCAACATAACACAATCTTTTTCGTCTCTCTATTCTTTTTTTTCAACTGGTTTTGCCCAGCCGTACTGATGTGATGATGTTTTGTTGTTGATGTGACTGACTTACGCGCATCGTTCACTTCACGGCCGACTGTCACCACACTTTTCCAATCTTTTTCCCCTTATAGCTCCTCCCAGCTTATATTTACTGTGTTTTTGTTTTGGCCAAGACTTTATATATTCTTCGAATTTTTTTAAATATTTAAAAAATTTTTTTTTAATATTTAAAAATTTTTTCTGATTTTAATTTCTATCAGTCTTCAACTATTTTAAGCTTATTGTTCCCTTTATATCTTTACTTTATCATAACTGTAGAAATCAGAACTTGATATAAAAAGCATGAACTTAATTGTAAAACATACTTATTGTATAATTACAGACCTAATATGTATAAAAACAAAATAAAACTTACTGCAAGAAAGCCAGGCTTAATATCAAGTTTGTGTTTTTCAAAATAAGTTTGTTTTAAAGTTGTAAAAAGTTGGTGTTTTTCAATAAAACAAATTTTTTATAAAAACACAGTTTTAGAACAAACTTGTTTTAAGTTTAGAAACTTATTAACTTACAAAACAATTAAATTGATTATATCACACAATCAAAAAATTAAAAAAAATTTCAAACTTGCAACAAAAATTTTTTATTTAACACCAATTTTTAATTTTTTAAAATAAAAAATATTGACTACCACCTATAGTATGTACATACTTTGCATAAATTAAATTTTTATTTTACAAAATATTTCTAGCCAAGAAATTTTGCTTTTATTTTTTATTAATTTTTTCAATTTTTTGGTTTTTAATGATTTTTATACCTTAAAAAATTTTTTTCAAAATTTTTTTAACGGATTATTCAAAGGATTTATAATTTTTATAATCCTGCAAAAAACTCGTTTTTTATTATTTTGTCCGCAAATTTATTTTGCCATGTCCGCATTTTCTACTCAAAATGCTTGACGTGATTTTTGATGAGTGATGAAAAATAAATAAAAATATTTTTTGGAGGGATGTGCGCGCTGGCGTAATAATAGAGAAGAGAAAATTAGTAAATAAATGTAAACTAAATAAAAAAAATAATTTTTTGGAGAAAGAATGGGGGAGGGATTTTTTGTCGATAAACTGAAGCCGCTAAAAACAAAGAGAAAAAAAACAGAAAAAACGTGATTATTTTATCCATCTATTTTTTTTTGTTTAATTTTATAGACTAATTAATTCTAGTAAAATTAGGTTATTATATTCCTGAAAGATTATTTATCTTATTGTAAATTATTTTATTTTTTTTTGATTTTTAATAAATGATTAAATATGTACATAATTTATATAAAAAATATTTTTTAAAAATTTTATTCGCAAACTTCATTAATAATTAAAATTTTTTGAAAATTAATAAAACTTCATTAATACTTAAATTAATATTTCGTTATTTATTACACATTTCTTTATTTTTTTGATTCTAAAAATTGTAAATCTAATTGCAGGCAAGTTAGTTTCCCTTAACTTCACGAACCAGAATTGAGGTTAAACTCACTAAATTTTATTTTTCTATGTACATATAAATATAAGCAACGATATAGAATTTTGTTGGGTTCCAATTTTAATTAAAAAGATGAGCCACTCATTTTTCTTTAAAAATTTAGGTTGATATGACCCCACTTTAATTCTGATTAAAAATAATTTTAATATTTTTTAGAATTTTTAGTTTTGGTATTAGCCCTTTCTTTTAGTTTCTAGCAACAACTATATAAATTAATAAGCATTTAATTTTCTTATAATGGCCATTTTAAATATTTAAAAACAATTTTTTCAATAAAAACAACACAAAAGTCTTTCATCTTTAATTGCCAATAAATAAATAAATTCACTTTTCTTTTTTTTACAAAATAACCTTCCACTATTTTATTATTAACATCGGAAAGCAACATATAAAAAACAACTATATATTTTATTAAAATAATTTTTAAACATCTGTTGAAAATAAACAAAAAAAGAATTTCGGGGTATTTTTATTTTTGTATTTATTCATATTAAAAATATAAGTATATGCTAATTTTAATATAAAGAAATATGGTAGGGTTTTTCTGATTTTAATATGTAATCAAGTTTTGTAATTTGTAAACTTGAAAACTTAATTTGTAATTTGCCTGTCTTGAAGGGGAAATTGGTTAAGTTGGTATTTATTCTGATTTAAATAGGCAAAGTAGAAATTAAAGTTTTCAAGTTTACAAATTACAATTATTATTTTAAAAATAAAGTTTACAACTTTATTCTGATTTATCTTAAAAACAGAATTGTAATTTGCTTAAGAAGAGAAATTATTTTAAGTTGTCATATTCTGATAATCAGAATTACAATTTGTGTATATAATATTTTAATTTGTAAAAATGTCAATTTAGGCAGTTTTTACTTTAAAATTTTTGTAATTCTTCAAGTTTTTGATGACGTTATTTATATGACGAAAATGACTAAAAAAGTTTTCTAAGTATTTTTTGTTATTTTTATTTTAAGATGTTTTTTTAAATTTTTGAATTAAAATTATATTAATTTTTAAATTACCCATAAAGTTTAAAATCTATAAATTAGTCATTTTTGACAATTTTTTAAATTTATTTATGCAAATACATTTATTTTATTTAATATTTTTGCAGAAATATGCTAGTCTCATCGAGTCAATTAAACAATGGGCATAATGTAAGTTTTTATTATCTGATTGAATTTTTAATAAATTTTGCATAAATTTAGTCTATTAATTCTGATTTTCTGCTGTTTTAATTCTCATTAAATTCTGATTTTATTTTTTAATATTCTGATTTTGTTTAAATTAAATTCTGATTTTTCTAAATCAATGTTCATATTTTATTCTGATTTTTTTACTAGAACAATTCATTACTCCACCGAGCACAAAAACAACAACCAACTAAAACATCTGCTTCACAAACGCTATTAAATAACAACAACATTGCTAATTTCACTAGCAATAACAACAATAACGATTTAATTAGTGGAGAAACAAAATTTCGAAGTTCAAATGGTGCTACAAATAATATTATGTCAAATGCTGTTCCCTCTTCCTCCCTTTCCTCTTCCTCTTCTTCAAATACTACAACCTCTTCTTCATCAGCTCCATCTTCTTCCTCCACTTCTGCTAATTTTGAACCTGAAAGGCCTATTGGTTATGGTGCTTTTGGTGTAAGTTGTATATTTTTTTCTTTTTTCCTGAATCAAATTTTCGAATGTGTCGGAAAATTCTGATTTATAATTTTGATGTTTCTTTTAATGTTTTTCTGATAATATTCATTTCTAATTCTGATTTTATTCTTCTATTCTTTCAAGCTTAAAAATTGTTTTGTTCAGATTTAATTCTGATTTTATTTTTAGGTTGTCTGGAGTGTTACTGTATGTTTGTTTACTTTTTAGATTTTGTTTTATTTTTATTCAGATTTTTACTTAACCATTTCAGGACCCCAGAGATCACCGAAGAGTTGCATTAAAAGTAATTTTAAATGTTTATTTTAATTTCTGATTTTTAATAAAAATAATTTTAAAGAAAATGCCTAATGTTTTTCAAAACTTGGCCTCATGCAAACGTGTCTTTCGAGAACTTTATATGTTATCCTCATTTCAACACGATAATGTTTGTAATTTTTTATTCTGGAATTAAATTCTGAAATTAAAATTTAGGTGCTCTCCCTTTTGGATATTTTACAACCAACAAATCCACACTTTTTCTCTGAAATGTTCGTAAATTTTTTTCGCAAAATTTTAGTTTGAAAAATATTTTTTATTTTATAGTTACATATTGACAGAATTGATGCAGTCAGATTTGCATAGAATAATTGTAAGGAATAAATAAAAATATTTTTATTTATATTAAATTAAATTAAAAATTTGTTTTTAAAGGTCTCTGCCCAACCTCTTTCTTCTGATCATGTCAAAGTTTTTGTATATCAAATACTCCGTGGATTAAAATATTTACATTCTGCAAATGTTTTACATCGTGATATTAAACCTGGAAATCTTCTGGTAAATTTTAGATAATTAATTAATTTAAAGAAAAAAAAATTAAAAAAATTTAATTAATTTTATTTTTTAATTAAAAACATTAAGTTTTCAAGTTTTTACAATTTGTAATTCTGATACATGTCCAAGTTTTAAGATTATTTTACAAATTATAATTCTGATTTTAATTTTTGACTTTTAATTCTGATTTGTAAAATTCTGATTTTATTATGTTTATTCTCTTAATTTGTAATTCTGATAATTAGATTTTAAGTTTATTTTTACAAATTGCGAAATTCTGATTTTAAGTTTTACAATTATTCTCTCAATTTGTAATTCTGATTTTGAATTCAAGTTTAGTTTCTTAAATAATTATATAATTCTGGTAATTAATTCTGATACTTAATTTTAAGTTTATTTTTTCAATTTGTAAATAATCGTAAACTTTTATAACCATTAATTTTTAAAGGTCAATTCCAATTGTATGCTTAAAATTTGTGATTTTGGCCTAGCTCGAATATGGGAACGCAAAAATTCTATGAACATGACACACGAAGTTAATAAAATAATAAAATAAATTTAATTAAATTAAAGATTTTATTAAAAATATTTTTGTAGCAAATTTTTTAATTTTCAGGTTGTTACTCAATATTACAGGTAAAAATTAAAAAAATATTTTTATCTTAATTTTTAGTAATTTTATTTTATATTATTTTTTAAGCAAAAAAAATTTTTTTTTAAATAAATTTTATTTTTTCAAGAGCACCCGAACTGCTTATGGGCTGTAGAAGGTTTGTTTTTGAATAAATTTAATTTTTTAAATTTATTTTATTAAGGTATACAACAGCTGTAGGTAATAATTTTAAATAGCTTCAATTAAACACAATTTTTAAAAACCCCTTAAAAAAGAAGCAATTTTTCCAAAAAAATTTTGCGATATTTAAATTTTAATCTCTTTTTTACTCAAATTTTTAATTTGTAAAAAAATAAAATTAGAAAAACCAGAATTTTAAAATAAACTTGAATTAAGATGTCTGGTCTGTTGGGTGCATTTTTGCAGAATTAATGAGTCGAAGAATACTTTTTCAAGGTTAAAAAATTTTTAAATATTTTTTATAATAATTTTTAATCAGAAAAAATTTTTTAATAAAAATATTTTTAACTTGTTTAATTTTTTTAAAAATATTTTTATTTTTCAGCACAAGGACCAATAGAACAACTTAATATGGTAAATTTATTTTTTTATTTTCTTTTCAATTTTTATTCCTCTTTCAATAAAAATTCAAACAAATTGCTTATTAACTTTAAAATATTTAACAGATTATTGACTTATTGGGAACACCAAAAAACGAAGAAATGCGTGGTTGTTGTGACGGGGCTTTAAAACATGTAATTGTCTTTTTGAGATATTTTCTGGGGGATTTTTTAAAATATTTTTCTCAACTTTTTAAATTTGAAAATAAAAAAAATTTATTTTAGGTATTAAAATCGCCTCACCGTTCACCTTCCATCCACCGCTTCTATTCACTAATTACACACCCACAAAATCAAGAAAGTATTCCTCTGCTTTTAGAAATGCTTAAATTTGATCCTGTAATTAAATTTAAAAATATTTTTTCCGAAAAGGAATATTTTTTAAAGGAAAAAAGAATAACTATAGACAATGCTTTGAAACACACATTTTTGGAAGATGGAAGAATGCGTTTTCATTCAGTAAATATTTTTTTAGTAAAAAATATTTTTATTAAATTATCACTTTATTTACACAATTTCGGTAATACTGATATCATACAAAATATTTTATTTCCCTTATCTAAAAAAATTTTTTTTATCTCAATATTTAGTGTATGTGTTCCTGTTGTCACTCAATTACGTAAATTTTATTAATTTTCTCCCCCCTCTAAATATTTTTTTAAAGTTTTCATGGAAGGAGAGAACGTGTCTTTTGCTTAGAACTTGATCCTGTGGTAAATTTAAAATTTTTTGTTTGTTTTAATAACTATTAATTAAAGCATTCTAATCCCTTTGATGCCCAGTGGGAAAAGGAAATGTCTTTAAAATCGATGTTCCAATTTAGAGAAATTCTTTATGATTATATTACAAAGGTAGACAATTTTTAAGTTTGTAAATTTTTTGTAATTCTGATTTTAATTTTCAAGTTTATTTTAATTATTTCACTGTAATTCTGCAGTTCTGCAAATCAGAATTGTGATTCATTTTTAACTACAATTTCGCAATTTGTAATTCTGATTTTATTTCAAGTTTATTTTCTCAAGACATAATTCTGATATCAATTTTTAAGTTTTATTTTTACAAATTGTAATTTTGAAATTTACAAATTGTAAAATTCTGATTTTAAGTTTTACAATTATTTTTGCAATTTGTAATTCTGATTTTAATTTTTTAATTTCTCCACCTTTTAATTAACTCAACATTTCAAGTTTATTTTTCAGCGTAATCCCCTTTATGGCATTCCTCTTTGTATAAATACTAATGCTGCCAGTTATGGCGAATTTGTAAGGTAAATTTCTATATTAGTTAGGTAATTAGTAATTAAATTTAAATAAAAATATTTTTTTAAATAATTAAATTTAAATAATTAATTTATTTAATTTAAAGTTCAACAGTTGCCCAGCCATCTGAACTGCCACCGAGTCCTAATGCTTGGCAATAAATATTTTTTAAAATAATGTCTTTTTTTAATCTTGGAATTGTATTTTAATATTAATACAGTTATATATTTTCAAGTAATCAGAAAATTCGAAAAACTTTAAAATTACAATTTGTAAATTTTAAGAAACAGAATTTCCGAGTAACTTGAAAATAAAATTGTAAAAATTGAAATTAGAATTACAAATTGTATTTTATTCAAGTTTTGACTGTATTACAAATTATTTTTCCATTTTACTTCTTATAATATACAATTTGTATATTTTCTGTATTTTTATCTTATTATTCTCAAACCTAAAAATCTAAAATAAAAATACTGCCAGCACATAATTTACAAACTTAATAATTTTGTTCCTCTTTCAACATTTATTCAGTGCTTTCAACAATTTTATTTTAAAAATAAATATTTTTCTTTTTGTATTTTTTACTTAAAAAAACTAAAAACAGATTTTATACATATATTAATTATCTAAAAACAATTTTTTAAAATTATTTTTAAACCTACAACAGAATTAGAATTTAAAAAAATTAAATTAATAATTTAACTCTAAATGGGTTTATTTTATATATTTCTCCCTTAATATTATGTTGTAGAACATTGTTTTTAAAATTATTTATTTAGATGAATACTATTAAATGTAATAACACATGGACAATCAAAAACGTAATGAAGATTGTTGGACATGTTGAAAATGATAGAAAATTGAATTTGACAAGTAATCTAAATATTAAAATTAACTTCCCCGTTTGTATTCAAATTAACTATCCTTCTAAAAGGGATTAGATATAGTAAAGTGTATAATTTGTTCCTAAACATATGTATGATTTGTATGATATTTTCTATTTCGGAACCTATAGCCATCGTATCATAGAACATGTGTTATTCGTTTATTGTGTTATTCCTTATATGTAAAAGTTTATGCTTCCTATATGTAAAATTTTTTTAATTGGTTTGATTTTAGTTTCCTTTAAATTTTCGATATTAAAAATTTTTTTTCACTAGTAATTTTGTAGAGTGGACTCGCGGCAGTTATTCCACATTTTATCTTATCTGGCTTCGCCAAATTGAACCGAATAGCGCTAATGATCTGGTAAATACTCAGTACAGAATTTATGTTTATATAAATGGCGTATATAAAGATATAATAAGGTTTTCAATATTTTTTCAAAAAATCCTTTTATATACTCAAGCTCAACACAAAAATTAGAAAATCGAGACAAATTAGGATATACTAAATTTGACATGTATAACTTCTATAATAATTCTGATGGTATGTTAGGATACTTGAGGCATTTAAAATGTAATTTTAGATTGCCTTTATCTTCATTGTGATGTCGAAGCTGACTGTTATAATTCTATCATTAATTTACAAAACAAATATAGTAATATGTTGGAAGGAGAGATATTAACAGATTGTGTTATTAAGGTGGGTTTTTAAGATTAGAGTAGTTTATAGTCGTTTGATTGAAATCAGAATCAAGTGTGAATAAACAGACAATAGGGGGCAATTATGTAGAGATAAGAAATATTTTTTAGATTGGTGAAGATTCCATAAAAACACACCGTTGTATTTTGGCAAACAACAGTAAAGTGTTTCAAAAAATGTTCGAGCAAAATGGAATGATTGAAGCACAAAAAGTAATGATATTATAAATATTTATCGTGGATTATCTAGCGCAATACCAACAAAAAATGAAACGCCAAAAACAATACAAAACGCAATGCGCTATCCCTGTTATTACGAATTAGTATATTACTTTAAATTTGAAATATTGTCCTTATTGCTAAGAATCAGGGCTGCGCAATACCAAAAAGATTCTGCAACTCGCAATTTTTATTTTAAAATCTGCAACTCACAATCCGCAATTGCGTTTGCAGCCCTGTTAGGAATAGTGCTCGGTAAAATTGGATTTGTGACTTAAAAATATATTTAAAATGTAAAAATATTATTGAATTACAAAAATTAAACTTGAATTTTACAGCTAATTACAAATATTTTAGAAATTTTTTCATTTAAAAATAGGATAAAGAAAGGATAAAATAGACTGGATAAAATTTATTTTATTTCAGGGTGAAGTTATAATTTCTGATTTTTATCCAGAATGTGTTAATGCAATGCTAGAATTTTTTTATAATGGCAAAATTAAAAAAGGTATTTTTATTCGAAAATTTTATTACCTTCACAAATAATTTAAAGGCACTCTAGAAAATTATGTTGAGGATATTTATGCTATAGCACATAAATATCAAGTGGATACGTTAAAATATGAATGCGAAATTTTTATGTATAACTTGATTGGTAAGGGGGAAATAAACTCAAGTTTTAAATAAAAATTACGTAATAAAATTACGTAAAAATAAAGATCTATAGTGACGTGCGAGACCGAAAATCTTCCAAGATCAAGGCCAAGACTAGACCCCAAGACTCAAAACTAAAAATTAACAAGACTCAAGACAATTTTTTGGTCCCATAGGGCAAATTTTTCGTTTATTTTTTGTTACTTAGACAAGAGCACCTCAAATTTTGAAGAATTTATAGGAAATATAATCAAGACTAGATATAATCAAAACTTTTAGTTTATTTTTTGTGCATTCAGAATAATCACCTATAATTTCGAAAAGTTATGCGAAATTCAAAGAATTTCGAAGAATTTATCCGGTTGTAATATCATTGGAATATATTATTTCAGAGAATTTGTTTGGATTAAGGCGTTATCGAGGGTGTGTAAATTTTGTGTGTAAATTTTGAAAGCTCAAAACAGTTGAGACCAAGACTTCACCCCAAGACCGAAAAAACCCCAAGAAAAGCCAAGACTCAGGACCAAGGGTCTCGGACGTCTTTAATATGTAGTACCAAATAAACCTTAATTGTTTAGATGATAAGAAGTTTTTAAAATATTGTGATATTATTAATTTGTACGACGCTCCAACTTTTGAGAAGGTAAATTTTACAAAACAAATTTATTTAAATTAATTTAAAGGGTTGTAAAATTTATGTTCGTATCAACAAAGATCGTCTTTTAACTAGCGAATTATGGACTGAAGTTGAAAATAAATATCCAAAATTAGCTTTTCGATTTTTGAAATCTGTCATTTTTGATAATAAAAAGTAATTGTTAACGTGTCGTTAACAAGTAAAATTTTCAATGTTAATTCTTTTTTAAATTTGTATGGTGAAACGGGCAAAAAACTTATTTCTGCATCTTGAGAAATTTTTATGAATATTTATTGAAATACAATTATTTTATAAAACCGGCAGATTTAATAGGTTTTATGTTATCTATTTTTTCAAAATTTCATGTATTTTTAAATTTTTCGTTTATATTTTTTGGACATTTAGTAAATACATACATACGTCATATAGGTATACGTCACAGGCTAACAAACACATGCCACAAAATTGATTTTTCCCTATGCTTTTTTCATGTGTGTTTACTTGCCATATGTAATAGTAGCTTCTATTTAGTCCATTTTATGTTTCCTTTAGGAGAAATTTTATCGACAAAATTTTTTAGCAACATTCTGACCCTATTATTATTTATAAAAAAACAAAAAAAACTAATTACAAATAGGGTAATAGTAAATCCAAAATCGGTTTCTTAATTTAGTAAATCAACAAGTTTTTCTAGTTCTATATTTCCATTTCCAGATTTTCACAAAAATTTTTTTTGTCATTTTCCAGAGGGTCCTAGTTAAAAAAGTTCGCGTTCTACACAGTTCGAATACCACAATACTACCAAAAATTCTGGACGATGTTTTCTTAATTTCTAGTTGTCCCCTTAATTCCTCGATAACCCCGCCTTGATCCATTGATATTTATTACTATTATTAGTTTCCGGTACAGGAAAAATCATTTACTTTACACTAAAAAACTTTTTTTTGTTTAAATTAATTTAGAATTTTTATGAACTTAAATTATTACTTAAATAAATACTTAAATAACAAATTAAATATGTTTCAAATAATTTTATTAATTTTGGAGTTTATAGCTTTAATTGTAAATTTTTAATTTATTTTTAAATTTTTAATTTTAAATTAAAGTTTTTGGTTTGTTCCTTCTTTCTCGATAAAACTCCAAAAGAAATTTTTTCAAAAATATTCAGGTCTACTTAAATTAAATATATAAATTTTTGTGAAATTTTACAGTTTTATAAAATTTAATTCTGCCAAATGTTTTTTGGATGATTACGATTCTGAAGCTTTAAAAAATAAATTTAATTACAAAGTTTGTGTATATTTCATTAGTAAAGAGAAAAATGGGGTGAAATTTTAAGAGTTTTGATCTAGTACATTTTAAAAATATTAAAAAAAATTTTTCAGATTTTGTTTTTCTTAAAAATACTTATCTGCCTTACTAAGGGGATTTTGAGTTATATTTTTTTATTAATTAAAATTTTTTTTAAAGATTAATACAATTACTTGCAAAACTGAGTGGAAATTAGATGGTTTTAGAGATGTTCTCAGTATTTACAGCTACAGAGGGCCTGTAATTTTAACAAGTATAGTTTTCTTTTTGGATTTTCAATAAGCTATAATTACACAGAAAGGGTTTGAACTAGAGACAGGACTTGAAGGCTGTACGAGAATATAGATCGATATCTGGGTTGGTAACGATTTTTGTTCGTTATCTCGTCTTAATCCAGTTTGTTTAAACACAAATAAAGAGCTTTAACGAAAAGCAAATTTTGGCTTCTTTTTCATGTATTCCTTCGATTTTGAAGCCTTAAAAAATAATTAATGGAATTTTTTTATTAAAGGGGTAGAAAAATTATCAAATCATGACATTTTCTTGATCACAGCCTTTTTACAGTTTGTAATCACTCGATTTTTGATTTTTACGAGAGTCTTTTTCTAATTAAAATTTGTCTGTACTATACATATTTTCTACTATTTTATTTAAATTAAAAAAGAATTTTTTTAGGTAACAAATTTAATTGTCGAGAACTTCCTAATGTTTTTTGGGAATTATACTTTGAGATTGGAAAGAAGGATTGGCGAAATCCCAATCCCAATCTTACTATCTGGCTTCGTCAAACAGGCCCAAACGGTGTTGGGGGGCTTGTAAATACTCAATATAAAATTTACTCAGTGAAGGATGAAAATGAGAGAATATATATTTCCAAGTTTAGAAAGAATTTTTTTAATATTAAATAATATTTTAAGATCTTCAAATAAACCTGAAAATCAGGATATGTTGGGATATACTTTAATTAACAACTTAAACCATTTATGCCATTCTGATGGTATGTATATGTTAAATTTCGTGAAGGGCTAGGGATGGTTCCGCGTGAAATCTTGCGGGGACTGTCCTTTTCTGTCCTTCAAGAGCTTTTAGAAAAAAAACAATTTTACCGATCTCTAGTTAAAATACATATAACCTAATAAGAAACCAATCTGAAAGCAACTTTTGAGCCAAAAATATAAAGGGGTGTGGAAACTACGGTTGAAACTGGGTTTGATTAAAGTATGATTCCTGCAGTTATACTAAGAAGCTACAAATGGAATTTCGTAAATTTTTTTCGATTGCGGACAGCTCTGATCCCGAGACTTTAAGAAGTTCTGATCCGGCTTTAAGTTATTACAGCTATTTTCCTTTTCCAAAACTGAATATTTATGTTAAATTTTTTTTCAGGCTCTTTATACCTTCATTGTGAAGTTAAATTTGACACTTTTACTTCAGAAGACAGTTTTGATATTAATTACAGCAATTTTTTTGAAGACGAAATACTTACAGATTTTTTAATTAAAGTGTGTTTCTAGAGATTCTTTAAGGAAGTAAATTTTATTATTTTTAAAGGTAGACAAAAATGTTATGAAAGTACATCGTTTTATTTTAGCAAAAAACAGTAAAGTATTTTATGCAATGTTTCAGGAGAAGGAGAAGAATATGACTGAAGAAATTGTAATTTATTTATTGTAATTTGAGGGAAATTGTAAATGAGTGGAGTTGTCGGTTCCTGGAAATTCTTCGGATATCCGAAAAATCCTTGGTTCTTCGGTTCGGAAAATCCTTGGTTTAACCCTATAAATGAGTAATAGATTAGCGGGAATTTTTGATATAGCTTAAATGGCAACAGAAATCTTCTAAAAATTCTCCGTAAAAACTGCTGAGATTTTGTTGAAAAATCACTGATAACTCCTAATATACCGACATGTATATGTATAACGACATTAGAGTTGTTGACGTTCGCATGATCGAACCGAAAACCGGTATTTTGTTTAAGTAACCGAAAAAACCTTGGGTCGAAATTCGGGATTTCAGTTAATAAATTCACTGTCTAGAGTTTTCCACAATTATGTAGAAGGCAATATAATGGGACAACTGTATAGCGCATCGAATGAACCTAGGGTTTTATATAAAATAGGGATATTTCGAGTTAATTTTAAAAAGTAAGTAATTTTTTTAAAGAATGAGTTGACAATATCTAATTTTACCTCACAAAGTGTTCAAAAAATGTTACAATTTTTCTACACTGGCGAACTTGAAAAAAGTTTTTCTTTTAAATAAACAATTTTAATTTTCTTTAATTTTGAGATTTAACGGAAAGTCAGCTTGAAGAAATTTTTGTTATTGCGCATGAATATCGAGTTGCACGATTAATATATAAATGCGAAATAGTTATGTCAACATTTATAGGTAAGAAATTAAATTTTTCGGATAAATGTAGGAAGGGGTTCTGAAATTATTCGACTTCACTTAAACTCCTATGAATAAAATTAGTAATGCACCTACGGGTACTTAAATCCATTATACTTAAACACAATCAAGAATACAAGCATCTACATAGTTTACTAATAAAAACGGGCATGCTCAGATACGGATATATCCGCGGATCGGACAGATACTGATATGATGGTCATATCCTTAAAATATCTTCAAAATAACAGTACAAATTAATAATGCAACTTGCCCCCGACATTTTTGCCATTTTGTTTGAAATCCCCTTCTACCTTCCTTTTATATTTTGTGCCGAGAAATTTATAACCTTGAATAAGCCTGCCTAAGAGTAACAAAAATTAAAAAAAAGTTTTCATTTATTTTTCAGATACTAAAAATATTTTGAAATACTTCAAAATAATTAATGTTTATGATGCTCCGATTTTAGAGAGGGTAAAAAATTAATTAGTTTTCAAATCTAAAATTTAATTTTAAAGGGATGTAAAAATTATATTCGAGACAATAAAGAATTCTTTCTAAAAACTAAAGAATGGGAAGAAGTTGAAAAAATTTTTCCAAAATTGGCTTTTAAAATTTTGAAGTCTGCAATGCACGAATTGTCAAATTAAAGAAATGATTCTCTCGTTAATTTAAAAGAAATCTGTCTTTGATTTTATAACTTTTTTGACTAAAAATAAAAATTTGTATTAATTTTTTATAAAATGTTTTTTAAATAAATCTTTACTATATGTATTTAGAACACAAAATTAAAAACGTTTTTGGAGCTGCGGTGAGGCTGTTTCTATTAGGCATGTATGAAACGCCTGGTTTTATTTTTCAGTCTTGTTTCGCCTGAAAAAATTTTTCTTTAAATACGTTTTGTATAAAATATAGATAGGTTTTTTAAAATTTGGTTTGAGGTAGAGGGAACTGCAAAATTGAAGCTTATAATTTTAGATACATCTCATAAGTTTGATTTTTTATGCTGAATTTTCGGCTCAACATTGAATGAATTAGAGCCATCCTCAAATAGTTGCAATTGTCGAGCACTGCTTTCCTATGAATAGAACTCGATATTTATCATGAATAACAAAAAAATTTTTCAAAAAAATGTCTGGTATTTTATCTATATTATTATCATTTTCTCACTTAAATATTTTAAATAATTTATTAAAGGCAATATATTTTTCCCACAAAAATCCCTCCATATCTACATTTTAGCTAGCTAGTAGCCTATTCCCCTCATTTTCCCATCATTCTATAATGGATTTGTTCTTTCGCCTGCTACCACGACGACTTCCTTATCCAACAAATAAAGCTCTTCTCTATTTGTTAGTATGTATTTTCTTTTCTTTCTTGCTCTGCTAGTTTGTCGGCTGGCACAAGAAAAAAAAATTCTTCTTTTCTAGCAGTTATTGGTCTATTTGGGAGTGGGTTGTTAGGGCGCGAGCTTATAAAATTGTTAATTGATTATATAAAAATATAAAATTTTGTAGAAATAATCCCCGTAAGTGTATCTACGTTTTCCAAAAATTTCAGAATTTTTGGTCCTATATTTCAGAAATTATGACCAAAAATTCGGGGGGATTACTCAAAAACGCCTAATTTTTCTTTGTTTATCGACTATAATTTTTGAAGTATTTGAAAAAAATTCTAAAAAATTTCTGGAAAGATGGCCAAGGACGTAACAAAAATTTGAGATAATTTTCAAAATTTTAAGTTCCGCCCAAGTCTCAATTTTAAAGCGCGCGCCCAAACGGTCCAGACGCACAAAGGGCCATCTTTAAGCTTTACCTCCCCCCTATGTTACCTCGTTTTCTTCTTTCCTTTCCTTTACATTCTTTCTTTATTCTCCTCAATTTGGCACCTTTAAAAGGTTATTTTATATAAGGTTTCAATACTAAATAGTCACACACACGAAATTGCCCTCATAAAGCCGTTTTAAAATATTTTTTGCCTTCATTTATGCGCTTCATTGGCCATTCTAGCGACATTATTTTACCTTTATAAATTGATTGCTTTAACTATTTTTCCTTTTCTTTTTTCCCTCACTCCCTTTCTAAACCTTCAATGACCAAATAAAAAATAAAACCAACCAACACATTTTTATGAGGAAAATTGCCTTGCCTTCTTGCTTGTTAAACACTCTTTATTATATAATATTATTTAATTGTACATATATTTAATGGTTAGTGCCAGATACCAAAATTTTATATATTTTTTTCTTTAAATTTTTGAACGAGAATTTTATAAAATTTATTTAAATTTAATATTTTTATTATGTATCACACGTCATTATCCTTAAAATTATAAGGAGGAACACCTTAGTTACAGAGGGGGCGTAAATTAGAATAATTAAGGAGAAATACTAGCTTAAGCTCTGCGGATATCTTGGCCTGCTCCCAAAATAGTCATGTCAGTTAAGAACCGGACCGAAGAGCCAAGTCCGGTTTAACCCTCTTTTGGATGCTTATAATTTCATTTATTAATAAGTAGGAGACTTGTGGAGAGATAATATCCCATATTGCACCTTTACTATAATTATGTCTCCCCATTTATTTAAAAAATCGACCATTTTAATACCTTTTCTCACATTTAACTTTTTTTCTTTTATTTGGCCAATTTTAATAATTTTTCCTTTCAATTTATTTTTGTTAAAATGCCTACCTATGATTGCTTAGAAATAATAAAAAAGAATCCCACAAAAATCTCCCCTGCCCCCCTTTTTACAAGGAAGTGGGAAAGAAGCTTTACAACAATAAAAAATGTATTTAATAAAAGAAAAAGGGAAAATTGTTGAAAATTAGATTTTTAAAAGAAAATATTTTAAAAAAATATAAGGAAAGATGTGATTCTTTTATTTTTAAAAAATTTTTTTGAACTAAATATTAACGTTTAATTTTAAATTTTTTTTCAAAATGCGCAATAGGTAGTTTAGAAAACCTATTAAGAATCCTTATTTTAACATTAAACATCTAAGAAAAAGACTAACAATAAGCGTTAACCCGCTCTCCCATAGGTTTAATTTATGTCAAAATTTGTTCAATCAGGCTAATTTTCATGTCATTCAAATCAGCTCGATGAGCTGATTCAAATGAGGTATTTGTAAAATTAAATATTTTTCTCGAAATAAAAACCATTTGCTGATCTCCAAAGTGATAGGCAAAATCTTATAGGATTGATCATAATTCATTTTCTATGAATAAAGTTAAAAAAATATCTTAACTAAAAAACATGATGATGATGATCTCCTTTCTAATTTAGCTCCTCCTAACATTCCTTTTATCTACATATAATGTGTGAAGGAAAGAATGATTGACAGTAAAAAATCATTCGAGACTTATAGATAGGGGTGGGTGGACCAATAGTTTAGAATAGAGAGGTGGGTGGGGGGGGGGGGGGTATTTGAGAAAAAAACTAAGTATATCAACAAGGTACCAAAACAATTAGCATTTTTAATCGAAAATTTCTTTTTCAATTTTTAAAAATTCACGCGCTCCTCTAAAGCCATTTAAATATTCTTTTTATTTTTTCCTATTCTTTCCCAATTTTTTTCTTTCTAGCCAGTCACCTTAAAAATTTTGGCCATACTTCCTTATTTAATAGAAAGAGAAAGAAGCTTTATGTTTGAGGGGGGTAATCGTTAAAAGAAATAAAAATGAAAGGAAAAAGCACGTGTTTTTATGTAGAAAATTGATGGACATTTTAAAAATATTTTTTAATCAAAAACTTAAAAATAAAATAATCAAAAATCTCTATTTTATGGACACAAAAAATATTTTTCTAAATTAAAAAAATATTTTTGCAGGGAATGAGCATAAATTGCAGCATAAACCTCAAAGAAAACGAAATTAATGAAAATAAAAATATTGTTGAGAATAGTAATGTTGCTATAGTTGATTGTTGCCAATCACCTAGTTATTCGGCTACCAACAATTTTTTGAATGTATCACATCCAATGGTTAGGCAATCCTCTGATACTACACAGGTAGTAGATACAAAATATTTTTCGAAAAAAATTTCTTTAAAGAATCGGAGAGGTAGAAAGCTAAGTCGATCATCTGCCTTTGATAATGGTGAACCTGGTACTTCTACCACAGGTGGAACTCAACGGGATAGGCCTGCTACTTCCTGTCTTGGACAGAATGAGGTGTTTTAAATACTTTAAAATTTATCCTCGACATCCTCTTTCGTTTCCTTTGTTTGAATTAAATCGGGGTTACTCTTGAATGAATGCTAGATTCAATACCCAAAATAATGCCAATACTAGATATGGTTGGTTACTGGGTAAGGAAGGTAGGGAGAAAGGTGGAGCTGCCAAAGATATACCCCCATTTAATATACACATTATTGTATCCAACCTTTTCTGATCTAATACTGGCGTTTGTGACCGATAATTTTCCAAGACTTGACCCAAACGAGAAAGTACTTTGGTCCAGATAATTCATTCAATGGTGTGTCGGACTAAAACCTTGGTTAAAACATTCCTCTAGAAAAGTCTTGATCCAGCGAAGTTCCCTTCACACTACTGTGGGTGTTCCTTACAAAGTACAAATATTTAATTTTTATTATTAATCCATTTAAATATTCTTTCCTTTATAAAAACTAAAAAATTGGCCTAATTCCACCTAAAAATTCCATTTTTGGCACTCACTCAAAAACCCAAAAAAATCCCTAAAATTTTCCTATTTTCTTTGGCATTATTCCTTTAAAAATACACAAATTCACTACCGATATACCCTTCCATCCCTTAAGAGCCATGAAATTGGATACTTACACATCCTTGGGGAAAATAAGAGAGGTAGCAATAAGAGGATTTTTAAAGGCTTTTTGGAATCGTTTAAAAAAGGAGGGGGAAGAAGGGTTTGTTTATAAACGAGAAGAAATGTCCAAAATTTTGGGCCAAAAAGATGAAGATTAAAAGAAGGAATAAGTAAGTATACCTCCAGTCAATTGGACTGGCACGTTTCGACGCTGTAACGTTTTGGGTGTAAATATTCGGAAGGATTGAACGCACACAGACATTTTGGGGACGAGACAACTTGATGTACCTTAGGCCCAGCGAAGTTTAAAATCCTTAGATTCCATTCTGTCAATCTAAGGATCTCAAATCTTGGTTAGGCTTCGTCCGTTGCTAACTCTCGGAGCCATACCCAGCACTGAAATCAAGTCTAATTTCTATTTTAACCAAGAGTGGGCATTCCTACTTACAATTTCATAAACAAAATTCTTAGATTCCATTCTGTCTTCTGTTCATCCTGACAGATTTTTTTATTCTTTTTCAACACTTGATTGAAGTTCTCCTCCTCGCTCACTGTAGAATATCCTATAATTGGTAAAGATAGCGTCCCCAAATCACCGCGCCAAACCTTCCCTGCCTATTGGACTACGAAATTGAAAAAAACATCAAAATTGAGTTAGGTCAATTCAAAACCGTCAAAAACCCTTGTAAACACTTAAAACCCACACAAATACCCCTTAAAAGCTATAATCCCTATTCTCCGAAAATTGGAAAAACAGCCGACAAATAAAGGAAAAGAGGGAGAAAATTAAATGAAAAGCATATTACACACACGTGTTTTGTATTTTTATTTATTTATTTTTGAAAAGAGCAGCTCGAGGTTGAGTGCAAATATGGATAAACAAAAAACCTTTATTTTTACTTCCATATATTTTTATTGGCAATATTTTTTTGTGTTATAGCCTTTGAAAACCATACAAAAATATTCGTTCCTCTCTCTACTAGAGATGTTCCTTTTGCATTACTTTGGGTCTCTATACACATTCCCTGGGTGTCTCCTTAATATTATCTTCACATTGTCTTGCTCGTCTTCACTTTACCATGGTTATCCCCTTCATAATCCTAAAACACAATTACCCTTAACCTACTGGAAGTTTGTGTGGGCTAACCCATCTATCTAGAATATTTTATTTGAACACATTCCTGAAATCCATGCTTTTCCTACAGGAAATGGTGGCCGAAAATTCAAAATCTTAGTGGTTCAATTCACCTTACCTTTGTTCCCTTCACACTATCTTCCCGCACTATTAGAGATTTTCTTTTAATTTATTCAAAATACATATTTGATTATTATTAATTAATTTTTTATAGATGAGATTTTGTTCTCCTACACAATGTACAAATGTAATACAAATGGTAAATTTAATTATTTTTAATTTTAAGTCACAGATCACAAAATTGTATTTTAGACAAACGTTGTTGACACTCAAGATGGTAGCAGTGACTACATTCAATTAAATCAGTACAAGCTTATGGAGGAGATTGCCCAGGGCTCTTACAGTATTGTCAAACTGGCATATAACGAGCAGGATCGAAATTTGTATGCGTTGAAGGTGCTTGACAAATTGAAGGTGAATAAAAATCTTTGATTTATAATTAAGGAATTATGTTAAATTTTAACGATGCCATAATATTACTTCCCTTTACATTACTAAGAATTTGTACCACAAAAGATGTCTCCATGATGTTCCTTACACACTATCTTATAGTACCCTTTTCACATTATTACCACGAGCGTGTTGATGATACTCCTTACACTACCAAATGATGTTCCTTACAGACCTTCCAATCATTTCGGATTCCCGTCCATTTTTGGAATCAAAATTTTTGAAAATCGCTAGACCCAGCCTTAAACCCTTTGGGTTATATTTTTCACACTCCCTCATAATGTTCTTAATAAAATTAAATTTTCATTTTTTTAGTTGGTCAAAAACTTTGCCTGTTTTCGTCCTCCACCTCTCCGAAAGTGTGGAGGAAGTACACAAAACAATCCTCCAACCTCCCAACAGTCATTATCTGTACACAGAAACCCTTTGCAATTAGTGCAACGAGAAATTGCCATATTAAAGAAACTTGCACATCCAAATGTTGTTAAACTAGTGGAGGTACTAGACGATCCTCAGGTAGAAATTCAAATAATTTCTTATTTTTTATTTTCCATAACGTATTTTTAAATTGGCATTTTATCACAGCCTCTGAGACTCCTAAATATTTTAATTTTCCAAAAAATTATTTTAAGGATAATTTCCTCTATATGGTCTTCGAATATATGGAAAGGCGTTCTTTAATGGAATTACCTACTCAAAACCCGTTGAATGAACAATTAGCTTGGAAATATTTTAGAGATACACTTAAAGGATTGGAATACCGTAATTATTTTTAAAAAATTTAAAATTATGAGAAATATCTTTGCCCTGGAAATTGTATTTTTAAAAATTTTTTTAAAAATTAGTTTAAAAAACGGACAATTGTTACAACGCAATATGGGCCTGGATATCCATATAAAATTTATTGGATCAAATTATAGAGATATATTTATATAACCAAGTGCCCAAACAAACCGCCACCACAAGCTTTAGAAATTTCAAAAAATTTAAAATATTTTTTGATAAAATTTTTAAATTTAATTTATTTTTAGTCCACTATCAGAAAATTGTACATCGCGATCTCAAAGTGAAAAAATTTTTTTAGTTAAAAAAATTCTTTTTTAATTTTTAGCCCTCAAATTTACTTTTATCAGAGTCTAATTCTGTCAAGGTGAATAATTTAGAAATTTAAAAACTTATTTTAAAAGATTGCCGATTTTGGTGTTTCTTGTGAATTTGAAGGAATTGATGCTTTTTTGACTGGGACTGCTGGTGAAAATTAAATTTAAAATTAAAAAAGAAATGAAATTAAATTTCCAAAAGGTACCCCAGCATTTATGGCCCCGGAGGCACTCTCAGAAAATTCAAATCAATTTTACAGCGGACGTGCTCAGGATATTTGGTCGCTTGGGTAAGGAGGCTTGTTAAGAATTAAAAATAAACGGGAATAAAAAGAGTTTATTTTTCTGGAAACTTCAGATATATTTTTAATTTTTCCGTAAAGCATTGATTTACGGGAATTCCTTTCATCCCTTAAATTATTCATTCTTCGGAAAGTTTATTTAAATTAACAATAAATTCTCCAGAATTATTTAATATTTTTTACAGAATTACTTTATATGCACTTGTTTTTGGAAATGTGCCTTGGTATGACCCTTATGTTATTGGTAAAATAAAATATATTATTTATTTATAAAATTATTTATTTTTAATAGCTCTCTACAAAAAAATAAAAAATGACCCAGTAACACTTCCAGAGAATATACCAATTAGTGACCCTCTCAAAGGGTTAATACTTGGGTAGGTTTTGAGAATAAATTAATTTAAAAAAATTTATAAAATTAAATAAACCTTTCCGGAAAAAAAATAAAATTTCGGAAAAATTTAATATCTCCTCAATAAGTTTTGACTGGAAAACAAGCCTAAAAACTTTCCGGAAAGAATTTAAATGTTAAACTAACCTTCCGGAAAAGGTTGATTTAATATAAATAAACTTTAAATAAAATAAACCTTTCCAGAAATTATAAATTGTTTTTTTAATTTTAGAATGTTATGTAAAGACCCAGGATTGAGATACGACATTATGCAGGCAAATATTTTATTTTTTTATTAATAAAATTAAAAAAAAATGATTTATAGATAAAAGAGCATTTCTGGGTTACTAAAAATGTAATTTATTTAATTTTTAAAAATTAAATTTTTTTTCAATTTTTAAGGGAAAAGTTTTAATGCCCACAGAAGAAGAAAATTGTTCCCTCGTCACTGGTAAATTAAAAAAATTTTTTCAAATAATTTTTGTTCTCTTTTCAGTTACTCAAGAGGAGGTTAATCAAGCTGTTCGTATCATTCCTCATCTTGGAACTTTAATTCTTGTGAAGGTTGATAATTGTTAAAATTTAAATAAAATAAAAAATTAATTTTATATTTAGGCTATGGGAAGGAAAAAGCATTTTGGGTAATTTTTATTTTTTTATTTTTTCCTGATAAAAAGACAAATGAAAAAATTAAATTTTTGGTCTATCAAAATTGGAAATAAATTTTAATTAAAAATTGAGAAAAAATTAATAATATTTTATATTATAGAAATCCATTTCGCGAACCAGTCATTGAAAACGATTCGTTGTTAGAACATCCAGGGAGGAGACATCGAAGGAAATCTTCGTCGGTTTTTTTGAAAAAAATTATTCTAAAAATATTTTTAGAATCTTTAAATAATTTTCTTAAATTTCTAGATTGCCAGAAGGCAGTGTCACAGCTTCTCCAGTCCGTTCCCACAGTAGAGAACATTTAAACAACCAACAACAACAACAAATTAATTTAGACCAACAACCATCTACAAACAACAACAATTTAGAATTAAATCCGTTAATTATTATTAATAAAATGGAAAGGTTGGATATTGAAAATGGAAATGAGGGAGAGGAAAATAAAAAAGAAATGCCTCAATTATTGAATGGCTCTTTAAATCTTTAAAAATTAAAAATTTTATTTTTCTGTTAGAAAATTGTATATACATATGTATTACTAATTTAATTTACATAAATGTTTTTGACAAATGAGAAGTTTTTTACATTTTTGAAAATGTGACGAACAGAATTTTTGGTGATAGGAGAAATTGTCAAATTTTTGCCAAATTTTTTTTGTTAATTAAGCTTAATGAGCTCCAAAAATCAGCTTGGTCGCCCCTATGGTTTTCGATTTCAGAGGTATGAAAATCGAGAAGAAAAAAGGTTCACAAGCACAGTTTAAACACTTTTATTATCACGTTATTTTAGAAATAAAAAATATTATTGTTTTATTGATAAACGATACTCTAGCTAATATATTGTATAGTTCTATCCGGCATTGAAGTTTCTGGCATTGGAGCAACTTGATTAATATTTGAATTATTTTTGCATCGAAAAATTATTTGTCTGTAATTTCTTACACTCAAAATTGTTACCTTTTAAATTTATTTTTTTAAAGTTTAAGGATAATAAATAAACTCACAATAGGATTTAAAACAGCAATTAAAGATGCCAAAGAACTAGGCAAAAATGTTCCAATATATGAAGAATATATAACGGGTAAATTAATTAAAGCATCGATATTATTGTATATTTGGCTGAGAAAAGTTATTAGAGGTAAAAGAGCCTAAAATAATAAATTTAAATTTTTGTTTTGCTGACTTTTTAATTTAAAAGTGTTTACTCTTAACTAATTAAAGGTAGCAATCTCTCCATAACGCCCACTATGCAGGAATGTGGGGCTAAGTTGAGAAAGAAGTCAGGTCGGGTCGAAAAAACCGGGTATTGTATAACATGACCCATCCCTGACATCAGTCTCATGTCTTTCCCCTCTAAATGTCTATATTCTAGCCTCAGTATATGTATATTATCGTTCCATACCTGTGCCCCCAAAACAATACTCATTTGTTTATTCATATTACGTAATTGAGTCATTTCTACACCTTTACAATGACGATAAACACAAATTTGAATTTTTATACCACAAAAAATAATTATAACGTAGTTTGCTATAGCCAATGTTGAAGCGTAAGTTGCATTAAAATTTGATAGTTCATTAGTCTATAATAATATAATTTTTATTATTATAAAGTACTCTTGATATACTCTATCAATTAATTATATATACTCTATCAATTAATTATACTCTATCAATTAATATATACTCTATCAATTAATACTCTATCAATTAAATAATATATACTCTATCAATTAATTATACTCTATCAATTAATTTTTTTCTGATTTTATACTCTACTGAATACTTCTCTTACATTAATGTTTTTAGTTTAATCCGTCTCGAGACGTTTGCCAAATAGTTTAAAAATGATTTTGACTTACTCTTGATCTTAGTCCAACAACATAATTTTCAATTGTGTAATTATCCAATCCTAACATTTTTGCCAACTCAAGATTTTTTAAATATTCATTTTCTGGACTTGGACAGTTTGAAAAATATGCGCAAACATTCAATCCAATATTAGGTAGCATTACAACAAAAATTAATAATAATTGGTGTTTAAATTTAATGTCAACTCCGCTACATAAAAAAGTTTTTGAAATATTATATGTTATTTTAAATATGTATGTTAAGCTGATTTAGATTATTCTATTTGAGCTTTATTTTATTTGATAATTAGATAATGAGTAGCTTAGTTCGGGAATCTTCCTTTGTGTGTTCGTTACAAGGGAGTAATTGGGTGTTTTCACGATGATCCGTGTCATTATATGTATATTTTATATAAGTTTAAGTAACGTGTCTCGTGGCCAACAAAGGAATCGAGAACTCAATAAGCTAGAACTTTGTAGTATTTTTTTAAATATTTCAGAAGAGTTTACCGTACAACAGTAAAATAACGATAAATAAATAGTGTAGAGACATTCATTGACGTGAATCTTGTCATAAAGTGATTGAGACGGAGGAGAATACATTGCCAAGGATTTGGTAATAAATGTATAGGTCCGTAATTCCAAGTTGTGCCGATACCATTATCAGCTACAAAAACCTATTTTTAATAATACAAATTAATTCTTAAAGATAAATGTCCTATTTGTGCTCAGAAACACATAAATTAAAAAAAGTCATAGACAATCACGCCAAAACATTCCCGCGCCCAAATATTTATTTACCGGTTGAGAAACAACAAACATACAAATCCCAACAATATCAACAAAACAAGTTTGTAAAAGTATTTTGCTATAAACTTGCATTTCTTTCATTGTATAACGTAAAATTAGCCAAATTAAAAACAAATTAGAAAACAATCCAAATGTAGCAAAACAATAAATTATTGTTGAATATATTTCTCCTATTAATATTTTTTAGTTATTTTCTTCTTAAATGGAATGAATGTTTTTTAATTCCTACAACATGTCTTAATTAATATCTAAAATCCTAATATCAACGGGAAGAGGGCTTCAAACAAATATTTTAGCACCTTATAGCTTAAATAAAAATTTTCTTTTGGGCTAATTAGAAAGCCTATAGAATTTGCCAAAATATAGCTCAGGCTCATGTAATTTAATAAGTTAAAACTGAGCATTTTATTGGGTATTTTGGGAGGGTTTGACTTAAAATATTTTTAATAAACTTATAAAATTTCTATAAAACTATAACAGATGTTTTAAACTTTAAAAAAATTAATTTAAAAAATATTTAAACATTCTGTTTAAGCTTGTAATTTATATGTTATAATTATTGTTTACAATTAACTTTAAAAGTCTAATTGCCAGGTGTAACCTTTCTTTAATGAAAAAAAATTTTTTAAAATAAAAATATTTTAATTAATTATTTATAATCTTCTATCAAAGTTTATTATTTTTAAAGTAAAATTTGGATTTTCTATTCGAACAAATGAGCTTATTCCCAAAAGTGGGAATAAGCTTATTTTGGGGTCAAAAAATTGAATATGCAAATAATATGCTCATAGAAAATGCTTGATGAGCTGAGTCGAATAACACTAACTGAAACTTAACTAGGGAAACGTTTTATGTGTTGCTACGGAAGGGCAGGTTTAAAATGTTCAGAATTTAGCTCTTTTTAATTGCTAATATTTATTTAATAAATGTTAAAATACGAGGGATTTTTTTTGAAAATGGCACGCAACTTTATATTAAAATTTTATTTAATATTTAATTTGAAATAAACAATTTAGACACGAAAATTAAATTATAATTTTAAAATCGCTAAAATATTGTCAAATAATAATTATTTAATATATTGTATAGTTCTATCAGGCATTGAAGTTTCCGGCATCGGGGCAACTTGATTAATATTTGAGTTATTTTTGCATCGAAAAATTATTTGTCTGTAATTTCTTACACTCAAAATTGTTACCTTTTAAATTTATTTTTTAATTAAAAAAATCTACATAAATTAGCTAGATATTTAAGCTTGAGGAGGGTATCTAATAAAATTATTATAAAACAGTTATAATTTATAAAGCTAGATTGATAAACTTTCTGGCACCAGGAACTCTCGTACCAAAATTCTACTAGTATTCGGCACAAGCAACTAAAGGTACGAGCAAAACAGAAACCTCAACATCCCCATTCTCCGAAAAATTCTCTCAGACAAGTCGTGTATATACTAATCCATATAGAAATATAAGTAAACTCACAATAGGATTTAAAACAGCAATTGAAGATGCCAAACTAGAACTAAAAAATATTGTACTGGATGATGAATATAAACCAGGCAAATTAAATAAAAAGGTTAAATTGCCGAATAAGTTGGTGAGATGTGTTATTAAAGGAAGAATGGCCTATAAAATTGATAAATTAAATTTCTGAGAGGATAGAGCATTTTTTGGTGAATAGTTATCAATTCCAGCGTAAGATATAACTGATTATTTAAGGCACTATGAAAAACGCACGGACTTATGAACCACACTTGTAAGGTTGATTAAAAAGAGGTTGATTGAAAAATAAATCTATTGTTCCAACCTGTGCCCCCAAAACAATACTCATTTGTTTATTCATATTACGTAATCGAGCCATTTCTACACCTTTACAATGACGATAAACACAAATTTGAATTCTTATACCACAAAAAATAATTATTATATAATTAATTATATTTAATGATGAAGCAAAATTTGAAGTAAAATTTGACAGATCATTAGTCTAAAATTCTTACAAAAATTGTATAAACATAAATCTTTTTATCAAAAAATCCTCTTCAAATAAAATAATGTATCAAAGTATTCTTCAGTTTTTTTGAATAACTATAATTAAACTCCGAGGTCGGGGCCAGAGATGGACGAAAATTTTTCGTCTTGTTTTGTGTTTAATAGATTTTTTTGATAGTTGTGGCGTTGTGTTTTTCGGAGTATAGGGGAGCTTTTTCATATAAGATAAGATGGATCTGACTTAGTCTATTACTTTAGAGCTTATATCCAGATTAGATAATGGGTGGCGTTTAGCTCACTGAGAATGTCTGTAGAGAGAACATCCGTAAGTCAAAGACTATTGCTATACGGGCCTTATCATAGTAACGGTTCTGTGAATAGAAGCTGCAAACTCTGACACCAAATAAATTTTTACTTACTCCTGATCTTATTCCAACAACATAATTTTCGATTGTATAATTATCCAATTCTAATGTTTTTGCCAACTCCAGATTTGTTAAATGTTCATTTTCTGGTGTTGGATAATTTGAAATACAAGAAAAAATATTCAAAATTATTAATGGAATTAGCATACTAGTAATTAACAATAATTGGTGTTTAAATTTAATTTCAAATTTGCTACATAAAAACATAATTTTAAAACTTCTCAGGAAAGTTTACCGTACAACAGTAAAGTAGCGATAAATAAATAATGTAGAGACATTCATCGAAGTAACCCTTGCCATAAAATAATTAATACGGAGAAGAATAAATTGCCAAGGATTTGGTAAGAAATGTATAGGTCCGTAATTCCAAACTGTACCAATGCCATTATCAGATATAAAAACCTTTTTTAAATAGAAAATTAAGTACTTTTTCGGTTCTCTCCCCGATTTTTCAAAATGGTTTTTTACTATCAAAAAACATTCTATCAACAAACTAATTACTCCTAATATCTTTCCATTGACCGATATCAATTGACACTTTCCCGCGCCCAAATATTTATTTACCGGTTGAGAAACAACAAACATACAAATCCCAACAATATCAACAAAACAAGTTTGTAAAAGTATTTTGCTATAAACTTGCATTTCTTTCATTGTATAACGTAAAATTAGCCAAATTAAAAACAAATTAGAAAACAATCCAAATGTAGCAAAACAATAAATTATTGTTGAATATATTTCTCCTATTAACATTTTTTTCTTCTTAAATAAAGAATGCTTTCTGAAAACACCATGAAATAAACATAGGTACATAACGGTAATATTTCTTTAGGGGTAATTATTTGTTTTCTGGGGTATGTATATCTCAATCTAATTTTGGCAAAATTGATCTGATTGTCTGAATGATTTCTGATCTGACCAAAAAACAATCGACTCAACTCGTTAAGAACCATCAAAATAGCTTATACTCTCTTTTTGAAAGTTTCACCAGAAAAAATTATATTTGCCAAAATTATTTTAATTTATTTTGTGTGCTCCTTATCTCGGTTTATTCACGTTATAACCTCTTTACTTTGACGTCATAGAACCGGATTAAAGAGCTGATTCTAATGATATAAAAATTTCCTATATAAAAATTATAGCCTTTAATTCAGGCCAGCTTTTATCCAAAAGGTTTTTACCAAACTTTGAGAGAAAATTAATTCGACTAAATTAATAATTTAAAGCAATTTTCGAATTTATATATTCATTGTCGGAAATCCAGAAAAAAAGATTATCAACCTTCGTTAAAAATGAAAAAGTTATAAGTAAAATAAAATTTATATCCTGTAGTTGTTTGTAATAATGGGTTTTTTAAAACATTTTATTGGCTAGGAATGTTTGTTTCAATGTAAGTTTATTTCCAGGTTTATACATAAAACTTTAATTTTTTAGAAGTTTGTTTAGAAAAAAAAGTTTTTTATTCATTCATTATTTTAAATTATAAAATACTATGAAATTTAACTTAAAGTGCATATTTGTAAACGCAAGGGACAGATAAATTTTTAAAATTATATTTGAAAAAAACCTCACGCAACTATAAACAATTTTATTTACATATTTATTTAATTAAAAAAATTTTTTTGTCACGTAATGTCTTTAAAAACAAAAGTAGGATTTCATATAAAATTTAATAGGACATAAAAATTTTTGTGTGAAATCCCCGGTTTCCGGCTACCCGGCTCGGGAAACCCGGTCTCGGGCCGGCCTGGGTTCGAACTCTAATATAAATGACAAAAACATATGTAGGTGGTTGGGGATAGCATTCAATATCGTTTTTATATTATTAAACGTTAAACGACGAGCTTTAATTTGTTACTTATTAAAAATATTTTTCAAAAATTATTTAATATATTGTATAGTTCTATCCGGCATTGAAGTTTCCGGCATCGGGGCAACTTGATTAATATTTGAATTAGTTTTGCATCGAAAAATTATTTGTCTGTAATTTCTTACACTCAAAATTGTTACCTTTTAAATTTATTTTTTCTTAATTTTAAGGAAAATAAATAAACTCACAATAGGATTTAAAACAGCAATTAACGATCCCGCACTACAACTAAGTAATATTACAATAGATGACGAATATAGTCCAGGCAAATTAAATAAAAAATTTAGATTGGCGAATAAATTGGAAGTATATGTTATTAAAGGTAGAATAGCCTTTAAATTTAACAAATAATTTTATCTACACATAATTACGCAGAATTTTTAACAGAACTATTTTTAATAGAACGTATGTTTATATTATTTAATCCCTAAATCACATTGCTTTCTTAACTTCCTTAAAAATGATGTTTTTAATTTGGCTTGTTTTGAAATTAACTGAATAATAAAGATTATTGTTTGTTAGAATACTGTCTAAAAGTAAAAATTAAGAAATATTAAATCCGGGGATATAATAACACAATTATCTGAAAGCTGATGGATATTGGTAAAGTTATATTACTCGTCTAACTATGGACTAAAGTTACTATGTAATAGGATATTTTAGCTATTGTTAACATTCTAAATATACCTGTGCCCCCAAAACAATACTCATTTGTTTATTCATATTACGTAATTGAGTCATTTCTACACCTTTACAATGACGATAAACATGTATTTGAATACTTATTCCACAAAAAATAATTATTATATAATTAATTATTGTTAATGCTGAAGCATAATTTGAAGTAAAAATCGAAAGGTCGTTAGTCTGAAATTTCATAAAAACTTTTGAAAATTTTTTTAATTAATTTACTCTTAATCTTTGTCCAACAACATAATTTTCAATTGTATAATTATCCAAATCTAACAATTTTGCCAACTCAAGATTTGTTAAATGCTCAGTTTCTGGTGTTGGATAATTTGATATATAAGCACAGATAGTCAATATAAATATTGGAATTATCATTCCAATAATTAGTTTTAACTGGTGTTTAAATTTAACATCAAGACCACTAAATACATAAAAGTTTTGTTTAATAAATTACTTGAATGTTTACCGTACAACCACAAAATAACGATAAATAAATAGTGTAGAGACATTCATTGAGGCAAATCTTGCCATAAAATTTTGGATACGTAAAATTATATTTTGCCAAGGATTTGGCAACAAATGTATAGGGCCGTAATTCCAAATTGTGCCTGTGCCATTATCAAATACTAGAACCTATTTTAATGAAAAATATGTTTTAAATAAATTAAAAAGATGTTTGGACGCAAAAACATTTGACGCATAAATTGATTAAACATTCAAAGTATTCCAATTAAAAGAGGAATTCGATAACTTTGCAAAGTTATAGTCAATCACGCCAAAACATTCCCGCGCCCAAATATTTAAGTATTTACCGGTTGAGAAACAACAAACATACAAATCCCAACAATATCAACAAAACAAGTTTGTAAAAGTATTTTGCTATAAACTTGCATTTCTTTCATTGTATAACGTAAAATTAGCCAAATTAAAAACAAATTAGAAAACAATCCAAATGTAGCAAAACAATAAATTATTGTTGAATATATTTCTCCTATTAACATTTTTTCTCTTATTAAATAAAGAAGAGAATGTTTCTTTTAATTATTTATTCATGTTTTGTTTGTAAAACAATTTATTGTTTATATAAACACGTTTGTGTACAAAACAAGTTTAATCTTTTTAGAAAAACATTTGTTTCTCTATATGTTTATAAGTATAAAACATGTTTTTATGTTTAAAGTTTTGTTTACAATCACAACACGAAATGTTTTCTTCAACAAAAGTTGTTTGTTGAAGAGTTCGATATTTTTATAAAATATAAGTAAAATTAAAGAAACTTTTCTAATTGAAAGGAAAAATTTTAAAAATTGACTTTAAATAACAGATGTTTAAAAAACTTTGTTTAACCAATTTAAGCTCGTAATTTATTCATCAAATTACTGTTTACGTTTAACTTTTAAGATTTTATAGACTAATTGCCAGGTTTAATATTTCTTTAATAAAAAATATTTTTTATCAACATGTCAAGATGCCAATAATTATATATTAAGCACGGGACTTGCGGATGCGGCGTTGTGTAATGGAACATAACACATCAGTCCTGTCAACAGAAGTTGCTTGCGAAGTAACTATTTGCAATAGCAGAAGAGCAACTAGCTTTGTTTTACTTGTTTACTAAATATCATATCTTTCGAAACCCATCGATAAATGACATCCTTTTTTTTAAATTGACAGATCTAGCTAATCACTCATTAAAAGCTATTATAACTCGATGAGTGCAATTATTTGGTATTTCTCATTAATTATAAGATATGTCTAGTTATTGAGTGGTCAAACTAAATATTTTCTCCAAAGCCATTGACCTCTGATCGAATTTAGGGAATGACTTATTTTCTTTCAATATTTGCCCAGATTGTTTTTTAATTTTATATGTTTCTATATTACAAAATATTTATTTTTCAAAAATTTTATTCAAATTATAATTTAAAACAAAGCATGATAATTATTTAAATCTATCAAGCATTGAAGTTTCCGCTTACTTTTAAGTAAGTTGAATGAGTTTTAGGGGAAGCATTTTTTGTTTGGGTAATTTTTTTCTACGGTGTTGAAAAATAAAAGTGTATATTATAAAAATTTTTCTATAAAATAATTTTAAAAAATTAATTAAAATTAAAATTAGCCCACACTTTTAATTTAAGGTATGTTTACTTACAATTAAAAATTTTATTTAAACTTTAACAGTATTCTCATGAATCTTTTTTCTATTAAATTTTAAGGACTACAAATAGATTACACAAATAAATAACGAAATTCTGATCATAACTACTCGAAATTATTTTAAGTTTATACTTTACAAATATACATATTTTTAAATTTTATTTAATAAAATCAGTAATTATTTAATTCAAAATTTAATTATTTAATATATTGTATAGTTCTATCCGGCATTGAAGTTTCTGGCATTGGAGCAACTTGATTAATATTTGAATTATTTTTGCATCGAAAAATTATTTGTCTGTAATTTCTTACACTCAAAATTGTTACCTTTTAAATTTATTTTTTTTTAATTTTAAAGAAAAATAAATAAAATTACAATAGGATTTAAAACAGCAACCAAAGATGCCAAACCACAACTAAAAAATATAAAAATAGATGATGAATATAAACCAGGCAAATTAAATAAAAAATTTAGATTGGAGAATAAAGTGGTGATATAGGTTATTAAAGGTAGAATCGCCTAAAATAAATAAATTTTTAAATTTTTTAAATTCAGTTGTTACTACATATGTATTTGTTTTCTAAATTCAAATAAACATAAATGTAATGATACTACCTGTGCCCCCAAAACAATACTCATTTGTTTATTCATATTACGTAATTGAGTCATTTCTACACCTTTACAATGACGATAAACATGTATTTGAATACTTATTCCACAAAAAATAATTATTATATAATTAATTATTGTTAATGCTGAAAGAGAATTCGACGTGAAAATTGATAGATCATTAGTCTAAAATTTAAAAAAATTAAAAATTCTAAAATAACCTACTCTCGATCTAAGTCCAACAACATAATTTTCAATTGTATAATTATCCAATTCTAGTGTTTTTGCTAGTTCGTAATTTGTTAAATGTTCATTTTCTGGTGTTGGATAGTTTGAAATTGAAGCCAAAACATTTAAAATTAGTAATGGGATTACCATACCAAAAATTAATAATAATTGGTGTTTAAATTTAACTTCAACCTCGCTATATACATAAAAACATTAAATATGTATATTCAAGAAGTACAACAGTAAAAGTTTACCGTACAACCACCAGATACCGATAAATAAATAATGTAGAGACATTCAACGAGGTAACTCTTGCCATTAAATTATTAATACGGAGAATAATGGATTGCCATGGATTTGGCAAAAAATGTATAGGTCCGTAATTCCAAGTTGTGCCGACACCATTATCAGAAACATAAACCTATTTTGGACGAAAAAATTACTTTTCTCACGCCAAAACATTCCCGCGCCCAAATATTTATTTACCGGTTGAGAAACAACAAACATACAAATCCCAACAATATCAACAAAACAAGTTTGTAAAAGTATTTTGCTATAAACTTGCATTTCTTTCATTGTATAACGTAAAATTAGCCAAATTAAAAACAAATTAGAAAACAATCCAAATGTAGCAAAACAATAAATTATTGTTGAATATATTCCTCCTATTAACATTTTTCTTCTTGAAAGGAAGAAGAGAATGTTTTTGTTTGGGACAAATTTAATTTATTTGGTAGACAAACATTGTTGAATTAACTTAATTTGTTTTTACAGCATGTTTTAATGTTTTTATTTTAAAAAAATGTTTGGGAAAAACATGTTTTTAGTAAATGTTTTTGCGGTCGTAAACATGTTTTAATGTTCACACTTAAAAACAAACATGTTTGTAAGAACGAAAATATGTTTTCAAACAAAAGCGTTATTAAACTTATTTATCATAAATTTATGTTAACTGTTTTACATTTTGTAAAACATACTCTAATTATTTCAAAAATGTTTTTGAAAAGGTATAAAATAATTCAGAGAGTTTTTTACTTTGCTTATGAATTTTAATAGTACAAATTAATTTCTTTTATTTGTGTAAAATATTTTTAAAAAATTATCCCACACTTTGAAATTTAATAATTAATTAGAAAATTAATTCTATTTAAACATTTATTTTAAACATTAATAATTTTCCCATCAAAACTGTACGAAAATGTTTGTTTCGTTTAGTTTGTCTTGTTTTTCATGGAATTTTTTAAAGACTTTCGAGCATAAAAACGCTTGATATTTTTGGATAGTGAGTTAGTAATAATCTAAATATCTCCACCTAATCCTTATTAATATATCCCTCTTAGTTCACACAATCCCTCTTATTCCCTCCAACTCCCCATTAACTTTTCTTACTACTAAATTGGGGATATAAGGGGGAATTTGAAGGGATCAAGAAAGATATCAGGGTAATTGGAGGCAAATATTTGAATTTTATCAAATATTTAATGCTTTTTGACAATGTACAACCTCGAGAAACATCATTTCTTAATAAAAATTTATTTTCAATTTTCTTTCTCGTTTCGTTGAGAAAGAAATTTTATTTTCATGCAGCTCTGATTCTCATGTACCAAACAAATTTTCTTACAGTAAGAAAATTAAAACAAATTTTTTTTTAATTTTTTGCTAAAATAATTGTTAAATTAATTATAATATTTTTTTTATTTTATTTAAATTTTTATTTTTCAATGTTTTTTTAGTTTTATGCAAAAAGCTGTGTTGTTTTATGAAGGTTTTAATTATGCCACTATTGGCGTTGTAAAAATTACAATTGTAACTAAACAGATTAATTTAAGACGATAAAGCGCCCCCATGTATTTACAATTATATCAGTTCATCATAGAGTATTGTAAAGCATACATATAGCTATTTAATTCCTAAGGCTATGCAGTAGGCGGCGTGGTGTAGTCCGGTCTACTGAAGATGCTGGTTCGCTCCCAGCTGCCTAATAACCTTTTCCACTAGCTAAAGGAGAGAAATAGCTATAGCAAAGCTGCTTTGCTTTATTAACTAAATTTACGAGGCTAATGCTAAAATAAAGAAATCGGGTGATGGCACCATCAACAAATTCATTAAGCTAAAAAACATTAAGCTAAAGAAACTTTTAGTATTTTCTTTGTTTTCCGGTATATTTTTTAATTTTATTTTTTTAAATAATTACAAAACATTTATTTTTCAAAAATTTTATTCTAATTTCATTCTAAACTCAAAGATCTATTTAATATATTGTATAGTTCTATCCGGCATTGAAGTTTCTGGCATTGGAGCAACTTGATTAATATTTGAATTATTTTTGCATCGAAAAATTATTTGTCTGTAATTTCTTACACTCAAAATTGTTACCTTTTAAATTTATTATTTTTAATTAAAAAAATAATAAATAAACTCACAATAGGATTTAAAACAGCAACTAAAGATGCCAAACTACAATTAAAGAATATTGCAATAGATGATGAATAGAATCCAGGCAAATTAAATAAAAAATGTAGATTATTAGATAAGGTAGTGAGATAAGATAATATAGGTAGAATTGCCTATAAATAATAAAATAAAGGAATTATTTAGAGATGTCCAAGACATCTCTCGGTCACCTAAAACTTCTGTAAATTTTCGATCTTGGATGTCAAAAGAAATAATCAGAAGTCTCCGAAAAAGTAAGGGTCAATTTTCCAATTTTATCAGGTCAATTTTTCTAATCACATAAATTGATTTCATCATAGGCTTAGACTTATATTTTTATACTCATCCGAAACTTATAACTCTTTAAATTTTAAAACTTTTTAGGCGTCCAAAATAACACATTATTTACCTGTGCCCCCAAAACAATACTCATTTGTTTATTCATATTACGTAATTGAGTCATTTGTACACCTTTACAATGACGATAAACATGTATTTGAATACTTATACCACAAAAAATAATTATTATATAATTAATTATTGTTAATGCTGAAGCATAATTTGCAGTAAAAATTGATAGGTCGCTAGTCTGAAAATTAAAAAAAAATTTTTCAAGTGATTTGGATGAAATTTTATTGCGACAGGTTTTCCAAGACTTCATTTTCGGTCGATTTATATGATTGAAAAAAGATTTATTATTTTGTCATTGCTTATTTTGTGCTTCAGAAAGTGTACTTATGAAATTCAAATAAGCGAAGGGATCATTTGAATCCCCATTGAATCCCCAAATCATTTGAATCCCCATCGCACATAGAAAAATCCCAAAAAAATATTTGTCCTGTTTTGCCCTTGTACTGAATTGGGTCATGAATTTGGATTTTCGCTAAATGCATAACCTACTCTTGATCTCATTCCAACAGCATAATTTTCAATTGTGTAATTATCCAATCCTAATGTTTTTGCCAACTCAAGATTTGTTAAATGTTCAGTTTCTGGTGTTGGGTAGTTTGAAATACAAGAAAAAATATATAATATAAATATTGGAATTATCATTCCAATACTTAGTTTTAACTGGTGTTTAAATTTAACATCAAGACCACTACATAAAAGTTTTATTTAATAAATTATTTGAAGGTTTACCGAACAACAGCAAAATAACGATAAATAAATAATGTAGAGACGTTCATTGAAGTAACTCTCATCATAAAATTATTGAAAATTAAAATTACAAATTGCCAAGGATTTGGTAAGTAATGTATAGGTCCGTAATTCCAAGTTGTGCCGACACCATTATCAGAAACATAAACCTATTTTTAGACGAAAAAATTACTTTTCTCACGCCAAAACATTCCCGCGCCCAAACTTCAAATATTTACCGGTTGAGAAACAACAAACATACAAATCCCAACAATATCAACAAAACAAGTTTGTAAAAGTATTTTGCTATAAACTTGCATTTCTTTCATTGTATAACGTAAAATTAGCCAAATTAAAAACAAATTAGAAAACAATCCAAATGTAGCAAAACAATAAATTATTGTTGAATATATTTCTCTTATTAACATCTTTAGGTATTTTCTTCTTAAAACAATATATTATATACAGTGTCAAATTAAGATAATGGGATCAAATAAAATTTAAATGAAAAAAATAAGGAACAAATTCAATCAAGAATTATCGAAGTTCCCTTCCCTTTGCTTCTATACTGAGTTGAAGACATGTGGAATAATTTTGGGTAATAGTTCGCACTTCCTTGAGTGACCAGCCTTACAAATCTATAGCTTTATGAGCAGGAGCCAACTCCTGCTGAAAGATCCAATCCCTATGACAAAAGAAGCTTCGAAGGTTCATTAGACTTATAACAATTATGAGAGCCGAGACATTTTTTTCTAACATTATTTGTAATTTTTTATACCAAACACAACTTTATTTAATTCTAAGAAAATTAAAATGAAAAAAAATTTTTAGTTAATTATCCCACACTTTTTTAACTTTAAACATGTTTACATTAATTTATTTTATACTCATTTTAAACTTTTATAATTTATTAATATTCTCATGAAAAGTCCAATTTCGTTAAATACCGTATATTGTTATATAAACAATTTTTCATACCCGCTGACGTCAAACAATTCTCGATAATGGCAGGGTTATATTTGGCGCAAGGTGAGGAGTATCTTGTAACCCTACAAATATTTTTCCTCTTTATACGTTTCTATATTACAAAATATTTAAATTTCAAAAATTTTATTCAAATTATATTTTAAAACAAAATATAATAATTATTTAATATATTGTATAGTTCTATCCGGTATTGAAGTTTCTGGCATTGGAGCAACTTGATTAATATTTGAATTATTTTTGCATCGAAAAATTATTTGTCTGTAATTTCTTACACTCAAAATTGTTACCTTTTAAATTTATTTTTTTAAGTTTAAAAAAATTAATAATCATACAATAGGATTTAAAACTGTAACTAAAGATCCAAGACTAGAAGTGAAGAATATCATAATAGATGATGAATATAACCCAGGCAAATTAAATAAAAAGTTTAAATTGGCAAATAAATTGGAAATGTATGTTATTAAAGGCAGAACAGCCTAGAAATTTAAACATTACAGAGAAGGGATTCTGGGGCGGATTCTAAAAACGTGGTAGAATTACCTGTTAGTTACACGTTTTTTCTCTAAATTTCAATGTAATATTTACATTTAAACATTACCTACTTGTTCTAGTTGTATTTTTATTTGATTTAAGTTTGGGGATTCTTGTGAATCTTTTAATATCAAGATCCGATATCCTAAGGGAACTTTATCAAAGCTGGGGATATAATCTGGTCTATTTGATCTCTCTTTTTTTAGTGCCTTAAAAACAAATTATTATTTTATAATTTGAGTAATATTAGGGTGGTCCATTGGTGTTGTTGGACGTTGGAGGGAATTCGTAGAAAAACGGGGTTAAAAACGAGGCATTAGAAGCATTCGCTTCAAATTCGACTTCAGAGAGGGGTCGGGAGAGTCGCTTTAGAATGTTGAGAGGGTCGCTCTAGTGAAGACGGTCGTTAAGATAGAGGAATCGGAATTCCGACCCGCCTCTGATGTACATATAGCTTTACCTGTGCCCCTAAAACAATACTTATTTGTTTATTCATATTACGTAATTGAGTCATTTGTACACCTTTACAATGACGATAAACATGTATTTGAATACTTATTCCACAAAAAATAATTATTATATAATTAATTATTGTTAATACTGAAGCATAATTTGCAGTAAAAATTGATAGGTCGTTAGTCTAGAATTTTTTTTTAAAAATCTGAAATTATTTTAAATTAATTTACTCTTGTTCTTTGTCCAACAACATAATTTTCAATTGTATAATTATCCAATCCTAACAATTTTGCCAACTCAAGATTTGTTAAATGTTCAATTTCTGGCATTGGATAGTTTGATATAAATGAACAGACATTTAAAATTAGTAACGGAATTACCATAGAAAAAATTAATAACAATTGGTGTTTAAATTTAATATCAACTTTACTAAATAAAAAGTTTTTATTTTAAAAATTATCCTGGATTTACCGAACAACTACTAAATAGCGATAAATAAATAATGAAGTAACATTCATAGAACTAAATCTTGCCATAAAAGTGTTAATACGGTAAAGAATATACTGCCAGGGATTTGGTAAGAAATGTATAGGTCCGTAATTCCAAATTGTGCCGACACCATTATCAGAAATATAAACCTATTTTTAATAAGACAAATTACCGTAAATGCTCTAATAGAACCACACTCCCTATTTGAAGCACACTCCCTAATATAAGCACACCCCTTGTGTATTGGCAGCAAAAAAGCAAATTATCATTTTTTAGTTATATTTAGGTCATATAAAAAGGATTAAGGGAGATATACCCAAAAACCGGTACCCAAAACTTATATACAGAAATCCGATACCTCTAAAATCCGATACCCTCTAAAGAGTTTATGTGATTAAGAGAGATATTGGTGATTTTGCGCATTGAAAGGTATCAGGGGATTTTGTAGATTAAGATTGAAATTAGGAGATTTGATAGATAAAATGTGATATCATGTGATATCATTAGAAAAGTTATTACAATTTGTGAATATAATTGAAATTTAATTTTTGTTTTGTTTTATGTGAGGTTATATGTAAATGGATTTCTGGGCTCCAAAATTATATATTAATTTATGTTAGGTATATATTTTCATTAAAAAATTGAAAATAGATCGAAAAATAAAAGCACACTCTCTATTTGAAGCACACTCCCTAATATAAGCACACCCTACGAGGGGATCGAAAAATAGAAACACATGTGGTTTTATTAGAGCATTTACGGTAATTTTAATTAAAAATAAATGCCCCTCAGAAATACAAAAATTTAGCAAAGTTATAGTCAATCACGCCAAAACATTCCCGCGCCCAAATATTTATTTACCGGTTGAGAAACAACAAACATACAAATCCCAACAATATCAACAAAACAAGTTTGTAAAAGTATTTTGCTATAAACTTGCATTTCTTTCATTGTATAACGTAAAATTAGCCAAATTAAAAACAAATTAGAAAACAATCCAAATGTAGCAAAACAATAAATTATTGTTGAATATATTTCTCCTATTAACATTTTTCTTCTTAAATAAAGAAGAGAATGTTTTATGTTTGAAACAAATTTAGTTTATTTGTATGACGAACATTGTTTAATTAACTTAATTTGTTTTTACAGCATGTTTTAATGTTTTTATTGAAAAATATGTTTGGGAACATGTTTTTAGTAAATGTTTTTGGAATGTTTTATTTTTACGAAAATGTTTTAGGTTTCCAAAACATTTTATGTTGCTTAGAAAAATGTTTATTGAAAATTTGTTCGTAAGACATGGTACAAATAAAAATAATTTCAAACCACAAATTTTTAAAATTCATTTTATTTCGACAAAATCTCGTGACAAATTTATAAAATCGTATCGAAAAATTGTTAAATCAAATCCTAATAAATACCCTCAACAATCTTTCTCACGTAGATATCTTTCACCACCCGAACTTAAATTACTCTATTCCCTTAGGAAACAAGCTTTTAATGCAAATTTAAATTGTAAATTATATAAATACATTGTTGTAGACTTAAGTATTATTGAATTATCTGACCCAAAACCACTCCGCAACAGACAGCCATAGGTAATTTTAGACAATCACAAAATTAATTGTTATAGTAAAATTAATAGTATTCCCTGTATTCTTTTAAACGCTCGATCATTAATAAGAAAAATTAGTGATTTATATTTTTTAATAGAAAATCAATCACCAAAACTAATATTTATTACGGAAACATGGATAAAAGACAATTCTATTTCAGAAAATGAATTATCTATAAACAATAAATACCATATTATATTAGCAAATAGGAAAGTCAAACTTGGGGGTGGATGTGCTATACTTATTTCTACAGAAATTCCATATCAGACCATTTTTTCTGGTTCCAAATATCAATGTGAATTTTTAAGTATAAATATATTCTTACCAAAGAAAACAAATTTATGTTTAATTTACCGCCCTCCTAACTGTAAACCCGCAAATACAGAAAAAATTTTAAAGTTCATATCTAATAACCTCAGTGAAAATTTTATATTTTGTGGTGATTTTAATATACCCAAAGTGAATTGGACAAATTTACAAACAAACTGTCCCAATGGGAAAATTTTATTAAATTTTCTTTATCAAACAAATTCTTTTCAACACATTAATCAATCTACCAGGAATGAATCTAAATTAGATCTTGTCTTTTCTTCCCCTGAAAAACTTGTTCAAAATATAAATATTTTGGAACCTTTCTCTAATTCTGACCATAATATGATTTCATTTCAAATAAACTCAAAAATTCACATTAATAAAATTAGAAAAAAGATTTTAAGAAGAAATTTATCATCAAAAAATTTTAAACTATTAAATAAAGCATATGCAACTGTCAATTGGCACAATGAACTTTCATATTACTTTAATGTAGATTCAAAATATAAAGCCTTAATCAACATTATTCTATATCTATACAATTCTATTATTCCTCTCAAACCACTTAAATCTATTATTAAAGAAAATTATCCTAATAGTATTAATACATTATCTAACCGAAAACATAAACTATATAAAGAATTAAAAGAAGATCCTAAAAACAATGATTTAAAACTTAAATATAAAATTATTTCTAGACAACATAGGAAACAAATACATAACTATTATGATGAAAAAGATAGATTACTTATTTCAAAAGGAAAATCAGCAATTTATAAATTTTTTAAAAATAAAATAAATCCTATAGCCCCAATTCCAATTATTTCTGATGAAAATGAATTTATCTATAAAAACACTATTGATAAATGTAACATTTTTGGACATACATTTCAAAAATATTATACAAAAACAAATTCTATATCATTAGCTAATATAGCTCACATAAATGAAAGTAAAATAAAATTAAATGACTTAAACTTTACGGTTATAGAAATATTTGAAGCATTAAAAAATGCTCCGAATAGAAATTCTACTTCACCAGATTCTATTCCATACATACTATTAAAAAACTGTGCATTAACTCTTGCTCCAATCTTAACAGAACTTTTTAGACAAATTCTCGATGATGGAGAAATCCCAGAAATATGGCGACAATCCATAATTATTCCTATATTTAAGAAAGGTGACAAAACAATTGCAAAAAACTATAGACCTATATCACTCACATGCACTTTATGCAGAATATTCGAAAGAATACTATCTGACAAAATTATAATTTTCCTTCACGAATATTTTAATGTAAATCAATTTGGATTTCTTAAAAATCGTTCAACTATAACACAACTGCTCACAATGTTAGACGATATTTACATTAATATTGATAAAGAAAAAAAAGTCGATATTATCTACATTGACTTCGAAAAAGCCTTTGATACAGTACCTATAAATATATTAATACAAAAAATTAAATTAGCTGGTATAGATGGAAAAATACTTAAATTTCTGACAAATTTCCTAACAAAAAGAACATTTCATGTGAAGATAGATGATGAACTTTCAAATAAATATGAAACTCATTCAGGAGTCCCACAAGGCAGTGTACTTGGACCTCTTTTATTTATCTTATTTATTAATGACTTACCTAAAATTCTTCCTAATGAAGTAAATATTAAAATATATGCTGATGATGTTAAATTATATATAATTCATAATAACGATATCTGTAGGAATAAATTATCAGAAAGTCTCAATCTTATACAATCATGGTCAAAAAACAATGGAATGAAAATCTCAATTAATAAATGCTTTTGTCTTTACCTTGGTAAAGACAATAATGAATATCAATATTACCTAGATGATCAACCAATTAAAAAAGAACACAGTATACGTGACTTAGGAGTTATTATCGATAAAAATTTATCATTTTCTAATCAAATAGATAAAATAACCAAACAAGGATATTTTTTAATACATCAAATATTCCGCACTTTTAAATCACGAAATCTTAACACTTTGATTTTCATATATAAAACATATTTACGTCCATTATTAGAATATGCTACAGAAATATGGAATCCAATGAGAAAAGATCAAATAAAAACTCTTGAAAAAATCCAAAAATTATACACTAAAAAAGCATTTTATAAATGTGGTCTTGTGCAGAAACCATATGAAGATAGGCTAAAAATTTGCAAACTAAAAAAACTCGAAGAAAGAAGAATTCTTACAGACCTTTGTATGACACATAAAATTCTTAAAAATTACACTCATTTGGAACCAGAAAAATATTTCACTTTAACTAAACGGGCAAAAAGAAGGGCTTTACTTTTACAAAATAGACCCTTTTCAAAGAAATCAAAAAATAACTTTTTTTACCCGAGTAATATCATTATGGAACAAACTTCCAAAAGAAATAGTTGAAATTAATAATTTAAAAAAATTCAGGGAATATACAAAAGAAATAGATTTACTAAGGCTGTCTGGAGTGGAGTAAATAAAATTTTTTATATATTTTATTAATTTTCTATTTTTTTATGTTTTAATTTAGTTATTTTTATTATTGACATTTTTATTTTTTTTATCACATTAGTGTACAAATATGTACCTGTGATTGTCTTATAAATAAATAAATAAATAAATAAATAAGACATGTTTTAGAGAAATACCTATATTTGTTAAAGTTTTTCGTAATAGTTAGGTAACTTAGTGTACTGAGTTCAAATTATTTATTCCGAATCTCGGATCCAAATTCAACAAAAAACGTGCCAATTTTTTAATTTCTAAATTGAATTCGCCTTGTCGAATTTCAGTTTCGGCTTCGAAAGAACTTAACCGGTTTTGGGATTTCAAAATTTTTGCGATTTTTATCTCGGATCGGGACTACCGGATCCCGAAAATCTGGTTCAAAATCTGGTCCGGTTCGAACTCGTTTTTAGGTTTGTTAAACATTTTATTAATATATTTTACAAGCTATGACAAATTTTAGACTTGTCAATAATTAAAATAAAAACTTGTCGTCAAACTTTTATAAAACAGTTAACTTATACGTGTGCCAATTAATTCGAAAAATTTTTAAACAATTTATATTTAAGCTCATAATTTATTTATTTAATTATTGTTTACAATTAACTTTAAAAAAATTTTTTTCTTGACTGATTGCCAGGTGTAAAGTTTTTTAATAAAAAGATTATTTTTAAGAAAAAATTATTTTCTTAATTATTTAAAGTCTAGAAAAATGTTAAAATATGAGAAATAAATGGCACTTATCGGTTATACGCCCACAAACTGAGTCCCAGCCGGATTTGATCGGCTCTAACTTTTTTGAGCTTGCTACAATTCAAATAAAGCTTATATCATTCGAAAGCCCTCGATAAGAGGAATACTTTTTCCAGCTTAAAGGATCAACTCTGATCACTTTTTAAAAATCGAGGGCTTTCGAATGATATTAGCTTTATTTGAATTGTAGCAAGCTCAAAAAAGTTAGTCAATCAATGTCGGATGGCAGAACAGCTAATACTTTCAGTTTGTGGGCGTATAACCGATAAGTACTAAATAAATTTTTCGGTTATTCGATTTAGTTCTTAAGAAAACGAATGATTTCTGCTTCCTAGCCTACTAAAATTACATAAATTTTGGTCTACAACGCTAAAAATACAAAGAAATTTTAACGTAAAATTATTTTTAATAAAAAAAGAAAACAATAATTTTAATAAAAACAAAAAAAAACAATTTTTAAAAATAAATAGTTTTAACTATTAATTTTTTCAACAAAAATTGGCAAGCAAAAATTCACAGTTTTGATTCATTTCTTTAACAGAACAATTAATACTTTCGTTTAACCAATTTAATATTCTATCCTTCATTAAATTATTTATAGAACCACGAATTGGCTTTAAAAAAATAAAATTTAAATATTAAAAGAAGAAAATGCCCTAACCCACACTCACTTCAAAAATATATTTTAAAATCGAGGAGTATTTAGTAATGGTTTTATGTAAGAAAATGAGTCAGTGAAGTCAGTTTATTAGTTGGAACAACTTAGAAGATTGGGAATTGAACTTGGCAAAATATCGGAAATTATAATTCCTATTAAGGTTGTCGGATAGATGGAAATCTTAGGATATCGGGATCCAGATTTGATACCCTAACCGAAAGTTTCCGAATATCAGGTCTTTTTTCCGGATCCAAATATCCGTATCCAACAACCCTAATTCCTACCCCTCCTTCCAATGATAATCAGAGATGTCTTAGAAAAATCGAAAAAGAATTTAAAATATCGAAATGTCGAAAAAGCTCTCCGTATGTATAAGTGAAGAGGGGAATCTACATATATGACACCAAAACCATCCAATAAAAAATTTAAAAAAACACCTCAGGCATAATTTCCATAATTTCGTTTAATTTCAAATTATTTTCAATTTGTTGTTTATTAAAGTCAACAACAAAATTTTTAGTTAAAAATAGCCTAATTCGCTTTAAACTTCCTCCAATTGGTTGGATGGCCCGTGCACGTAAAGAATTTAAAAATGAAGAATTATTTATTGTTTTTTCACTTCTTTTTAAGGAATCTGAACTGCTACTGGTAATTAATGGATTGTCAATGTTTTGAAGGTGCTCTGCTAAAAAATATGAAAAATTAAAATTGATGTTTGATAACTTAAATTTTTCAAAAAAAAAAGCTGGTCGGATCCAATAGAATTACTCGACCCGTTTTAGTTTTTTAGAGTTTAAAAAGAATTTAAATAAGAGTAATTTTGTCATTAGATGAAAATTTTTCAGTTTTATATCAGGGTTACCTATTTAATTACCAGTTTTATTTCAATAAAAAAGGTAGTAAATTGTCTTTTACTAAAACGGTAAAAATTGAGACCCTTCTCTGATCTCGAGTTATAATTTTACAATGCAGTTTTAGTTTTGGAGTGGTTCTGACAAAATTCAGGATTGTGTAGCCGTGACTAGGTTTGTTGGTTTCAAACCGAACCGAAAAACCGAGGAATTTTGGTTCGGTTAACCGAAGAATTTAGTGAAACCGACAACCTAGCCGTGACAGATCGAATTTCCAAAACGTGTTAGAATAATTCGGATTTTTAGAAACAAATCCTAATTTCAAATATAAACATCTAATTCAACACCAGACAAAATTAAATAAAAAAAACTCCTCACAATCACAAGTATTTTCCAACAATTTACAGGCAACTAAACTCAACCCCAATATTTCAATAACAATAGCCAAATTTTGTATAATTTCAATTTTATTCTTCCAATTATTATTTTCCACTCCTTTTTCTTCTTCATTTTTCCAAAATTTTTCCAAAAAATTTAAACAATTTGTAAAATTAATTTCTTCTCCTTTTTCTTCATTTAAATTTAATTTTAAAATTAAATTTTTTTCTTCTCTTTTATTAAATTGTTTTTGTATATCCAAAGAAATATTTAATAATAATTGAGGTAAATTAAATAATTTAGTTGTTTTAATTAATTTATTTAATAATTTTGTGTTTATATAATTCTCAAATATTTCTTCATTCTAAAAAAAAATAAAAATTTAAAGGAAAAATAAGTTAGAATTTAATAAAGAATCGGTAAAATATTTTTAAAATCGAAAAAAAATTTTTTTTAGAAAAATACTGGAATTTGTGTATATTTTTCGTATTTGACAATGAAAAAAATATATATCTGAGGCAATAGCACTTTTTTTTTTAAAATTTTAAGTATAAGCATTTCAACAGAAATTCTAAAAATTTTGATAAAAAATCCAAAAAAATTTTTTGTCCGCAAAAATTTTGCAAATAAAAATTAGGCATTAGCGAACAAAAAAAGATTTCAAAATAATAATAAATTATATAAAAATAAATTATAAAAAAATAACCTCAAAATCTTTTTCTTTATTATGCAAAACAGAATTACATTCAACCATTGCCAATTCTAATTTTGCAATTTTATCTTCCAACAAAATATTTCCAATATTTCCAATCGCCGTTATAATTGCATTTTTTAAATAAAAATAATTTTTCTGAAAAATGAAGAGAAAAATACAAAAAATTAAAAAACAGTCAAACCTCTCCCTTTGGAAATAATCAAATAATGAGAGGGTAAAAATAACATAAATTGAGAAGGTATTGTTTAGACATACCCTCTATCACTACCTAGTAGCTAACCAAAATTTAAAAACGTTTCTTAAATTAAAGCTTATCTCGTATTGGAGGTAGAATATTTACAAGAGAGAGAGGTTTGATTAAAATTTAATTAAAAATAAAAAAAAACCATTTGAGTAAATGAATATTCAGCCAATTGTTTAATTAATTTATCAGATATTATTGTTGGAAATACCTTTAAAAAATAATTTTTTTGGTTAAATAAATATAAAAAATACACTAAAATCTCTGTTGTCTGACAATTTGTCCCAATCTAAAAATTTTTTAAATTTATTTTTTAAAAGTTGTTAATCCAATATTTTTAAAATGTCACTATTTTATGTAAAAAAAATAAGATTGGTTAACCCAGACTTGGAAAAGTCCAAAAAATATGTCTGCGGATATCCGTTGTATCCGCCGTAAATATTCGGATACCAAAACAATGTCCATTACAAAGTCTGAATTAACCCATGGATTATATTAACAACTTAAAAGTTTTGGCATTTTTCCAAAAAGTTGGCATTTAAAAATATTTTTTGAAAATTTCAAACAAAAATTTAAAAAAAATTTCCAAACCTATAGGATGACTCTTTTCATCGCCAATTAAAATCGAAGCCAATTTTTCCCCTCCTCCACTTTTTTCTTCCAAAGGAGTAAAACAAACAGTCAAAATTCGATTTAAAATATCGGCTCCAATAGAAAAAATAGAATTATTTGCTTTTTCAGAAAATTCAATTAAATTTTGAATTTGGGCAAAAGAATTGTTTTTGTAAGCATTTACAAGGCATTCATTTGTCTTTTTTTAAATAATTAATCAATTTTTATTAATTTTAAAGAAAAACCTCTCTTTCATTCATATCAAACATAACGCCTAAAAAATTAAAAAAAATATTTTTGGTTGAAAATCTGCAAGTATTCCTCCGATTGAGGATGCGGCGCTAGAAAGTTTATGCGTCCAATCAACAAAAAATTGGATTTTTCTTGCTATTGTATAGTTGGGATATCCAAATTTCAATACCAAGAGAAATCCAATTTTTTGTTGATTGGACGCAAAAAAATTCACTGGACGCACAAACTAGGCGAGCACCGCAAATTTTTAAAAATAAATTGAGGATAGTAATTTTTTCCGCTGTTTTAACGAAGACTCCAGTAAATCTGTAAACTTTGTCCAAAAGTGATGTCAGTTAACCAAAAAAAGTCTCCTTTTAGGAACTTGTTGATAAAATTTGCGGACTTTACAGAAAACTACCTTTCAGTTTTAATTATACAGAGCCTTAAGAACTAAACATAAACTCCCAAAATCAGAAAAAAATATAAAAAAAAACCAACCCAAATCTGTATAGTAAATATTAGCCTCCTTAAATCGTCCAAAATGATAAGGTACAAAAAACCGAAGAAATGCCAAACTGTCTTTTTGAATAAATTTTAATTGAATTTGTTTCTCCATTTCTTTTATTCTTTCAACACAACCAAAAATACCTTATTAAAAAATAAATTTAAAAAAAATTTTTAATTAAAAAACCATAAAGTCTACAAAGCATAATTTGTATTGAAGCTGTACAGTCCGAATGAAAATCCTTTGCCCACTTAAAAATTGTTTTTATTTAAAAAATAAAAAGAAAATTTAAAAACCTCTAGAAATGCAATAATTGGCAACAAAGTCTCTAATTGATGGCCTGAAATGTAACGAGAAAATTTAAACTTAAAAAATTTTTTGAGAGAAATAGACAAAAAACAAATTTAATTTAAAGAACTTGATATAAAGTGATTGGAACCAAACCCTCACACTTTCAAAGAAAAAGATGCTGTATATATAAACTACTAGACCAATTAAACCAACAAATATCAGAAAATCATCTTTAATAGGGTTGCCAAAATGGGTCGGGCCTAAGACACTTGGCCCGAAAAAGACTCGTGCGGCCCAACTCGATAAAATTGAGGCCCGAAAAAAATAACTCGACCGTCGGCCCGATTCGAAAATGGCAACCCTAATCTTTAATTTTAACCGAACAATTTATTTCCTTTACAAAATTACGAGAAAAATTGAAAAAATTCTTAAAACTCTCAAAAAAAAATTTTTTTTAATTAAATAAACCCCAAATAATATTTCCAAAAAAAACCTTCTCTTCTATAAATTTCCCACATATATTGAACCACAAGTTGAGATAAACAAGTAATTTGAATTCCATCCAATTTTGGGATCAAATGTCCATCCTTAACAGATTTTTCTTCTTTCAGGCAATTTTCTTCTTGTTTTTTAACTTCACAAAGACATTTAAATAATAAATTTAATTGTTCTTTTAATTGAATTTCTGTTAAAGTTTTTGGAGGGAAAAAATTAAAATTTAGTTGAAATTGAAGAATTTGAGGCCATCCGTTGTTTGAAGGTTTTGATTGGGAAAGAATTATTTTCTAAAAATTTAGAAAAAAGATTATAAGTATTTAGAATTTTGAGTTTAGAAATTCAAAAAATTATAACTTTTGAATTTAAAAAAAACTTTCGGAAAAGAATTTATTTTCCCGTAACCGCAATCAGTCAGTTATTTTGTCATAACTTTATCTAATTTTGTATATAATGCGACTCTTGTCAGCTCGACAGGTAAGGATTAGTCAGAAAAAGATAATCTACATTATTCGCTTTTAATACAAAAGGTCAAGAAATTTTTTGGGAAGCTTAAAAGTACAACAAACCACAACTCATCTCCCCTCAATTTAACAAAAACTTTTTAAAAAAATTTACAAACCTTTTTTTCCTTGCCTTTCTCCTTCATATCCAATTTATTAAAACAAGTCTCCATCAAATTTTGCAATTCATCATGATATTTAGCCTCCACTCGTTGCAAAACTTGCTGTTCAAATTCTTTAGGTTTATCATCTTTTGTTTCCTTTTCACTCATATTTTTTAATTAAATAATAAAAACTAAAAAAATAAAATTATAAAAATTTTTGGGAATTTTTAGAAAAATGTTTAATTTGGGTCAAATTTCAAAATATCAACTTTCAAAATGGAAAAATTGTAAAAAATCAGGATTTTTGAAATATAGACATGCCGTTCGGTGTCGGGTTAACTCAAGGAACAGACAAATCAAGGAACGAATCCTTGACTTGTCTGTTTCTTGAGTTGCCCCTCACTCTGTCGTTCTAGTAATTTTTCATAATTAAAGCGGATTTTTTGCTTAAATAATTGGTAAACTTCCGCAATTTTTTTGCAGACAAACTTTTCGTTTAAGCAACAAGCCAACTTTTTTATACTAAAATAAATATATAAAATAATATTTTTAAAATAATATCTAAATTAAAAAAATTTTTTTGTTTATCATTTTATAATATCTTTAAAATAATTTTAAATATTGAAGAGGGAATATATTATTTAGAAAAAAAAGATATAGTACATAATATATCACTTGTGAGAATTTTAAAAAATTATAAAAATGGGGTCATAATTATTTTTAAATAAAAAAGTGGCAACTAAAAACAGACCTAGATTTTACATACACACATTTAAGAGTAGAAAGTAATTGTATGTAATGTAAATCACTAGTGATGTTCGGAAGTTAAGAAAGAGAGTCAAGACCAAGGGCTCAAAAACCTGGGAAATTTCGCAACTCAAGAACCGAGTCACGAACATCACTATAAACTATAAACCACCTCACCCCCTCCCAACTTTTAATTCGAAGTTATAGTTAGGGAACTGGAAAAAAAGAATTCGCCCAAACTCCCGTAGTGGTCAACCAAATTTTAAAAAATTGTACCTGAAATTGAAGGTGTAAGTAAATTCTAGGTCCGACTAAATAGTGGAGTAGTAGTAAAATTACTTGCCTAGCTCTCTCGACAGTTAAACCGTCGGGAGATTCACCTCTTTCGAGGAGTTGGGAAAGCAAGAAATTTTACCTTACATAAAAAATAATGTTGCACTTTGTAGGGGGAATGCCCTTCTTTTTTTGGAAAAACTTGGAAAGTATTTTTCCTATTCTCTAAACAAGTTATCTATTTTCATAAAAATAAAGTCTTAATTTTAAAAAATAATTTTTAGAAAAATATCAAAAATTATCAACATAAGTGACATAATTTGCCGGGATAAGTCCTGTCTTGCCTTTGAAAAAAAATTAAAATTTTTAAATAATCAAAATCAACAACCATTCAAAGTGCCAACTAGCCAACCTTCCTCTTTACTTTCATAGACATTAGTGATTATTTGACCTTAAAAATTTTTTAAAGAAATTTTAGAGAAGTTAAAGGATAAGGTTAAAAATTTAGTTAAACTCTCATTTTTAATTACACTTGTTAAGGCTGGAATCTCATTTAAAATGAGGTTAAACTGTAATAAGCGAAGGAAGTTAAGAGCATTTTAAAAATATCGTTGACTCTCGTTATCTAACCAGAGTATGTCCAAAACGGTTATAGTCCACCCTATGTTCGGAATCGAACCAAAAACCTGTTCGGTTCTAGATATTCGAAGATTTTTCAAGAACAGACCATCCTAGTCCCATACCGGGGTGATAACCAGAGTCAACTGTATTTAATTATTATTACCCGACTCAAAGCTGAGCTCAGTTTCATGTCCAGCCTCGCAAGGGTAAATTGTACGAACTCTCCTTTAAAATTAAAAATTTTCTTTTAATTTTTCCTTTCTCAATACCGTGGTGGATGTAAAGGACCATCAGGGTTAATAAAATTAGTATAAGCTGGGGGTATCCGCATAGATAAAATTGTTGTTTGGGGCAAAGTTTCTGATCGATTTGAAAGAATTATTGGGGTTGCTGAAGTAGTTGTAGATTGTTGGGAAGAGGAAGAACTTGGCCGTTGTTGTTGTTGGGTAGTTAAAGGGGTTTTGGATGGGGAGGTGCTTAATGTTGCGTAAATACTTGAAAAAATATTTTGGAAAATTTTTTTTTAATTTTAATACTTTTCTGTAGGCAAAGGCTGGCTGTACATTGGCGCATAGCTTCCAAAGGTTTTGCCTGAATTAAATAATTTAAACTTGCAAATTACTCAACTAAAATTAAATTCCTTCCCCAGTGGAGTAATGATTGGAGAGGGAAAATGAATGGGGAGAGGGTTGGGGTCGTTTTGGCGCCGGGCCGTTATGGCGCGAGAACAAAAAAGTGGCACTTAGGCGAGATCTAAATTTATAAAATTTTTCTCAAATTTCTTTAACATTCTTGACTACCACCTCCAGAAATTTCAGAATTTTTTATCCAATATTTCCGAAGTTATAGTCGATAAACCAGAAAAATTAGGCATTTTTCAGAAAATCGACATTTTTGGCCATAATTTCTAAAATTCTTGCTCAAAAATTCTGAAATTTTTGAAGAACATAGATAAAGGTACGAAAGTTTTTATTGCAAAATTTCATCATTTTTGATAAAAAGCTCGCTATCTTATAAGCTCGCGCCAAAACGGCCCCGCGCCAAAACGACCCAGTCCCATGGGGAGAGAGATACATTATTTAAAATTAATTTTTAAGCATTCTCACCTCTCGGAGCTATACCCGCCAACTGTTTATTAGCACCAGAAGAGGAAGGAGGCGGTGTACTGCTAGAACTTGGTGAATCTCCAAGAACACCACTTCCTGCTAAACACAATTCACTTCGTGATTCGAATTGTTTTGAAATAATACTAGGTTTTTGTTTTAAAGTAGTATTCCCCCCACCACCGCCATTAAAAGGTCTTCTTTGTGGAGATGTGGGAGGGGGAAATTGCTGATGATTAGGGTTGTTAGATGAAAGTGTAGTACCATCAGTTGAGTTAAAAGGAGTAATTGTGGGTTTTAAAGGCCTGCAAAATATGATTTATTAAGCGGGGTTAGCCACGCTGGGACATATGCCATTAAGAGATAAGCTCAAAGATCATGATTCCTAGATTATTAATTTAGCGGGTTCCTGGGCCCAAAAAACGTAATGGTTTTGAAGTTTCAATTATAGAACAGAGTTATAGAACAAATAAGCAATAGAAACGCCCTTCCGATGTTTAGGAATTATAAATCGGGTCGGTAGGATCCCTATTATCCCCACCAGTCTTAAAATGACTCTCTCTCACTTTTTACCTATTTTGTTGAGTCACAGGTAAAAGATCATCATAACCACCACCACTACTTTTACTACTTGATAAACTTTTATCATCCCCCAAAATACTTCCTCCTCCTCCTTCATTATTAATTGTTGTTAATAATTGTCCACTTTTAGCAGGTTTGGGAGGAAAAGGTTGTTCAATTTGTTGTGGGGGTTGTTTACCAAAAATATGTTCACAATTAGCTATTAAAGCTTCAACAACAACATTACAAAATTTAATATCCATTACTGCAGCTAAAGTTTCTTCTCTAGGTCTTAAAAGTGTTGGACCAAAGCAAACTGCCAAATTACTTATTGACATTAAATTTTCTGAAGAATGGTTGGATACACGGCGCAAATGTTTAATTACCTTAAAAAAATAATTTTTTAAGTAACTTAAATTTTTGGAAAGATTTGTGTAACTTTTTATTTTTTAAAAAGTTGAAGAATTCTTCTAATATTAAAGAATTCTTCTAAAAATTAAATCTGAAAATTTGGAAGAATACAAAAATAAAAAAAAAACTAGGTGACCGAAAATGGGAAAAATCGAGTTGGATATCGCATATTTATCTCGAAAAAATCAAAAAATCAGGCCCAAGAGAGATAGTTAAAAAAGGCCCGAAGGGAGCAAACATTATAAGATGTATAAGAAATTAATTCACACGTTGGCTCGATTCGAATGGAGTCGATGGATCATGGGAACCCCCGAATGTCCTGATCCGATAACCAAACCGAGAATTTGCGGACCCGAACTTCTTTCAGAACCGGATAGCCAGATTCTTATCCTAGTCCCTAGAATAAAAATAATGATTAAAATTTTTTTATAAATATCTCAAAATAAATCACCATTTCCAACATATTCTTTTGTGAAGAAGGTAATTTATATACCCAATAGTGAATATGTTGAACTCGTTGATTTCTTTAAAAATTATTATTTTCAAAATTTATTCCCGATTAAATTACCCGTCGTGTAATTTAGCGGCATTAATAAAATGTTGATGTAATTCATAAGTCATTAAAGGTTCTGGTAAATTTCTTAAAAAAGTTTTAATTGCAGAAGAAACAGTTTTTAATTCCAAATCAGAATCTGTGAGTAAATTTAATTTGTCTGAAGCAGAACGTTTGTTATGGTGATGAGGGTCTAGAGCATGTTGCATTAATTTTTGAACTTTTGAATTTACTCCACAATTTCTTTAAAATTAATTTTAAAAAATTAAAATTTTTTATATAATTTTAGATTTTATTTAAAGTTTTTTGTTGGTTTTCAGACAAATAATAACACCAATTTTTTGAAAATTAAATTCTGCTTCTTATTTTTTGGAAGAATAGAATTCTGGTCGTATTTTCCGGAAGGTTAAAAAGTTTTATAGAATTCTGATTTTTATTCTTCAGTAAGGGATCCTTATTATTTTTCCGGAAATATAATATTCTGATTGTATTTTTTCACTCTTGTTCCTTTGTAAATATTTAAAAATTCTGATTTTTCTTTCCCCATAAAATTATTTTTTTTTAAATCAAAAAATTAATTTTCTCAAAATTCATTGGATAACAATTTTTAAATATACATATTATCACAAAAATTACCTATAAATTCCTTGTTCAGTAATTCCTGTTAAAAAATTTTTAAAATTAAACAAAAAATTATAAAAACACCTTTCTCTTCTATAACATTTATACAACGTTCAATAAATTCGAAACCGTGTTCATCAAGCATTGCTGAAAAAAAAAAAGAAAATTGTTAAGAGAGAATTTTTTGTTAAAAAATTTTCTTAAAAAGATTTGTTTCTGGGAAATAAAAGTAAAAATCAGAATTTTACGGTTCTGGAAAGGAAAATCAAAATGTTGTAAAACTTTCAGGAAAAATATAAATCTCTATGTACCTCCGAGAATCTATATTTCCGGAAAATTTTAAATTAGAATTTTATTATCAGAAAAGCTATGGACTTTCTTCTTGTCCACAAAAAATATAAAAATTAATATTAACTCAAAGAAGCAGGAGAAGCGTTTGTTGCACTTCCATAAACAGTTTCCTGGCCATCCATAGTTTCAAGCCTTTAAATTAAAAAAATTAAATAATTATTTTATTTATTCCCTACCATTGCTGGCAGTCAATTTCACTTAAAGCTTGAAATGTCAGCACTTCTGTTCGACTCTCTGGGACAACGTCAAAACAAAATCTTAAAAAGAAATTTCGTTTTATTTTTTAATTTTTTCCACCTTTTATCTATAGAATCAGGTGCACGACGGGTGCATTGCAATTTTTTAAAAGAAACTTAAAAAGTAATTTAAGAATTTTTTAAAATAATTACCAGTATGGTCAATCCAACCGCCTTTGACATCCTTAAAATAAAAAAAAATAAAAATTTAAAAATAAAGTTAGCGTGTTTAAATTAATTTTAAAAATATTTAAAATTTTTCTGCATAGAAAACCGGAGGGAAAAAGTGGCAAAGTTAATGAAATTATTTAAATGCCTAGAAAGAAAGATAAAATATCGTTTAAATCAAATAAAAATGGAACTTATTTACTTTAACTACCCACCCCTAAATTTTAGTGGTGGCTTTTTCAATTAGATTTGGAAAATATATATGTCAATCGAAAGAGCTCGACGAGCTGAGTCGAATGGTAACAAAATCAGCTTATTTTGATGATTTTGAACAAAATTACGAGAAACTAAATTTTCGCTGAAATGACTGCTTTTGTGCGGCTAAACTCATGTACCTTAATATAGGTACATGAGTTTTGACTGCAAAGCAAAAAAACCCAGGCTTTATTTAGATCAGCGAGAATATTGACAACATAAATAAGGGTGCCGGAAAATTGGGCTCTGGAAAATTGGGCTCCAAGATTTTTCGGAAAATTGGGCTCCAACTTTCCGGAAAATTGAGCTCCAACTTTTCGGAAAATTGAGCTCCAGCGGAATTTTGGGCTTTAGATCAGAAAAACGAAAAATTGGGTTTCTGGGCCCAGAAACCTCATTTTTTTAAATTTTTTGCTCAAATTTTTCAGATATTCTTCGAAATATTTAAATTTTCCGGTTGATATGATTTTTTGTTCCGGTAAACATTAATACCCACAAAAGACAGATGATAAATTTCTTTGTAAATATTTTTTTAAATATTTTAAAAATTTAATGCACCAAAATTTGTTTGAAAAATAAATTTAAAAATAAAAAAGAGAAAAAAAACAAGTCAATGACTCAGTCAAATTTTAAAGAAAATAAAGTCGGCAGCAAAGCATCAGCTGGAAGATAGACAGACAAATAAAGAGAATGAGCGCCATTTTCAGCCTTATAAAAATAGGTAGTCAAGTAAAGTGTATACAAGGATATAGGAAAGTGGCGCGAATATAAACATCATTTAGTGAGAGAGAAAAAAATTTTTGGGAAAGGATAAATAAAATTTATATAAGAATTTTTAGGTTGTGCTAGAAACAAAAAAGACATTGTTAGTATTTTGGCAGACAAAAATCCAAGGATTGAATTAAAAGAAAATTGGAGGGATATGTAGTAAATGACGGAAAGAATGAGTAAAACAGAACAATGAAAACAGCAAAAATCGTTTTTAAAGAACTCGGTAAATCCAAACACCAGGACCTATGCTGTCTGCAATCGAATTTTTGCGCTAGTCTGCAATAAGGTTGGCGGTTCCGGGTATCCGGAACCGAAAAAACCTCGGATATCCGGAAATTTTCGGTTCGGATACCGGTTCCGGTTCCGGATATCCGAAAACTTCGGTTCGGATACCGGTTCCGGTTCCGGATATCCGAAAGTTTCGGTTCGGATATCGGTTCCGGTTCCGGATATCCGAAATTTTCGGTTCGGTTCCTAGAACTAGGGAAAAGGGAAGAAATCTCGCCCAACGGCCTTTCAAACTTGTCAAAATTTTCGCCTGCGGCGCCGAAAAGTGAAGAATCCTGGCTTAGGGATCTTCAAAAATTCTCAAAATTTTTGCCAGCGGCGCAGAAAGAGGAAGAAATCTGGAGCCTTGACTTACCATAATTCTTTAAATTTTCGCCTCCGGCGCAAAAGGGAAAGAGTTGTAAGCACTTGTAAAAACTCACATACGATGCTTCTTTACAATTTTAAGGAAATATTGAAGTATTTCGATCTCATATAGAGGGATCAAGGATGATGGGATTTGAGGGGATATATCAATAATAATAATATCAAGGGTGATATATCAATAAATCACAATATCAATAAATCCCCGAGAGATATAGGTAGATCAATAAATCACTATATATCTTTCGTCATCACCAACCTCCAGCTCTTAATCCACCAATATGTTCGATCCCAAAATCACTCATTCCTCACATAAATAACACTGTTAATCGTAAATTCCCTCAATACCTCTGTTAATTCCCCAGATCCATTCATATTGATCTTAATCCCTTTATATCATCCATTGGGACCCAACTTTACAGCGCCGCAGGCGAAAATTTTGAAAATAAAAATTTCGGTTTCGGTTCCGGATACCCGAAATTTTCGGTTCGGATATCGGTTCCGGTTCCGGATATCCGAAAACTTCGGTTCGGATACCGGTTCCGGTTCCGGATATCCGAAAGTTTCGGTTCGGATATCGGTTCCGGTTCCGGATATCCGGAGATTTCCCAGGAACCGCCATCCTTAGTCTGCAATTCAATTTTAAAATCCGTCTTGGGATTGACTGACCAGAAATGATTTTTAAAAACAGATTTGCAGTTAAAGTATATTCAAAATTTTAAGTGATAAAAAAAGGATGGCTAGAAGATAAAAAACGAAGTAACGAAGTCAATAGAAAGTAATTAAAAATTATTTCAAATTAAACCAAAAAAATTTAAAAAATAAAAAATAAAAAGACGGCACGAAGAAAAAGATGAGGAGTCCTTTCAAGAATCCAATATAGAAAAGGAAAAAAAAAACAAAAAGGATGTTTCTGGGCACATAATGAGGGAATAAAAAAGACTTTTTGTGACTCACGTCATAAGGCACGATAAATCAAAAAATTGTTGCTTATTTATTTGAAGAGTATTCTTAAATGGAAATGACAATTGATTTTAAAAATAAAATTTTTAAAAGTAAAATAATTGTTGAAGAACATAAAAGTTAAAGAAATTTTTTAAATAAAAATTAAAGGAAAAAATTTGAAAAGTAAATAAATGAAAAGCTGTGAAATATCTGACACAGTCGGACCTAGAATTGTACGTAAAAATGAGGATGTATTTGAGACGTCTTTTATTTAAATCATTTTTTGGAGATCGGATTGAGATGTTTAAAAACACAGTTATCAAAAATGGAGAACTGAAATCTCTGATTTTTTTACTTTTTATCACTCAAGTCTGATCCATTGAAAATAAAATTTATTTAAAAATAAATTTTTTTAATATTCATAATTTAAAGAAATTTTTTTAACTGAGAATTATTTTAGAATTTTTAAAAATTAAAAATAAAGTATTTTAATACATATGTAAATTATAGAATGGCCTTGCAAAATAAAATAAGAATAAATATAGGCAGGTAAATGTGTGTATAGGTAATGGTCAATTGTTAGTGTGACACACATTTAAATGTTGAAAATATTATTAAAATTGTTTTGTGTGTATTTGTTGTTATTCATTCATTAATAATGTGGAAATAACCAGGAGCGCGTAAAGGTTGAAAAAAGGTAAAAATAAAAAGAAAATAAGCAAAATAATAAATAAATAAATAATGAATAAAAATTTAAAAAAAAATATTGAAAAATAGAAATTGAAAAAATGAAATTTAGATTTTGAAATTTTAAGGGAAGTGGAAGCATAAACCCATATAAATTCTAATATTAAATTATAAAAAACAAAGAGAGATAAATTAAAATTTGTAATGATTGAACTTGTCCCCAATTTATGAAAAAAAGCCCAACAAATAAAATAATTAAGAACCACCCACCGTTTTGACAACATTAGTCGTTGGAATAAAAGTAAATATTTTTGTTTCCCTCGAATAAACACAATAATATTTTGTCCAATTGCTACGAGAAAGGACATCTCTACTTATAGTTTCTATTAAAAGAAATTAATTAATTTTCACAATTTTCAAAACAAACTTGGCAATAAACGTATAGGATCATGCATATATAAATATCCTTGTTTAATAGAACTTATAGCACCTCCACCCAAAGCACCGGGAGATAAGGGTTCACCATCATCACCAATATTTGAATTTCCACTTTTATCAGTTTCGGATTGAAAAACCTTTTTTAATAAAAAAATAAAATTTCAAAAATTATATTTGGAGAGAGGATACATTTGTAAATAAACAAAATAGGATTTCTGTTGGAGTTAGTCAGCAAATAAAGAAGATAATTTTACGAGAAGAAAATAAAACAAAACTTCTCATTATTCTTTCCGGAATTATAAATTCATTTCTTGGGTTACCGTTTTCGGTGAGGGGGGGGGGTTCTTTTCTTGCTGTCATCACTATTCATATACTTAGAAATAAAAATATCCAAACTAGAAATATATATGCTAAGATACAACCATCCGGGAATGTGTAGATAAAAGCCGAAAATATGTAAAATATTACAGAAATTAAAATTTTTTCAAAGGTAAATGTGGTTCACGAAAATTAAGTTTCACATGATTAAATTAAGCCTTTCGGAAACAAAAAATAGGCTATAAAAATAACATATTTCCGGAAAAGTTGAATATATTAATAGCATATATTTTCCGAAAACACCTCCCCAATAATAAAGAATTCTGGAAAGATATTAATTTTCAAACTTTCCGGAATATTGTAAATTTAAAAAAAAATTACCGAATGTCTCATAAAAGTAACCAACATTTTCTTTTTTAATTCATTAGCCTCAATTTGTTGTACTTCAAAGTTTTCTTTTGCTTTTAATATTTTGTCATTAATTTCGCTGTAAGTATATTGAAAATCTTTTTGTATTGCATTTGCCATGTGATCTGAAAAAAATATTTTTTTCCATTTAAAAATAGTAAAGATTTTTAATTATTGTCAGCAAATTGTCTTTTTGTCGCTAGAAGTATTTTAGAAATTCCGTTCGGTTATTAAATTTACAAATAGGGAAGGAAGGCGGAACATAAAAATTTTAAAAAATTAGAAAAATTCAGGCGTTTCAGTTATCACTTAAAAGTCAACAAGTTTAATCCGCAACTTATAATTTGTCATTTTAATGAAATTTGCTTATTGCTAGATTATGGTAAAATGTATAAAAAAAGTAGCTTTTTGATTTTTGAAACGGGAAAGAATATTAAATTCTAATAGAAAAAAGTTCGGATTGACTTTATAACCGAACGGAAAATAAAAAAAAACTAAAAATCATTAAAATTAAATAAATTTAAAAAAAAATTTTAAAAAATACAAAATAAGAGCCATTGATAAAGAAAAGAGCTAATAGTCTGCACAAATTCAATTCTAACATTTTCTTGCACATTTTGAATTTCAGTTACCTTAAAAAATAAATTTAAAAAAATACAAAAATAAGAAATTACATAATTTAACGATGCTTGACAAAAACTTTTTTGTTGCACAGCTAATTGGGCATCTATGGAGGTAAAATCAGATTTTCTTGACTAAATTAAAAAAAAATAAAAAACAATAATTTTTAGATTAAAAATACCGTTGTAGTAACTTTAAGGTTTAAATTTCTTTCCAATGCTTGATAAAATTTTCCTGATTCTTTGCTAAAAATGAATTAAATTTTTTTAATAATCCAGCATTTTAATAGTTAGAAAACTTAAAAAAATTTTGTACGCAAATATTTTCGGAAAAAATGAACTTATCTAGATTTACTTAAGATCTCCTAAATTAGTCAAAAACAAAAATTAATAATTTTATTTTCGACGATTTAATTGAATTTTTTCAATTTCAATAAAAAATTTAAATTATAACCTGTATCTTTGACGTCCATCTCTCGCACGATTAATTTTTTCAACCTTAAAAATTGATTTATTAAATTAATCAAAATTTAAAAAAAAACCATTGCCAAAAGAGGGGACAAATAAAGCTCTCCAGTCTCTTGAATTGTTTTGGAACGATGTTCTTCTATCATTCTAAAAAATTATTTTAATATACTGAATAGTTTTAGAATTGAAAAAATTTTGAAGGAAGAAATTTTGTAGGCAGAAAAAACCCAAAACTCCTACAAAACGTATTTTTGAGAACTTAACCCTCACCTTTTATTAAATTAAATTCAGTCAATTAGAAAAATAAAAACAAATAATAATGTCAGTAGGTATTCTTTCATATATTACACTTTCTTTAAGTTTCTGATTTTATCCTTTCTCGATTGTCAATCACAAAGAGATTATTTTCTCTTGCAACCAAAAAAGACTAATTTTAAGACTAAAATAGGAGGGAGGGGTGATATATGAAGAAAATCACGTTAGTGAATATATAGGACCACCCATTCCCTTAAAGAATAGAATAAAAGAAAACAAACATAATAACATTAGCCAGTTGTTTAGTATAATTAGCCATTGCCTAAATTAATATAAAAAATTAAGGTTAAAAAAATTAAAAAAAAACCATATCATCTTCAGACATCGTCCCAATCATTCCCAATTTGAAGTCACTTAAAGTTTCTGCCAAATGCTTTTGGGCTAAGCTGAGTTCTAAATAAAAAGTATTATTATATAGGGATGTTTCAGTAATAAATGTGGAACTATCCGGACCCTGGCTATAAATTAAAATCCAAAAAAAAATAAAGCAAAAACGATAAGGTTTTAATTTTCGAAGCGTAAAACTTTCGACTCGGCATTGTATGCAACGTGTTTAGTTCTACAAATTTTGAGTTAGCGTCTAATTTTTTGACCTAATTAATAATTTTGTTATAAATACATTTTGGGACTTTTAAAAAATTGGAAGACAAAAATGAGTCATTCCGTGTTACCCCACTTCTAAAGCTATACTTCTCCCAAAAAATAAGAAGAAAACAAACTTGTCGAATAAGAAAGAATTTTTCTACATTGTTGCTCTACATCTTTAATCTTTTTTGAAGTTTGTTCAAGTGCTAAAAAAAATTAAATTAAAAATAAATTTAAAGAAAAACCAATTTCGTGTTTATGCAAATTTTGGCGGAAAAAGGGAGAATCCGTCAGGCATTCAGAAAATTCTAAAGGCTTTAACTGCATCAACAGAATTTATTTTTTTCTAAAAAAAATTAAAAAATAATTTTAAAGAAAATAGAAGAATGACATGTTTTTCCAATAAAATCCAAAAAAAGTCGAAAACGTTTCAAATCCAACAAATTAAAGTAAAATATAGAAAGAGAAATGTTAGACACAAAAGAGAGAGAATTAAGACAATAGAAAGAATAACGCACGCAAAAGACTGCTGATAACAAATGGCCAAGGGGACAAAATGCCACTGAGGGCAAAATTAGACATTTTGTCTACAAATGACAAAAATTTATTCTAGTGACGAAATGTCCATTGGCAAATCGTTTTATTTGAATTGACAGTCATTTTCCGGAACAGAGTAGAAAGACAATGGAAGAAGACTTGTGTGCGTGCTAATCTGACACATCTTTTTTTCAGGAACAAAAATCAAACTACCAGAAGAAGAGTACGTGAAAGAAGAGCTGCAAATATTTCCGGTTGTCTTTTTTGGGAGTAAGAGTAATGCAAAAGAAGAAATTGGGGAAAATTATTTTCCCTGAACAAAAACATATTTGTACAATTCGCCCACACAATTCATCCCAATTCTTATTTATTAAAGTATATGTTGAGCAAAATACAAACGGTAGCTCACTAGTAAAGTGCAGGATAGTTGGAAATCTTCGGATATCCGGATCCGCCAACTTTATCGCTAGATGCGTCTCGTCGAGCTAGGTCGAATAATCTTAGTTACAGAAAAATCGGATAGGTGTGGATTAAGTTATGATTGACTGAAGTTCTTTTTGATCGAAATAGCCCCTAGGTTGACTTTAAAAACTCAATTATAGATTTGATTTAGTGTTTTCTTCGAACATAATTATATTAAAAAATCATCTAATCAAAAATAAAAATGTTAATCTGGTTTGTCCCAACTATTGCCCATAACATTTTCAAAGGTCGAAAAGTTTCGCTAATTTTTGCACCATTATTTTCCGATTTTTAACTGTTCAACCACAACTAACTGATTATTTAATTTTTTGTTTTTTCTGTTAGCTGTGAGGGAACTTCGACAGCCTTTACAATCATAATAACCTCACTAGCTTAATTAAAAATTTGTTAAAATTATTTCCATATTTTTTTAATTTAAAAAATGTGAGTAGTCCTAAATATTATTTTCCAAAAAATTGTACTTTTTTAACACTTTTCTAGACAGGGACACACAAACAAAAAATATTTATCGGTAAAAAGGTTATTTGTATATCCATCCCATTACGTTTTGCCTGCTTCCCAAAAATATACTATTAGGTTCCCCCTTTTTTATTACAAATTTTCTTATGATGTTCACATTTGCCTATGATGTGTTTTTCTCACATTTCCTATTGTTTGCTTTAGTGGCATTTTTAGCAAATATTTACTAAATATTATTTTGAATTTTATTTTTTCATTATTAATTTTAAACTTTTAAATTTTCCTTATATGTACATATAATCAGACTTCGCTTATGCGTACAAAAAAATTAAAAATAATAAAAAATAAAAATTGTAAGGTGTTCACAATATGGGAGTATTGCTTAATGTTAGCTACAGAAAAATCGGATGGGTGTAAATTATAAGTTCTGATTAATTGAAGTTATTTTTTTAAATCGGAAATGTAAAAGATTTAAAAGAACAACCAACAATCCCATCATTTTTAGTCTAAAATTGTAAAACTTTCCAGAAAAAAATACAAAATAATAATCATCTTCCGACAAGTTGCAAAAGGAAGTTCTCTTTTCTGAAAGAACACAAATAATTTTATATTTTCCGGAAATACAAAAATATTCCGGAAATAATCATTAATTAAGCAGAGAAAAATAATAAGCCTTTCCATAAATTATTAAAAATCCCCCTTTTCCGGAAAACTTGAAAAGCCTTAAAAATTAACTTTTCTTTATGAAAAACAATTAATTTTTCAAAAATTATTTTTTATTTTAATAAAAATTAAAAAAACAAAAGAAACTTTCTTTATGCAAATTAAATTTTTTTTTCTCAAAAAAATTTTTTTATTCCCCTCCTTTCTCTTATTTTCTTCTAGTATAAAATAACATCATTAGTTCAAGCCAAACAACAACAGCAAAGGCTAAGCTTCTCTTTTTTTTTATTTTAATTTAATTTTCAAAACCTTCCTTACCCACTCCAAAAAAACTTTTTTTTCTTCTTTCAACATTTTTCACATAATATTTTACACACAAAAATACTTTTCCCTTCCTTTTTCTTTTATATTAATGAAAAATGATGAATAAAGCGATAATTTGCTTTTACAAATAATTGAATTTAAAAAAATTGTTAAAAATTTTTTTTTGATTTTTTATTGATTAGAAATGCAAATCTCTTTAGATTTTCTTTATTAAATTAATCAATTAATTAATAAAGCAATTAATTTTTTCCAATTAAGTGACTTTTTAAGTGTTAGCAACGCTTGGACGCTCGTTGATTAAATATTCAAAATATTCAAATAAGCATCTATTTTCGTCCACTTTTCCAATGATAATATCTCTCTTAGTGTTATCCAACCTCTCTAAAAATTTCAAAATTTTAGGTGCAATATTAAAAAAGGTTATGGTCGATAACTACAAAAAATGGGCATTTTTTCTATTTTTGGGGCATTTTTACCCACATTTTTCGAGATAATAAATTCTGGCATTTTTAGGAGAGCTAGTTATCACTCTCGAGGATATTTTTATAAAATTTTACGGCGTTATGTTTTTATCTTTCCATTTTATAAGCGCTAACGCCCAATTCTCATCGCGCCCAAATTTACTCCTATTCTACTACTCTTATTCCCCTTGGAAATTTTTTTCGAATTTCGTTCTATCAAATTTATTACAATTATTTTCTATTTACATACATAAATACAACAATATACAATATATATCAATATCAAAAACAAATATCATCACAAAGGACAGACTTCAAAATTCTATAGGCCAAATTTGGAAACGTTTTTTCAACTTCTTCCCATCCTTTGCTTTTCAAAAAATTTTCTTTATTAATTTGAATATATATTTTACATCCCTTTAAATTTAAAATATTAAATAAAAATACAAAATCTGAAAAATCTACCTTCTCGAGTGTAGGCGCATCATATAAACTAATCATATCACAATATTTCAGAATCTTTTCATCATCTGAAAAATTATTTTATTATTCCAAGTTTTACTCTTTTGTATTTCAAACCTATTCCAAGTTTATTTTTACAATCCTCATTTATTCTAAGCTTACCGTATATCCTTTAATAACTACCCTGGGTAATTATTGTTTCGGCCTTCCGCTGGAGGAAGTAATTAACCGAGGGAGGGTAATTATACGAGGTTTAAAATTTTAAAGTGTTTTAGAGCATTTGTTGAGGGAGGGGGGGGGGGGTAATTATTGTCTCAATCTATCACTGGATGGGGTAATTAATGGAAGTGGGGTAATTATTCGAGGGAGGGCAGTTAATACAGGTTATACGGTAGTTTTGTAATTTGGGGTTTTGCAATCTCTTATATTAAAGTTTACAATCAAGTTTATTTTTAAAGCTTAACTCTTTCTATAAAATTCTATTCCTTACCAATCAAGTTAGTCATAAACACCTCACATTCATATTTCAACGGTAAAACTTGATATTTGTGAGCAATGGCAAAAATGTCCTCAACATGTTTCTCCATCAAATTTTTGTTTATTTCACCAGTATAGAAAAATTCTAGCATTGCCTGAACAGATTCTGGTTTGAAATCCGGAATTGTGACTTCTCTCTAAAATTAAAAAAATATTTTTTTGAATTTTTTTAAATTTTTTAAAATCCCTAAATCCCGAAAATTAACAATCTTTCCCCTTTATTTTTAAATAAAACACACAGTTACTCCCTCAATCATTTCTGTATGCTCAAACATTTTGCGAAATACTTTGCTATTTTTTGCTAAAATGCAGCGGTGTGTTTTTATAGCCATATCTGAAACCTGGAAAAAAGTTGTATTTAGATTGTTTCAGCTAATTTAGCCTCCCTATAAGGTAACCCCATTACTAGCTAGGACTTTATTTTTTAATTTGGTTGGCCGCTGCTTGTAGGCAATACCCTTGCCCCATTATAAAGTCCAATCTTTTTAAACTCCAAGGGTCATTTTGCGGATATATCTGGGCAAGTTAGAATGTTACACCATGGTCTGACTATTTTTAAATTTCAAGTACACCTTAATCACGCAATCCGAAAATAATTCTTCTTCCAACATATTACGATATGTAAATTTTAAATTGTCAATTGCATCGTACCAATCTACTGAAACTTTACATTGAATGCTTAAGTCTGAAAAAAACATCATTTGGCAAGTTTAAAAATTATTTTACCATGTCTAAGTATTTTGCCTCGAATCTTATAAACATTAGCATATCCCAATTTTTCTTGATTTTCAAATTTGTTTGTAGATCTGGAAAGTAAATAAATTTAAATCTGCTCTGAGGATTAAAAATCCTCATTTAAAATTTTATGAAAAATGAAACTTCTACTTTTGGATGAGTAATATTCCCGATTTCGGAGATTTAAAGCTACCGAGAGTACTTTGCGCTTACTTAAGGCCCCATCTTTAGGCCGTTTTTGGCGGCCTAAAGATTCTCAAGAATCGTGACAGCAATACCCCTAGTAGAAACAATACGGTGAACGAGCCTCGAATAATGTAACTGACAGGGAGATCAAAGGTAAATTCCTACCTAAACGTTTCCTTAACCCTCATTCACCATAAAAATAAAACACCTGGAAAGCACACGTCTGATATTGTCTTTGACCACAAAAATTTCATATTGTGTATTCACAAGACCATTGATACTATTTGGCCCTAATTGGCGAAGATAAATAGCAAAAGTAGAGGTAGAAGGTTTCATCTCAACACATAATTCCCATTCCACTTTGGTAAAGTTTGGATTGCCAAAACGTTTGCCTTAAATGATTTTCTTATTTTTGTTGAAAAGAAAGATTTACTTGAAACTAATACTGGAGGACTTTGAGTAAAATAGTCAGGTAGACCATTCCAAGTTTTTATCAAATTGGTGACTGGCCATTTGACTCTGCAAACAATTGTGTTCATCTAAAAAATTTTAATTAAAATTGTCTAGAAAATTTATTTTTATTACCCTTTTTAAACAAGCAGCCCAAACCAAAAAGCGCCGAGGAAATAATGCAGAGAATTAGCTTTATGAACTTGTTTTAGAAATACGAGGAGTTTAGGTAGACCTTTATCAAAGGGGTGCTTTTATAGTAAACCAATTAAACAAAAATAAGAAGGGAAAATTTTAGACATTATGCCAATCTCTCTCCAACACATTGTTGAGATCCTAATATTCTGATCTTGACTTTTGTCATGCCCCATTCCTTCTAGTCATTTTCAGGCAATATATTTACCTAATTGCATTTTCTTACTTTAATTCTTACAATTAAGAATGTATAGGATTGTGTAAGATTTTAATTTTTCATATTCAACAATAATATGGAAATCCAGCTTGAAATATGTACACAATCATATCCACTAAAGATCTATATGACTCTGATATTGAGTTTACTACTTTGTTTTTTCTTGTAAATTTTATTCTAGAAAGAATCTTTTCTTCAATATTTTTTTCAATTTTCTATTTAATACCAATTACGAAAAGATATGTATGAGCCAATTTTCTGTTACCTCGTGTCACTCCTATTTCTAGCCTCGTACTCATACTTCGTATCAGATACGAGTATGGGGCGAGCATGAATTTTGGTACGACGTCCAATAGAAAAGCTTGTTAAAAAATAATTTTAAAATATTTAATTTTCTCCAAAAAATATTTTTATTAAAAAATCAATATTTTTATAAAAAATCTCAGCTTAAATTAAATCGGTAAAAAAATTAGATTTTTGCTATTCCAATATTTATTTCATGCCATTCTTCGGTGACCCTGTTAAAATTAAATTTGTTAAGTAAAGGAACACATCGAATTTTTTTCTCGTATTTTTTCTTTTTATTTTTTTTCTTATTTTCATTCCTTTGAGTGCATTTTAGACTTGCAAAAATAAAAAAATAATTTTAACAAAAAAAATAAATATTTTTAAAAAATTATGTACATGTGAGGTTTCGGCAATATACAAAGAAATCTTCCTGTGTTCAGTTTCGATATTTCTGTATACTACAGTTATTTAAAAATACCGTGGTTCCTAGTAGGTCCATTCAAATTCTCAACTTTCAAAAAATTTCAGTTAAAACGAAACGGATTTTAAAAAACAACGGGTAACCGAAATCGGCGAAATCAACAGGTAAAGGATGAAACTGGCACTTTTCTACTACTTAAGTGCAATTCTTTATATTTTTTTGAAGTTTCATATCCGTAATTGTTATACCAGCAATTGTAGTCCCGCCCATCAAAGATTCTCTTGTCCATTTAACAACCAAGTTTAATTATACAATTAATCTCTAAATTTATCTCTCTCTTTCAAGCCAAACATATTTCTTTTTAACAGTATTTTCTACAATTTTCTACCAGAAAATAAAAAAACTTTTCATTAAGTATTCTGATTTTACTATCAGAATATCTATAAAAATCGTCATTTTTCCCCCTTAAAAATTGCCAATTTTTTGTGGTTTTTAATACAATCAATATATCAATAAATAAATATATATCCTTACAAGTGGCATAATATAATATTTTCTATTGTTTGTCAGCCTTTTTATGTTTGTGAATAGCGTGTGAATATGCGGAATAAAAAAAGTATAAACGAAAAAAAGAGATAGAGGTAATTGTTGTTGCGGCCTGCCGGGCCTGAGGGGGCAATTGACGTTTAGGCGCAGGAAATATTTGGGCGCGCTCTTGCATAACTCTGGGAGAAATGTACTTGGAAGCGTGAAATTTTGCGGATTTATTTTTGATAGTATTTCCTACATTCTTTAAAAATTTCATAAATTTAGGTTTTGTATTGCCAAAGTTCTGGTCGAAATAACCAGAAAAACCAGAATTTTTCGTACATTTTCGCTTATAATGTCACTAATACCTTACCAAAAATTCTGAAATTTCTAGAAAATTTTGAAAACTTTACCAAAAAAGCTCCAAAAAACCCTCATTAACCTTACGTTCATCCGTTTTATAAATTAACGTCCAACCCTCTTTCCACGCCATAATATCCTTATCCTCCCGCCCAGGCCGTTTTAGTTATTGTCTTTTCCTCTTTCTTTTTATTTCCACTTACACTTTTGCTTTACTTTTTCAATTTTTCCTTATGGCGATCCCGAGAGAGACATAAAAAATCTGTTTTTTTGTCCATCAGGCATCGATTATTTTAAAGTTATTTAACCAAAGTTTTAAGGCCAAAAGTGAAAATCACTCAATATTTTTGATTGACAATTGAAAAAAAAGTTGGGGAAAAATAATGAGGAATTTTTTTCTATTGTTTATTAGCAGATATTTAACTAACTAACTAACAACTTTTACATATTTTTTTAAAAATAGTTGAATAATTAATTTTATATTTTATTTTTAGAAAATTAATTGGTTAACGAGATAATTAATTAAATACAAATATTTGGGGGGATTTTTTATTTGCCTTCTTTTTATAAAAAAATAAATAGTATAAGCTTTAATCCTTAATTTCCTATGGGACAATAAGTGTATTTAATCTAATTTAAAGTTATTAATATTGTGCTAATAATTTTAATTTTTGCTGTGTTTTATTTGTCTATCAGAATTATAATTATTAGATATTCTGATTTTTAATTATTAAAATATAATTCTGATTTTTTCCGGATTTTTAAGGGTATAATTTATATTTAAAAAATAAAAATTCTGATTTTATTTTAGCTTTGTTCTGATTTTTAATTCTGATTTTAAATGTTAATTCTGATTTTATATTAGTACATATTTAATATTCTGATTTAATTAATTTAACTGTTGTATTTATTTGTACTTTTTTTCCAATTAAATAAATTCTTTTTTACAGATTAATATAGAAAATATTAATCCCCTTAATTATTTTTTATTCTTTTCTGCTTTTCAAACTGCACAAAAGCAGTTTGAAATTAATTATTAAAACTGCTTAACAACAACAATAAAGACCAAACAGCAAACAACACGGCTTTGCTACAGTTGTTTAGGCATACAGCGAATATGAGGACGGTAAGTGTTTTGAATTAATTTTAATTTAAAATTAATTTTTTTAATTTTTTAATTAAAAATTAATTAATTTTATTTTTTTGAAAATAAATTTTTTTTTTATTAAAAAATTTTTTTAATTTTTAATTAAAAATTAATTTTTAATAAATTTTATTTTCTTGATAATACATAAAATTAGTTTAATATTAACATTATTTATCTGAATTTTTTATTTTTTTGGAATTTTAATTTTTCATATTTTTTATTAAAAAATTTTTTTAATTTTTAATTTTATTTTTTTTTTCAAATAAAAACTATTTAAAAATTAAATTAATAATCTTCGCCCATTTTTAAATACTTCATTTCCGTTAAAGCACTTTTATCCTCTTCAAAAAATTTTTTTTTCATTTTTCAATTTTCAACACAATTAAATTATTCTAGTCCATTTTTCTTTTATTTTCCGTAAAATATAAAATTATTTTTCTTTTCCGGAAATATTGTTTCTGAAAAATTAATTTCTGTAAAAATACAAAAACTAGACAGAGTTTCTGGGTGAGGGGCAGAACTTCGAATGACAAAACTCAGTCTAGACAAATTGACAAAATTCCGAATTACCAAGACTTCGTCTAGACACGGAGTTTCTGGTCTTTAAATTATTTCATTCCAGAATTTGTCTTCTTTTTCTTACTATTTTTGTGTTTTTTCTAAAATTTTAATTTTCTAAAGTCTCCTTTATTTTTCCAAATAATTTATTGAATTCATTCGTCAGCATCATCTCTTCATTTTCTTTTAAACTTGTCCCTTTTCCCCCTTTTTTTCTCATTTTCTTCCTTTTCACGAAAATGCCAAGTCCAATTTATTACCCCTTCTTTATCTTCCTTGTCTACTAAACGCGCAACAGAAAATTCAATGAAAAAAGGGGAAAATGTACTACTACTAGATATACATATTAGACATTTAAAAATCATTCTTCTGTAAAAAATCTTTAAATGCGTGATAAATATTTAAATAAATATTTACATAAATATTCTTTTAATTTATGCAAAATTAATAAATATAAAATGACGTTGCTTTATTCAAAACAAACAAACATTGCGCACATCAAAATTTAGTTTCGGAATGTATTTTCTCTTTATTTTGTTTTCCGGAAATTTCCTTTAAGAAAATTAAGTTAATGTTATATTATAAAATTTTCCGGAAAAAATATTCTTCAGTTTCCGGAATTACTGTAGTCTGTCTTCAAGTTTTCCTTTGTTTTTCGGAAAAGGTTGTGAAAATACCTTTAAACTTGTATTTTCTTTCCGGAAAATATTATAAAAATTTTTAAATAA